AGTGGGAAATAAATAGGGCAAGCATTGAGAAGCATAAAAACGTAATCACAGAGGGTCAATAGAAGAAATTACAAAAATGTTCGCGTAAACTATAAACACCATTTATTTAACATACTAAATGAAAGTCCTACTTTAAAAAAAAAAAAAAAAAAAAAAAAAAAAAAAATAAAATTTTAATTAAAAAAGGATAAAATAAAAAAAAAAAAAAAAAAAAAAAAAAAAAAAAAAAAATTCTGCTTACAGGACACTAGATGAGTCTATCACAAACTTTTTCACACTACACATTACTTATAAAAGCAGTTGTATATAGAAATAGGTACAAAAACTACACGTGACAAACATTCCAGTAATCGTTTATAGGTGTACAGAACAGGATACCAATCAAGTCACACACACCCTTACCTCATATGCATACACTTATCATTCAAATGATTATTTAAATAGCACAGAAGATAAAAACCTTTAAATTATTAACTAGGTGTGGAAACTTTGTGTGTATCACCATTTGTTCTGAGTATTTTTCCCATGTATCCATCATTGACACATGTCAAAATAGTCATATGCGTGCATTGCACATAGGAACATTTTTAAATGTTCTCCAAACTTGGAAACCATACCCCACAAATATATGTATATATATATGAACACAAAATTGGATACGACGAAAGTATCCACACATCAATCCAGTTATACTCTCATCACGCACGCAAAAAGTTAAATAGAACAATATTTTTTTTTTTTTTTTCTTTTTTCACAAAAGAGCCAATAGAGAAAAGTACATATACCTACACAAATATATAACCTAGGTTGCATACCTACATACTGGTGTAAACCTGTAGGAATCACGTTTACACGTTTGTATTTAACTTATCCACGTACCTGCCCACCATCACCACTTCTACAATGAAAAAGAAGAACAAGGAAGACCTGTATAAGGAAAATAAACTAGAAGCGTCTAAACTAAGAATCGCCATTGTGAGTTCAGATAAATGTAAACCAAAAAAATGCCATCTTGAATGTAAAAAAAATTGCCCAATAGTGAAAACAGGAAAATTTTGCATAGAAGTAGAACACAGTTCAAAAATTGCATATATCAGTGAGACTTTGTGCATAGGATGTGGTATATGTGTAAAAAAATGTCCATTTTCAGCAATAACCATTATAAATTTACCAAAAGATATAAATAAAGATGTAGTTCATAGGTATGGGCCGAATACATTTAAATTACATAGATTACCTATACCCAAATTAGGACAAATATTGGGCTTAGTTGGTACGAATGGAATTGGAAAATCAACAGCATTAAAAATTTTATCATCAAAATTGAAACCAAATTTAGGAAAATTTAATAATCCACCAGAATGGAGAGATATATTATCTTTTTTTCGAGGAAATGAATTACAAATATTTTTCACAAAATTGTTGGAAGAACAATTGACACCAATTATAAAACCACAAAATGTTGATTTGATACCTAAACAGATTAAAGGAAATATTTTAGAAATTATTAATAAAAAAGATAAGCTAAATAAAAAAGATCAATATATGAGTGCCTTAGAATTGGATCATTTATTAGATAGAAATGTAGAAGATTTAAGTGGTGGAGAATTACAAAGATTTGCACTATTAATTTCTATTATTGGACAAACAACAAATGTATATATGTTTGATGAACCAAGTAGTTATTTAGATATTAAACAAAGAATATCTATGGCAAAAATAATTCATAGCTTAGTTAGACATGATAATTATATCATAGTTGTTGAGCATGATCTATCCATTTTAGATTATTTAAGTGATTATGTTTGTTGTTTATGGGGAAAAGCAGGAGCATATGGAGTTGTTACATCTCCATTTTCTGTACGAGAAGGAATTAATGTTTTCTTAGATGGATTTGTACCAACAGATAATTTAAGAATACGGGAAGAATCATTAAATTTTAAGCTAGCTACAGATCAAGATCTAACAGAAGATAAAAAAAGACTTCATTTTTATAATTATCCAACAATGAAAAAAACATTAAACAGTTTTACATTAACAATTAATAAAGGAAAATTCTCAGAATCAGAAATTTTTGTTCTATTAGGACAAAATGGAAGTGGAAAAAGTACATTCATACGACTTTTTGCAGGACTAATTCAACCAGATAATCTATCTAGTCTAAGTTTCTTAGAATCATTAAGTGTTTCTTATAAACCACAACAAATACAAGCAAAATATACAGGAACTGTTAGACAATTGCTCATGTCAAAATTGAAAGGATTATACACAGATCCATATTTTAATAATGAAATTATTAAACCGTTAAAGATTGAAGCTATTATGGATAATCAAGTATTGACCTTATCAGGTGGGGAGTTACAAAAAGTTGCAATTATTATAACACTTGCAAAAAATACCAATATTTACCTAATCGATGAACCATCTGCCTATCTAGATTCAGAACAGAGAATTATTGTCTCAAAAATTATTAAGAGATTCATACTTAACACTAACAAAACAGCATTTGTTGTAGAACATGATTTTATTATGGCTACATATCTTGCTGATCATGTTATTGTTTTTGATGGACAGGCAGGTGTTAATACTGTTGCAAACACACCACAAACTTTGGTAGCAGGAATGAATAAATTCTTAAAAATTATTGATGTTACATTTAGACGTGACCCAACCAATTATAGACCAAGAATTAACAAGTACGACAGTGTCAAGGACAAGGAGCAGAAACTTAATGGTACGTCTCTCAGCACGTCTTTCCATCCAAATTGCTTTCATTACAGCTGTTTTTAATCCCCACTACTTTGCATATATCTTCTGTGTTTTACGCTTGTACATTTTTATGTTTTTACATATTACATATTACATCTTGCATCTTGCATCTTGCATCTTGCATCTTACATCTTGCATCTTACATCTTGCATCTTACATCTTACATCTTGCATCTTGCATCTTACATCTTGCATCTTGCATCTTGCATCTTACATCTTGCATCTTACATCTTGCATCTTGCATCTTACATCTTGCATCTTGCATCTTGCATCTTGCATCTTACATCTTACATTTTTACGTTTTTTTTTTTTTTTTTTTTTTTTTTTTTTTCCATCTCGCAATCACGTTTTCCCCTTTTCCTCCTTTTCTTCCGTAGGCACTTATTTCATTATTGACGAATGAGGAGATGATACATACACAACAAACACAGACATGATCCTTAGTCCATAAACACAAATGGAACTTTACAACTGGTGAACCTTGTGTCAATAAATCTGCATGGGAAAAAAAAAAAAAATAAAATAAAAATAAAATGACCCCTCAATATCCTAATCGAATAAAAAGCTAACGGGAGAATGAATAAAAAATGCATACACACATATACCTCCCCGACCATCAAACAACTAAAAAAACATTTTCAGAAAAATTTACCTCCGATTTAATAATGTATAGCGAATCCTTTAGTAATAAACGTACGTATACAATTCTGAAACCAGCATGGTGCCACCCCAGGGGAGGGGAGGGGGAGGATGCACTCACCTCAATCTCTTCCTTGTGCTAATTTTTTGCCGTTTTTGTCTACACATATAAAAGTGTATATATATATATACATATATATATATATATACATATATATATATATATATACATATATATGCTGCTTTTTCCTTTTTTTTTTTTTCTTTCTTGCCCCTCCCACCCCCTTACTTATCACACATTATATATGCACATGTCCCTCATTTTAATTCATGACGCATGCACCCCCTCCCCCTTAATTGTGAACATAATTATCATTGATATATAACTTTTTAAATTTTTTTTTTTTTGGTTTAAATATTTTAAAATTGTCATTTTTTCTTTATCATTTCTTTAATATCATTTCTTTAATATCATTTCTTCATTATCTTTTTTTCATTCTCATTTCTTCATTATCTTTTTTTCATTCTCATTTCTTCATTATCTTTTTTTCATTCTCATTTCTTCATTCTCATTTCTTCATTCTCATTTCTTCATTCTCATTTCTTCATTCTCATTTCTTTATTATCATTTCTTTATTATCATTTCTTCATTATCTTTTTTTCATTCTCATTTCTTCATTCTCATTTCTTCATTCTCATTTCTTCATTCTCATTTCTTCATTCTCATTTCTTCATTCTCATTTCTTCATTCTCATTTCTTCATTCTCATTTCTTCATTCTCATTTCTTCATTCTCATTTCTTCATTCTCATTTCTTCATTCTCATTTCTTCATTCTCATTTCTTCATTCTCATTTCTTCATTCTCATTTCTTCATTCTCATTTCTTCATTCTCATTTCTTCATTCTCATTTCTTCATTCTCATTTCTTCATTCTCATTTCTTCATTCTCATTTCTTCATTCTCATTTCTTCATTCTCATTTCTTCATTCTCATTTCTTCATTCTCATTTCTTCATTCTCATTTCTTCATTCTCATTTCTTCATTCTCATTTCTTCATTCTCATTTCTTCATTATCCTTTTTTCATTATCATTTCTTTAATATTATTATATCCCTCTCTCCTTCCTTGCGTCTCACTTATTCGCTTTTCTCCGAATTCACATGCTAGCTACATTTTTTTTTTTTTTTTCTCGCCACTTTTAATGTGTATTGTATACCCATTAAGACATAAATGTAGGTAGCATATTTTAAAGAAAAATTTTCAAATAAATAGGACACAACAAATATTAAATAGTTAAATATGTACGTCAGACTCGTTACATAAGATGTGTTATTTCCTCTACTCTTGATGTTAGCAAAAGAAAGGACATTCAAACCATTGAGTTTGTGTGTGTGTGTATGAGTATGGGTACAGGAACATATCATGTAAACAAAATACTTTCTTAATATCACACCATTTTCATAGGTAATAATATATAGTGTACATAACCAAAAAAAAAAAAAAAAAAAAAATGAGTGAACTCATAAAATCATCCACAATTGAATCACATTTTGTTGGAACTAATTAATATGTATAACTTTTTTTTCCTTTTTTTTCCTTTTTTTTCTTCTTTCATATATATAACAATATGTGTAAAAAAGAGATAATTTTTCTGTATGCACAGAAATACTTAAAAACTTTATACTCCACGCACTTTTCTCACACACAGTTAGTTGCTCTTTATAGTTCACTTTTTAACTAATTTCATTCTAATTAATTTCATGATAGGAATTTAAAACTATGGCCAATAAAAAAAAAAAAAAAAAAAAAAAAAAAAAAAAAGAAGATAAATATTACATATATGATTTACTAAATTTCAAGTTTTTATTTTTTCAAATGAAAATCCCCATTTTTTTTTTATTTTCTTTATTTTTTATTGGCCATAGTTTTAAGTTCCACTAAAGAAGTTATATTATACACCATTCCCCCGTTCCTCTTCCATTTTGTGCATTAGCACTGAATAAAAATTGTAGTGATTGAATAGTATTTCTGTAAACCAATTTTGTAAACCAATTTTTTGAACTAATTTTTTTGAACTCATATTATGCCTTTTTTTTTTTTTTTTTTTTTTTTTTTTTTTCGTATACTTTTTTCCAACGCCATTTTGCGAGTTTCCTCACGCCCTCGTGTAAATTCCATTATCTGTATTCACAATATAATTTTCACCCATCGAATCGTCAAGAAAACCGTGCTACCATTTGTTTTTTTTTTAGCACAAAAAGCTAACAATACACATGGGTATTACACATACCCAGCTACGTAATGAAATACATTTAACTCATTTTGAGATTCAACCCTTTTTGCATCCATAAAATACATACCTCTTGTTCTTTTTGGTTTGCCCTTGTAAAAATTAAGACTCAAAGTGATAACAGCATAAACGCAAACATATCTGCTACACATAAATAATTCACACATTCACATATCCACACATTTGTATCTTTACCGTCAGAAAATCTGCACACATATATATTCACGTACATGTGTATATATACATACTAAACGTGTGTGTGAATAAGAGGCAGCATTTTCATACGCTCCTACATGCACGTACATGTGAAACAATACCAACTTAGCATGTTGTAGGAAAAAATAATCCCAATCTTGCAACGTGTACAATTATTCGCAAGTGCTGAATGATAGGCACATAAGAAGCAGATATATATGCATATATATATACATGCATACATGCATACATGCGTACACCCTCTCGTGCAACACCCATTCAGAAAAAACTGATCACACAAATTTGCTAGGAAAAGTTACCCTCATTATACAAAGATACAAATTATAATGGCAGGAATTCCCTCGTCTTTACGTGAACTATTTTATTCCTTTTCTGATGGAAATGGAATGAACAATGAAACGTTGGCTGACACCAGTGAGCAGGTGTATATATCCCCACTCGCGCTTCTAAAAATTTTGAAACATGGACGGGTAATACACAAGATGGCAGAAGATGTTACATGTGTTAGTGGAGTCATTCATCCACTCGCTCTTTCATTCGTTCGTTCATCCATTCTTCTATTAATTATGTCACTAATTATTCTACTCATTCCCCTTTTTTACCTATTTTTCTCGCACATGCCAAAGGCAGGAGTACCGATGGAAGTAATGGGACTCATGCTGGGAGAAATTGTAGATGAGTATACAATCAGAATTGTAGACGTTTTTGCAATGCCACAATCAGGTAATAGTGTTAGTGTTGAAGCAGTGGATCCTGTATATCAAACGAATATGTTAGAAGAATTAAAAAAAACGGGAAGACATGAAATGGTTGTTGGATGGTATCATTCACATCCAGGTTTTGGTTGCTGGTTATCTGGAACAGATGTAAATACACAAAAAAGTTTTGAACAATTAAATCAAAGAACAATTGGAGTTGTTGTAGATCCAATTCAATCAGTAAAAGGAAAAGTTGTGATCGATTGTTTTCGATTAATAAATCCTCACATGCTTATGCTAGGACAAGAACCGAGACAAACAACATCAAACATTGGCTATCTAACAAAACCATCATTAACAGCACTAGTACATGGTTTAAACAGAAATTATTATTCCATAGTTATTAATTACAGAAAAAATGAATTAGAAAAAAATATGCTTTTAAATTTACATAAAGATATATGGGCCAACCCTTTAAAACTACTTGATTTCAATGAACAAAAAAAAAATACAGATGAAACTTTAAATAGTATTAAAAAATTAACAAGTTTATATAATAAAAATTTGAGAAATGAAATTAAGAAAACCAATGAACAAATACTTTTAGAAAATATTGGAAAAATAGATGCAAAAAAAAGAATACAAAATTCAGTGGAAACTTTGCTAAACGATTCTATTCTTACATGTATCGGTAGGGAATTATTTCTCCAACAGAAGAGATTATCCACCTCTCTACTTCTCACATATGTATACATATCCTGTACCATTCTTCCATCTTTTGTAAATGTTTAAAACGTTATTACATAAGATATGCCATATTTTTTTTTACCTTTTTATATTTCCTTTTTTTTTTTTTTTTTTAAATTCTTCTTTTACAGGAACGATGGCAAACACCCTGTTCTTTTAAAGCCGACATTTTATTTTTTTAGAGAAAACCCTCTTTTTTCTTTCCCCCTTCCCCTTCTTTCTTCTTTTTTTGTAATGCAAAACTTGCATGTAAATGAAAATTATTAGGAATTATTCTTTGTGTCTTGGGTTTCGAAATTCCTATAAAGCCATGTTTTCATTTAATGGTGATGTTAATAGGATTCTCAAGGATTAGCATTCATACTGTGTTCATATAAACAAAATCAACAGATGAGTAAAAGTGTGTATCTTTACCTATGCAACTAAATTACGTACACAGAGATTATGAGGATATGCTTAACACCTCATACAAGTAGAAGCTTTTTCTTTTTTTTTTTTCCCCCCCCCCCTTTTTTTCCTTTCTTTTTCTTTCTTTTTCTTTTCCCTTTTGCATGTCTTCTCCCATTTTGCGACCCTTTAATTTTAAAAATTAACATAACGTGTTTCATGTTTTTAATTTACTTATATTCAACGTAATAACTTATTCTTGAAAAGTTCACACATTTATATGTATATCAACATTTTAAATGTATATTAGCACAATAATTTTCTTCATTTTTCTTCATTCTTCTTCATTTGTTCACTCGTATATTTCTATCTCAATAGGAAGATCGAGAGGGGCATGAAAAAATTACCACATTAACATATTCTTTACTCAATGTATAGAGAATAGTGGAGTGCAGGAAAACATGTGCAACTCGATTCTCAATTTTTTACACATGTAATGATTTGCTTTCACTACGGGTATGAACTCTTTTTAAAATGGTAGCCATTCATGTTATATGGAAAAAAGAAAAAAATTAAAATGTCCCAATTTGAACCAAAAAAAAAAAAAAAAAAATTGTGGCGTGTAGGTTTTTTTTTTTTTTTTTTTTTTTTTTTTAAATTCTCACAACACCCATTTGCGAATGTTCAAATTATTTTTAGCAAAGGAGTTGTTAAATTGTGCATAAAAAAAAAAAAAAAATTGAAAAGGATTAATAAATGTTTGCATGTTACCTTTTGGTAAAATATCATAATAGAGTTTTACACACACATACATACATTACAATGAACGTATATTCCTCCGTACACCCACCCAAAGTACACATTACACTCCTTTCCCTCAATTTGATTCTCCTCTTCGACAAAGAAATATGATCAAAGGAGCCCTTTTTTTCATTTCCTGCATCATCTTTTCCATTCTAAATTGTAAACCATATATACTTACCAAAGCTACACCCTTACATATGCGAATATCTCTAATTCAATAGTTCACTCCCCCATTTTGTATCTATTATTTTACTACGCACCTCTATATCAGGTGTAATGTCCAGGTATAAAGAATGCTCATCTGTAACAAATGATGAAGAAATTTTATCTTATTGTAAAAATGAATCTGATTGTTACATTAAAGACATAGAAAACTCTGACTATTCATCAATTTCATGTATTTGTAAAAAATATATGGATGAATACTTTTTTGCTGGACCAGATTGTTCAATAAGTAAACTTTTCTCCTTCATTTCTTTTTACTTATTTTATTTTGACCTATTTTGTCTTTTCACTCCCTATATGAAAATGATTTAGTAATGTGATCAGATTCATTTTTACACTAATCCTTTTCTCATTTATATATCCCTTTATCGATTTTTTCATTTTTATCTCTTTTTTACAAATTTTACCCCGAATTACCTACTTTTTCATTCCTTCCAGAAATTTCTTACCACTACGAAACGTTGAGTAATAACCAAATATTTTACACACTCAAAGAAGAAATCTATTTTATGGAATCATTTCATCTGTTTACTTTTTTCTTTACATTATGTCTTTTTTCTTTCACTTATATTTTCCCACACACACACACCCCTACCCAAAATATTCTATGTTCTTAACAGAAAATAACGAAGTTATGAATACGAACTGGATTGAAGACTTATTCAATATGAACACGTGGAAAAATGAGGAAAATCGAGTGGGGAAAATTTGTATCAATCCCAATTGTAGATAGCTTTTTTTATCAGTTATGTTTTATTTGTATCCTATCTTATTCTATTTTATTATATATATTATTGTTAATTTTTCTTCAAAATAAAAAACAAATGAAGAGCAATCAAAAAGAAATTCCACCTACTTCACGAAATCATCAAAAATGGAGCTAAACAAAATACATTACGAACGAACAAACACCACAGACACAGGATGGTGTGGCAGAGACAAATACGTAATTCATAAAATATTGCACTTTCAGATGCAAGAAAATGGTTAGTCTTTTTAAAAAGCATACATGCTCTTCTCTCAGTCACTTGAAGAGACATATATAAATTTCTCACCAAGCAGTTCTTTTTTGTAAATACAAGATTAAGCTTTTCTAGTAAAATAATAAATCAAGCAAGACAACGCGAGTGATTCAGAGACACTTGTGAAGGGAGGGTAGTAATATGGATCATAAGAACCAATCGCATATATCCGAACTGAATGATACACCCAATTTTTTTTTTTTTTTTTTTTTTTTTTTTACGAGTATTGATGATAAGCACGAAAACATATGCATAGACGCATAACTTGGCAAGCAACAACTATATTTTTTCTTTCTATAAATCCCTGTCACTCCTCGGATAGCTCTTCCTTAAGGATCTGTTCATACTCATGCAATAAATTACTTTTTATGCTACGTGCCACTTTCATATATTCCTTCTGGGCAGGCTTCAGAAGCTCATCCAAATCTTCGTTAATCATTGCATAAATATTTTTTTTTTTCTTTCTAATATCTTCTAACACCTTATTTTCATACTCGTAAAATTCATTTATTTTTCTCTCCTCCTCGGCAATACTTGGAATATCTTCTTCATAAACTTTTTCAAAGTCTATTGTATTTTTTTCCTTTTTAACTTTATCAGTTATATCTTTCAATATGGTGAGTTGGTTTACTAACGTTTCGTTTTTGTTACCTACATTTAATTTAACAATTCCGTTATCATCCCTACGTGTCCCTTCTTCTTCTTCTTCTTCCAAATCGTTATCACCATCATCATCATCTGACCCGTCTTCCCCATTGTCATCGTTATTATCTTCAGTATCATCATCATCATTAATAGCTTCAATTCGTCCGCTTAAAAAAGATGTGTTTACTGACCTTTTATGTGTATCCAATTCTCCCAGTCGTCCCCTACTACTCGCACTTTGCAAACCACCCATTTGATCCACCTCTTCACTCCTAACCGAAGAATTATCAGAAGAAGATTCATTCAATAAAGAATCACATCCTTCACATCCACCATCTGTACCTTTATTATGTCTCCAATTTTCAGCATTTACAAATGTCATTGAGACATTATGAACACACAGTAGAATAAGCATAAAACAACCTATGAACACTTTCATGCTTTCAATATTTTCAAACATGTAGAATATCCCCTTTATTAACTGTATAAATATATGAACAACAGTAATCTGTACTCAGAAATGAAGAACGAAAAAAAATAATAAAACAGAATAGAACAAAACAGCTTAATTGGGAATACTAAACACATAACATAAAATGTTACACGTCCGAAAAAGGTTACAAAAAAAAAAAAAAAAACCTAACCTTATAGTATATATAGTTCTGTTATTGCAAACATTCACTAAACAAAATAAATAAATAAAATACAACAAGGAAATAAAAACTTATCTGGAATAATGTACAAAATTTGAAGCAAGTCTTTGTGGGCGCTTCTGTTAGACAAATTTTGTAATGTGGAAAAAAAAATGGACAAAGCACATTTTTTATCTTTTTTATTTTTTTTTATCTTTTTTTTATTTTCTTTTTAATTAAATATACGCATATATACACACACTTCTGTAAAAATGAAAAAAAAAATTGCATCCAACGAAGTACTGTCAAAATGGAAAACACAAGCTAACGACGTAATTTTGTTCTATTTTTTTGGAAAGCCTAAACGGAAAAAAAAAAATAAAAAAAAAATATAAAAATTATGAACGTTCATAATTTAATATATAGCTATATCTATTTATTACCTTTATTTTTATTTTATTTTTTTTTTAAGCTAGCCAAGGATAAGATATAGCTAATTGTTCCTCACTGCTAAAGGAAACGTAATTCTACACACTCAGTCGCTTCTTTATCCAAAAATATCCTGAACAAATGATAAAAAAAAGTTGAAGAAGAAAAAAAAGTCAATTTAACGTGACATTGTTTATCATTTGTTTAAATGTTTCTATCGAATAACTGAATTTTTTTTTCTTTTTTTTCATTGGATTGATTCGACCAAAAATAAAATTTCCAATTTTTACAACATTAGGGGATACCAAAAAAATACAGCATAAAAAATCTAAAAGGTAAATAATCTCATACAATTCAAAATTAACATATTGAGCTATGTAAAGTAATAGTTCATTATTTTTTAATTCTATACGGTCTAAATCCTTGAAAGACTATATATCAACAGACTTGTGTCTCGTATCCATTGTATGCTTTTTAAAATCATTGAAAATTTCCTCCCCCGTAAACTTCTTGCAATACCAAAATTTACATTTTTAATTTCTTTCAGTTTTTTCCATTTTTCGTACTTTTCCCATCATTCCTATTTTACTTACAACTCCGTACAACACCACATCAAGGTAAAAAAATGAAAAAGCCAAAGTAAAATTTTAACGATCTCTTAGTTCCAGGGTTTTGTTCACAAAATTGTTACAGCGCCAAAAAGATGTACGTAAATGAATATACGTATATCTCAAAATGCTTAAGCAAAAAAAATAAGAATCAATCATAAAGAAATGTGAAATTTTTAGCAAATAAGCTAGAAATATGAAAATTATGAAGCAAAAGAGGCAATCAAACAACTTACCATGTAAAAAAAAAAAAAAACGACAAAAAAAAAAGCATAAATAGACAACATCATAATATGGTCGAAAAACAAATTATTAAAAAATGCAAAATGAAAACTATAAAAACGTTATCAGAATGTCAGAAGACAAAAAACATTTTTAAAGCAGTTATATATGTATAAAAAATGGAATCTACCATTTTTATAAATGGGAAACACAAAAGTGCTATTCGTGCATATTTTCAAAAAGTATGCACGATTACTTACAATGTTAAAAAAAAAAAAAAAAAAAAAAAAAAATCGAAACTAAAATAATCTAATTCTTATCTATTTCTTCTTCTTTTCACTCAATTTTTCAAAATCATGAAATTCTTGAATTATTTGTTTATCAGAAGGCACTGGATTTTTTAATTCATCCTTTATTTTTTTTTCCATTTCTTTCAATTTTTTATATTCTTTGTTAATTTTCTTTATTTCACTTTTTATTTCTTTTCTATTTAAAGTATTTTCATTTGGTTCTTCAGACACACTTAATAACGAAGTTTCGTGTGTAGCAAAACCTTTTTTCCCCAAGGGGCCTATATAATTATGTCTTGAATTAGATCTATCCTTCGACATTACTGTATTTTCTTTTAAAACATTGTTAGACAATTTATTCTTTTTATTACTTTTTCCAGCTGTGTTATTAATGAAACTTTCACTACTGCTTTTTTTTTTTTCTTTTTTGGTTTTTTCCATGTTCTTCTGCTTTTTATCAACACTCGCTTGTGCTTTGTCAATGCCTGACTGAATCACTTTTTGAGCTTTATCCACACCTTCTTGTGCTTTATCAACACCTTTTTGTACTACCTTTTGTGCATTGTCTACCCCTTTTTGTGCTTTATTGACCCCTTTTTGTGCTACCTTTTGTGCATTGTCTACCCCTTTTTGTACTACCTTTTGTGCATTATCTACCCCTTTTTGTGCCTTATCGACTCCTTTTTGTACTACCTTTTGTGCATTGTCTACCCCTTTTTGTACCTTATCGACTCCTTTTTGTACTACCTTTTGTGCATTGTCTACCCCTTTTTGTACTACCTTTTGTGCTTTATTGACCCCTTTTTGTGCTACCTTTTGTGCATTGTCTACCCCTTTTTGTACTACCTTTTGTGCTTTATTGACCCCTTTTTGTGCTACCTTTTTCACTTTTTTTTTCCCTTTTTCTATACCTTTTTTCGATTCCTTTTTAAGTTTATCAACTCCATTTATGGCCTTGTTAATAATTCTATTAGCACCGTCGCTCGCTACATTCACAGCATTATGAACGACATTTTTCCCTTGTTCTTTGAGATGCTTGCCTTTCTTTTTTGTTTCATCCTTAAGTTTGTTCATGCCATTCTTTCCGACATTTTTTAGGTTCTCGACACTATTTTTTGCTTCAGTTTTAAGTTTATTCACATTTTCTTTCGCTACCCTTTTTGCCTCCTTAGCAAATGTTTTTCCTTCCTTTTTAATGCGAGAAGCACCGTTTAATACGTGCTTCTTAGATTTATTAATACTCTTCTTAGTTAATTTTTTAATTTTTCCTACCATTTTATTAGCTTTATTTGACAGTTGGTCTAAGTTAAAATTCTTACTTATAGCGTTAGAAATTTTGTTTGTTGCTTTATCTATTAAATGGTTAGACCCAGTTTTTAACAAATTACTAAATGTGTTTTTAACTCCTAAAGATGAAGGATTGAATTTCTCTTCGTATTCCTCTTCATCATCATCATCGTCCTCATCATCATCATCATCATCGTCCTTATCATCGTACTCATCTTCATCATCATCGTACTCATCTTCATCATCATCGTCCTCATCATCGTACTCATCTTCATCATCATCGTACTCATCTTCATCATCATCGTACTCATCATCATCTTCATCATCGTATTCAACATCGTCATTATATTCTTCCATATCTCCGACGTCGTCGTCTACCTCATCATCATATTCTTGTCCGCCTTCTACTTCTTCGTCGTCTTCATAATAATCATCATCGTATTCGTCCCCCAGTTCATAATCTTGAATCTCCCCTGATATGTGAACAAATGATTCATTATCTCCTAAATACTTTCGGTTTTCTTGCAAGGTAGATGCATCCATTACAATATTGTCCATTTTACCAATCATCTTATTACTGTAATCGTCATGATCCGTAACTTCATTGAACAAATTCATAGAGTCAGATTCAGATATAGGAAAACCTGAGGAAACATTAAAAGAGGAATCTTCATATCTTTTGTCTTCCTCCTCAGAATTTATTATTCCATTGCCTTGTAATACCTCTCTGTGCATTTGAAAATTTTCGTTTTTCATACTTTCCGAAACATCCGAATGATTTTCAAACATATTATTTTGTAAAATTGATTTGAAAAATATTTCACACTCGTTATTTGTGCTTTCCCAAGAACCCTTCTCCATCGTTTCACTTGCTGAATATATAAATTGGTGACTTTTAATACCTACTTCTTTCGTTTGGGTTGTTTCTCCTTGTACATCCATTTCTGCCTCTTCCTCCCCTGCGTTCGTGAATATAGAATCTAATTTTCCATCATGCTGTAATATATCATAGCAATAAAATATTTTGCTAACAGAGTTTATGAAAATTTCATCTATATCTTTTTCTGCGATTATGTCGATATGACCATTTTCCCCATTTGTGTTGCTATTCTTTAATAAAGTTATTACCTTTTTTTTCATCATAAAAGAATCTTTTAAATTTCCTAGTATTTCATAAAGTGAAACATTTTCAATATTGATATCGGACGTGTCAGACATCGATGTCGACTTAATATCTCTTGCCTCTGATTCATGATTGCACTCTTTTAAATGATCTCTTTCACTTTCCAATCTGTATTTAACGATTGAAGGAATATTTATTCTACTATCCGCACTATCTAAGTAGTTAATAATGTAGTCAATAGTTTCGACATATTCCGAATTGATGCATGAATTAATATTATCATTTTTTAGCTCGACATTTGATAAGATAGAATCATTTGATTCGACTGATCTATCCATTTTCTTGTATTCATGGTCTAGTATCTCTTCCGTATCATTACTTTGATCACCTTTTGGCAAAAAGGACATATAATCTAGAGATTTATCTAATCCTTTAAATAACTCACTCTTATTATTTTCACTTAATTTTTCTAAATTTAAATTAAATGTATACCTCATGTAACAGTAGATAGTAGATTCTTCACCTGAGTTTTTCTGATAAACCTTACGTAACATATGAACATCATTCTCAATAGACTCCTCCGTTGATATTACTTTCATATTGCTTTCGTCTTGTACAACATATTCCTCACCATCATCACTTTGCTGTTCCTCACCATCAGATTCAGTGTCATCATCAGCATTGTCATCTTCATCTGTGTCGCTCAAGTTTTGTAAACTTGCGGTGCTATTATTCCTCATAGACTCATTTATACTTTTAATTTTGTCTATTTCTTGAACAATTAAGGCCCTTTCAAGGATATTTTCCTTTATTTTTTCAAAAATTTTAATCTTAATATTTTTTCCATTTTGAATTATGTTCTTCTCTTTCTTCAAATGCTCATGTGATAACAACAAATCCTTATCAACTAACTCTATTTTTAGATTAATTTTTTTATCATGAAACTTTTCACAATACAGTACCGGGAAGCAAAAAAGTACAAAGCAAAAAATAGCAACTAATACGTTAAAATTTCCCATATTTCTATACTATTTAATATTCAAATTAATATAACGTATAATTTGAAAAAAAAAAAAAAAAAATGCATATTAATCTGTAGAACAAAATGCAATAAGGAAATACAAAATGCACCTTTTGTTATTCGAGGCTCTTGTAAAATTGTGTCTTATTTTATAGACTTCTTAACATGTATGTAGGAGCCGTTTAATCAAATAGTATATTTTTTTAATTTACCAAATAAAATGGAGATTATGTTTTATTTATTTATAATTTTTTTTTTTTACATTTTATTTAAAAAAAATATATATTTAAATTTTTCTTTGTATTATTTATTAAATCAACATTTTAATTTAAAAATGTGTAAAAAGAAAAAAAAAAAGAATAAACCTATACAACGTTTTTTTTTTTTTTTTTTTTTTTCTATTATTACCCCCCAAATAGCTACAAAAAAGTGAGGATACTGTAGAAATAAAGCTAAAATATGGAAATTAAAATGTAGCTATTTTAATTAGTTACATGACCTTTTCAGGACAAATTATTTTTAATCCCATTTTTTTTAAAACATTTTTGGAAAGTTAGCTAGCCGTTTTGCGTTATTTCACATCATTGAGAAAAAAATGTCTGAACAGTACAGAATGTAATTTTTACTCACGACATTTTAGCTGTTTTTTTTTTTTTTTTTTTTTTTTTTTTTATATTTAGCATGAGAGAAATTCTGTATTTTGTGTGTAGCTTAAATAGTGCTACATTATGTACTTTCTCCTTATTTGATGTTTTAGGGAAAAATATAAAACTCAAACACTGAAACATTTTATGTCTCCCGCTTTTTTGTATCTCTATAAAAGGGTTGCACATTCTTTTTTTATTCAAGTGTATTTGTACAAAAATTGTTTTGTAATTTTAGATACATAATGTCAAATTAGCATAAATAGTGTAAGACAAAATTAAGGAGCAAAAATTCTAAAATCTTGTTTGTCTATGGAGAAACTTAGAGAAGATACAAATTGATTTAGCACCTTAATGTCACAGCTTGCAACAACATGACACTTTGAGAATGAACTAAAATTTAATTTTTTTGCACAACTGTGTGTAAATGAAGATAGAAGATCTTATATTGTGATAAAAAATGAAAAAAAAAAAAAAAAGTAGCAAGACAAAAAAAAAAAAAAAAATATATATTTCGCTACATGGGTATTCCGATGATAATCTCCTTAAACAGATCTCCCATCTTTGAATGAGAAATCCAAAGTGATATTCGTGTATATAATCCCTCTATTAACCGAGAATTGGACAAGTTTAAATCTTCATCCCAGCTTATCATTTTTAATGCATAATAGTGTTTTCAGGTAACAATCTGTGTTAAAAAGTAAATGAGAAGCGGGGTATCTATTCTCCTTTGAAATGTTAAATGTCACCACAACTTTGATTTACTTTTGCAAAGAGGTATTGCTTCTTCCTATATGTTAAACCTTTAACACTATACGTATTTTTCAAACGTTACCATATAATAATCATTATAATGCTTCATTATTAAATATTCAAAACTCTTATTATTAATTGATGGTTAGGATTTTTTGAGACAAATTATTGCGAAATTAATTCAAAGCACAAATAATTCTTAATATATTTTGTATTCCATGAACAACTATGTTTTATGAACACGTATGATGGAAAAAAAAAAAAAAAAAAAAAATCACGTATTAATTTACGTAACAGATAAATATCCCAAAACAAAAGTAAAAAAAAAGAGGGGACAATTTTCACCATAAATGTAGAAACTTCTAACAGTGCAGTGAATTAATTAGAAATGTATTTTATACCAATTTGTCTAGGCACGTGCTGTTTATTATTAGTGATATTTCTTCATTGCATCATGTACGTGGTCCTTTATAGTAAGACACATATCTTTTGATGCCGAACCAAAAGCTTTGTTTTTTCCCCCTCCTGAATGACCCTCAACGGAATGCATTATTTCTTTCATAAAAACATCTGCCTGTATATTTTTATCTCTCAAAGAATCCTTTATTTCAAAAACACAATAGGTATTCCTTTCATCCGAGATGATAAAGAAATAACTACATGTTTTGTTATGCTTACAATACGATTGGATGATTTTTTCTAAAACCTTTTGATTTCCAGATAGTTCATCAAAAAACTTGATATCTAAAATAATACCATTTTTTTCTTCTAGGGCATAGTCTTTACCAATATTGGATGCCCTATTAAGCAGTTCCTTCTGAATATTTTTCGTACTTTCGATAATATTTTTTTCAATTTTGTCTAAATCCTGTATTATTTGGTTTTTCTTAAGATATGGTAAAAACTTATCTTCCTTTAAAATTCTCTTATACATTTGTACATCGGTTAATTTATTCACATTAGGGTCATCAAAAATGTGTTTATATTTGGCATACAAATCGTCGAATTTTTTTTCTATTTCTTCTGCTTTTTTATTCGTCACTGCACTGATACGGTAAATTCCTTTTCCAATACTTTCCTCCGATGTTATGATAAATTTTTTTATATATTTTGTGTTGGCAATGTGGGTACCTCCACACAATTCAATGGAACACAAATAAGAGTAATTCACATCCAAGTTTTTCAAAATTTTATCAACATCATTATCTATAAAAACTACATTCACTATGTCTGCATAATCTTCCTCAAAAATGGCTCGAATTCCTTTAATTTTTTTACTTTCTTTCAAATCCATAGTTCGAACAGAAACATTTAATGATTGTTTTATCAAATCGTTAACTTCCATTTCTATTTTGCTAACCAATTCCTTCGTTATATTTTCAATAAAGGAAAAATCAAATCGCAATTTTTCATCATCCACTAGAGATCCCTTCTGATCACAGTTAAAAATAGAGTTCATGTTCATCATTGTTTGATTCTTCTCCTGTGTGTTCTGCATGGAATCCCCATTGTCCACATTTCCATTTGTTTTGTCACCAGTCTTATGAATATAATCTGTTAAAACCTTTTTTATGACAAAGTTAAGCAAATGGGTTGCAGTGTGGTTACAAGCTATCAATTTCCTCCTGTCAAAATTTATCACAGTCTCTACAGAATCATTCTTTCGAATACATCCCTGTAGGAGTACACCAATATGGAGCACATAATCATTAGTTTTTTGTACATTCATAACTTGGAATTTCATTTTATCATTTTGAATATATCCAGTGTCATATATTTGTCCTCCATTTTCATAATAGAAATTTGTTTCCTTTAAAATTAAAGCATATTTTTTGTCATTATTTGGTGATTCAACAGCATCGAGAAATTTCTCTCCATCGTATATAATTTGTACATTTGTTTCTACCTTCATCATATGATTTTCTCTTTCATCATTGTTCCATTTATACTTATGATGATCCTTTGTGGCATCTACGTTATGCACCATTTTCAACTCGTGTGCCTTTTCCACTGGGAGATCAAAAAATTTATTAATTTTAAAATTGTTTGTATCTGACACTAACTGATGTTTCTTAAATAAGTCATTAAATTCTGTCATATTTAATTTGAAATTTTTTTCTTCACACATAATTTGTACCAAATCAATGGGGAATCCATACGATGTATACAAATCGAATGCATCCTTTCCGCTAAAAGTTTTCTCTCCATCTGTGTTGCTATTCTTTTTTATAATCTTATGAAATTGATCCACACCTTTCTCTAACGTTCTGTTAAATACCATTTCTTCTTGTTTAATAGTATTTTTAATATAATTTACTCTTTCTTCATTTTGTAAATCTGTAAAACAATTTTTTAATATTTGGCACACTGAATCTACTAATTTGTAAAACCAGAGAACGTTACTTTTTATTTGAAATATTTGCTTACCTACTCTTATTGCTCTTCTTATAATTCTCCTTATCACATAATTTCTTCCTTCGTTTCCTGGGAGACATCCGTCACTAATCGCAATTGTTACACATCTGATATGATCACTAACAACTCTGTACGCATAATCAATTCTGTCTACATCTTCTTCATTTACTTTCCCTCCATATTCTGGAAGATAATTAAAAAGTTCTTTTATTTGCTTAAAAATTGGAATGAATAAATCGGTGTCATAATTACTATCAACATTTTGCAAAATGGATGTTATTCTTTCTAAACCCATCCCTGTATCGATACATGGGAATGGTAATTTGTTCATATTTTTTTTTTCATCTTTATTATATTGCATAAAAACAATATTCCATATTTCTAAAACACTTGGATCATCTTTATTTACCAAACCAGATGCATCTCTATTACCAATTCGATCATAATGAATTTCTGAGCAGGGACCACATGGACCAGTTTCTGCCATTTCCCAGAAATTCTCTTTCATACCAAATGGTAAAATACGTTTTTCATCTACATATTTTAACCATATTTTTTTGGTTTCTAAATCTTCTGGGCAAGTAGCTAAATTCTTATCCCCACCAAAATATGTTACATATAATCTATCTGCGTCTATTTTATATACATTTGTTAACAAATCCCAAGCATAATCAATACTTTCTTCTTTAAAATAATCTCCAAAACTCCAATTACCTAACATTTCAAAAAATGTATGATGATATACATCTTTACCCACATCATCTAAGTCGTTATGTTTCCCTCCTGCTCTTATACACTTTTGTGTGTCTACAGCTCTTTTCAATTTTCCTAGATCACTATTTTTATCTACTTGTCCCAAAAATATCCTCTTAAATTGATTCATTCCTGCATTTGTAAATAACAAAGTGCTGTCATTGTATGGTATAACAGATGCACTTTCCACAACAGTGTGATTCTTATTTTTAAAATAGTTTATGAAATTTCCACGAACTTGTTCTGAAGACAAAATTGGACTCATTGAAAATGGAGCTGATTTAATCGACATTCCATTTCTGTTTACACCCGTATTTAATACTTCCACATCCCGATCCATCATTAACTTTTTCTCATAATCCTCTTTTTCCTCATTGTGCCTTTTCTCTAATTGATTTTCACCACTCCCATTAATCATCTCTCTACGTGTTTGAAATTCTATTTTCTTACCTCTGATTAACTTATTTAACTGGTAAACGTGATACTTCACACTTCTGCTTGTAGAGGTGATATATGCAAAGCTTCTCAAAAATGCTCTTCTGATACTTTTCCCGTTTCTGCTGCTGTTTGTACTTTTTACTTTTCTGAGTAATCCTGCAAGATGTGTTTTTTTTCTTATGTTGATAAAAGGCATACACAAATTTTTTTTATTCTCTTTATTTAAAAATAGGGGGGATATATGCATAAAATGAAGATTAAACAAGCTAATTATAGTCAATGTGTCTATATGTTTATCCCTCGTGTGTAATTCAAGCACTACGTTGCAATTCCCCTTTGGATTCTTCAAATTTATTTTATATTTAAAAAGGTAGGGAGATGATCTTTGTTTCTTATCGGAATGGATGAATTGGTGGGGGATGATGCAACTCAAGGAATTACTTCTGATGTTACCAAACTTTGTATAGTTAATTTCTTTCCTACGAGGAAGAAATGGATTTATCCAAAATTTTCGAATTCTTATATGTCCCTTATTTTCTCTGATTCTCAAAATGAAAAATAAAAAAAAACTGACGCAGAAGAACAATTGTCTCATATATATACATATATATATCGACTAACTAGTTGTTCTATCTGATCTGTGGGAATACATCTTGTATGCACAGTTAGATGTTCAACAGGATTTAAATATACTGCTTATCCTCTTGCAAATCTAACTATACTTTTTTTCCTTGTGCTCATGCACTTTATAGTCACGCAACTAATATGTAACCAAGCATGCGTTCATGTAATGAAAAAAAATGATCAAAAGAAGATCATAAAAAAATGAAAGAAATGTTCGATAGAGGACGTGAGTAGAAAGTTCAAAAAAAAAAAAAAAAAAAAAAAAATGTAGCTTCGTAAACTTCTGAAATGCCACCTCTATGCTAGTTCCACTGTTGTCACATAAAATTTCGCCACTTGCATGAGATATATTTAACGGTGGTGAAACTTTAATGAAAAATTGAAAAGGTTTTAGAATTATCTTAATCACCTGAAAAATAATATCAAAGTTGCACATATATTGTGTGCTTGTGCTCATAATGTTTTACATTTCTCTCATTCATATATATCAACTTCATAAATGTGTAGCCCCCAGATGAAATGCCAATTGGAAGGTTAAATACAAGAATTAGGGTTCCAGAATAGTTAAATAATAAATTACAAACTACAAATTGCAGAACAGGTTAAAACTGGTATACAGAAGAATAAGGAGCATGAAATGCTAGTGAGATTTTCCTTCATATGTGAATTATTTTTCTGATGCTTTTCAATTATTGGGAATATCTATAAATTTTTTTTTTTTTTTTTTTTTTTTTTTTTATAGCACTTTTGAAAAAACCTCTCTACCATTTTACAAAAATATAGCAATTTTTGTTATGAACAAATCAAATCTTTTGCCATTCACAAAGGAACTTGGAGGAGGTAAAAAGTAGCATTATGTGTCATGGATGTAAATTGCATATTTATGTAATATCCTCAATTGTACCTAATTGGCATACTCCAAGAAATTCTTTATTTTTAAAGTACCCTCAAATAAAGTGTGCACAAAAGTGAGAATATAAAAATGTATACCTAGCACTTGATCCTACCTAAGTTTACCACAAAAAAAAAAAAAAATGTTTGCAATTTTGCACAGTATATGTTCCATCCATAACTTGCTAAATATATTTTCTACCATGCAGGTATGTTCTTTTTTTTGCCCCTCCGTTTGCAGGTCGGGTAACGATTATAAAATGAAGAAGTACGTCACATCATTGTTTTTTGTTTCCTCCTCAATTGGGAATAATTATACATATATGAGTATTGGGAATTTTAATTTTTTAAACTAGAATAGGTACAAAAAAAAAAAAAAAAAAATAATTTTTTTTTTTTTTTCCTCTGAAAAATGGAAGAGCAAATTAAAATTTGTTAAGGGGGTAATATATAAACAAAAAAAAAAAAAAAAAAAAAAAAAAAAATACAGAAGAAAAAAGAAAAAAAAAGAAAACAAAATCAACACGTGCATGTATTTTTTTCACTTATATGTAGAATATATAGGGGTTAAAAACTTAATGAGAAAACATGTATATGTGCCAAAATAACAAAAACGTTAATGTATATCCAACTGAACAATAGCCAGTGTTTATACCTTTACCCTATAAAATGAACATGGATTGACTTGTGAACTTATTGGAGGAGAAGAAGAAAAAGAAGTAGAAAAAGGAGTAGAAAAAGAAGGAGAAAAAGAAGGAGAAAAAAGAGAAAAAGAAGGAGAAGAGCACATCCGCTGCATACATATATACATGTAAGAAAAAATCAGCGTTCAAGACCAGGGCAATTTGCACCTCACATAATTGCTGCATCACAACGGTCCTATAATGCAAGAGTACAAATAAAGTGAATTTTGTGATTACATAAAATTTCCGTACGACAACAACCCATTTGAACAGAGCTTTCAAATAACTAGTACCCCCACCCACGTCCACACCACTCATTTTTTATTTTTCTGAACGAAAATGCCAAAGTCTAAGAGAAACATTACCATATCGTTAACCAAGGTAAAAAAAAAGTTGAATAAAAAAGAATTGAAGGAACAGAAACTTTCCGAATTGAAAAAATTTATTGAAATCCCCAATATTTTTATTTACGTTTTGGACATTAGAACATGTTCTAATAATAACTTGAAGCAGGCCATCGAGTACTTCAAGCCAGACGGAAAGTAAGAAGCTAAATTGTGTTTGCACTTGTATAAGCTCATATACAGTTCGTGAGGAATACATACATATATATATATATGTATACTCGCCCCATGGCAATTCTAAAAACATAAAAATGAACGCAGAATAAACTCATATCTGCATGTGCATACATACCTTGTATAAGCCTCTGAACTTTACACGACATGACTTTAACTACATATTAATACGCCTTATATATATAATGCAGATTTTTTATAGGGAAAAATAAATTAATGAAAGTGGCCCTCGGAAAAAACGAAAAAAGTGAATTCAAACCGAATGTCTTCAAGGTGGCTGAGGTAAGTATCATCGCATAACCATTACGTGTTCCACATTTTTTTTTTATTTTATATATTTATTTTTTTCATTTTTTTTTTTCGTGCTGATATGTAAAAACATTTTCCCACATAATGAGTTATTTTCAGTATAGTTATAAACGCCAGTCTCATTTGTACCACATTCAAATTCCATTTCGAGATGCTAAACTTTTCAATTTCCTAACGCCATTTTTAAAACTCATATCACCATTCCCTGTTTTCAGCTCCTTGTGGGGAATAGAATTCTCTTAATTACGAAAGATGCACCTCTGAAAGTCTTAAAATTTTTCAACGAATTTCAACCTGAAGAATACATAAAACCAGGAAATATATGCACACAAGATGTGACCTTAAAATGTGGAGATGTATTAGATGTTCCTGTTTCTATGCAGAAAGATTTACAAAAAAGAAAACTAAATTTCGATATCATTGATCAAAAAATTATTTTACGAGAAGATAAAATATTAGCAGAAAAAGATAAGCTTATGAGTGTTGAAAATTCCAAACTGTTAAGAATGTTAAATATGAAAATTTCACATTTTGATATAACTGTGTTGGGCTATTGGAACATGAATAATTTTGTTTCTTTGATGTAGGAAATTTTACACCATTCCATTTTGTTGCGTTTTATTACTATTCCATTTTGTTACTTTTCATACTATTTTATTTACTTTTTCTTTTTTTTTTAGCACAAGTGTGAGAAAAAGAAAGTGGTGACATCTTCATCCATTCGATTTCTCATATGTGTACACAGTAGCACATTTTCTTATTTATTTTTAATTTTTAAGCAATTTTTTTTTTTCTTTTTCTCCACTCTATTTGTATGAATAATCAAACACAATGTTGCCCTATATTTTTTCTTTTTCCTACACTCTATTTGTATGAATAATCAAACACAATGTTACCCTATATTTTTTCTTTTTACTCCACTCTATTTGTATGAATAATCAAACACATTGTTACCCTATTTTTTTTTCTTTTTACTTATGTCATTTTATTCATATTTTTAAATCAGACATGAAAATATGTTGCAAACTAATACGTGTCCGCTTGCAAATTAAGTCTTTTTTTTTTTTTTTTCATTTTTCAAAAGTGTTTAATTACAATACAAACCTTTAAATGAAAAAAAAAAATATATATAATAGAATTATTTGTTCTTTAGAAGAGAGGATAATCTGCAAATACCTGAAATAATTACATACCATGTGCACACATATATATAATATACATATCAGGTGCCGATTTGAAAACAATTTTAAGTCTGCACCTCTGCATGCTTAAAATATTTCCTAACTTTTTAGGACACACTAAAATAATGTGTATGGACGATTAAAAAAATGGAACATATGTATGCATGGAGAAATGTTTACAGGATATACATGAAATGTGTCATAAAATAAGGTGATTGGGAAACCCATTTCACGTGATTATTACTTTCACAAATATATCTACAAACAAAGACAGCGATACACACAGCGGAAAGCACGCTAGTGCTGTTCTAACCAAATGGCAAATCCACCTTTGCTTCACCCTAAACAGTTATCACATTTTCCATCTTAATATCCTCATTCAGCAACTTTTTAAGAAAAGCAGTCATTGGGGGAGGGCCACACATCAAAATGAGTGTATCACTCTTCTCAATTTGCACATTTAATTTCTGGTACTTGAGAATGTACATTCTCAATATTTCCACATTGAGGTATCCTATATTGTTCATTGAGACCTTCTTTGAGTCATCTATGCATTCGTCAACGCTATACACTATTTTGAATCTCTCGAACCTTTTTTCATATTCGTCAAAAACTGGAAAGTATCAGGGAGGAGTGAAGAGGCGTGTACATTTATATAAGTGCGCACGTGTCAGTGTGACTGTGTTTTTTTTTTTTTTTTTTTTTTTTTCTATTTTTTTTTCTATTTTTTTTCTATTTTTTTTTCTATTTTTTTTCTATTTTTTTTCTATTTTTTTTTCTATTTTTTTTCTATTTTTTCTTCATTTTTCTCCCTCTTTTCTCCCTCTTTTCTTCCTTTTTTCTCCCTCCTTTTCGTTGGTCGTAGCTTCACGGACCGACAGCGCATGGGGGTGTGTATCTGTGGAAGCAGTAGTCGAAGACTTACCCGGCTTGAGGAGAATCTCTTCCTCATTTCTATTTGCATAAATGAATGTTATGAAAGGGTGGTTCGTTTCAGTTTCTTTTGTGTCAAAAAGGAGCAAATGTTTTATCAATCGAAAAAAAGGAGTCATCCCAGTACCCCCAGCTATCATTACAATATGCTTTTTATTTTTTAAAGATTTGGATAAATAACTAAATTCATTATTTCCTTTGTAGTCTAAAAGCCCAAATGGTCCAGCTATTTTGACATTATCATTATTATGCATCTTATTTAACTGAATACTCATTTTTCCACCATCTATATATTTCTCATCAGGATTATATATCCGAATCACAAAATGAACAAGTTTATTTTTTTTATCCACATAAATAGGTGTATAACTTCTAAAAATTTCTTTTGAATCATTTTCTCTATCCAATTTATCATTCCATTTACCTTTTATTTTTCCTTCTCGATTTGGAAGATTAAATTTTATATGCTTACATATGTCTAAACCAAAATGAGAATATTTCGATGGGTACGAAAAAATGAAAATCTTTACTGTATTCGTTAATTTTATAATTTTATTAAGCTTCAATGTTTGGTTATTCCCATTCAGAAAGCAAACCTCAGAGGATTTTTCACATTGTTCATCCTTTCTAATTTTAAGTTCTTCATGTTCATTCTTTTGAGAGTAAAGACTAAACAAATCTTCTACTTTTTTTTTATCATTTCTGTTTTTCTGTGTAAAGAACAGAATGAAACTTATGGACATTAACAAAATTGTGACATTCAAGATATTTTTAGAAAGAAAATTCAGGATTTCCCTCAATATCTCCATTTTTCTCCCTTTGGTTCTCGCGAGGTAGTCAGTTGTGAAATGGGTATATATAAATGGTATTTATACGTGTGTGTATATTTCTATACGTGTGTGTATCTATGTACAATTGCATATGTTCTGGCCGTGAGGTATCGGAAGGTCTCACAGAAATACAACCACTTAAGTATGCCTATAAGATAAAATGTAGGAATACATAAAAAATCTGACACGTACACGCAACAAAAACGTGGCAAATGTTCGACAAAACAAATGTTCCTTAAAAAGGAAAAAAATGTAAGGACAAGTGAGAATACAAATGTGAGAACTTACAGTTAGGACAGCCGATGTATTTCTTTTCTTTTTTTTTTTTTTTTTTTTCATGAATGTTTATTTTATTCTTATCATTCTCAACTTTTCCAACAAAATTTTCAGTAAAATGGTAATTTATAAATTCATTTATTTTCTACCAAACACACAAGCGCCTCCTTCCTCCCTCTCTTCACGGGATAAGAAAACTTTTTCTTTTTTTTTTTTTTTTTTTTCTTCACCTTTACAGCAAACTCAATTAGGAAACAAATCCCCCTCCCCCCTTTTTCTTATGAACAAATAAATATGCCATATTCAGTTGTACACGAATATACAACTAATCTGATAATTTTGTGAAAAGCATTCTTATAGGTTTGATGACTTTTTCTATTTTCTACGATAAGGGCCCACAAAATATTTTCACTAATTCCTTTTATTCTACTTTTGAAATTAGCCAAATGGGGGAAAAAAAAAAAAAAAAAAAAAAAAAAAAAAAAAAAAAAACAAATCCACATATACCATCATATGTGTGCATTTTTCAATTATCTTACATGAAATAATGTAGGCATACATATTTTTAAGTTCGCACAATTGATTCAAATCTTTGCAATATTTCTCAATGCTGAACAACAGCACACACATACACAAAAAAAAAAAAATAAAATAAAATAAAAATAAAATAAATAAAAAAAAATAATAATTATAAAATAAAAAGAAAAAAAAAACAATAATTTATACACAATATAACATAGTGTAAGAAAATAAAAGAAATCTGTAACCAACTTCTTCCTAATATATTTTCCCAATTTTTGTTAAGAACTAATATCCTCGCAAGTAAGCATTACAGGGTGAAATTTCGCCCTCACAAGTATAGGTCTCCTCTTCGTAAGTTTCAAACACTGCACAGCAGCGTCAGAAGCAGGTTTAACAATAACCAGGACAGAAAAAAAAAAAAAAAAAAAAAAAAAAAACGATACAACACGACATGATACAAAACATTACGAAACATTACAAAGCACTATGTGACGAAATGCTTTGCACAACATAATCACACGTGCATAGGTAGTGATATGGTAATTATCCCTTTTGATTAACTTCTTCATCTTGCACTTTGAGAATATACCCCTACATATTGCAAATTCCTGTGGGAATAAATCCATAAATTCGTTTCTACACTATAACCATGCTCCCGCCTTGTTATCACTTGTATATATCAAAAGTAATGATCCATTTGTAAGCGAAATGGAGAGGCGTGTTTGCAAATAAACAAATTGAAAAAGAGAAATAAAAAGGGGAGAGGGGGTGGGGGGGTTTATATACAAACGAGTTAATACAGAAATGTTGAAAAATTGATACAACATATATAGCAAAATCGACATATCACACACCTTGACAATAATTCAAACACATATGTACATAAAAACGCCTTAGGAGTACTTAGCAATTTTCCCTAATACATGATCTATTTTCTCCTTTTCCTTCTTCCTTTTACGATTTTTCTTTTTTGAATTTTTTATGAAATCTGTTATTAAATTCATGTAACCCTCATCTCCAACTCGACTGTCTTTACTATCATTTTGTCCTTCCCCATCTTGGTGAAAATTTTCTTTCCCTAACCAATCAGCGCTGCGAGTCTCATCTGAACTGGCTACTTTATAGTCCTCATGGAAACCTCCCTCGTCTTCCATATCCTCCGGATCCTCCTTCTTTTCGTTCTCTTCTTCCTTCTCTTCTTCGTTCACTTCCTCTTCCTCTTCGATCTCTTCCTCTTCCTTCTCTTCCTCTTCCTTCTCTTCCTCCTCGTTCACTTCCTTCTCTTCCTTCTCTTCCTCCTCGTTCACTTCCTTCTCTTCCTTCTCTTCCTCTTCGATCTCTTCTTCTGCTGCCTCCTCGTTTTCGCTATCTCGCGTGTGCGACTCTACAGTTTGGACGCTTTTCACCTTACCTACAACTTTCTCCTCTTCCTCCCTTTCATCCCTTTCCTTTGACGTTGTCAAGATATCTTTGAACATTTCTTTGGCCTTGAGGTACTTCTTACTATTCGTACTTATGGTCTTGGTTTTCTTATACTCCTTAAGCTTCATGAAATTCTTTATATAACTATTATACACAGTAATATCATTCTCTACGAGCGCATCTAATATATTTTTTTTTATGTCGTCAGATCCTAATTTAAAAAAGGTAACTACTGTGTGAGCCCCTATGTAATGGCTGGCTATTTTCCCATACTCATTTCTAAATATCAGGATGAAATTTCTCAAATACTTTTCATTTATCAAATTAAATGTGTGTGCAATTTTTTCACAAAGAATGGACAAATTCTTGTCACAACAAAAGTATAATAAGATGTTTCCTCGCAATTCTGTGTTCTTTCGTACGAATGGTTTGACTTTCTTCCTCACATCATTCGCAGTGCTTTTTCCACCTGATCTGGTTTGATCAGGCCACGCATTATTTCTCCAACCTACTACTACCTTCTCCTTACTTTCAGTATTTACATCTTTTTCTCCCTCTTCCTGAGTTGGATTGTCAGCCCCACCCCTCCCCTCTCCTCCCCCATCATGAGTTTCTGTAAACATTTGAACAAAATTATTATACTTTTCAATATCCTTTTCACTAGCTCTATTGGTATTCACAATTTTTAAAAAATTACAAAATTGCTTAAACGAATTTGTTACAGGAGTAATGGAATCTCTAGGAAAAGACAAAATGTGTGTCATAATGTAATATCCATTTGTATCTATTTTTATGTAATCATAAAAATTATAATTGTTTAAGTTGGATTTGTCAATTTGATGCTCTTCAATTGACAATTTTTTTCTCTCCTCATTGAACATGTCTCGAAGAATGGGATGAAGATCTTCGTGCCTTCGCATGCACAAGATGCATATCCAAAGAAATTTCCATCCCGAATTTGTCGCACCAGAAGTGCTACCAATTGCAGTTCCATCAACTTGCAACCATCGTAGCAACTTGTTCAATAACAACTTACAATTTCTCTTGTAAAACTGAGACAAGTCGAATAATCCCCGCAACACATTGAATTTTTTCCTACGAATTATCATATCAATGTCTATATTTTTTATTAACAAGTCAAACATCTCTTCAGTAATATATTCCAGAGTGAGGTAATTATTCATAACCAAATTGGAGTATGCATTATCACATACTAAACTATTTATATTTTTCAATATATAAACATTAAAAACATAAAAAATGGGTTCACTATTCATTTTAAGCATCTTTTCAATCATTATACTTGGACCATCTAACTTAATCAAAATACTTAACATCTGTTTTAGTGGACTTTCCTCATAACATTTACAATTCTCCCGTGCTTGGTTAATAAAATATTTTTTCGTTTTATCTATTAATAATATTTCACTTAATAATTTATTGCATTCTATATTTTTCTCCCTCAAAAGCTCAAACAGCGTTCCTAATGCAGGAACAGAATATGTGTTATACAGCAGTGGAGGGATCAAATGCTGACTCAAACTTTCCATAATATATTTGTTCTCTCCAAATGTTTTCCTCTCCTTTTCGTTATGACTACTGTCCTTGCACACGTCATGTGCATCACTTCTTCCGTTGCCATCACTTCTCCCGTTTGCATCACTTCCTCCGCTGCCATCACCTGCATGGCTAATCTCCATTTCATCATAAAACACATACTGATAGAGTAAATTTTTTGCGGATAGAGATACCCTCGGGTTTACTATTTCCTCTGTTACCTTTTGAACAATTATGTTCATATACTCATATAACATGGCATTATCACCAGATGTGTTGCTTCGACAGTTTCCAGCATACCCTTTATCCATATACTTCAATTCTGTTCTAGTGTTCGTACTTCTAATTTTAGATTTTCTAAATGATATATTGGATATACTAATATTTAGATAGCCACATAAAGAATACATAAATGATCTTAGCACATGTGTACCTGATTTATGTAACATTAAGGGAAAGATATTCTCTGTTGTGACATTACAAATTTCTTTAAAATATATGCACATCTCTTGATAGTTCCTATTTCTATTTTTCATTTCATCTATATATTTCTCTTCAAATTTTTTAAAAAAAGTGTATACACATATAACTGTTTGCACAAAATGAGACCCATAACTAGACGTTGCTAGATGTAGATAATCAGAGCAAACAACATGCAGAAAGTGGTTATAAATTTCTAAACACTGAATACTTATTTCATTACTTCTTGTGCTTATTTCATTACTTCTTGTGCTTATTTCATTACCTCTTGCGCTTATTTCATTATTTTTCATATCTTTTTCATTACATTTTAATAAAAAGAAACAATAATATATTATCTTTTCCATTATCTTCGAACACTTTCTCTGATTTATTAATTCCTTTTCATTATTTTCTATTTCGTCTTTTATTTTTATTAAAATACATATATCATCCTCCAAATTGTAAGAGTAATTCAAATTTATGGCACCAAAACATTTATTTCCTTTTTTTAAATTCTCTTCTTTCAATTCGTAAACAAAATATTTCTCATATTTTTCATTCAAAATATATGAAATGTTATTTAAGTATTCCACAATTTCTTCAACATTTTTTGTTTCCTTTCTCTTGGAATTCTCATTGTTCCCTCTGAACCTCCCATTCTTATCATTCCTAGTTGTGTTTCTTCTATTATTGAAATACTTCCATTTCTTGCTATTTGTGTTCGCCCTGAACCCGTTCATTGTTCTTTCATTCGTCCTGATTGATCTTATATATGATCTTTATAAAAAAAAAAAAGTTCAATATTATTCTCCTCCTTTTTATTATATATACATATATATAATATTATCTGCAAAAAAAAATATTGCCTACATACATAATGGTATTTTATTATATATGGCATACCCCAAAAAAAAAAAAAAAAAAGAAAGAGGAGGGGGGGAAGGGGAATTTTTTCTTTTCCTTCTTTTTTTTTCCCCAATTATTTTGTGGCACAGTTGTTCAAAAGAATGAAAAACTTTTTAAAATTGGATATACATATATATAAACAATATATATATGTATATTTGCATGTTTGTACATTTGTATATATACTGCTGAAGCATTAAAAACTTTATTCCATTTTTTTTATCGACTTGAATAAAAAAAAAAAAAAAAAAAAAAATTATGTAAGGAAAAAAGAAATCTTCTACGATTTTCTTCTCCTCTTTTTTTTTTCTATTTTCCAACATATTATTTGTTGCTAAAAAAAAAAATATATCATTTAAACCGTCTCTGTGTTCACCTATTTCTTTAGCACCGTTCTTTATATAAAATAATTTGGGAGCAGTTCGATATTTTGTCGTCCATACTGCTTCTTGTCGCTTCTTTGACCATATGAGTATAAATGTTGTTGCACTTTTTATTTTGTGCTTATTATTACAATTTGCTCCAGTTTGCTTGTTCTGTTTTATCCTTATTTATGTTATTTTGCTCGTTTTTGTTTTATATATTTATTTTTTCTTCACTTTACAACATACTTTACTCGTTTTCGCCATTTAGGAAGGGGGGTGGTCTCCACACCCCTCAGAAATGCCACGAAAACAATTCTCCAAGTTAATAAAAAAAAAAAAAAACACACAGTAATTTTAACCATCCCCCCAAGGAAAAAAAAAAAAAAAAAAAAAAAAACAATAAAATAAAAATCACACTTCCCACAAGATAGATAAAAAAAAAAAAAAAAAACTGTAAGTGATGTTTATTTTATTTTAATTTATTTTTCAAACTGAGGAGGAATACAAAAATTAGCGTATGAGAAAAAAGCATTTCTAAAAATAAAAAAAAGAGATCTATATTTTCTTATACGAAGAAAGAACACATGTTGTATTATATATGTCTTCTTCTGCTCGTTTATAATTACGAAACATTACTTCTTTTCTTTTTTCATACTTCATTTCACACCCAATTAGAAAAATGCTGTTCATCATACATGTATGAAAACGTGAAAACCTTTTGATGCTATAGGTTATTTATTTTAGAACATTTCTCCATACCACATGTATAAATCTGTCCAAATATAAAGCATGTCCAAATATAAAGCATGTCCAAATATAAAGCATGTCCAAATATAAAGCATGTCCAAACATAAAGCATGCTCAAATATAAAGCATGTCACATTTTATTTTTATTATATTTTATTTTCTCATAATTCGGAGAACAAAGCATTCAAAAAAATTCCCTAACGGTTCATAATGTTCTTTTTATTTTTCGCCAAATTTTAAAAATTGAGAGTTATGAAAAAATGCCCTTGGGGGGATACATAAATAGGAGAAATGAGAAAAGTGCGAAAATGGGGAAAGTGGAAAAATGGGGGAAAATAGGAAAAATAGGAAAAATCGGGAATATAGGAAAAATCGGCAATATAGTAAAAATCTCTTTTTACTCCAATTTGAGTCCCCCATAAGTGTATGATATAAACACAAAGTAAGAAAAGTGCAACGAAAGGATATGCTAAAGTATGTGCCAAATTTAGCATTTATACAAATAACATTCCAACAAACCACCAAGGCCTACATGTCCATGCATACGCTGTATAGCCTATTTTTATTTTTCATAATTTTCTACCAATGTAAGTTCTTCCAATGTGTAAGATCCGCTAATGTAAGCATATCTTTTAATTATTATTTTTCTTGAAAAAGTCAAGAGCTAAAAAAAAAAAGACATTTTTTATCATGGAAAAATTTATGCATGACCTGCTCTGAATTTCCCCCCCCCCCCAAAAGCCCCTCTGTGCCCAATGTAGAAATAACTTTCCTCAAAAAAAAAAAAAAAAAAAAAAAAAACGGGTACATAATACTTGATACAAATAAATTGGGACAAGTATTTTGAGGTAGTTCACTCATATTATACCCACGTATACAAATTCTAAAAATAAGATGCTAACAAAATGGTGAGGGGTAAGTACACCAGTTATGAATCACATTTTTTTTTTTTTTTTTTTTTTTTTAAAGGATCCCTTTATTTATTCTTTTTTTACATGAAAAAAAATAAAATAATTTAGAAAGCACGAATTCTTAGAAGTCTCCATATTATTTTCAATAAAAAAACAGGAATGTGGAAATGTAAAACGGCAGCATATGGGTAAAGTATTCCTGAGTAACACGACACTCTCTGTATCCAGCTCCTTCTCTTTCTCTTTTTCAGTCTCTCTCTCCCTCTCTCCCTCACTCCCTCTCTCTCTATTTAGTGTACACACTGCTTTATAGGCATACATACGGTATGCTAAAGAAATTTCCCTGAAGGCAAAATGCTGCGCAGAGTAACTTCACTTCTTATATATTCAACTTTATTGTGCAGCATAATCCTCATTCCACATGTACACAAATTTAACTGTAGATATATGGGGAAAGACTATTTGCAGGATTTATTAGAAACAGGTATATTTGAAAAAAACACAACAAGAATAAAAAAGGAAGTATATGAAAATATAAACCACACCCATTACAAGTATTCATTATGTAAAACATGCATAAAATTGATACAACTTATAAAAAAAATAATTAAAAATAAAAAAGAGACATATGTAGATATAGCTATAGAGGACACATTAGAAATTAATTTATGTGATTCAAAATTGTGGCATGAACATTTTAATTACGACGAGTTATTGTATAATGAACATGTTGTTGAATACTGTAAAAATACTTTAAAAATTATTAAAGAAAAAATAGAGCAGTTTATATATCAATTATATGATCAGGAGGAATTATTTTATCAAAAGGTTTGTCTACACATTAATCAAATTTGTAAAATAGCCATTCAAGAAGAACAAAATAATTTCAGTAACTCTGCAAAAATTAAATTAATATACGAGGTTTATTCCGATTATTTAACTGCAGAAGTAGGACCTTATCATTTCCACCAAACTCAAAACCACACGGGATGTATCTCCATATTTTTATTTCTGTGCACCTTAATTTTTATACTACATAATATAATACTACGGAGAAATTAATTCTATCTTTTACACGCCTCTCGTCACTGACACCATCACTTAATTTTTATTTCATTTTTTATTTCATTTTTTATTTCATTTTTTATTTTATTTTTTATTTTTTTCATGTTCTTTCATACTATCATTTAACGTCTGAGTTTACATAATACTGAATATCACACGTGTCCTAACACTTTTTCAACACCACAATGTAGGAAGAATTCAATAGAACGAGCAAAGGAATGCCATATAAAAAAATTGGAAATGACAAAGACTCAAAATTAGCACTCAAAAGAACAAATTATGCAATTGTCCAATCACAAATTAGGACAATGTACCAAAAGAAATTGTCTGACGATTTTGAAAGTAACAAATTCAAACTAATCAAAATTAGCAAGGTAAGTCATAAAAGGGGAAGTAATCCATAAGTTCACACATGTTCGTGTATATTCATATGAAGGTTTAAACTAATACTACAACTTTACTAATCTCTTATTATATTTGCTTTTTTTTTCTTTTTATTCCTTCCCTATTTATACACGGATTTTATACGCAGCTTGATGATAATGTACTAGAAGTTTTCCTGGGGATGCGAGAGCAAAACATGTTTAAGTTCTTGTTTTATTGTGAATTTTGCAAAGGTGCAAAAAAAAAAAAAAAAAAAAAAAAAAAAATCAATAAAATCAATAAAGTTGATAGAATCAATGAAGTCAATCAAATCAATAAAATATTCACAAACATGCACGCGAAAATCCGTCAGGTAGCATGTAAATTTAACTGCATATCCAAATCCCACTTACAATAAGAATTTTTTTCCCTATGCAGATCCTATTCTGGAAATTAAAATTAAAATACACCGAGCATTGGACGATTCAGATATTCTTCTTCAGAATTACGAGAATGATTTAATTACAGATGATAACAATTTTTTGTTATATAAACAATACACTATAAATAAATTATAAAAATTTTTAGAAGATTGAACTTACAAGTGCATAAATGTTTCTTCAAATGGTACGTACGTTTCTGTAGACGTCTCAAGAATTAGTGTTTCAGTTTACCCAGATTTACTAATATTTATGGACTGATCCATCCATTTGTTATTTCATTTTTAAGAATGATCTTTTTTTCATATGCCATTACATCTTTTTTTAACATTTGAATATTTGTGAAATAATCTTGGTTACCCCAAATGGGCACTCAATCGATGAATAATTCGTGCCTCCAAGTCATTGTATAAATTATCCATCTGAGAAGTTCAAAAAAAAAAAAAAAAAAAAAAAAAAAAAAAAAAAAAAATTATTCCCCTTCGTTCTTTCTTTCTTTTTACTATATACCATGCCACTTTCACGTGTCTCATAAAAATGTGCTAGCAAATTTAGCACAGAGGTATACGTCCCCCACATATTCCAATATAAATATATGTGTACATGTGTGTAAATGTACACATGGTTATATTTCTGACATCACTTTCGCTTTTTGTTTACCATTTTTCTCACTTTTTCCCTGGTAAATGAATCCCTGTAAGAATTGTATTTCTCGGGACCCTTTTTCTCCCGATCTTCTACCTGATTATAGTTTTCCACGCGTTTATACAACTTTTGTAAGTTTTTATTCTTTTTACATTTATTTATTTCGAATGTGGATGGCTCCTTTTGTATTTGAAATTTGTCTAAATACGTTAATAATTCTTTTGCGAATACATCTTCACGACTTTCACCAAATTTCACATCATTTATTTCCCCGACAGACACTACAAAACAGTAGGACAAATATTCCAAAAATATATACATATATATGTATATCTTTCTGCACATAAAGAAACCAGCTCAAGCATCTTTAAATGGAGAGACGAATATATCACATTCCAGATGACACACAACTGGGAAAACGTTCATATACATAGTCACGGCACGGGTAAGAAGGATACATACGAAAAGGTATTATTTTAAAACGATATGAAAGCTTATGGTTGTGGATTTAAGCTTATGGTTGTGGATTTAAGCTTATGGTTATGGATTTAAGCTTATGGTTATGGATTTAAGCTTATGGTTGTGGATTTAAGCTTATGGTGTTGCTCTATTCATGTTCGTCTTTTTTCTTGAACATTCGTCGGAGCGCGTAAACTTAGGTTTTGAATTTCATTCTCTCTTTTCTTGTCACATACAGTTGACTAATTCCCTCACGTGGTCCCTCCCTGGGTGTGTGTCCAAAGTGCAGATCAAGGCATCTTCATTGAAACAAATCTCTTCAGCCATTTCAAGCTGATCGAATTCGTCATCCTTGCCCTCAAAAGTTATTTGATAAATAGGACGGAAAATAAACTTGTATAAAAAAAAATGTTTAAAAAATGTATTTAATGTATACTTCATTAATAACTTAAGCGAGGAGTATGAAAATACTTTGACATAATTTGGTGATCTGTTGATAGAATGGTGTAACATAATATTTTTGAAATATGAAAAAAGATTAACAACATTGTCATTGCCACTCACAAATTTAAAAAAAATGTTTTTCTGAATGGACATATACGTAGATATTTCAACAACAGACAGGTTTTTTTTAATGCAAAATATTAAAGTGTTGTAGAAAAAGTCGTACAATATTTTTTTCATTTTTTTTCTTTTCATATGACTCATATGATACACATCACTTTCATTGTCAACACTGCTTGCACTATTTTCTATGATTCCATTTTGTACACTCTGTGGTGAATATCCCTCCCTCGAACTGATAACATTACGATAGATGAACTTCTTCGATTGTTCCATTTCACCATTTAAACCTATTGGTAGAAAGTTATCAATAATTAATTTTATTTTCTTCTTCTTTTCTCTTTTCATGACCATTTCATGTGTACTGTTAAAATGAATGTTCAGCTTTTTTAGTAATGTCATTTTCTGTTTTCTCTTATCATTCATGACTATGATTTTCCTCATATTATGCTTGCTTATATCTGAACATGTTAGAAATTCTTCTACCCTCCTTTTTCCATTTTCATCAATCACTTTATTCATCTTTTCCTCCCCCTACCCAAAAAAAAAAAAAAAAAAAACACACACACACAGGTGCGTAGGTGAAGAAATTTTAAATAGAAAAAATAAAAAAAAGAATACCTTTCTTAATAAGGTAAGTACAGTTTAGATATGCCAACCAAGTAGACAATAAGAATATATTCCATAAGAGACTCCTTCCACATACATATGTACACATGTAAGTATCTTTAGATATAAATTTTTCTCGTGTAATATGGAACTTCACTTCCAATGACCGATATGGTATTATAGGAAAAAAGACCTCAAGTGTGAAACCCGCTTGGGGGTGGGAGTGAGGGGTAAGACAAAAAACTTCTAAACTTTGAATGGACTAAGGGTAATATGTACTGGACAAGTGCACATGTCAGTAGTAAACTTTTTCACAATGTGCAATATCCACCAATTGAAATGTGTGGTAAGTTCTTTTCTCTCATTAAAAGAAAACAATTTAACAAAGCGAAGGAATAAAAAAAAAAAAAAAAAAAAAAAAAAAAAATAATAAATAAGACAAGATAAAATAAGATTAAATAAAATAAAATGTAGTAATTGACAAATTTACCAACCCCACGTTATAAAGTGCATGGAAACTTCCCTTAAAGTTATATATTCATTTTTCCACATCATGAAAAACAATGTCATAGAAAAATGTGTCATACTACTCCAAATTTGCACTTTCAAAATAATGCACCTTAAAATGGACTTTATGTTTGTGCTTAATTTTTTTTTCACTTATCACTCTTTCAATATTCTAAATATATTCAGTTCACAGTTTGTATGTCTCTGTGCAAGGGCTTACACAATGAGGTTTCATATGATTACGCAAATAGTGTACGCACATGTGTGTAGCTCATATGTTCATGCAAAAATTATATAACACTGTGGTTCATTCCATGTGACCCCACAAAATGCATGAGGCTTAAAATTAATGTAGATGAAATAAGAGCGCCTAGAGGCAAAGTATGAATGAGTCAATAAACGAATAAATGGATAAACGAATCGTGGAAGGTGCTTCTTGAAAAAAAAAAAAAAAAAAAAAAAAAAAAGACATATCATGACACGATATGCATTGTGGAATTTTAAAGAAAAATGGACTACGATGTATAAACTAATGTTAGACACATTGCAGCATAATATACTAATAACAGTAAAACTATACAAAAAAGAATTCAATAAAACAATTTACAAATGGGAAAATGCAGAAAAAAAATTAGTAAAAAAATTAGTAAAAAAATTAGTAAAAAAATTAGTAAAAAAATTGGTAAAAAAATTAGAAAAAAAATTAGAAAAAAAAAAAAATTGACTAACGTACAAAATTTGCGCATTAACAGGGAAGAGAAAAGTGATAGGGACGTACCACAACAATAATTAAAATGGGGTAAGAATAATTTTTACAAAAATTGGAATAGTCATCGGCTCTGGATGCAAGTTTAAGAACAAGTCCGCGACAAGTATGCTGCGTTCTGATAAATCCATTCGTACATGTATACATATATATATATATATACATACTCATATACCTATTTCTCACTCCCCTTGGGGTTTACAAACGAATCAATAATCCTTGTTAATAATTGTTATAATAACCGTACTCTCTTCCTCCATATGGGTCTGCTCCATGCCCATTTGGCATATTCAAGTGTGGAGCGGTCTCATCATGTTTTCCTTTCCTTTCGTTTTCATTGGAAATGTAAACGTCATTTTCTTTTTCCCTCTCTCGACTTCTGTATCGGTGTCTATCCCTGTCTCGGTCCCGGTCTCTATCTCGACCCCTCTCCTTTTCTCGGTATCTGTCTCTCTCCCTGTTTTTATCTCTATCCCTACCAGGATCTCCATCCCAATCCTTATCTCCATCTCTGTCTCTTCGTCTATGTTTGTGCTGATGTCTGTCGTTTGACTCACTGTGTCTGCTTCTGTGGTGTCGATCCCGCTTCGAGCTCCTGTGATCATCTCTTTTATGCCGCTTAGCATTTTTGAGCACATCATTCACATCATCACTATCATCATCATTTCTTTCATTATACAAAGCCACATTCTTGTAAATTTCCTCTACTTTCTTCTTATCATTTCTGTATTTATCTTTATTAATCAGTGCTGTCCAATTAATGTTATGATTAATTTTTTTCCTTTCATCTGAACCCCTTGCAGGTCCTTTTCCTCCTCCTAATCTTCTGGGAACCCAATTCTTAACAGTTCTACCTCTTTCTATATCAACAAGGATTCTTCTGTTGTCTATTTTTTTCCCGTCTGCTAAATTATAAGCATCATTAAAACTTTTTGTATGTTCGAATTCGATAAAGGCATATCCTTTAGGTTTAAAATTCTTGTCATAAATTATTTTTACTTTCCTTATCTTTCCATATATTTCAAATTCTTTTTTTAATTTTTTTTCATTTACATCGTATGATAATCTACCAATAAATATCGTCTTTTTTGGGTCGGTAGTTAAATCAACATTTTTAAAAGGATCATAATCTTTTCTCATTTCTTTAAGCATTAATTCATTGTATGTTATTTTCTCCTTTTTTTTCCTTTCTCTTCTTTCCTTTGAATTCTCTAATTTAATTTTTGGTGGAGGTTCTTTATCCTCAAACAAATTTAGGTATTCAAAAACTCCACTATATTCTTTCGATTTCTTCTTCTCAATTGGTTTGTAATAACTTAGTAATGGTCTTGCCTGAAACAGGATTAAAATGTGCGGGGGCATTCCTATAGCCGACATTTTTTCACACCCCTATATATGTTATGTATGCATATATTTGTACGCATATATTTTTATATGCATAGATATATATATGGTTATATCCTCTTCTGCCCATACACATGTGCATATACATATATATATTCAGGATGGGGATGGCAGCAATTCTTTGTTAAAATGAAAAAAAAAATAAAAATAATAATAAAATAATAAAAAAATAAAAAAAAAACAAACAATCAAGCTAGCTGACAGTTCAATCCAATAATAACAATCCTCCCAACAAACTTATTTTTCCTCCTTCTTCTGCCTCCCCCCCCCTCTCCTCCTGGGCTGAATATGTATAAGTATATATGTATACCTTTCACCGTTCCTTCTTCTTCTTCTTCTTCTTCTTCTAACCAATTTCACCACAAAAAGTTGGGATATTAAATCTCATTTATATATAACTATGCTACAATAAGAGAATGTACATAAAAAGGTGAAAAAAAAAAAAATTTTTTTTTTTTTTTTTTTTCATGCAGATACTTTTTTTTTCCCCGTACATTATACTTATATACTCTCCTTTGTAAATTTTTGCATTGTTCCTAAGTCATCACACTAAACTTCAGAGTGTCATAATTATGCTGGAAAATAAAATACCATGCTCTCCATTTCCTTCTTTTATGATATATTACTTGTATTCCTCCTATTAGGTAAATTATTTTAAGTATAATCATATATATGTTGTATATATATTTTATTATTATTTTTTTTTTTTTTTTTTTTTTTTTTTTTTTTCCTTATACCGTTTTATCGAATTCATATATAAATGTAACACTCATATGTACATATCCAAGTACTCCTATACACAAGTCCTGTATATGCATTTTTTTTCACGCCTTCGTCAAAGGTTTGCCCTTATTATATTATTTGTGGCCTTTAAATTTGGTCTCGAGATTTCCGTTATTCTCATTTTCGACTTGGGCTACAGCTCACAATTTTACGGCTCTTTTAATTTTCTTTTCAGTAGGAACCACGATACCCCCCCTTTGGGGTGCAGAAAACTATACCTGCATATTTTTTTTTTTGGAACCTTTATGCACAACTATTGGCAGATTCGTGCAATATAAATACAGTGGTGTTGGGTGACTACAATTTTTTTCAACCCATTTTTATGCTATACATTTATGCATTATCTCATATGGGGTAGTAATATATATTTTCCCTTCTATTATACCCAATATACCATATATATATCTTCACATTTGCATACATATGTGTAAGTATTCTGCGCCACCTCGTGCTTTTACTTTATTTAATTTTATTTGGCTATCTTATTTGGCCATCATATTTGACACTCTTATTTTGCTATCATATTTGACACTCTTATTTTGTTATCATATTTGACAATCTTATTTTGCTATCATATTTGGATTATCTTGATTATTTTATATTTTTTTTTTTTTTTCCCTTTGCTTTTTTCCGACCCCAAGGACAAAATAATATGTACGTATGCATAACCACACTCACTTCAAAGAAAAACGCATAAGCCCCACAACCTCCTCCACACCTTACCTATACCAATTTATGACACACACAAAAAAAAAAAAAAAAAAAAAAAAAACAATTTAAACAAAAGTGGAATTAAAAAAAAACAGCTTAAACAAAAGTGGAATTAAAAAAAAACAGCTTAAACAAAAGTGGAATTAGAAAAAAAACAGCTTAAACAAAAGTGGAATTAAAAAAAAAACAGCTTAAACAAAAGTGGAATTAGAAAAAAAAAAATAACAAAAAACAGTTACTTGAATGAATGTTAAATGATCTCCTCTATTCCCTAAGGAGAAATATACGAATCTGCATGAATGCAGAAGGCGCACATATATGTTTTCACTACCATTACTACTTGCTCATATGTGCATAATATATTATATACACATAATCCCAAAATTGTGACAATTCATTTTTTTACTTTTTTATTTTATTTTTTTTTAATTTTAACCAAACAAATAGATTTCCTTCTAATTATTCGGTACCCAAAAAGAGCTATCAAATATTGATCCTTGTTACTTAGTGAAATAAAAAGAATGTAAAACAAGTGTGTACAACCATAACATGTGTTACGAATATATTTACGTGTGTTTGAAATTATTTAAGGAAAAAAAAAAAAAAAAAAAAAAAAAAAAAAAAAAAATTAAAAATCTGCAACGCATGGTTCTGTAAGTGATGTCGATATACTATTACACCTCTTTTTTTTTCTTTTTCTTACATATATACACGTATTATTTTACAGCTCTATACATACCCCATCATAGCTCTTACCCCTCCCCACGTTAGACATCACTGAAGACATCACTGAAGACATCACTGAAGACATCACTGAAGACATCACTGAAGACATCACTGTAGACATCACTGAAGACATCACTGTAGACACCACTATAGACACCGCTTAACTAATTCTTCTTACCCATGTGCAAAATGAAAAATGAAAAGATAAAATTAGTGAGTTTCGAGGGGGACGAATTCATAGTTGATAAAAACACAGCCTCCATGTCAACGGTTATACTTAACATACTTGAAGGTACCTTTAAAACATTCGTAGAAAATGAAATTCTAATGAACTTAATTACACACATTCTTGCGAAGATCTGGATCCGAATCTTCCAATATGTATGTTTACAAAGGTGTACACTCCTCCCTTTTTGATAATCTTCCATTCCTCATCTGCACTCGTAGTCATGACTCCCGAGGAAGATACCATACCCCTCCCAAATATAAAGACACCGATTTTAAAAAAAATTATAGAATATATGGAATATCATATCAATAACCCAGCTGACGAAATACCAAAACCTTTGATCACTTCCAATCTCCAAGATGTAAGAATGAGATACAAATTGAAATAAGGAAAAAAAAAAAATATATATAAATAAATAAATTCATGATTAAGTTGTTGAATCGGTGCTTTACATGCGAATATTCAAAATATATTTTCTCCATCTCTATTCCTATTTATTTACCCACTGCAAGTTTTTATAGACTTCTGTCGAATAAGACATATATATATGTATATATACAAGTATGTACTTTTTTTTTTTTTTTTTTTTCTTTCTTTTTAACCCCTTTAATATCGACAAAATGCAGGTAGTTTCAAGTTGGGATTTCGATTTTGTAAATACAGATAAGGAAACCCTGTATGAACTTATAGAGGTGCGAATTTTTTTTGAAGATTTATTAGTAACAATATTGACCATGAGGAGAGAGCAACATCAATTGCATCCAGAGGATTTAGATGACCTAATTTCATCCGTTTTATCTATCATAGATATATATGTACCAAATGTCCATATACTTAATAAGTGAGAATATTTATACAACCATGTTGGTCGCACTTATTTTTAGGCTTCCAATTATCTTGATATAAAACCTCTTCTAGATCTAACCTGTGGAAAAATTGCTTCAATGATGAAAGACAAAACTACTGAAGAAATTAGAGCCGAATTCGACATTGTCAACGATTTTACAAGAGAAGAAGAGAAGCAGGTGGAAATAATACAAAAACGAAAAAAAAAAAAATTTTTTAAAGTGTGATAATGGCAGCTGCTTTCCTCGTATACACATCCATAAACAGTTATTCTAGATGATAGTTTTCAAAACTGTCATCATTTTATTGTACACAAATTATCTATAATTTCTTTTTTTTCACCATTATGTAGATACGAGAAGAAAATAGATGGTGTGGTGACATCTGACGAGACTATGCTTGACAGAAGTGACGAATGTCTAACGTGTCCTTTATTCAGTACAGATGTGATGATGAGGGGGTCCTGTCGCTAACACATCAACGTGCACACACACACACAAACTTTAGCGAATTGAAGGGATAGAGTACACAAACAAAGTGGTTCTATACACCCACATTAGTACACTTAAGTAGAAGCATGCGTACAACTTTGCACACATATATGTGTATACCTCAATTATGTATATAAATAGAGAAAATTATATTCATTCTCCAGCATGCTCATATTATACTCATCTATTTAAAAATTATTATGTGATTTAAGAATACTATTTTGCTTAATAGATTTATATATTGTTCTTGTTTTTTTAAAAAATCTCACTATATACTTTTTTTTTCTTTTCTTAAAAAATTTTACTATCCCTTTTTTTTTCTTTTCTTAAAAAATTTTACTATCCCTTTTTTTTTCTTTTCTTAAAAAATTTTACTATCCCTTTTTTTTTCTTTTCTTAAAAAATTTTACTATCCCTTTTTTTTTCTTTTCTTAAAAAATTTTACTGTCCCTTTTTTTTTCTTTTCTTAAAAAATCTTACTTATACCCTTTTTTCCTTGTTTTTTCTCTTTTTTTATGCAGTCCTATTTTTCACTCTTAACAATATAAACTAAATCGATAAAAATGCGTTACAGATAGTTTACTAAAAATAGAACAATAGGAAAAATGCTATTATTTGTATATATTACAGGTTACCTTTTTATTTATTCATTTGGTCTATCTCCAGATCGTGAGGTCTCAAAGGACTCCTTAGTAGGGCCTCTTCGACGAACTTCCTGTCTAAATTGCATGATAGGAGGGGATGTTAAGGTGCATAGGGCAATATAAATGATTGTACAAATTTTGTCTACTTTCCTGTGAACAATGAGATAAATTTATCTTTACAAGCAAATTTAAGCATACTTACAAAGACGCTCGAACATGAGGGAAATGCAAAAATGCGTAAACCTTACAAAAGCCAACTGAAATATGCTTATAAAAGTAATGCAAAAAAAAAAAAAAAAAAAAAAAAAAAAAATCGAATGTTTGTGTACGATGAATATTTTCATATTCACGCATGTCCTATTTCGTTTGTACCTTCACCATGTTTTATCCCCTAATTATTTTTTTATTTTATTTGTCTGCAAATCAGAATCACAATTTTTTTTTTTTTTTTTTTTTCACTTCTCCACTTTATCCGTATTGGGTATAAGAGAAAAGGAATGGAAATCACCATAAAATTGCAAAATTGTAATTAATCTTAAATGTTTTATATTGCAGTTGTGTTGGCATATGCAAATGTATGGAACATGTGCCTTATGTACGCATGCTAACATACATGTACGTTGCAATTTTTTCTTTTTTTTTTTTTAAAGATCATTAAATATACGTGCATGTGCAAACATATACATGCACAATCATGTATGAATTTGCACACATCTATATTTATATATGTATATATGTTCATACACATGTATATGTATATGTATATGTGTATATAATGTCATGCCTCTCCATGTATGTCTATTTACGCCTTTAAAAATTAATTTTTTGTGTCCTCACATATACAAGCTGTACACGCATATGAATATGTCTTAAATGTGTGGGTACACCGGTGCTACATATGTAAATATAATGGGTAAAAAAATTAAAAAATATAATCTGAAAATTATAAAAATCTATTAGTAAACATATGTAAAGGCCACTTCTAGTATTCAATGTATGTATGTATTGTATGCATGCATATATGAATGTACTCGCAAAAAAAAAAGATGAAAACGTGAAAAAAATGGGTACGTGAGAAAACGTGGGAAAATCTGAAATATAAAATAAGAGCTTATTAAAATTGGGTCCTCCATATAATAGGTACATGGTTACACACATATGGATGGGCATATGTCTACTGGCTTAATTAAAAGGATTGGTCGAAATTTAATTTTTATACTATACTTGTGCATGTGTATATACCGCACATATATACTACTGTGTATGTGTATATGCATAGATGCACGATCATGTGTTTTTCTGTGTGTGCATGTACATATAACCTTCTCGATGTATGCATGTCTTCATATATGTGTACATATTTATACGTATATGTATGTGTAGGAGGTAGCAGCATTACGCGAACACCTATGCGTTGCTGCATAGGCTCGCATGAAGAGGGTCTGCATAAATAATTAAAAAAGTTACAATAAATTCATTTTCTCATAATTATGAAGATCGATATTCCTTCCTCTAAAAAGGATTGTTATACAGAAGTGCATGAAAACAACAGAGGTAGGCGTAACCCTGACAATGTGTTTTTGTAGATAAACACATGCTTAGTCACTTGTACTAATTTTAGGTCTTGTGTATGACCTTGAAAGCACCTATCCACATTATATACATCTGTACATGGGCACATATAGGAGGAGGGGGGGGGGAAACGAGGATAATAAACTCAGTATATATCATACAGGCACAAACATAATAACAGGAAAACATACCTACATTTACACCCATGCATATATACACATACTTGTACACTTATGAGCCAGTGTTCATACACTCTACAACTTTTAAATCTTCAAAAAAACAAAAAAAATGGGATTCGAGGATTGGACATATACATATATATATATATATATCATGCAACTCGATGTTCAACCTCGGTTCTTCGTAAAGTAAAAAAAAAAAAAAAAAAAAAACTATCAACGAGTGCATGCATAAAAATAAAAAAAGAAAAAAAAATTATATAATAAAAAAAAGAAAAAAAACGGGAAGTGTTGCATCAATGTATATTCACCACCTGTATCTCTCATTGTATATTAATCCCTTAACCCTTCCAAATGTCAATGTCCCTGTTTATATTTCCACATCTCTGCCTCGCCCCACCTCTATATGTACATAGTCCCATATCATCTCTACCATATTTCTCCTTCACCTCAATTCGTTTTTACCCCAATCCGCCTCTGCTTCTGTCTCTGCTTCCTACCCTTCGTTCACTTTATTATTGTGCTCGCTCATGTTTCTCATCTCTCTCATTCTTGCCTTTCGGAGATCCATCGAATGCATCACTTTATTACCTGACCCAAAATTCGCACCAAATGCATTTTTATTGAAATCAAATTTTTGATTCCTGTTATTACCCCCTCCGATGTTGTTCGTGTTTCCATAGTTAGATATCTTACCAAAACCATCTCCACCACTACCATTCTCATTGGTTAATCCATTCCCTTGTCCATCTGCACCTGAACCTAACAAACCACCTTTGTACGCCCTGTTGCTTTTCTCCTCATTCTTGTCATTCATGATATTTCCTTTAAAAATATTATTTTTTACATCCTCATTGCTTTTCATAAACATGTTTTTATTATTACCTGGAACATTTCCTGTTCCCTGGAAATTCATATTCCCCATTTTTCCATTCCCAAAATTTCCTCCTTTCATCCCGTTTGGATTTATGTTATTCATATTCATATTGTTCATATTCATGTTATTCATATTCATATTGTTCATATTCATGTTATTCATATTCATGTTATTCATATTCATGTTGTTCATATTCATCTTGTTCATATTCATGTTGTTCATATTCATGTTGCTCATATTCATGCCACTTGTATTAATACTTCCAGTACCCCCAGAATTATTGTGTGCCCTCATATTCTTACTGTTTCCACTGTTGTTTGTACCAGAGTTTGCCATTCCACCACCTGTGATTGTCTTATCTGCCTCTGCTGCTGCTCCTCCTCCACCTGTATTCCTATTAGCAGAACTAGCAACTCTCCAGTTACTTTCTGTGTCTATATCTTTTCTTCTGAAACCCCTGTCTTCCCTTTTTTCATTTCTTTTCATGTGATTCATATTGTTTCCTTGCCCACCTGTACTGTTATTCATTCCTTTAGTATTCATCATTATATCATCCGCATTATGCATATTGTTATTGTTATTATTGTTTCCAAACATTTTCCCACTTCTATTAAAATTATTTCCTTTCATCATGTTACTATTCTTATCACCAAATTTGCTTTGATTATTATGTTCAACCATTGATGAAAACCTCATGCTACCTGGATGATCTCCTCCTCCTGTCATGTCTAAATTGTGCATTGTGTTGTTCATCATGTTCCTCTGCTGATTGTTCATTCCTTGGACATTCATATGCATATTAGGGTTCATATTAGCATGCATGTTATTCATTGGAAGATGCATCTGCATATTCATTTGCTGTGCCATTTGCATATTCACTGCCTGACCCATCTGCATATTCATTGCCTGACCCATCTGCATATTCATTGTCTGCCCCATATGTTGATTTATCAAGGGTCCCATTTGCATATTCAATCCAGCAGTACCAGCCATTGGCTGACCCATCCTCATATATTTCTTCTGCATACCACTCTTACTCTCTATATTTTCAAGAAAAAATGTCTCCTCATGTTGCAATATCGCTGGGGGAAGGGGAGCTGGGTTCTGTGAACCACGTTTTAAAAAACACTTAAAGCCAATCATATGTTTTCCTTTAAAGCCTGGAAGAATATATGCATTCTTAATGATATGTTCATTATTTTCATTAGGTGCATTATTATTTGTGCCACTAAAATCAGCTGATGATTCAAGCCACTTTTTCTGATTATTCTCATTTTTTTTAATCTCATCAAGCATATTCATTCCAAATTTTTTCTTATCATGAAGACCATTCATTTTCATTTTTTCTAGATTTGCATTATTTAAAAAATTATCATCTCCCTTTTTAAAATCTTTCAATTGTTTTTTTTTCTTATCCTTATCTTTTGATAATTCAGATTTTATTTTTTCCGTCGATTCTAGCAAATCTGGAAAAGATTCATCATCTATTTTTTTCTCTTTCTCTTCTTCAACCTCTTCATTGTTTTTCTCATCTTTTTTCTTCCATGCCGAACCAGCTTGTTTCGAATTGGCTCCTGCGTTCGCTGCTCTTCCTCTAACACTCACACTGATTCCTGTAGTGTACAAAAATATACATCATAAATGAAAATGGTACTTTTCACTAATTCTTTTACACGAAAGGACGTAAAAAAAAAAAAAAAAAAAAAAAAAAAAAAAAAGGCACACCAAGTGGGCTACCGAAATGGATATGAAACTTATTAAACTCAGGAAAAAAAAAAAAAAAAAAAACACGAAAAACAAAATAAACACATAAAACATGCTAACCACCCAAAACAAACTAAACACACAAAACACACCTTAGTTACATGACATCAATAAAAGGTCAAAAGCATATATCCTCACATTAGAAACGCATGTAAACAAATGGACACACACATACTCATCTACTTACCTTTTTTTAAGGAACTACCAATGAGTAAGTGCTTCCCCAATGAGACGTTATTGACAAGTGGAATTCCATTTTCTTCAGAACCGTCTGTGGCTTTTTTCGAATCCTGATCTTCCTTTTTTAATTGTTCTTCTTTAATGAGTTCTAAATAATAAAAGTACATGGGAAAGAAACAAAGAAGTATGTGACATTTTGTTTATGTGCTAGATGTGTGCATATCGATACAGTATATTATAATATAGAAAGAACTACACGCATATATAAAGGGCCAATATAGCTATAAGCACAAAGATCTAGTTCATACGTACCTTTGTTGTTATTTTCATTATCCATTTCCTTATGTTCCATGTTTTTACATATAAGCCTTTATAATTTCATAATTTGTCTCTTTTTTTTTTTTTTTTTTTTTTTTTTTTTTTTTTTTTTATTTCTCAAGTTTTTCAAAAAATATGTTCACAATTTTATAGGGTATTTATCGATAATATGGTTTTTGTATGACTTACAGGTGACACATATATTTATCTACATTCACAAGTATTCCTCTAGGTTTTATTCGTATCTATTTTGGCTATTATATCTCCCTAACTAGGTATGCTTCTCAAACAGTATATATACATACATGCATACAGGTTGACCTTAAATGAAAGCGAGAAAATTCAATTTCTACGCAACGGATTGGATACACATGAAGCGGTGATGGAGGAAACCACAAAATGCACTAGTTTCATAAAAAAGTAGATTAGAAAAATGAACAAGATAAAGTTTTTCATGAAAATCTGGTACAATGGAATTCCTGAAACGTAGCGGTAGGTAATAAAAGAAAATGTAATTCCGTGACGTAACAAAATAAATGAATTGTAAAAATAAATGAGAAATTGGGGAAGGGGTTGGAATAAAATGTGAACAATATAAAATAAAAAAAACGATACAAAAATGTCATGTAAACTTTTTTTTCTCACACTTTAAAAATATGACTAACATGTATAATTGTGTGGATAAACATGTGTGATTATAATCCCTGCTCCTTTGTATGCAAAAAAGAATTATATTATTTATATAAAAATATGTAAAAAAGGGCCAGCCAAAAAAAAAAAAAAAAAAAAAAAAAAGTAAAATAAACACGCAGAATGGATGACAAGCAAAAATGATACGTAATAAAAAAGTATATGCAAAAAATAAAATAAAAGGAAATTTATAATTGTGAAGAAAGTAAAAATGTAAATATATATATTATACAATTTTTTTTTTTTCATAAAATGAAATTGTCAAAATGGGAAAAAAAAAAAAAAAAAAAAAAAAAAAAAACAATGTATATAAAATCTTATGTAAAGATAAAAATGCGAAACATATGTGTATGTCATGTAAAAGTGAATTGCAAAAATGTACATGGGGGTAATTCAAGGAAATTGTAAAAACAAATGTAATCTTTTACATGAAACAATGAATTCTTAACCGAAACTGTCAATGTGAATTGCTTAGGCGAAGCTGTAAGCGCATATGCAAAACTGGGAATACTTATACGATACTGTGTTTTAATGCCTATGTGAAACTGAGAACTCTTAAATTACTCTTCTGATGAGAACATTTAAATATTTAAATCAAGTTTCACGCACCCCACCCCCGCGTATATAAGTAATATTTATGTATATTGATATGATATTTTTCTTTTCTTAAAATATATGCAAAAAAAAAAACTTTACGCACTTAGTGTAATTATTGTGTTATACGCAATAGTAATATAAAGGGGAAACTAGGCATAAAAAAAAAAAAAAAAAAAAAAAAAAAAAGTAACACACTGGCAGTAGAGAAAATAAAATGACGCAAAAAAGATAAAATAAAATGACGCAAAAAAGATAAAATAAATGACGCAAAAAAGATAAAATAAATGACGCAAAAAAGATAAAATAAATGACGCAAAAAAGATAAAATAAATGACGCAAAAAAGATAAAATAAATGACGCAAAAAAGATAAAATAAAATGATGCAAAAGGGAAAATAAAATAAAGAGAGAAAGGTAAAACTGTAGTGTCACATTACTTCGACAGATAGGAGCCATATCATCAAAGCACAAAAAACATAGAATGAAAATATACCCCCCCTCATGTACACCTTTACAAGCATTAACAAATTGTAGTTACAAGTTACCAAGTGCACACATAGTTAGCACAAGGTTTTGAAATGTATTTATAAAATATACCTTTGAAAACTTATTTCCACATATATTTGGTTAGTGGGAATACATTTACGTATATCCATACATACATCCATACATACATCCGCACATACATCCATGTGCACATGTTCACATTTTCTTTTTGACAAATTGCGTTGTCCCCTCCCTTTAACCTAACGAAAACGCATGACAAGTAAACTCTTCATGTTTGTTTATGCGAAAGGATAAGAAAATTCTACACAAAGCTATTTGTAAAAACATGCAGGTGAAGGCAAGTACCAAGTAATTTCGTTCTCCTAATATATTGCACGTACTTATGTGTATGCTTGTATTCATTTTTTTTTTTTTTTTTTTTTTTTGTCCTATTACAATTTTTTGTGTATATGCTAAAAAGGCACACATATAACACATACACACACGTACACATGCCCATACCAGCTGAACCTATATATATGTTACCCAACTTGCTTGAATTGCAAAGGGAAAATATAACTACTCGGGTAGGGGAATGAAACAGATATCTTCGAAATCTACATGTGTGCTGAAAATTATATGATTCCGAAAATGTCACCACCCAAAAGAAAAAAAAACTAAAATAAAAAATTAAAATATAATAGATTAAAATAAAAAATTAAAATATAATAAATTAAAATAAAAAATTAAAATAAAAAATTAAAATATAATAGATTAAAATAAAAGAGATTAAAATAAAAGAGATTAAAATAAGGTAGAATAAAATTACCTGTCAAGCGAATTTTTTAAGACTCCTTAGACAGTACGAATCGCATAAGAACATTTCCCACAAACATGAATGGTGCAAATGTGAAGATAATGAACATATACACAATTACTATGCTTTATGCATTTATGCACAGCCCTTATGTAGGCAAAGAGTGTATAGTGGCATTCTGGTATGTTCTCCACACCGTCATGCATATAGTATTATTATGGTCTTATTCAGTGGATATGCATCCAATTCACCTGTTCCATTTTAACACACTTTTCTTTTTCTTTTTTTTTTTTTATATCATATCCATACTTCTTATCTTGTTCATACCGGAATATTAGAGTAATTCATATTTATGTTTATATTTATTTTTACTTTTACATTTGCGTTCATTTAGCAATTCATGGTAATAGTGGCATGGGTACGAGGGGTGTAACGAATGCCCGAACATTGGTCAAAAGAATAAAAATATAAAAATAGCTACTTGGTCCCCCCCCCCCCCTTCCCAAAAAAAAAACGTAACACACTCATAGAATTACCTAGCAAAATGTTTCATTTTCAAGACTATTTATTCGACCTTCCCGATAAATAGCCTGATTTTTCTGCAGAAAGGATATGGCCATCAGTAATGATTTCAAACGCTATATACTGTAATTTACTAAATGCTATATTTTGTAATTTACCAAATACTATATTCTTTAATTAACTTTGCCAAATGCTATACACTGCAATTACCTCTACCTGAATTAAAATAGTTATATGAAACAGCTAAAGAACAATTCAGTAATTACATTATTACCCTTTTAGTTCAATTCTTTACTAGGGCATTTATGCTTGAAAAAAAAAAAAGGGTAAGGAAGAGGAGGGGAAAGGTTATAACAAAGTCGTGCACAAATTTAAGTAAAAATATGTGTGTATAAGTATATATATACAAATGTGTGTGTTATTATGTATATTCACACAGACGAACAAAATAAATATTATTGTTCCATTCTTCATTTTTTGAATGTTTAGAGATTTTTTTTACTCTTTGTGTGCACAGGAGTTTTATTATAACAAGATATAAGAAATAAAACTATATAAATGTTGTGTAAAAATATAAGTAACGTGGTGTATTAAAACATTCCCTAGTTCCTTCGTTTTTTTTATCTTTGTTTCTTCGCTTGTTTTTTTTTTTTTTTTTTTTTTTTTTTTTTTTTTTTTTTTTTTTTTTTTTTTTTTTTTTTTTTTTTTTTTTTTTTTTTTTTTTTTTTTTTGTTTTTTTATTTACTTCTTTCTTTATTAGTTCTCTCATTATTCATTAATTTTTTTTTTTTTTTTTTTTCTCCCATACTACTTAAAAATTGCCCCTAATAAAAATCACAGCCCATTTTGTCACAATTCTTTTTGTATATAAAATAAACCCACGATGTAAATAGAGATGCGAACAGCATGTGTAGAAAACATTAAAAAAAAAAAGATTAATGGTAGAACAAAATTTCGGATAAGACTATGTATAAATTGACAATTCTACTTCTATAGGTTTGTGTAGATTTTTTCGAGCGCTTGTGAAGGTTTGTAAAAGAATTATTTTATCCATGCTAATCATTTAACACAGTCGAGTATAAATAATTACCACAAAACTTTTACTGCATTTTTATATAGTTTTTAGTTTCTGCCATTTTGCCACATACCATTTTGACAGTTTCTTAATTTTTATTTTTTTTTATACCATTTAACAGCGTTTTATATGTTTCATCCCATTTTTCTCCACACTGTTTTTTAACACGTGTAATTTTCCCCTTTATTTATTTTATTTTATTTTTTTCTCGTTAAAAATCGAGGCACTTTGATATATATATATAATATCTCAACACATGAACGATAATTTCATTTCATAAAAATCAACAATAGCAACCCTGTTAAAATTATTTGTCAGAGATCATAAATTTCTCGTGCATGTTTTATTTTTTTTTTTTTTTTTCTACTTGTCCTTAACAGAACTAAGGAAATTTTAAAATAAGTGATTTATTGAGAGCATGAGAATAAATTTTTTTCCATCCCTCGAATTCATTCACAGTTGGCTTAGCACATGAAGTATTGCAAATATCATACTAAATAATTTTGTTAAGCTTTCTCATTTGTTTTATGTTCAAATATTTTACATTATTTTATTATTATTATTTTATTTTATTTTTTTTTTTTTTTTACTTGTCACTTTTTCCATTTTGCTGTTTTTGACTACTTAACATATGTTGATTACATTTTTATAACACTGTCATGGCTACCCATAATTTCTAAATTTACCCCTACCTCAACCCCACTTTTCCCTTTTGCATTCCACTTTTCCTTTCATTGGTTGCTTCCTGCATATGTATTTTTTTTGTTTGTTTTCGTTCTTAATCTTGTCTTTGATCTTGTCCTTGTCCTTGTCCTTGTCCTTGTCCTTGTCCTTGTTTGTTTTTTTTTTTTTTTTTTTTTTCTCCCCTCTCATGCACCCCTAAAACGTCCATTATAACCCATTAGTATGCGTATAAAAGCATGCATGTACATATATATTTATAAATATATACACATAAACATTTCTGTTTTCGATTTAGTCCATTATATATATTATGCCATCCTTATTCTGAGGAACAGCCATGTACATATGTTAATTTGTCTTGCTTTAAACATGTATAAAATTTATCATTTATAGCTTGCACAATCTGTCAGAAGCTTTTAACAAAAAGATAAAATAATTCATTTGTCAAAGTCATACAATAAATTCTGTCTAATCATATATATTTTTTTTTTTTTTATATTTACCTCCTATCCTTCCCCGTTTCCTCATTTTTCGAACACCATTTACAAAAAAATTTTCAACACTTGTATTCCAATTTTTCTTTCCATCTTTTTATTATAACCTTTTCCTCTATCCTTTCGTTTCATCCCTTCGCCCAATACTTTCTTTTTAATAATTTGTATCGGTTTAGAATTCCAGATTGTTCGTTCTTAATCATTGTGCATTTGAAAAAAGCTCTGTCTTATTAGTACACAGAGTATTGTATCGAAAGTTTCCCAAAATAAAAAGAGATAAAAAAAAAAAAAAAAAAAAAAGGATCTAGCGAACGTGCAGAATAGAATAGGATCTTAATTTTAACATAATTTCAAGCAGAGCGTTTCAAATTCCATATGCAGAAATGTAAGGAAGAAAAAAAAAAAAAAAAAAAGAGTAAAAATGTAGTAAAGCATTTTTGCAATTACTGATGTATATATAATATATATATGTACATATGTATGACATGGGTCTAAGTGATATTTTACCACAGAAAAAAAATAACAGAGAAAAAATTACTGTTGTCACTCCCCTTTTCATGAGAAATACATATGGTGTTATATGTAGTTTCCTTTTAATTAAAACTATATGATGAGTGTGAATGAAACAACAGTGCTTATGTATATCTTTACACATACAACTGTGCGTACGTACGCACGTTTTCCCATTTATTAACATATGTACATATATATATATATATATATATATATATATATATAGATAGATAGATATATAATTCTTTCATATCCTCCATCCCACCCTCTTCAGGATAAGTGTCCATTTTTTTGGAGGTTCATTGCTAACAAGCATATTGTTAGCGCATATAATGGATGGCTGGGATTTTAAAACGCGAATAATCATGTAAACTTCAAAGATTTTTTTTTTTTTTTTTTTTTATCCCTTATAACATATATGCATACCGAAAGACACAACATATATATTTTTGTTTCTCTGTAATCACCATCATCCTCTTGCAGATCCTCAATAATGACATTTGCTAACTTATTAGCAGTAATGAATTTGTTCAGAAAATATGTGTATTCTGTAAAAAGAGACATCTTTACACTTTTCGTAAATTCTTGCATTTTAGTTTACTATCCCCTCCTTTTATTTATGAACTTTTTTGTAAGAATGAAAAAAGAGAAACAAAAAAGAATGGAGAATAGGAAAAGAAAAGAAAATGCGGAATAAAAATGAACAAATGAAAGAATTTAAAACAAAATTAGTCGAACATCCTATATCGCCTAAGCATAATATAACATACCATTTTCACCCTCTTTGCAGACAACAAGTGAGGTTCGATCAATGATAAAACTATTATTCAAGAATGTAACTTTTCACACAGTTGAAAAGTCTTATATGGAAAATTGTAACTCACTAGAAAATGTTATGGTAAGAAAAATAGGAACATATGGTTCCCAATAGCAAAAAAAAGAAAAGTTAAACTATTCATATGTATATATGTATGTGTATATATGTATGTGTATATATGCATGTGTATATATGTATATGCCCAGTTCTGCTTACGCAGCTACGAATTTCTAACTCATTTGCCTCTCACTTATTTTATTTTTTTTTAGGACAAAATTGACATTTTTGTAATAGCCCATTTGGCAGGATGGTTCATCAAGGCAATTGCCATTCGTAACTTTTTCGTATTAAATCTCACTAGTGTGACATTCGAATTGTTAGAATTAAGATTTCAGCACATTTTGCCAAACTTTTATGAGTGCTGGTGGGATCATGTAAGTATCAAGAATTTTAATACCAAATGGGAAAGAGAGTTGAAAGAAAAAATAAAGAAAAAAGGGGCTCCGGTGAAAAGAAACAAACACAGATCGGACACATTTTTCCATTACTGTGATATGCAACTCACCTTTTGTTCGAATTAACCAAAACCTACGCAACCATATACTTCTAATTCGTTACATATATTTATTTCTCTTATCTCCCTTAGATATTATTAGATATCTTGGGGTGTAATTTGTTAGGAATACTGATAGGCCTCGCCTTTATGAAGTGGCTAAATATGCCCGTAAGCAAATTGGAATTGAGTGCAGATTGAACACTAGGTCGTGTATTTGTGATTTATATTGATGATCCCCTACCCTTCTTCATTTCCATTTCCATTTCCATCTCCATTTCCATCTCCATTTCCCGTTCCATTTTTTTAGCTATATTCCTGGAAGGTGCGAGATAAGTTTAAACCGAATAAAAAAGGCATTATATTTCCAAAACTTGACACAATGTAATTGTACATTTGCATTTGTGTGCGTATTTATTACCCTGATGCACATTCTCATCGACACAAAACACACCTGTTCATGTGTTATTATCTCTCCCTTATGTGTTGTGATTAATTATCATTTCACTTCTATAGCTAAATAACTGACTTTTTTTTTTTTTTTTTTTTTTTTTTTAAACATATATAGGCTAAGGAAGGTATTCACAAATAGTCGTACCGTGGTATTATTAATTTTTTACTCCCTCATGACAAATCTGATCGATTTAAACGTATTTTTTTTAAAGGCAGAATTGCAATTGTTACAAACAAATTTTTTAGTCATGATGAGAGAATTGTTCATTGCCACAATTCTGAGTAAGTTTTTTTTTTTTTTTTTTCTTTTTCGAACGAGACAAACATTTCAAACCATCATATAATGTGCAAATGTAACTTATGTAACCCTTAAAATGGGAAATATCTCCCAGAATTTCTTCATTTTCATTACTCATTCTTACCCTTCCTATTTAGTGTATGGCTCCATCCATCTGAATCTTCTCCTTACAGAACAGTAAGTATCCACATTTTTGTTATTAAATGATATAAATGCCATGCTTTACAGTCATACCGAAATATAAGCAATTATTAGTGAGAAACTTATTTTATATACATACTCATAAAATATGTGTTACATGATCTTTTTTTTTCCTTTCCTTTTACGTCCTTTCTTAGCTTTACCCCCAAACGATTGTATTATTCCCTTGCTGCAAGCGGGGTTCTTCTGTTAGAACTCTATTTGTCCTTTAGGTGGAAACACAACTTGGTGTCTGACAATTCTGACTTAACTAATATTAACGTAAAAAATATTTTTATGAATTATTCCTTATGTGCCCAATGCACAGGAGTGTGTGTGCACATGTTTTTTTTTTTTTCCATGTATACGCATATCTGCATGTGTATATTCTGACTCCCCCAATCTATCCACTCTACCCAAACTATCCAATTACCCAAATTATCCAACTACCCAAACTATCCAACTACCCAAACTATCCAATTACCCAAACTATCCAACTACCCAAACTATCCAACTACCCAAACTATCCAATTACCCAAACTATCCAAACTATCCAAACTATCCAACTACCCAAACTATCCAATTACCCAAACTATCCAACTACCCAAACTATCCAAACTATTCAAACTACCCAAACTATCCAAACTACCCAAACTATCCAAACTACCCAACTACCCAAATCACCCCAAAACACTCGCGCACAAGAGCACTAGTGCAAACGTTGCTTTGTGCACGTATGCACACGTAGCCGAACACCCATTGATTCATTCACCCCTGTTTTCATCACCCCTTACAGATGGTATGGTTCTCGATATTCGCAACCCTTTTGTCAGCAATGGCCCTTCTTTTTGTCAACGAATCTCGTACTTCAACAAAATGAGTCAACAGAATTGACCTTTTTTCATTTTTTTCCCCACGAGTGGCGTATGTTCTAATTTTAATTCTTTCATATTAATATTAAATTAATTTTTATTGATATTCCAAAAAAAAAAAAATTTTAAATAAATTATTATATTAGTAGTCAATGCACGTATGTGTGTTTGGTGTTTGTGTGTAAATTTGTTTCGTACATGTGTATATACATGTATATTGATGTGCGTAACATCATAAGCATATTCATAATTAGACTTATAATCAGATACGTACATCTTATGTACACTTTATATATATATATATATATACACTCAGCAAATTTGAAATGCTATTTATGCAATAATTAAGTTACAGTCATGTTTTTGTGACTTTAGTGCTTGGTCTTATTCTCTCTGTAATCTTTTTACTTTATTTATTTACTTCTATTATTTTTTATTTTATTATTTCTTATATATATATATATATATATATATGTTTTTTTTTTGCCTTATGAACACAAACACGCAACAACGCCCTTTCCCCTAATTATTAGCTATATTTAAAACATATTTAATATCCTTTTAATATTATTTAAATATGGGTTATAGTTAAGTATTATGGTGCATTTTTTTATATTCACAGAATTTATATGTATTTCACTTAATATCAAATTACAAATTTGAACTCTCACTTTAAAATCCTTCTCCATATAAAATATAACAGCTGTTAATAAAAAAAAAAGTTTTACTTGTTTTGTCCACGGATGAAAACATAACGATGGTTCATGAGATAAGGTGAAGCACCTCTTTATCATTTTATTAATTTCCCCATTAGTATAAAAATCAGATACGAACGTATTTTTTGTCAATCCCACTTCCAATTCGTGTCCATTTATTTTGTTCTGTGACAATAAACTTGAAACTATGGTACTCTCTGTCATCATTTTATTTCTCGACTCTCTCCTCTTCACGTCCACTGCAACAGTAGGGTCCACATCTCCGCGTGTGTAGAAAGAAAAAGGATCCAAAGCAGCTGACGAATCTGACGAATCTGATACATCGCTTATGTCTTTCCCACAGTGAACAACATGAGACGTCAAAGAGCACGCCTCCGGTTCCCCATCAAAAGGAAACTCGAATATAGACATGTATAAGCAGAAAAACAACTCCTTCAGATTTTTGCAATTTTCATCAACTTGCCGAACTACCAATGACAAACTTCGTATCAACTCTTCGACAGCACTTAGTTTCTGTTTTAGACAATTTTCATTTTTTTTTTTTTTCAAAAATTCCTCGTCATTCAGTGTGTAATCCATAATGTTTTTTTTCATTTCTTTAAAGTTCGTGTTCAAATTATGCCGCAAACATTCTGAATTTTCCACTAAACTTAAAAACCATTCATAAAAATTCTTATTCAATTGGAAATGCCTTCTAATATGATGTTTTACTTTACCCAATAAATGATTTAAGTCTCCCATTCTTGTTGCACTATTTTTTGTCTCTTGCATGATGAAGTTATCGAGCGTATCAAAATTTAAATTCATTGTTCGATATAGAAATTTCATATGTGTCTTATAATGTGAAAAAAAAAAAAAAAAAAAAAAAAAAAAAACATGGACTCTTCCTAGTTATTAACAATCCATTGTGCTAATGAAAAATGGACCAAAGACAAATACAATATGAGAAGAAAAAGATTATCTTTCTTTTTGAGATAGGGTTAAGATACATGATCCTAGCAAATTCCTACTATGCTATTTTTGTCAAATTTTTCTTTTTCTCTTTTTCTTAAAACAAAATTTGACCTTTTTGGCAGTTCTTTGACCTTTTGCATATTCCTAAGTGAACCTGTGTATGTATATATACATATATATATAATATACACTGTTTGTATTACAAATCATTTGATACATATAAAAATGTATCAGCATATGTGTGTTTAGAGCTAGTCCCAGACATTTATATGGATACTAAACAAACCCTTATGTGCATGGTTCGTCCCCTTGCTATTATATACGACCACTTTTTTTATAATTTCATAAATCTACATTTTTGCAAGAACAAAGAACACAACATTTTTACACTAGTAGTTATGTGTCTGAAAAGTAAAAATGAAGCACTCTCCCATCACCACTGCATATGACTGCATTATGGTAAAGCATCAAAAAAGGAAAAAAGAAAAAGGAAAGAAAAGAAAAGAAAAAAAAAAAAAAACTTTCGACATAAAAAGAGAGGAGAAGGAGGTATATTAAATCATATACGAGGAACAAAAAAAAAAATAAAAGAAAAGAAAAGAAAGTGATATTTCTAAAAAGTTTCTTTGCTAATTTGCTTATTTTAATTCCTACTCCTGCAAATATTTTTGCAACACAAATTTTTTTCAACTTTCATTTGGTGAAGAATATATACAATACTACTTTCCCAATAAGCTTAGCCTTTATTTTGGCCAAGCACGCAGAACGAGTCCAAAATTTTTAATTATCATTTTACCATGATTTTTAGGGGGCTATCATTTTTTTTTTTTTTTTTTTTTTTTTTTTTTTTTCATTTTATATCCATTTAAAAAATTTGTACAAGTTATGATTGTTTACTTTTTATTTTTTCCCCTTCATTTCTTCTTCATTTCCCCTTCATTTCTTCTTCATTTCCTCTTCATTTCTTCTTCATTTCTTCTTCATTTCTTCTTCATTTCTTCTTCATTTCTTCTTCGTTTCCTCTTCACTATTTCCCCCTCATTTCTTTACTATTTCCCCCTTATTTCTTCACTATTTCCTTTTTTTTTTTTTTTTTTTTTTTGTCACAAGGTAAGTTTCTCCTGAACACATGATTCTTTTGTGTACATTTCTGTATATGCATATATATTCGGACTTGTTTAGTGCTCATGTTTGCGTATATTACTTGGATACGCGAATTTATGAGAATAAATTAAACATGTGCTTCACTTGAGTTCGTTCAAATTCGTTCAAAAATTAGTGCAATTCTTAACATGTATTTACAACTATTAAATGATAATTAGCGCCAATTTTTTAAGGCGAGTCATTTGGAAAGATTTGAAGGATATTTGCATTTCGTGCGCTTTGCATTGTACTTATTTTTCCTTTTTTTCCTTTTTTTCCTTTTTTTCCTTTTTTTTTTTTTTTTTTATTTTTGCAAGAATCCCTCACTTCCCCATGTACTACCTGACTTAACATCTACCACCATGTTTATATCACCACATTAGCAATTCTGTTTAATTAGTATATAATTTGCATATTAGAATGTAGAGGAGGGGGAGGGGTTCTCTTTAAACTGAAGCATACGAGACATGCCACATGTGTAAAATTTTGAACATTTGTATTTTTTCCACATTTGTAATAGTTTTAATTTTTTTCAGTCATATTTATAACTATGATAACTGTCCTCATTCACAACATTTTAATTTGAGCACACATTATTTCCTTCTTATTCGTCTGATTTATTGGTATTTTTTTTTTTTTTTTTTTTTTTCCATTTCTATAAATCTGCGCATGTATAATTTGATCTGATCAAAATTACTTTCCTCAAGTATGCCTAGACTATCTCGCTCTACATCATAAGAAATCATACATAACTATACGTAATCATATGTAACTATACATAACCATACGAAAGGTCGATGCACCATCGAAGTGAAGTATCAAAATGATAGATGTGATCAGAATATTTAGTAAAGGAGGACTGATTTTGTGGTCTTACGACTTTTATGAAATCGAAGATGTAACCATACGAACCATTGTAAAACAAGCACTAATAGAGGAAAAATATGAAGAATTTAGTAAGAAACACAATAAGTTTCATGCGAAATGGAAATTATTAAATGATGTGGATATAGTTATCCTTATTGTTTATGAAGGAATACAAAATTCAGCATACTTGCAAAATTTATTTTTAAAAATTAAAAAAGCCTTTGTAAAAATTTTGCCAAAAAATTTAAACTACTTTGATATTGACATTCCTCTAAATTTTGACAAGCCATTTTTGAAAATAGTGGAGGATGTAGAAGCCATATTATCATCCACTCCTTCAGCAGGATCCTCTGATAGAAAGAGTCTTCTTCATAAAAATAGAGGAAGCATAAACAGAAGAAGAGGCAAGAAAGACAGAGAGAACAAAAGCAGTTATGAAAAAAATGTTAGTGATGAACGTAATGAAAGTGAACACACAAATGCAGATAGCTGTTCATATGATAGCGATAAAAATGATGATGCTCATGATGATGATGAAATAAAAGGGAAGAACAAGCATGGGGCAGAAAAAATGGAAAGACATAAATACACCAAACAGAAAAGTGAAGAAGATGATAAAACTATCGATGATGATGATGATGAATGCAGTGTTAAGCGAAAAGGAAAAAGTAAAAAAAAAAGCGCAAGAGAATGGGAATTAAGTAAAAAAGTAACGAAACGAGATATAGACAAATTAGATTTTTCAAAAAATGAAAAGATTTCAACAAATTTTCAAGAAATGAACAAATATGAAGGAGAATTTGAAGATTCAAGTGATTGCAATATAGATACCAAAAACAACCTCTTAAATAAGTTAAATGATTCCATTTTAAAAGTATTTTCTTACAATAGCAAAATAGAAGAAAATGATATAGAATCCATTTTACAAGGAATTAAAAACAAACTGCTTTCAAAAAACGTTGCAGTAGGTATATGTGACACGTTAATAGATAAAATGAAGGAAAATTTAGTTGGAAAAAAAAAAACACTATTCTCCATGAATGTTAAAAAAACAGTTTCAACAGTTCTATCAGAAACCATACAATCTATACTCATACCCAAAGAATCTGTAGACATACTACGATCAGCGTTAGAAGCAAAATCCATTGGGAAATTATATTCAATTGTTTTTCTAGGTGTAAATGGAGTTGGGAAATCAACAAATTTAGCAAAAGTTTGTTATTATCTTAAAAGCAAAGGAAATTTAAAAATCATGATCGCTGCCTGTGATACTTTTAGAGCCGGTGCTGTAGAACAATTAAGAACACATGCTAATTGTTTAGATGTATTTCTATACGAAAAAGGGTATGGAAAAGATGCAGCTGCAATTGCCAAAGAAGCAATTTCTTATGCCAAAAAGGAAAATTATAATGTTATATTAATTGACACAGCTGGAAGAATGCAAGATAATGAACCACTCATGAGATCCCTAGGAAAACTTATTTTAATTAATAACCCAGATTTTATTTTATTTGTTGGTGAGGCATTAGTAGGAAATGATGCCATTGATCAATTGAAAAAATTCAATCAAGCATTAACAGATGCTACTTGTAATGCCAATAAAAGGACTATTGATGGAATACTGCTAACAAAATTCGACACAGTCGATGATAAAGTTGGTACAGCACTCTCTATGGTTTATCTCACTGGGAAACCCATCGTTTTTGTCGGCATAGGACAAAAGTACACACACTTGAAGAAGTTAAATGTCAATATGATTGTCAAGGCGCTCGTTTAAAAAAAAAAAAAAATTCAAGAATCAATAAGAATACGAAAAGAAAAATAATGCATGAGATGTCTAATTATCGACTCCACAAAAAAGAGAATTATAGAAATAGTATTTTTTTTTTTTTTTTTTTAATCTTTTTTTATGAACTTCAGACGATTTTACCGCATTTCTCCTTAAATTCCTTTGTCAGCATCGAGGTTTCAATCAAGGGGAGAAAATCCTTCCTTTACATTGTAAAAAATTCGCCAAAATAAAAACAGACCAAACCGATTAACAGACTATCTGATCACTGGTTAAACAAATTTACATTTTACTGATAGCAAACCTGACACCAAAAGGAATGCATATTTTGTATTCTCATTTCAAGCTGCGCTAAAAAAAATATTGGCTCGTGCACGTGCACAAAAGGTTCATGTTTTGTATTCTCATATGTTTATGCATGTGTATATTTTTATGTATGTTTATATTTATGTGGCCACTTACGTATACTTGTGTATATGATTTAAGAACCTACATTTACTGGAAACGTGTGCACATAGCTATTTTCATAATTGAACTGTTTTCTCGCGGAAGAATTTCCTCCTTTCCGTTATTTCTCAAAACCTATATTACATTACTTTAGGTTACTTTATATTATCCCATTATATGTTTTCCCCATCCCGACCCTCATCCCCTTTTTTTTTTTTTTTTTTTTTTTTTTTTTTTTTTTTTTTTTTTTTATTTTTTTTTTTTTTTAAAAAAAAAAAAAAAAAAAAAAAAAAAAAAACTTCAAAACATGGGGTAATTCAAATTAATGATAGAAAATTGAATTCCAAACATTTTGAATAAGCTAACTATCACATATGTTCTTTCAATGCTTCTGTGTGTATACACACGGGTATAAGCTTAGGAAATACGGATAGACGATCGAGTTGAACAGTGTGTATACATATATATATGTGTACTTGTGCCTTTAGTGAATTTTTTTTTTTTTTTTTTTTTTTTTTTACACACTACTTTTGCCGCATTTGAAATGCAGAAAGGACTTTTTTCATTCTGGGGAAATTCTAGCCTGTCAAAAACGAGAGAAATTCATTCTTACTGTTTCCAAGAATGCAAAAAGGCATATGAAAACTTGTGAGAGGAAGAATAGTTATTCATGCATAATTAAAGATAAAAAGTCGAAATAAAACATAAATAGGAATAACAACTGGGTTGTTTTCAAAACATCCATTGTTTCCTATTTTTCTATTTTCCTATTTTTTTTTTTTTTTTTTCTTTTTTCGTTTTTATTGCATATTCATTTCATTTTTTTTTTTTTTTACATTTGCGTGAATGCTCTATATAAGAACGATCACATATAAAAAGTTGTTAATTAAAAATGTTTTGTAATACAGACATGAATTTTTACATTCATTGAACTCACGAGAATAATGCAACCATTTTGATGAGGTCCTTTCTCCATAAAAATTGGGATAAAGATAGCATATTAAAATGATGAATGGGCTACATAGGTATGTGTGTGCATGTTTTTGTTGGAATTTCTGGTGATGATAACACACACAAGTGCTCTTTTCCCACATTCGTCTCAAATATGCGATTCACCTACACTAAGCGTAAATCCATTCCTTAGAATGATGATTCCATTGAACTAGTTCTTCAGCCTTAAACCAGATGTTAATTTCCCTATTAGCAGATGCAACTGAGTCACTACCATGAATTATATTTCTGCTAACTTCTAAACAAAAATCCCCACGAATAGTACCAGTATTACTATTCAAAGGGTTTGTTTCCCCTATAAGTTTTCTACCTTGATTCACGATTTCGACACCTTCCCAAACCATTGCTACAACTGGACCTTTGCTGACGTAATCAACTAAGGTATTAAAAAATGGTTTATCAGACAAATCCTTATAATGTTCTTTTAAAATTTCTTTTGATGGATTTAACATTTTAATTGCAATCATTTTATAACCTTTTTTTTCAAAACGTTCGATAATTATCCCAACTAGTCCTCTCTGTACTCCATCAGGTTTTACCATAATAAAACTTTTTTCCATTTTTTTTCTTATTTTCCTCCTGATTTACTCAAAAAATTGAAGAAATTTTTTTTTTTTTCTTTGTTTTTCTTGATTATTTCCCTATGCTTTTAATAAAAGGAGGCAGAATAAAACAAGGACTCTTGATATGGTTATTCAAATGTGTAAAGGAGGGTTCAGCAATTTATATCTACCTGCGATGATATTTGAAAAGTTTTGTATTTATGCATAGAATTAGGGAATGGGCTAGAGACCGTGAAAAGGTGTTGTGGTATATCTATATCTATATATATATATATATATATATATATATATATATATAGGGCCATGGAAAAATAAAAAGGGGGCAGCAAAAGTAAAGCAAGAATTTATAAAATTAAAAACTAACTGAGATCGAGTGGGTAAAATAAAAATACAGTCAAATTATATTCCAAAATTTTTTAAGGTGTGTTAAACGAGAGAAATTATATCTCATACGTGAAATTCGTGAAAAAGGCATAAATCAAAAACGAAAAAGAAAAAAAAAAAAAAAAAAAAATACACAAAATAAAAATAAAACCTCAAAAAAAAAATTTCTTAAATAAATTGTTATTGTGTAGTAGTGTTCTTTATTATTGTTACCATGTGTACTTCTTCCCCAATTGTTCCACCACTGGTGATCAAGTTATAAGAATTTTTTTTTTTTTTTCCATTATTTTTTTGGTGCCATTTCGGAGGGACTTTTTTTTTTCCTTTTTTTTGTACGCCTTTTTTATTTTTCAATGAAGTCCCAGTATATTGTATCAACAATTTTGACTTATACTCATTCAAAAAAAAAAAAGAAAACGATTTAAAAAGAAAAAAATACCCATATATCTACACGATTGATTAGAATGAATGGAAAAGTGGAAGTAATGAACACTATGATATATCCATTGCCTGATGCGTTAAAAAAAAAAAAAAAAAAATATTCACCGGAATTCACATCTGTTTTAGTATATTTTTTCCTGCTTAACCTGATATATCTTTTTGGATATTAAAAATTGTGAAATTTTCTTTCTATTTTTTTACGAATTCATGTTCGCATAGAATTTTTTTCATACTATTTTATGGGACAAGAGAGGTGGATCTTCTGTTTATTTTATCATATATATTTTTTTTTTATGCATAATTCCCAATAAATATGTTAACAAAATGATATTTGTTGACAATGCTTCGATATGCATTTCAAACATATCTTAAGTATACTGCTATAAAAAAAAAAAGGGACAAAATGGGCACACCTACTTTTTCTCCTTCACCCACATCTAGAGGTAACCGATGCCGAATTATGAATTCCATTTTTCGTATATTTCACAACACCTCAAATACATACTACATGAATATAATTCTTTTGGACCAGAAAAAAAAATAACCCAAATTATTTTCCAGTTGTAAAAGTAATTTGAGCCCCAACATTATATCATAAAATACATCTGCTCCAACAACTTCCCGTTTTACAGCGTTCAAATGTTACATTACTTTGTCACATTGCTTCGTCACATTGCTTCGTCACATTGCTTCGTCACATTACTCCTTTTCCCTAAATGAACTAGTTGATTTTCCTCGCATCGTCACCTTAGCAGAGCGAGCTAACATATAAAAAATCATTTACACGTAATGTGCAAAATGATCATGGCATATTTCACTAAATCCCATTCTTATAACCATACATATATAATCGTAATATGTTTATATTATCTTTCAGCAGGGATACACATTTTTTTTTTTTTTTTTTTATTATTCCTTTTTAAAGATCTTTTTTTTTTTTTTTTCTATAAAATATGTGCATTCAGAATTCAAATGATAAAATACAAAATTGATGGGAAATACTAATCTAAATTTTGAAAATTAAAGATGTTTTTTTTTTTTTTTTTTAAGTTATCGTACAAGATAGGTAAGAAATGTAGGGGCTCATACCGCTATGTTAATTATATTGAGAAAATAAAACAAAAATGAATAAGTGTAACGAAAAGTTAACGATAAAATGATCTAGTGTAAGTATAATAAGCTGAATAAATGAACACTACCCGGAAATGACTGTCATATGTGTGTATGTCCCACCACATACACCCTATATCATATATACTAACTAATTGCATCTATCTATTCTTAAAGAATGGACAATAACACTAATGCTTTTATCATTATTTTATCATTATTTTATCATTATTTTATCATTATTTTATCATTATTTTATCATTATTTTATCATTATTTTATTATTATTATTTTTTTTTATTATTTACCTATTTATTTACTTTTCTTTTTTTGCATAGATTCGTTACATTGAGGAGTTCGTGCTATGAATACTTGCTTACAACGTGATATTTAAACATATACATATATATATAAATATGAATATATAAAAAATATGTATGCCTTCATATGTATGTGGTATTATATACCCATTAAGAGGTGTCAAATAATGCCGATTCAGAGGAGGAACTGGAGACCCACCATATTTGCTACACAACAGGTACGCGATTAAAATAGGGTACCGGGCGAACATACATATGCATATATAAATATGTATATACCCGGTTTTAATATTTACATAATCTCCTGTATCTTCGATATGGAATAAGAAAAGGAGGGTAGTAGAACATGTTAAAATTCGTATGTACTTTTTCCTAAGTTCATCCATGGGATGCATCACAGAAATTTTCCAACTGAACCGTGAGCTCAATATTCATTCAGGTTTTTTTGCCTCGTAATAATATATATTATATACGTAATTTTTCCTACTGATCTTTCTTGGCCTCTTGATGCAGGTGGGAAATGTACACACTATGTTAATAATAAATGTATGAATATATATGTATATATACATATATACATGCGTACATACATACGTACATACACATATAGGTATGTATATGTGTATGTAAACACAAAACTTAGTTGAAAAAAACAAAATGAATAAATAAAAAAAAATATATCAACTCTTTACGAGCTACTCGAGCATACAAAAATAAACCCGCTAATGATTTTTAATCTTTTTTTTAATTTTTTTGTTTTTTCATTTTTTCATTTTTTTATTTTTTTTCATTTTTTAATTTTTTTATTTTTTTTTATTTTTTTACTTTTTTGTTTTTTACTTTTTTGTTTTTTACTTTTTTGTTTTTTACTTTTTTGTTTTTTACTTTTTTGTTTTTTACTTTTTTGTTTTTTACCTTTTTACCTTTTTATTTTTTTATTTTTTTACTTTTTTATTTTTTTACTTTTTTATTTTTTTATTTATTTTTTCATTTTATCCTATTTTTCCCTTTTTTTTGGTTCTTTTGTTTTTAGTTTTACTAGTTCAGTTTTATTAATTTTAATAAAAATCCTGCACCCTACTCCTCTCTTTCCCCGTGGTCTCGGATTTTTTCCTTTTCTCATACCCGCTACATGTACGTATATATATACCTATACGTGAAAAGTTATGTACATATATATATGCATAATATATACACATATATATACATGGATCCAACTAGGAACTAGAAAAATCGTTGCAGTCTTTCAATTCTTCATAGATGAAAATCAGCGTCAGAGTTAGAAAATGCAATTGACTAAAAGCAAATGCAAAAAACTATCACCCAGCAATGAGAACATTCGAATAGTTGCTGAAAAGTTGCTAAAAAGTTGCTAAAAAGTTGTTGAAAAGTTGTTGAAAAGTTGCTAAAAAGTTGTTGAAAAGTTGTTGAAAAGTTAATGAATTACGGCACTCCAATAATTGTCAAACAACAGATAACATAAACAAATGATGCTCTAGTTTTCTTTTTTTTTTTTTTTTTTTTTTTTTTTTTGCCATTAGTTTCAACCTTCTCTAATTGGTAGGGACACACGAACATTTGGCATACGTTTCAACAACAATTTTCTTCCTTCATTTATGAAGAGTACCTTTACGAATAATCATATCCTACGCGAACACAGCCATGTTCTAATAACTCCCTTTCCTCTGTACCATTTAAAGTTTAGATAATTACATTTTACTTCTCTCTCTGTTTAAGCAATCAGGACGTACGACAACCAAGTACTACAAAAGTACGAAGCAACACTGTGTTTTTCACAATTTGGAATCCACACAAACAGGCATATACACACACAAAAAAATAAAATAAAATAAATAAATAAGCAAAGATGCAGGATATCTCCCATGAACAATACACTCTACAAATAAAGTTTCTAAAAGCTTTGGACCTATTCTGCATTTTTAAATTCATTATCACAAATGATTTAAGGATACACGAAGAAGAAACGTACAATCTGTTAGTGAAACTTGTCAACTCATACTCAGTTATTAGTATTAAAAGATCCTCAAAGGATATTTTTTCTGAAACAGAAAAAATATACAAGAAATACTTTTACAGCAATGGGGAAGGGACAAATACAACTACTGGAATGGGTTCTGCATCTGAACCTATTGTAGACACAGAACAAGCTCATCGAAATATCAGAAATGGAATTAACAACACATACAAAATGGGCATGGAAAAAGAAATTCTTACCAATGATTCTCTTTTTTCAAAACGTCTAAGTAACAAACAATTATTCCAATTTTTCAAATTTCCAAAAAATAAAAAAGTAGGAGATTACGTAAACAAATGCTGTGTTAATGAACTTATAAACGAACCATTAAATATAAATGTAGGATTTGTTAAATTTGATAAAAAGAAAAGAAAAAGCAAAAAAAGAAAGAGATCAAAAAATGGGACAATATATATGCCAACAAATCTATGTAAATATAATAGTGATTCTGGTATTAACAATATTCGATTAAAAAATTCTTGCAGTTGTTGTTATGAATCTAAAGAAAATTACAAAAACTTAACAAATAATTTTAAAAAAAAATTTAACGAAACGGACCTATCCCTTTCAGATTCCTCAGAATTATTTGCAAATTTAAAAAATTCATTTGTTAAACCAAATAACACTGCCTATTTCGATCTCAATAATACCAATTGCAGCAACTCTGAAGATGAATCTGATTATAATTATTACAGTGAAAATACAAATAGGGAAGATCTTACTAATGAAACGCGTGAAAATAAAAATATTAAACTTAAGAATAAGTACCTTTCAGTCAAGCTTTCTCTTTATAATTCTCGTCTATGCAACAAAGGCGGAAAGGAACGCACCGGCAGCATAACCAGCAACGAAAGCACCGACATCATCTCAAATACAGAGAACACACCTAATGTGCTTAACACTTCCAACAAGACTAACATTTTAGACATCCCCAACAAGACTAACATTTTAGACATCCCCAACAAGACTAACAGTTCAGATATCCCCAACAAGACTAACATTTCAGACATCTCCAACAAGACTAACATTTCAGACATCTCCAACAATTCGAACGTACCATTTGATGAAACGTCCTTGTGCCTCAACCACTTCTACGAAATACATAACATCCTAAACAGAGACCCGAATGGACTGAGAAAAATTAAAATAATGTTGAAAAAAGATATTGGAACTATTAGCATTTCCCCATTTTACATAAACTTTGATTGGACGAGGATATTCAAAAATGTCTGTCGGGCCTTTAACTTCACTAATTTTGATTACAAGAAACAAGGTGTATACCAAATTATTAACTCCTGTTTTAGTACCCCCAAGTCTAAACATATTTTAAAAAATATATTTCTAGATGACCTGTATGAGCAACAAGAAATATATGAAAATGAACTCAATTGCAAAAAAAATTTACGAAAAAAAAATTTACTCAAAATGAGGAATAAAGAAAATATTTTAGAAATACTTGATGATGAAAAAAGAATTAATGTATTATACTTTATTAACCGTTTTTTATACTCTCAAAAAACTCCTCTCTCTAGTTTGTTTACAAATTATTATACAGCTACCAATTCCAAGCATAATGAGGAAAAAATGGAACACCAAGAAGAAAAGCAGAAATGGAAGAAGCAAGATCAGAGAAGTTCTGTAACTCATGATGATGACTCCCCTTTTGACGAACTAACTGTAGATTATTTACTTTTTTTAATGATTTTTGAAAAAAAAATGGATGAAGAATTTCATAAATATCTTATTCGTAAAATTGATGCATGTAAAGCCTACTTGTCTCCTTATAGTCAAAACATAAATACCACCACCTTCACATCTTTGTCAACTCTTCATTCCAAATATAGTTATCATCCATCCAATCATAAGGTTAATGCCGAAAGCACCATTTCTCACTTACATACACATAGCGAAAAGAAACAAATAAATGATTCGATTGAAGTTATCCAAAATCATTTTGAGGTGTTCAAAAAGGAGGAAATTCTACTGGAAGCAGATGAAGGAGAAGAAAGAAAAAGAAATCTCGTTCACAAGAACCTCCTTGATGGAAGAAACAAAATGGAAACTGCATTAAGCACAGATAGGAGGCATTCTTCCTACTCCTCTACCAGCATCAATTCAGAAACAAACGAAAGCGTGACAAACAACACACACAGTACATACAACATGAGCATGTCGATGAACACCCTCACATCTTATAACTCCAATGACTTATCATGTAGTGAAACGTTCATGATAAATGGACATTCCACAAACGAGAATAATAGAGATGATAACATATTCTTGTATCCTTCCAGCGACGTTAATATCCAATCGACGTGGATTAATGGGAAACAAAATAGAGATCTTGCGAAAGAAAAAAGCGAAGAAATGAGTGATTGCACGAAGAGCACTGTAAGAGATGGTTATGAAGAAATGGAAAATGAAATAGAAGATAGGGAAGATAGAGAAGAAAGGGAAGATAGGGAAGATAGGGAAGATAGGGAAGATAGGGAAGATAGGGAAGATAGGGAAGATAGAGAAGATAGAAAAGATAGAGAAGATAGAGAAGACAGAGAAGACAGAGAAGATGGAGAACAAAATTCTTTTCAAGATTTAAAAAAATGCAATCCGTCTTCCGAGCTAGAATTGAAATATAAAAATAAATCAGAATATAAATCTAGCATAGAAAACGAAATAACATTGCTAAAATGCATAAGACCCTTTCCAACGGTTTATTGGTTAATAAATAAAAATATGTGTGGATATATTTCACATTTAGAAAAAATGAACATAATAAAAAATATTGAATATTTTGTTAATAGTCAGAAGGAAGAATTTCATTTACTCAGATATTATTTAATACATGATCATTTGAAATATATTATTATCCGTTTAAGACATATTAACAAAAGAATACTTTGTTTTTTTTATAATATATTTTTAAATAGCCATAATTTTAAGGAGCAGTTCAATTTGGATGAGACCAACAATTCATTATTTTCTATATATAAAAATTCTTTTGAATTTTCTCCCCATATTTTAAATGAATATATACACAAGTATAAAATCGATTCGAATGTCATTATAGAGATTCTTAGAAAAATTAATACCTTACGAATTAAAGGAATTGGTGGAATATCAAATTTTTTAACTGTTAAATGTATACATCTTTATTTTGCATCTCATTTGTCTTATCCAAATACAATTGGCTATATTTTGGAAGAGCTTTTCAAGTCATGACCAAAAAATCACATCTCCCGTGTTACACCTGTTAGAATGGAGCATCGTGCCACGTCCACCGTACATACATATATATACACACACTTATATATGCACATTTTTGCAACATCTAAATCAACATGCGTGCGCATCCCCCTTGTGGACTAGCCATTTATATTCTCACATAAAGCATAAGAGAATTAGGCGATAAATGTACAGGCGTTCGTCAAAAAAGTATATTACGTTACTCTGGGAATAGAAACCACTGTAGCTTGTTTCTATTCAACATTGCATTCTGCTATATTTGAGAAACATTTTTTTCTTTTTTTTTTTTTATGAACAAATTAAATATAGGTTTATCAAAAAGATACGGAACCCAGTTTCTTTTCTCGTCTCGTTAATCTCATTAATCTAGTCAATTATTAAAACAGACGGGATTATTTATGCTCGCTTCTCATACCACATTGTGGGCACAATGTTTTTTTTTCTATACAGTTACTTACACCGTTGTGTGTGTTACTTTTTACCTCCTTGACACTTCACATATCCCACTAGATACCTTATGCTTCACCCCTTTTGTAACTTTTTCACGTGAAAATAAGTTACCATTTTTTTTTTTATACTCACCTCGAACTCCCATTCTCCCGTAATGCATTTGCATCCAACACCTCCCCACCAACCCCCCCTGAAACATGTCTCTTTCATGCATATTCTCATATTGATATAACGAGTGGAAGTCTATTTAAAATTTACATGCTTTTTTTTTTTTTTTTTCACCGGTTTTTTTTTTGCTTCTCTAAGAAAATTTTCAAAGGTCAAAAATGTATTAACAATTTTTTTCAAACAATTTATTAACAATTTACACGCATAACACTTATGTGAGCGAAGGAAAAACATTTCAAACTTGACATATATGAACTTTTTAAAGAAAATAAAACAAAATAAAAAAAATTGTTTAGGACAATGCCCACCTGACTTAACAATATTTTGTCTTAACTGCTCAAACAAAATATATGTCGAGAAAAACTCACAGTTCCACTTTTTTTCCAATTTATATTCCATATCTTTCAAAATGTATTTCTTTCTGCTAAATATATATATATATATGTGGATATGTTTTTCTGTGTACACATTAATAGGCTTATTCAATCCATTTTTAAAAAAAGTGAATTTTTTTATTTTTCATAGTGAGATATAATTCTTCAAATTCAATATATGCAAATAGAGAGGAAGAAATTGCACCTATGAACTCATAAATAATCTTCTGGACAGTGTAATCGTCCCCCCTTCTTTTGTTGCAAATAAAGTAGACGTGTACAATTTTACTATATTGCCATATCATACGTAACAATGTAGAGCAAAATAAAAGGCACCAAAAATTTGACCTATTTCTTGTATAAAATCTTCATCTAGTGGAAGAAACGGAAAATAACAAAAAAAAAAAAAAATATTGAAGATAAAATAAAGCACTCATGTAGGAAATTCCTACATAATTTCACATTACCATTTTGTGCTGTTCATTTAATTTTCTACTTTTGTTTGCATAAGTAATTACAGAACGTGGTACTGGTTGGTAGTAAGGAATACTCAGTTTTAACAGTTTCCTTACACACTTAAATCATGTACTTATGATATGTCCCTTATACTGAAGTTTTGAAAATTGTGTAAATCTACTTTTTTTTTTGGGGGTGGAGGGAGCCTCTACCACATCTTCTACAATCTCCAATAATGCCAGAGTTGTAAAATCAGAAACTTCGTTAGAAAAGCAGAGACAACTTTCGAAAAATAACCGAACAGACATAAATAACATCATCCTTCCTGTTATCAGTGGATGCATAAATATGGGATAGCAAAAAATGTTCTTATGCGTGTTATGTTAACCCCCTTTGCAGCTTAAGTAAATTCGAGTTAATTTTGCCAATATGAAATGAATGTATTAATTATTACATATTATAAATGTATCGTATATGTATAGTATAGTTATCCCTTCATAGCAATAACTAATTCAAGTTGTTATCATAAATTTCTTATCAAATTATTCTCGTTTACATGTGCATGTTCAACAAATATGTGCCTTTACATTCCATATACATAAACGTGTACATATTATAAAAACATATATCATGGATATAATATGCATATTTCCAACATGGGTAACAAAATTTAATATGACTTTGCATATGCATCTCCTCTAGCCCAAATTAATCACTTGTGAAATATTTTATAGGGAAAATTCAAAAAAAAATATTATGAACAGCCATAAACGATATATATATATATATATATATATATATATAATTATCCAGGTGTTAATACCCTTCCCCTCCCTTCTCCACCTTGTGTATATGCTCACGAAAAATCCGACCTTTACTTCCTCCACATTTATCATTCGAAAATGTTTTATTTATATCTCTTTGCACCAATTTATTTGATTGTGGTGGTGGTGTATATATCTGTTTTTTTTTTTTTTTTTTTAATGTACTAGAATATGCAACACCGCTCGGTTATATAATTGCCATGTCATTTGATATAATCCCACTTGAAAGCATTTATAAGAACAAGCATTCATATTTTTTTTTTATTTTTTATTTCTTTATTTCTTTACTTTTTTATTTTTTATTTTTTCGTTTATTTACTTTTTTCCTTTTTTTTTTTTCCTTTTCCCAACTTACCCGTTCACCATAGGCGTGCATAATGTTACGCAGCCTTTGTATGGCACATTCGTACGTAATATGTATGTTGGTATGTATATATATATGTACTTATTTATATATATATATATATATTTTTTTTTACCACATATAACGACAATGAACGTATAGGGGAAATGCTACATTATACATGCCGTACGCATTTTTCAAATGTTTATTTTGTAGGAATATAAATGTACCTGAAAAATGTGTTCACTTGCCAATTGTACTAAAAAAAGAATTTCCTCTTATTTCAACCAATTTGCAATAGCACATGGAGTAGGATGGGGAAGTTATCATAATTTTTGTGTTAACTCTTCGATAGTATTTACATTTTAATTTTCACGTGGATTTTATTCTTTTTCATGTGTTTTTTTATTTCTCCTTTTCATTTACCTTGCTTACATGCTTTATTTTTCATTACATTTTTGTGAACATTTATGAAAATATTTATGAAAATATTTATGAATATTTATGAAAATATTTATGAAAATATTTATGAAAATATTTATGATCTTTTATGAACATTTATGAACATTTATGAAAATATTTATGAACATGCGTATGAAACATATATCAACATGTCATGATTATGCTAGTTTTTATGAATAATTTTCTCCCCCATTTTTAAATTAACCCAATGTGTACCAACTTCGTGCTTTCGTCACTTGCGAAAAACACAAATTTTTGAAATAGAAAAAAAAAAAAAAAATTAAATATGTAAAAATGATCAACTAGAAGGGACTTAACCCCTATTCCACAGTTTGGCCAAAAGCGCCCGTGAAGTGGATAAGTGGCCAAAGCCATAACACAGCTCTAGGGAACTGATAGGGGCTCATAGGGAGCGAGGTTCAACTTGAACTGATTCAACACGTTTACGTAAGCTCTTCTAACAGGAAAAAAATAAAAAAAAAGTACAAAATGAACTGTCCGGTTCATCCTGTATTTTTATTTTATATGGTTTTTACTTTTTATTTTTCATTTCTTCTTATGTTTAATTACTTATTATGTTTAAGTACTTATTATGTTTAAGTACTTATTATGTTTAATTACTTATTATGTTTCACTACGTTATAAGCTTCACTACTTTTTATTTTATTTATTATTCCACCTCCAGACTCATAATGGCCCCGTGAACTGCTTCAAGGGTGTTTACTTTTGTGCATGCATATTTCTCAAAGCATACAATATATATTTCTCATTTGTACCACCTTCAAATCTCACATTGTTTTCATCCTCTGATTGTGTGCATATTTATTAGCGAGAGCACGTTCTACACACACATTTTCACATGCACTGTATGCACATCTTCTCAAATGTAAAGGCGAATATATATAAATTTTCTTTATATGTAAGACCGTTTTTTTCCTATTTCTTAAACTTCTATTTTTGTTCCTCCTTGCAATGCTAATCAGTACATTGACAAAGGGAGCCATACCTAACTCTGCTTAGAGTTACAAAACAAGATATATAATATTGTAATAATATCCCTACATCGTCTATCATTCTTTTGGGAATACATCTTAATCCATTAACCTATACAAAAAGACCCCAACCCTGAGATTCATTTCTATGAAAAATGTATCAGAACAAGGAAAAAAAAGATCATGAAGAGGAGGGGAAAAGAAGTATAGGGATAAAAAATCCATCTGGTCACAGGAATAAAAAATACGGAAGAAATATAAAACATGCTCCACCAGTGTATAACAACAGATATATAAACAAATTTCATAAGCGAAACAATGATTTAAGGATAAAGAAAGGGAATAATGGAATGATGACTTTTAGTAATTTGTCCCTAAATAGTTGTCATCATAATGTTAAAGGAGATAATATAAAAGTTAATCAAGTATATTTTAATAAAAATAATATGAACAGGAATAATAAAGATATTTTAAGAACAAGTGTGTACAAAAAAAATTATTTGGGGCAGGATAATATTAACTATAACAGTTTTATAAATTCACAAACACCTATATGTTCATTACATATCGAGAAAACAGAAGATGATATAAAAAATCAAATAAAATATAATGAAACTGTTTACCTAAGCAATCATAAACATATTGTTAAAGAAGTAACTAATTCCAGTTACCCTTCATTTGTTGAAGAAATTAATTTTACCAACAATTTAGTTCAATTATCTGCAATTCTCATTCTCTCAAATAATGATAAAATTTTCAACAATTTAGAATTTGAGGGAAAAACTACCCCATCACCTAATGAATGCAATCTAAGCATCTATGTTAATGTTATGAACAAATATACTTCTCAATATTATAAGCAGTTGCACCCTGTCTCATATAATTTTAAAAACAGACTTTTGTTTGCCATACCAAGCACATTAGCCATTGTTGATTCCTCTCTGCTAATAGATAAAATAATCATTAAAGGAAATTTTAAGGCGATTTCCCTAATTGTACTTGGTCAAATTGAGGAAATAAGTGACAATTTAATGTAAGTTTATGTATCTATTTATGCATATAAATTGCCTGAATTTGGATGTGCCTATTTATTTTTGTGTATAAATTTTGTTATTTCACCATTCTGTTAGTGCATATTTCATCTTTTTTTTTCTTTTTATTTTTTTCTCCAATTCATTGTGATTCTCAGATCCTACCGCGAAAACTTTTACGACAGCAATTTAAGAAGCAAAATAAATGAAGATACACTAGATGTGGAAAACATAGATATGGAAAAGGATGATATGTATATCCCCAAGAAACCAGTTGACATCAGAACTTATAACATTAACACATTGATAGAAGAGAAACTAATTTCAAAGCAACCAAACAATGAGTATTATTTTAACAAAATCGAATGGCCTTATGAAGTTCAAACGAATGAACAGAATGAAACCTACGAATCGCAAGAACTAGACCAACTTCAAAATTTGTCCAATTTGCTTGAAGAACAGTTTTTAAATAACAACATGTACCAAAGTGAAAACTTGAACCTCGAGTACACAAATAGGGAGAAAAAAAATAAAACCGATCAAAATTCTAACAACACAAATGAGAAGGAAAATGAGGAAGAAATAAAAGGTGAAAACAATAAAATGGAAAAATCAGAACAGCTGCAAAATAACAGCAGTGATAATAGCATAAGTATGAATTTAGAAGAAAATGAAACAAAATCTTCCAATAAAAAAAACACCATGGTATATTTCGTCCCACCAAACAACGAGCTCATAATAAAAATATTAAACGCGTTTACAGAAATGTATAAAGTAAAAAAACGAATTTTTAAAAACAAGTTGTTACTTTATAAAAAAATTATTAAATATGGAATCATGTGGATGTTTTATATTTACAATAATATAAAACAAGATCAAGATGATTTCTTTTTGAATTATGCTAGATATACAGAAATTAAAATTTATGATATATTAGGATGCTTGTTATTGCTTAGAAGATGTGCATTATATTCTGAATTAGTTAAAGATATAATACATATGAATTTCAACTCGCATATGATATATTTGGATCAACAATGCCCCCATGTCTTAATCAATTTAGTCAATATGCTTACTATTAATAACATTTATTTTTTTTCATCATGGAAAATAAAAACTTCTATACTAAAAACGCTCATTGCCCTAATATCTGATGCTTACGTTATGAGCCATTTTTGTAATTATGTAAGTTGAAAAATGGAAAAAAAAAAAAAAAAAAAAAAAGCAATGCAATGAAAGAAAAGAAAAGAAAAAAAAAAAAAAACTGAGAGAGTTATATCCTACTATGCAACAACTTTATAATGTGTGTTTCCTATTGCTCCTCCCTTCCCTATTTCCTGAGCACCCATGCTTTTGTCCATATGTATATATACATTTATATTCTTTTATGTAGTATAGTTAGAAAATTTTTCTTCTTTCACTTTTCATGTTTGCCCCCCTCTATACATGATTTCCCCTGAGAATTACATGAACAACTTCCAATAATATGATAGCTTGTCTCACGTTCTATCCATTTTTGTTTATGTATATTGCACACGTATAAAAGGAGAATTTTTTTTTACCTTTTTTCACAAATTTATCTTCTTTCCGATATCCCAGCGCAACCCTCCCTCCACCACCTTGTTGTTATTTTCCCGTACAGGAGAATAGTGACATTTATGTGTGTACATTCATGTACATACATTATTACTCCATTTGACAAAAATATTATATTTGTTTTAGTTGATCTGCACGTTTGTTTATATATACAACCTTTCCATTCATTTATTTTTTTTTTTTGTCATTATTTTTTTTAATTTGTCAATGTTTTTGTTTTTGTTTTTTTTTTTTTTTTTCCACTTGCCACATAATATTCCATATGACGTGATTTTATTTTCACATGAAACGAATATAATACGTCATCGCTCTAATAATACCGCCTCCCCCCTTAGTATCTTTTATATAGAATATATTTTTCTTATTTTTTCTACCATACAACGGTAGAGTGATAAATATTGTCAACATAGTTTAAATGATTCATTTGAATTTTCTTTTTTGTTTTATCTATCATTATTTGACATTTTTTTTTTGTTTTTTTTGTTTTTTTTTTTTTTTTATATCGAAGAAGTGTTGATGTCTTTTTTGTAAACATGGAAAACCTTTCACACATATATTACCGATGTATTTATTTGTGCTCCATTTTATACGTTTCAATCTTTTTTTTCTTTTCTTTTTTTTTTTTTTTTTTTTTTTTTTTTTTATTTTTTTTTTTTTTTTTTTTTTTTTTTTTTTTTTTTTTTTTTTTGGTTCGCAAAACACATTGCGAAATGGATAAGAAGGCACATTTTAAAACTTTAGTCGAAAATATAGGTTCATGTCGAATTTGTATATTTATTAAGTTAACAGATATAGAAGAGGGGGAGGGTTAGAAAGTGCTCAAGTGATTTATTCTTTGGGTATCCTTAATTTTTTTTTTTTTGCAATTTCCATGATTTTATTCTAGTTTTTTGATGCCCACATTGTGACTTCCTTTTTTTTTTTTTTTTCTTTTTCTTTTTTTGAGTCCGTGCAAGGAGAAAAACAATTATTAGATATGGAATACTATGTGCCGTTCTGTATCCATAACGTGAATATGTATATACACATGATAAACTAATATTTGCATTTCGTTTGTACATTTATCATTTGCTCATTAAGTAGAATAGGATAAGAGGGAGGTGGGAAGAAAAAATATGTTAACTTTATATTATATTTTACATTTTTTTTTTTTTTTTTTTTTTCCACTCCAGGTGGATGAAAATGGAGATACCCCATACCAAAAGTTGTTAAAGTTGTCTTCAAGTAATAAAATGAAAAGGTAAGAAAATTATTTTTGTCTTAGTATGACGACTGTGTTTGTTTTGTATATTGGCCTTAAAATATCTACAAATTTGAAGTTTTTTTTTTTTTTTTTTTTTTTTTTTTTTTTTTTTTTTTTTTTTTTTTCCTCCTTTACATCTCACATGCACTACATGACCCCTACAATTTCCTCCCCACATTGTTGTCACATCTCCCTTCAGCTACAACACCAAGAGACTGCTTGGAATTATCTTGTGCAGAGTGAAGTTATATGAACAGATTAGGAGCTTCGAACAAACCATTATGCAAATTATAGTACATAGAAGAAAGTACGAGAAGAATCTGTTTAATGAAATTGTTACATTAAAGATAATACACGAATTGAAAAATGTACACAAGGAATTATTTCAACATAGTTGTAGGCCTGAGAGTAAAAATAGTTGTTATGATGAACTGTATGAAGACGAAATTTTTATTTTTGATGAAGAAAAGAAAAAGACGAAGAATTATTATATACACAAATTACATAATTATGTAATTTCATATCTACAAAGAAATAAATTTTTTATTCTTTTTCTCTATATTTTAAAAGAATTTGAAGAGTATTTAAAAAATACATTATTTTTAAATTCGTATGATATTTCATTCGTAACAGTTGTGAACGACTTTTTATTTTATATCCTCAACTGTTCAGGTGGAATTCATTTATTAATAAGTTACAATTTCACGTTGTTTGAAAAATTGTATAAAAACATGTGTCTAATTATAAATAAAAAAATGAAAGACTTAAATTGCAAAATGAAGGACTTAGGCAAAGGTCAAAAGAATGACAAAACTGAGGAAAAAATAAGCGACACAATCAAAATTAAAAATACTAACAACAATGAACTTGCAAATGATCCAGAGAAAAGTCAACTATTTAAAAATATATCAAACGAATCAGCTTACAATTCCTACGACACAGTACACCAAACCAAATGTAATAGAGCAGGTTATCCAAATGAAAATAATATATATTCCAACGAATTTGAAGACCCGTATAGCGAAAATAGCAAAATGATGAAGGGTGCAAAACATATGCCTGAGGTCGAAGATGCAGTAGGAGCAGGAGCAGGAGGTGGTAGTGCATCTACAAGTGGTAAAGGTGATGGACCCATCGCAAGTGTAACAAATTTTATGTCAACCAATCATGTTTGCGAAAAAAATGAGGAACTGAATAATAACGGTGCAGAAAATCAGAAATACGATTTCATATTTAACGAGAAAAACTTTTTTTATGACAATTGCAAGTGTATTTGTACATACAATGACATACTAAGAAATAAGGATATTTCAGATCATTTATATTTGGACGGATTTAACTATAAAGAAATGAAAAATGCACGAAATTATTGTTCATATATATTATGTGCGCTAAAAACATTTTTTAAAACGAATTTATTAATTGAATTGTTTTTTAATTCTGGAGATAATATATCCCTTGAGCATTTAAAATATTTTAATGTTCTCAGTTCATACCCACTTCCCAAATTGGCTCTTTTTAATAATTATAATTTTTATCATTTCTTCTTACATCTAATACATCTGTTTTATTATTTTATTTATTTGGAAAAATTATATGAAGAAGGTGTTACAAATGAAGATTCAGCAATAAAAGGAATCGCATATGTAAACATGGGGAATGAAAGAGAAAAGTCAACAAGTACAGAAAAGGAAAGTGAAAAGATACCGACAGGACCAACTTGCAATTCCAACACATTGAACGATTTAGAAAAAGAATCCTCACATGGAAATAGAAACATATCAAATAATATGAAAAACAATCAACACTTAAATAAGAACACAAACGAATGCATCTTAGTGACCATTCGTTACCTCCTTGGAATCATTCATAATTTAATTTTTTACGATGAATCTGGACATTATATACATCACTTGGGGTACTCCATATTTGTGTGCTTAGAAGAGATAAAAAACATCACTGGTGGTAATATAAAAAAGAATAAAGATTATTCCTTTGGTAGTTTAAATAATAAAAACATAAATAAAATCATGCTAAAGGATTATATATGTAGTGATAAGTTCTTTTATAATAACTACATCTATTTGTATGATAATTTGAAAGGATTATATTCTGACCTATATCGTTATGAAAAGAAAAAATTTTTTGAACTTGGAACAAGTAGAAAGAAGGAACTATATGAAAATAGTCTTCATACAATCTTCAATAATATGAGTAGAGGAACAGTACCAATCGGTGAAACTTTGGATGAATGGCGTAACATACCTCAACAAGTTGACGATGCAACTGAACAGAGATATGATGGAGATTATGAATCTAAATCTGATTTCATCAAAAGGAGAGAATCGAATTTTCCAGTTCGAAATTTAATAGATCAAATTAAAGAACGAATAAGTAAAAAAGAAAATATGTACCAAAATTTACCACCCCTAAAATCAAATTATATACCCAATGTGACAAAAATTATTGAAAGCTGCAATTTGGAAAAAGATAATAAATACATGTTGAAAAAATCAAAAGAATTAAATAACTATAATTGTAAACTCAACAACGATATATATATAAACAATGCTTCCAAAAATTGTACACGTTTGGGTAGTAGTAGTAGTACCACAAATCATCAGTATGTAGAATTACTAGAAGAGTTGGATGATAATAATACCATTTCACAAATTTTTTCTACAAGTAAAAAAATAAACACAACCACATACCCATTTTTGTCACTAAACTTGTTGTATTATTACATGAACTTGTGTTCAAACCTAAACTATTTTGTTACATTGTTTGATGAAAATGGGAGTACAGAAAAAGGCATAATGGAACCTCAAGGACAAGAAAAATCCATGATGAATAAAGAACATGATAATTTCCTTTACCTCACCAATGAGGGTATTTTTTATAAGGACCAGCAAGTATGTTGCAAGAATTATATATTCATAAAGAATGATAAAATTGATGAGACAAATAAACCAATAAAGTATGAAAGTATGACGACACGTGGTAACCATAAATATATGGATAAACATTCCATGAATAATGATTATATACCTTATGAAAATGCGAAAGAAAAAAAAATATATAATAAAATACAATCAGAAGAACATTCCTTTTTGACATCAGCAAATTATATGAGAAAATATGAACATGGAAATTTTAAAAATATTGGATCATTATTATATCTTGAAAATAATCTTGAATTTATAATAAAATTAATAACTAAATGTATTTTTTATTTAAATGGAAATATATTCAAATTAGCATTATTAAATTTTAACAAAATGAGTGGAAAAATACTATATAAAATTTTAAAAAATAGGTTAAAAACTTTATACCTAGTTAAATCGATTTTAAATATTCTTTTTAATTTCTTCTACAATTTAACAGACAATTCAAATTCCATTTCATTAAAATCGTATAGAAATAATGAACTTTTCTACGCTTTACTTTATTTATTAAATAAGTTGCTAAGTTTTACCGATTGGCTCGGATCAAATAACATAACGGAATATAATCATCACACATCTATATTCCTTTTAAGATATAATATTATTTACATGTTAAGAATTTTTTATTTATGGTTTAACAAAACATCAGATAATCAAACTTTTCTTTTTCGTTCTGTAATAAAATACACAAGAATTCTTCCTTCCTTTAGTACATCTGGTATGCTTTTGATTCTAGCCTTCTTTGATTTCAAAAATATTTTCCCCGATTATATTTATTCCTTTTTTCTTGCCAATAATTTGAAAGGCATATGTTACGACAGCTGTGACAACAGTACATCACAGGCTCAGTTGACCAGAGAACAACACCAGAACTACATTCAGGAGGAGGCATATCAACAGGAGGAGATGAAGCTCGATGACTCAGAGTTCGAGTACAGTCAAGATGCAGAAGTGGACGAAGTGCTAGATGCTGAAGTGGACGAAGTGCTAGAGGAAGAAATGGGCGAAGTGGTAGAAGCAGAAGTGGACGAGGTGGCAGATGCAGAAGTGGACGAGGTGGCAGATGCAGAAGTGGACGAGGTGGCAGATGCAAAAATGGATCAAGAAGACAATATCTGTGTTGTAGAGAAACATAGTCAGGTGGAGGAAGCTAACCAGGTAGGGGGAAGCCCAAAAAAAATTAGAGGTAGAAAACGAAGAAAAAATCTAAATAATAACAAGAATGTTCAAGAAATGGTTACATCTTCCCAATGTGATGTAGTAGAACACAAGGAAGTAGAAGATACATCGAAAGAGAAATTGACAAATAACAATAACCCTGTATCAGAGAATATAACGAATGATAACATAGCACATTCTGAAGGTCTGATACCAAACAGATTTTCGTACATGGATCAAAAGAAAAATTATGGAAATTTCTCTAGCAAAAATAAATATCCCATTTCTACGTATAACAAAAGGATCATATGCAGAAACAATCGCAATGTATTTGACCATTATATACAAATTCTGAATCAACCCCGTGACAGCTTCCTAAGTGACATGGAGGATGAGGAACAAGAGCAGGATGAACAGAATATATCAGAGCAACATGCTGAAGGCGAAACACTTATGAATCGAAGGAGTGAAACAGAGCAACGAATGGAAGGATCGCCTGAAATCATATCTAATGATGACTCGAATTACCATTATTATGCAAAAAATTCAAAGGATAAACTTATGGGTGATAAAAGCACAGATAATTGTAGGAAAACGAATGATATATCCTATAGTGAAGAAATGAATGCAGAAGAAAATGGAATACATAAGAAGAACCCCAAGTTAGAATTATATACAGATCCAATCATCGATATGAAGAACGAACTAAATGAGGAAACGAACGAAGGAAGAAGAAGCTTGGAGAGGGTTGTCCTATATTGTAAACTGGATGATACATTTCAAACAAAGGAAGATAAAACCTTATATCTATGCTGTGATATAAATATAAAGAAGCGAATTTTAAGTGAATATGAATGTGAACAATTTCGAGTTCTGAATTTAACGCATTCAACAGATGATTATGAAGAAATACTGGATGGAGAAAGAAAAAACATGGATCAAGTGCTTTATTATAACAACAAATCCATGATAGGAAATCTGTCACTTAACTTTAGTGATGTGGAAGAAGAGGAGAATAAAGGAAATAATAATAAAAACAAGAATAGTAATAATATTAATAATAATAGTAATAGTAATATGGATTCAAAAAGTCATAACAATTTTGACATATTAGATAATGATATTTTGTCAAAAAATTATATTGGAAATAACTTAAAAGGAATTTCATTTCTATCTACGTATAAAGTTCCATTTAAGAAATGCAAGGACACATCAAATTCTTATAACAGCAAAGACAAAAATATGCAGTGGTGGGGGGCGGAGGGAAACACCTCATTTTTATCTCCTCTTCAATCAAAGGGTAAAAGTGATAATGAGGATCGATTCCTTCAAAATCATTTTTCTTTCAATAATTTTAAATATAATGCGAATGAAATAATTTCAAAGGACAAACTGAATAATAGTGAGGATTACGATCACGATCTGTATTACTCAAGTCATGGAGAAAAAAGAGAAGGAAAAGAAGATAATCGTCGCATATGGAAAGAGGAATCTGAACTGATAATAGATGGAAGACAAGGGAATAAGAGAATCAATGTAATTCCAGATAAATCCATAACTGTTAGCGTGACATGTCCTTATTCAATTAAAAATTTTGTAGAAAATAATGAAGAAAACTATGCAGAATATATCTTAAAGAAACTGAGAAAAAATGAACATTTAATTGAACATCATATTAATATGAACAGATTAAACGAAAGCGAAAAAGAAAAAATACATTTAATAAAAAAAGAATTAAAAATAAGAGAATATACAAATTTTGAAGACTTATGTGATTATATTAATTTTATTATAAGAATAAGTAAAACGAATAATGTAATTGGTCGTTGTTTAAGTACCTATTGCTGTGTTCTTTTGATTAATCATAGAATCCCAATTTTTTCAATTCTTTTTAATCATATTTACAGCATTGTGAACAAACTAAAAAATCTAAATTTGTATAATTCTAATAATAATGATGATCACACTAGTATATGTATGAATAAAATTAATTTCTACTCTTTCTATTCTTACAATAGTACGCAGTTGAAAAATATTTATTATACTTACAATAAGGAAATCTATCATTTGAAAGAGTTATCCAATATTTTTTCATTTCTTCTTGAAATATTTCACATTTGCTTCTTTAACAATTATAAAAATAATTATAACAAGTTAATAAAACTTATTTATCTACCTTGTAAAAAAATGCTTGACATTCTCTATGATCTAATCCATAGTTTGAATGAAGTCTTTCCTCAAGAACTTTTACGATATGTAATAAAACTTTCAGCTACTATTTTTAGAGGTTATAGTTATGTATTATTCGTCTTCTTCAATAAACATGTCATTTTACAAGATCATTTATGCCATCCCCATGGATACACAAATGATTATTCATTATTGCATCTACAAGATTGTCTTTTCATACACAAAAATCAGATTCACGCAAGGAATTTACAAATAGACGAGGATAGCATAAATCAGAGAGAACAAAAGCAATACATAATCGAAAGCACAAATGAAAAATCATTTTACAGCCAAAAAAAAGTCCTTGTGTCATGTCCTAATTATATAAAATATATAAAGTTTTTTTTAAAATATTATTTCGAATTAATAAACACAAAAAATGTGATTGATGATAATAATAAAAAGGAAGTTCTATACAAATATTCACATTACGTGGATCTGAAAACATTACATCTTTGCTTGATAAATATTTACGAAATTGTAAAAAATCGAATTTTTTTTTTTTTCTCCGTCTTTAAAGTTCAAAAGGGACTTGTTAACTTATTTTTTAGATACATACATAAATGTAAAAATGGAAAAAAAAATTGTACACACATATTTGAAAACGAAAGTGGAAGAAACAATGCTAATGCTTCAATGCAAAAAAACATGAACATTTTTCCTGAAATAAGAGAATTGAAAGAAAGAGAATTACCATTCATATACGTGTTCGATTTTTACATAAAAATAAACAAACACATAAACCTTTCATATTTATTAGAATTTTTTACTCTCTTTTTTAACATTATCCAAGATATAGATTACAAAATTATTCAGCTATATCAGTACATAAATGCCACAGATATTATATTAAACATAATTAGTCAAATTATCGATTACAATTTTAATTCCCTCTTCATCCTTCACCACTTGGTTTCTCCAGACCTGTCATTAACAATGCTGTATGTAAACAAAGTTCTAAAAATGCATCACAAGGAAGTGCAGCTTTTCGAAGCAGAACAAGAGAAAGAGGAAAAAGAGGCCACCACACTAAAACACAATAACGATTTAAATGCTCAGTTTAAAAATAGAAGTGTAAATAAAATGGACATTAATGCAAAAAAGAAAACAAAAAAAATATCACACCTTCCGAATGTTAACGATTTTAAAAAGAACTTCTTATCAAATTTTCTGAATAGCCTGGAAAACCTACACCGTTGTATTGTGGACAATCAAATGCATGATAATAAATCTCACTCCAAAAGTGAGTCAAACGATATGAACGTTGACAACTTCCAAAAGAATCGAAGCAACCAATGTGATGCAGATCCTACCCAAAATAACAACAGTGATGTTAACCAATCGAACAATAAAATGAGACAAAATGAAGAAAAGAAGAATAATAACCCTGCCCATATAAATGGTAACATATCCATTGATAACATTGCAGGAAATTACACGAAAATATCCATACTTCATCTCCTATCAAACACTGTTTTAAATCTAATTCAAAAAGTAAAGTTAATTAAACAAAGAGTACTTGTTTTAAACACATGCTATGTCCCTGCAATAACGTTTAAGAATTTCCTTCTCTTTTTGTGCTATGATTTGAATGAGTTAAAAAAATTCTACAGGTCACAGAATTCTAAAAGAAGTTTCTCAGAGGCACAAGAATTATGTACTGAATTTATTGAAAACAGAAGACGACGAACTGATGGAGCAGAAACTATCATCTCCTCTGAAATGGTAGACAAACAAATAAAAAAACACTCTGAGGAGGATGCGAAAAACACAGGAGAGGAGGAGAAGGAGGAGGAGAAGGAGGAGGAGAAGGAGGAGGAGAAGGAGGAGGAGAAGGAGGAGGAGAAGGAGGAGGAGAAGGAGGAGGAGAAGGTGGAGAAGAAGAAGAAGAAGGGGGATAATGGTCCCAATACGAAAGAGGAAATTTGCAAAGGTGAAGAATATAAAAAAACAGGACCCACCAATCTGGTAGAAGTAACTAAATTGAATGATGTGAATAAGACTATTATAAAAAAATTGGAATCCAAAGATTATTCTTTTTTCTTTGATTACATTTTTAACGACATGGATTTTACTCTAAATAATCAATTTTTATTTAAAAAATTAAGCCATATTTTTTACTCTCCATATATTCTTAACAAAGTAACAAAGTCTTTTGAATCCCACCAACATTTAGATAACAACTATTTAATAACAGTAAAAAATATGAATGCAAATAATTTTATGCCTTCAGTTAATAAAAAGTTGTATGACTACTGTTCCCATCTATTTTCGGATATTCAATCAAGGATATATTTAAATGAAAATGATGAAGATAGAAATAATTTTACACTATTTAACGTTTCACAAGAAAGTAAATCAAAAGAAATTGATGAAAGCCATGCCCTATATAATTACATTAACTTACTTAAGGAAGAATACAATAAATTGCAGAAAAAAAAAATGGATGCCACGAATGCTCAGAATACACAGACAAAAACAGTCAAACCATTCAAGAGAAATGACAAAAACAATTTTGAAGATCATTTTAGAAATAGAAAAACCGTTTCCTCACGGGCCCCTTCAAAACACGTAGATGATTATGAGGCTGCCAATGCTGCCACAAGTACAACACCAAATGAGGCGAAAAATAAGGGAAAAGAAAACGAAAAAGAAAACGAAAAAGAAAACGAAAAAGACAACGAAAAAGAAAAAAAAAAGGAAAATGAAACAGAAAACGAAAACGAGCAAATTGTTAAAGAAATTAATGAAAATTCTATTGAGAGCACAAACAAAGGTGATATCAAAACTGTTCCAAAAGGTGGACTAAAAAATACTTCTAGAAAAAATATGCATCCTCAAAATAAAAACAAAATGAACATTACTCAGAACAAAGTTTACAAAATGAATAACTTAAACAACAGTAGAATTAACACTCACCTTAATGACAACACCCATGGTCATGACATTCCCAACCTGTCCAAAAACATGAACACTATGAAGAACGATATTTACACTACAGCTTCAGTGGAAATGTCTAACAGAAGGAATAACCAGAAGGATTCCAATGTTAGGAGCACTGGTGAATACATTTCCGGAGAAAGCATGGGTGAGTATCAGCATGAGTCGAATTATGATTCCAATTTTGAACCCAATTATGAATCAAACCATGAACCAAATTATGAATCGAACCATGAACCAAATTATGAATCCAACTATGAACCAAATTATGAATCCAACTATGACATCAACTATGAGGCAAACTTGGACAACTACGACATCTACAATCACTACGATCCCAACGATAATATGAATAGTAACAATTACAACATCACTGAAGATGATACGAATCCATATGATCCCAGAAACCATTTTACCAGGGACAATAATGTCGAAAATAATGCATCGAACAAATCAAGTCATCCCAATGACATTTATGACTCGAATTCCTCCATGACCCATAGTTATAACAACCAAAATGATTTCAAAAAAGATAATATAGAAAATAATAATAACTCAAATAATTACCATATAAATATGCATAAGGATAACAATTATGGTATATCATCCCATGATGGAAAAAATATGAACTATATAGAAAGTAATACTATTGTTAATGCTAATGTTAATGTGAATAATATAGGAAACAATGAAAAGGATAATAACAATAATTCTCGAAAAGATGAACATATTGAATCCAACGAAATGGTTAATAAAAATTCCCAGTTCGAAGATTGCACTTGTTACAAATTTAATTTGCTTGGGTGGAAAGAATTTTCAGAAGATGGTCATAAAAATGATTTAGATGTTTGTAAAATTGTAAACAAACCTGTTTTGTTAAGAGATCCAAGAATTAAAATGAAATTTCTTAAAATTCTGGATAGGCATAAAAATATTAAAGATATATTTAAAAAGTTGGGTGTCGACATAAAATGAGCTTGTCAAAAAGAAGAGAAAAAAAAAAAAAAAAAAGAAAAAAATACAAATGAAGAAAAATTCAAGTGTGCAAGAATTTCCCGCTTAGCAAATTTATATAACACATGTGCACTTATATCTCTAATATATCTCATAGTTCATCATATAATTATCCCCAAACCTCCCCATCCTCCCACACAACACCCATGAACAACGCCCAATTTTGCAATTCACGAATTCCGATAGTCTCACAAATACATTCACCCTGCACGGCATTCATTGCATATCGCGTATTTCAAATGAATTTATCACTTACCGCGACGAAAACCACCACTATCCTTTTTTTGAGAATGAACAATTTTAAACGACGCATTCGGGAGAGGGTAAAAGGGAGGACAACCCCTATATGCCAATACCATGTATTCCTTGTTAATCCTATTGTTTTGCTTCACTTCGTTTTGTTTCACACCGTTCTGCTTTTTGCTACATCGTTTTAGTTTATACCGTATTTCATCCCATTTTTTCGAATATCGGCCCCGTGGAAAATCCACAAAAAACCTCTTCATTCGCGACCCTGTTTTTGCCGTCGTCATTTCCTCCACCTTAAATGTTTCGTGTTTAATTCATCATTCGGCTTTAACAATCGCCATACCTGTGGTTTAAATAAATGTAGTTTTGTCTCATATTGCTTTAAAACGTGATTACTTCTTTTTCTATTCGTGTAAGTTAATTTGCTTGCCATTCCGGAATAATTACATAAGGAATAACCTGCCTTCAAAATATGAACAAGCTTTGTCAAAGATATAATAGATGGAGTTATAAATGCCAGTGACTTCATAAATGCCTCTTCATTAAAATTCCCATCCTTCCTTAATTTTTTCAAGTATAATTCTAACGATTTTTCATTATTCAGTGCTGTTGTGTTGAATGGATAAATTAGAGGGTATGCCAATCTGCTCTGCAAAAGGTTTATAAGCATGTTCACGCGACAAATTAGAACAGACAACCTTTTTTCCTTCCCTGTGTAGTTCATCATGTCTTATTTATTTTTATCCTTCTTTTCTTGCAAGTTAATCGAATTGTCAGCCTACACTCTTATCACTGCAAAATCGTGTAACACAAGGAAGAACACACCTATTTTTGCAGTACTAAGGAACACTACATTACCTGTTATTTCTCCGTTCAGAGCATTTTCCAAACAAGTGAAAAAAATTTGCTAAAACTGGAAATTAATGAAATAGAAAAAAAAAAAAAAAAAGTCCTTTCAAATAGGCAATAAAATGTAGACTCCTTTTTTCCTTTAAAAAAAAAAAAAAAACGCAATGGGAATTAAAATTTTTAGAATCATTGTTTTTCTTCCAGCTGAACTGACAGAGTATACCTATCTTCTGAACATTTTTTCTACGTATTTATAATAAATTTTTTTTTTTTTTTTTACGCATATCTAATCAATGCAATTTTTTGAGTTTTCCTATTTGACAAGGTCCTCACAAAGCGTATTCAACGCATTCTTTCTTCATTAAATAGTCCTTAAACCACCTCATAATGAAAAATGTAAAGAAGTACACCTAAAACTTATTATTACACCTGCTTAACACCATCACAATATTTTTTCTGCTCATGCTCTCCCTACCCATATCTTTCAAGCATGTGAAACATTTTTCCTTTTATTCTTTTTTTATTAATAAATGAAGATTTTTCATGTGACACGTGAACCGATTATTGGAACGCATTCTCACATTATTGACAAAGTTGTGAAGTTACACACGAAATGTAAATAATATAATGCAAGAAATAAAAAAAAAAAAAAAAAAAACACGTTTATATATATATATATATATATATATATATATATATATATATATATATATATATATATGCATATGCAACATTGCAAATAATTTTTTTTCTAAAATACACAATTTTATATTTTAATATCACTTAAGGGGGCCACATTTTTGGATTAAAAAATTTTGGAGGACCCTGTCAGTGCCCTCGTCAATTGTTAATGCAATTGTATTGTTATGAAATATATTTGCAAATTCTCCATTACTAATTGGTTAAAAAATAAAAATGATACTATTCTTTTATGATGGAGAATAGAATCCTAAATATAACTTATTGCATTTATTAAGCATACATAAGTACGCGTTTTTCAAGCATATTATTTGGAAAAAATATGTGTATCTGGGGGGGTATCCTTATAATATATAAACAAAGGTGTTCTTTTCTTAACGCTTCAGCATACATTTATGTAGATGTGTGACTATAGTTACGCTGTATTGGATTTTTCCACTCTGTGTATTCAACACTTCCTTAATGAAATATCCTCCATATGTTTGCACATGTTATGTCTTGTTATTGTGAAAATATTCATTTTTTCTAATTTTTCTTTACTAGTAATGCTGACCATGTGGTGAGGAATTCATTTAAAATACCTTCATCCGATTGTGTAGATGGAAGAGCACATTTTTTTTTTTTCCATGTTTTTTGAGTTAGACATTTTATTTTATTTCCTTATGAAGGTAATGATTAGGACTGTTCACTAACAAAGGCTTATACTTCGTAGCACTTTTCAGTGATGTATGTTCCTCAATTCTCTGATCGACTTAAAATCATCATCGGATGCCCCATTATATAGTTTACTACCCAAATGATTTTCTTCTCTTTTTAAAATATGCAATAAGGACTTTGCAGATTCCCTTATTTTCGTATATGCTGCAGATGTTTCCTTAATAGTTCGATCATATTCTAAACGTGTTTGTAGTTTTTTTGTTATACTGTGACAAACTTCTTGTAGCTTTTCGTTTAGCATGGCTATCTCTTTCTGCATTCTTTCTTTGTCCTCTTCCTCATGTTGAATGGAAACAGAAAGGGGGAAGAAAATGAGGTGGGACAAATATGGACAATAAATATGAATAGATGAAAAAATATATTCGCTAAAAATCATGTAGATACAAAAAAAAAAAAAAAAAAAAAACATGCACACACTTGGACAAAAATGTTTAGAAACATTCTCATCGCTCCTTGTTTCATTTGTGTACCTTTAAAATTTGCTCATGTATTTCCTGCCTCTTTATTCTTAGTATCTCAATGCATTTTGACAATTCATCTTCACTTTTTATAAGTGGTGTTGCCTTCTTACGATCCATTTTTTTGTCTCAGTATAAGTGAAATTGTGAAAAAAATTTATCAAAAAAAGATATCTTACGTGTTTTTTTTTTTTTTTTTTTTTTTTTTTTTAAAGTTATTTCATAATTTACACTTATACACATGAGAGTCGTGTTTAATCAAGAACTCTTATATATAAAAGTAATACTACACAAAAGCAGTCATATTATGTAAATACAGAAAAAAAAAAAAAAATGTTTCAAGCTTCAAAAAATGCAAAAACTTATGTATAAGCCGAATCAATGTTTTATAATATGAACAATTGTCTATCTTTTCAGCGAACCATATTAACATGTGCAACCCGTAAACAGATGGAGCGCAATTAAATGAAATGGGACCAAATGTAACGAAATGGAACGTGACTTACGAAACATGTGCGACGAAAAGAAATGCGTGCAGGGGAAGGGCTATAGTTTCCCATTCACAATAAAACCATCGCACAACTTTTTATTTTAAGTTCGTCTATAATTTATTTAACTATTCCTTTTTGCTATGCTATATGATTTCCCTTTGATTCGTTATATTTAGCATTCCTTCGCTTTGCTTTTTTTTTCACAACACACCCATGCACGGCGTTACAATTTACATGTTCCTTCAAAATTTTGTCTAAATGTAAAAAAAAAAGAAAAAAAAAAGTAACCATTGAAAAAGAAACACATTTCATGAAATTTTGTATAAATTTTGACACAATTTTGTGCACAACTGTCGCATTACTTTCTACACCATCGCGATATAAATGTATGATGCATATGCACACAATATTTGCAAATGTTCAGAATTTATACTTTTTTTTTTTTTTTTTTTTTTTTTTTTTTTATGAACAGTTCATAATCTTTTACTCTCGTTTATCACTGAAAAAAAAAAAAAAAAAAAAAAAAAACTGAATGAACAAATTTGTTTACCTTTTTATGAACACAATATATTGGTCACACTTTGATAAAATTTTAATCATATTTTTTTTTTTTTTTTTTCACATTCCTTGAACAGCTAGACAATTTAAAAAAGTAAAAGCTACGCTCGTTACGTAAAATGAACAATTCTGGAAAAACAAACATAAATTCCTGATCCTAATTTAACGAAAAATGGGTGATATGCCAACGTTTTTACCAAAAATTACGAATTATTTAATAGTTTGGACATAACCTTGAGAATGACGCAACAAGATGAAAACTGTTTCTTTTACCATCAATTGCACACATTATGAAAATATATTAAAAATTTGGTGTCATTGTGTTGTAAAATGGGGAATAAAACAGTGTATTCGCAGTACAACTATTGGTAATAATATTCATATTTTATTACTGCGCGTAAAAAAAATCACGTCATTATACAATTGTTACAAATTAAAAATAGGAAATGAAAAAAGAAAAAAAAAAAAAAAAGACAAGGTTGGGGGAAATTAGGCCTCAAAATGGACGACAAAATAAAAAAACAGAGCCAAAAACGAAAATAAAAACAAAAATAGAAACATAAGCATAATAGAGAAACATTCATCTGTTTTTTTCCTCCTTTATCTTTTTAGTAAAGTAATCATTTACGTGAACCATCACGCCCTTGACATGATCCGACAAATTGTTATGGCTAAAGCATATTTCAACACCTTCTTTGCTATTTTGAATGCCTTCGATGGGCCCCACTCCAGATGAGCACTGGAAAACCTTTTCTCCATTAATGAATGTGCTCGACTTAATTAACATTTCGCATTTTTCTTTATCTAGCTTGCTGCTCCCAATGTTTTCGGAATCTCTCGTCGTGTTCATTTTGTTACAATTGTTTCACGTGCATGCATGAGCCCACGCCACACATGGGAATACAAAGTGGTGTGCAATTTTAAATAACTGCGTAACTGTATATACATATAAATATATATACAAATCCAGGAATTTAATGGGTCAGGGTTTCAGCACAAAATTATTTATCCCCTACGTGTCAATAATGATAGTCCAAAATAAGAACATTCGCCCCAATATATATAAAAGAACCTAAGGAAATATAACAAACATGAAATAAGTACCCACCCTCTTGTTCTGTAATATTATTTATACAAATTATAAATTAAAGCGGAAAAAAAAAAAAAAAAGAAGCTATTCTTGCATATATAATGCGGTAATACTATCGCTATTGCTCATCGTGCGTTTTTTCTTGCAAAAATACCGCTTTGAATCCACGTAAAATATGGTTCAGTATATAAAAAGACCAAATGGTTAATTCTGTTAAGACACTTATATTAAAATAAAAAGATACTACACCATTCATTCACTCCCTCAATTATTTTTGCTTCCCTTCGTCCGAGTTTTTAAAATTATACATAAGCCTGAACATAAATTTACGATTTGATTGGGGGGACTATGAAGAACGCCTACTGCAAATGGTGTCTCACGCTTATTAGCGATCATGCTGTGAAATTTGAAAAAAAGAGTTATCAAAATATTCTTTAAGTGGGGCTAGCATATAAGAATGCAGAACACGTGAAGAAAACTGGGATTACTCAAAAGTAGCATATATAACATATAGCAACAAACCGTTACTCATGTTTTGCTGTTCATTTTTTTGTGTTTTTTTCTCCCTATTTTCTCCCCCATTAATCCCACCAAATTCAACGATCTCATAATTTGACTTATAGTCTGAATGTATTTTTTTTTTTTTTTTTCCTTCCCAATATTTTTCCCTTAAAGCAAAGTATATAACAGTTGTTTTTATAAATTCTGCTTTCGACGACAAAATGATGTACATATAAAATGAATAATAATTAGATGACCCATTCGGTCGTTGTATGCAATTTAAGATTCGATCGAATATTTTGTAAGATAAAGGGATGTCCACAATACCCGTATCCTTAAAACAATTCGACAAAGATTTGTGTGAAGAGAAAAAAAAAAAATGTTCAAAAGGGGAACAGTTTATATTTTTACTAATAAACGAATGGGTGAACATAAAATAAAAATCCAGAAACTGGAACCCCTTTTCTAAATATATTATTATTCTTTTTCATAAGTTAAACAACAGTAACAACGAAAATACTACATATACTACAGTACCCCCATTTTTATGCTCTAAAATCAGGTACTGTACTACAATATTTGTACACTCGTATATCTTTTATAATGCCCCCCCAAAATTTGATATTCCTTTTATATACCCACGAGGGCATCACAGAAGGTGATGAAAGTTATTTAAATTTTCGAAAAAAAAAAAATATACATAAGTACGTAAGCAAAGCGTATATTTTATGTTCTGCATATACATTATGTTCTGTACATATGTAATATATATAATGTTTTGCGCACTTTTTTTTTTTTTTTTTTTTTTTTTTATAAATGATATAGTGTAGCATGGCGCACGGTACGAAGTAGTGCATTCGTATACGCATATATAATTGCAATGGTTTATATTATATAGTGGTTTAAAGCTTTTTTTTTTTTTTTTTTTTTTTCTTCTTCAAAATAGGTATGATAAAGCTGAATTTAACCCATTTTTAGGTGCTCTTTATTTTATATAATGTTTTAAACAGAATAAAGGAAAAAGGCCTTTTCCATTTTTACAATAAAAAAATAAATATATTTACATGTACAACACATACATGTAAATTTTTTTTTTTTAAATTAAAAAAAAAAAAAAAAAAAAATTATACAATTTTTACGAACAAAAGTAAACACGCTGGTCAAATTTGTCACATAATAAAAGTATAAAAATATTTTTAATTCTGTGAGAAATAAAAGAACGAGAAAAAAAAAAAAAAAAAAGCGAAAGTTTTAGTTTATCAACCGTACCAGTTTTATCACATTATATTTCCACGAGTACATTTCTCCTTGATATTTTTTCTCTTTTTACCAAAATGCAAATATTCGTAAAAACATTAACCGGAAAAACCATCACCCTTGATGTCGAGTCATCTGATACGATTGAGAATGTTAAGGCAAAAATTCAAGATAAGGAAGGAATTCCACCCGATCAACAGAGATTAATATTTGCAGGAAAACAACTAGAAGATGGCAGAACATTAGCTGACTATAACATTCAGAAGGAGTCCACTTTACATTTGGTAATATATAAAAAAATACATATGTTATATATTAAAGAAAACGAATTTGAAGAGAATGATAAATAAATTCATAATATTTACAATTAAATTTGTCCAGCTATATATATTTTTTCCGAACTTATAAATCCGTTGTGTTGTTTATGTATACATGCCCGCCCATACATCATAACTGCAAATATAATTACATTATGAGCAAGTGTTTATTGCGGACAAAATCGACATATATATATACATATATATATATATATATAACGAATACCTTTATTTATATTCATGTCCAGAAAAAAAATAAAATAAAAAATAAGGAAAGGCATCACACAACATTTATGTATATATTATGTGCATGTATTGTGTGTACGTAAGTGCCCATTTAGCTGCATGGACTCATTTATAAGTACTTTCGTTTCCCCTATCCCATGTTGAGATAATACATGCATTACATTATTATGAGGTGTAGATCCTTTACAGTCGTTTTACAAACCGTGAAACTCAGTTTGACATATTTCTTCCTCACCGTCTACACATGTGCAACATTTCTTCCCCTCCCACACACAGGTGTTGAGACTTAGAGGAGGAGCCATCGAACCATCCCTCGCCCAATTAGCACAAAAATATAATTGTCAAAAATTAATTTGCAGAAAATGCTACGCACGATTGCACCCAAGAGCCACCAATTGTAGAAACAAAAAGTGCGGAAGAACGAATCAATTGAGACCAAAGAAGAAACTCAAGTGAACGATGCGAGGTGGTGTCGTCCATCGGAACGTATATGTGCAGAGGCATGGAAGGTGTGATGTACAGGAACTGCTATCGTACTATAGGAAGGTTTAACAAATATACGTTCGCATCCATTCATATGTATATATGACATATATATATTTTTTTTTATTGTTATTATTTTTTTTTTTTTTTTTTTTTTTACTTATGCATTCATATGAACACGTGGGTAACATATATAACACGCCACCTAAACAGATATACAGAAATACACACACCTTTCATTCTTAAAATGCTTCTTTAAATCATTTCTTTTAATGACGTTCCAAGTACACACCCTATTATATATTTACTTGAGTGACTGTGCGCTACTGAAGATGAGTGCCTTTTTTTTTTTTTTTTTTTTTTCTTTCTAACGGCTTGTTAACATTTTGTACATATAACGATGCGCATGAAACTGTATCAGCATATTAACATAAGGAAAAAAAAACAATGGACGGAATAAAAACTTTAAAAAAAATTTATGATGTGTAAGTTCTTTACAAAGATACATGTGAATCATATATTCGGTTAAACGAAAAAAGGATGAAAGTGAATAAAATAATAAAAGGAAAAAAAAAAAAAAATGTATAATATAGTAATAATAACTTTTGCCACGACTTCCGCTATTATTTGTTATTGTTACTATATAGTAATGATACTAATTTAAAAAAAAGAAAAAAAAAAAAAAAAAAAAAGCATACACGGATAGGAGTAGGAATAATAGAAGTAGGAAAATAGGGATGGAGAAAGTATATGTAAATATGTTATACTTTCTCTAACGCTATTCCCACTTCTATTTTAAACCATATATGCATTATGCATACAAGCGTTTTGGAATATCCACTGTTGTGTATTTTCAAATATAAAATGATTATACATCACAGGTGTAACAAGGAGCTCATAATGTTACAATTTAAAAAAAAAAAAATCAAAAAACTTTTGAGAGGCATGAATGAAGAAAAATGATAAAAAAAAAACGGAGGGGGACAGGTTAAAAGAAAGATGAAACGGGAGGAAAAGTTATTGAAAAAAATAAAAATAAAATAATTCAAATTTGCGTAAACACTATACTTTTTCACACAGGTTACGTAGAGGTGTACTACTAATGCACAAACATACTAAGTGAATAACTGGAGAAGGGGATATACTCAAACAACAAAATGTTATTTTATTTTATTATTTTATTTTTTTATAAATAGTCAAACTCTTTGCAATTTGTAAAACAAACCTATTTTCTAAAATCGTCAAATTGCTAATATAGGTATGTGAAAGTACTATGAGAGTCCCCTGTGTGTGTGAACTAAAACATACCGAATATGCATATGTATAAACACACCTATATATATACATATATATTTGCATTTATATATATGTATTTATATATATATGTTTACACATGCGTATTTACAAATACGTATTTACACATACGTGTATTTGCACATTCGTATTTACACATATGTATTTATACATTCATAAACTAAAACAAATGAAAATTCTTTTAGGCACATGCTTATGCGTTCTTACATGCACATATGATGAAAGCTAAAGAGAACAGTTTACAAAAGTCAATAAACGTAAGACGACTGATACTGGAGGAAGATGTTACACAAATATTCGTTTGTATAAAGCCTCCTCTCTATGTGCACCTACCTATAACACATGTTTATGTCGTATCTCTAATGAGAATTCTACCTTGACTCGTCCATATATCCACGTATATATATATATATATATATATATATATATATATATATATATATATATATATATATATTTACATGCACATAAATATAAAAATAAGCATAAGCATAAATGCAAACGTATACATAAAAATTTGTGCGTATGCGAACACACACTTACTGTGGAAATGCAGGGGCAATATTCTGAATGGAATAACTTTTTGCCTTTGTAGATTCTGCTGGCGACGATTTATCATTAACCCCTAGAATACTTTTAATATTATAAAAAATGGATTCCTTTTTAGCATCAGATTCAGTTATTTCTCCATAACTTACTGTTTTCTTGGGAATTTTGTTTTCTATACTTGAAGTGGTGTTACGAGTGAACGGATTAATGCTAGTAGCACTACTAGTATTGTAGTTATAATCTCTGCTTTGACCACTACTCATTTGTATACTTTGCATACTGTGCATACTATTTGTGTGACTGTATGCTTTCTTTTCTTTAAATATATTCATGTCATCTTCTTCTTCCAAAAAGAAGTTGTAATCGATTGGAAGTTTTGGTTTCTTTGCATCAAGGTATTTGAATTTCTGTATAAAGTTATGGAATGAAATATTGTGCTATATGTATCACGATCTCTCACGTAAATTTGCAATATTGTGCAGGCATAATTGAAACAGAAGGGGATATTCTCACATGCATAAGGATGTAGAGAAATGTTCTGATGAGTCAAGCGTTACATGTGTGACATCCAAAATTGTGCATGTACACTCTCTATGTCTGACTCATGGAGAAACATACAATAAACTCAAAAATGAATCGTGCGGAAAGTTTCTTCTTTACTTTCATTTATTTGTTTCTTTTATTTATTTGCTTCTTTTATTTATTTGTTTCTTTTATTTATTTATTTCATTTATTTTGTTATTATTTTTTTATTTTTATTTTTTTTTTTTATTCTATTTTCTCTCGTATTTCAAATTACCAGCTCCTTCAGGGGGTCCTTCAATCTGAGGGACACAGAATTCATAAGAGAAAAATAACATAACAAAATTTCCAGGTCTTTTCTAGCATCAAATAAAACTTTATTTGTTTTATTTTCTAGTATAACTTCAAAACCTTTTTTAATGGCATCATGATATTTCAGATAATCATTTTTAACCATATTTAATTTTGCTTCATTTCTAATAACTTTATCTAAATGTTTTTGATTCGATGTAGTAACTAGCTGTAATTTTCTAATTTTCTTTTCATAATGTTCTATTGATGCACCTAAATTTTTTTTTCGCGACAATAAATTTTGTAATGTCTTAATTTTTTCAAGTGTATTATTAGCAGCCATTTTAGAATTAGCTATATGGGTCGTAATTTGTTCCCTTACATCACTAAATGTGTTCAATATATAAGATACATGTTTAATTATTTCTAGATTTACATCATTTTCAAAAAAGGACATTAGACTTCTGTTCAAATCACTTATCATTATATTTATGTTTTTTATAACACTTTCTAATCTTTCTAGATATAACAAGGAGTGAGAAAAGTAATTGTGGAGTGAATTTAATTGTTTTCTTTCGACGTAAAGTTCATCATCTTTTTTTAAATTATCATTTGACTTTCTGAACTGCTAATATGAAACGGTAGAAACGAAAAAAAATTGGGGGGGTGGGGGGAGAAATAATAACATGAGTTAATGCGAAAAGTGGTCTTAAAAAATGGGCAAAATGCCACTTATAAATGAACTCATAATTTAATAAGATGTAATGTGGTGATGTGGATTCGTGGGTACATCCCAAAATATATGAATATCTGAAGGGACTTCTTTGTTGTTAATTTATTAATGTGAGAAAAAACACACAAAATATATACTCTTAAATATACAACAATCATAGAGATATGAAAATTCCTCTCTTTCATTTCCCCATTCTTTTCTCCTGCGTGCTGTTTAATACCTTTTCAACGAAAGCCTTCATGTTATTCATTGCTACTGATTGTGGACTCAAACTTTGAGTAAAAAACTTCAAAACGGAATTAAAGAAAAAAAACAAAAACAAAAAAAAAAAAAACTACATTATAAATAATTATATCTAAATTTTCGTAGAGTCCACTTTCTTCCTCTTCTGCTTCCTCTTCTTCTTCTTCTTCTTCTTCTTCTTCTATTTTCCTCTCACGTTTTTGTTAAAAAAAAAGTGGTGTACCTTTCCTTTCGAAAAAATGTCATTATACTTTTTCATTTACCTCTTTAATAATCAAAAAAAAAATAATAAATAAATAAATAAGGTCGCATAAAGAAAAACTAAGATGGAAAGGGAAGCGAAAGGGGAAGGATGATAAAACAAAAACAAAGCACTTTCCAACGGACTGCTTAGCGTAAAAAAAAAAAAATAAATAAATAAATAATATAAAAATAAATAATTAATTAATAAATAAATGAATAAAATAAAAAAATAACATGAAAAAAAAAAAAAAAAAGTCTAAATAATAGATTAAAAAAAAAAAAAAAAAAAAAAAAAAAAAAAAAAAAAAAAAAAAATAAAAAAAAAAAAAAAAAAAAAAAAAAAAAAAAAAAAAAAAAAAAAAAAAAAAAAAAAAAAAAAAAAATAAAAAAAAAAAAAAAAAAAAAAAAAAAAAAAATAAGAATGAAAAAGAAGGGAATGAAAATAACAATATAGTGCGCAAAATAACACTTTGCAGATGTGTAAGGAGCAACACAATAAATGCGGGTAGGATTTTTTTAACGTGTACTATTTTTTTTTTTTTTTTTTTTTTTTTTTTCACATATGTGCTTTTTTCTTTAATTTACATAATCTTTTCTATGTACCTTATTTATATGACATATTACATAACCCGTGTTTATATTTACATGTGTGCTCCTACACTGGTATTTAAAATATATAATGTATATTTGTAAATATATTCGTAAACCTAACGTTCAATCCAACACATAAAAATTTATAGGATTTCTTTTTACCTATATTTTTGTGTAAAAAAAAAAAAAAAAGGAGGGAAGAAATCTTTCAGGACATTTAAGACTACCCACCAACACCCCACTTCTACCCCCGCTTTTGCTTTCATTTCCACTTCCTACAAGTCTGTATACCTTTTTTTATTTCATTTTATTTTTTTTTTTTTCTGTTGCTTTGTTTTCCCCTATTAACTTTTCCCCACATTTCCCCTTTCGACACGTACACATAATTAAAAAACATTAAATAAAGGTCCCCCCCCCCCCCAATAAGCATAACTTCATTTGAGAAAGGGAAGGATTATTTGTTCTTTTTGCAAAAAAATTCTAATTGCGTTTGTATTATGTGTATTGAGAAAACTTTCATCATAATGGTTGAAGTGACATTCGAACGCATTTCATTCTGCATTAACAAAGGATTAACTATTTATTTCTTAAGTGAACGTAAAAGGTGAAGGAAATGAAAAAAAAAAAAAAAAAAAAAAAAAAAAAAAAATGGAAAAAAAAAAATAAATAAAAAAAAAAAAAAAAAAAAAAAAAAAAAAAAAAAAAAAAAAAAAAAAAAAGGCAAAAAAAAAAGTGAAAGAAAAAAAAAAAAAAAAAAAAAAAAAAAAAAGAAACAATGGAACAGAAAAGCAAATATAGATGTACATTTATATATGCTCATGTACTCAAACAAGATCGCACAGTAGGAAAAGATCTTGTTTAACATGCACAAAAAAAAAAAAAAAATAAAATAAAATAATAAAATATTCATCATCCCTTTCTGATATGTAAAAAATTTACCGCTTTTCAAAAAAAACAGAAAATATAATAAATATCCCCAAAAATTAGTGCACAGATATATACAAATTTTACCTGCTAACATCTCATACAACCATTAAATTCGTTCCTACGTCCACTGATCTTTCATCTTAGCACGAAGACATATAAGAAAGTATTTACGAAAGAATCTATACACAAGCTTTTTCTTTGTGTAATCCAAATATTACGCATGTTGTTACCTGTGTGTGATTTATATATATACCCATATGTTTGATGGAACTGTCCTTGTTTTCCTTTTGAATTTTTTTTTTTTTTTTTTTTTTTTGAGCGAAATTAAAATTTCACGAGCAGAGTGTCATATGTAAAAGCAGATCATTTTGCTAATAATCATCATAATCAATTGAGTTAATTTCATTTTATTTTTATGCGATTTGTTCTTTTTATTCGTATTGTTTTTCACTCGAATTCATACTTCATGCGAATTGTTCTTTTTGTTCGGGTTGCTTTTTATGTCTGCATTTATATATCCATTTTACTTTTGTACATCCGGATTGAATTTCATATTATTTATTTATTTTGTTTCGTTTTATTTTGCTTTATTAGGTCCTATTTTATTTTGTTTTATTTTATATATTTTTTTTTTTTTTTTTTTTTTTTTTTGTTTGCTTTTTTTTATAATTTTTTTTTTTACATTCATTTACCTCAATGTGCGCCCTTGTTTTGCATCTACATACATAAAATCCCTTTCATTTGATGGCACAGCTATAAAACATATTTTTAACTGTTAATATAAAATGCTTATTTAAACCAAACCAAAGGATTAACATTTATGAACATCTGAGATATAGACAATGCAGTGAACATGTGGAACTTTTGACTTCAGAGCTCGGTGGCCCTTTCTTCATAGCATAAAATCGGACATTGCAAATACACCCTTGTTTTCAGATATGAGCTTTCACACACGTACATTTGTACATGCATACAAAATGTGAATAATGTACATATATTTATATATACATATATACACAATACATGAACCCATAGGATCATTATATTACGACAGGCAAAATTTGCAACGATTTTCTTTTCACAAATGATCCATATATAACATAAAATTCACCCTTTATCTCCAATAATTTCATCAGTGGGTACTAAACACACATTGTTCATAATAAACTAATCCCATTGACTTATGCATCCTTTCTACATGTAAATGACAATTCATTTTACTTTTTGTTGAACACACGGAACGATCTTTTCTTACACTTTTCCACATTACAAGGGAGAAATTGTTATAATGACATAGCCTATAGAATGGTCATGATGTAGGCATGAGTGATTCTTATGTATGTAAGTATTTATATGTATGCATGTATGTATGTATTCATGTATGTATGTATTCATGTATGAATGTACGTATGTGTGGCTCTGCTTATATTAGTATGAATGCACCCATCCTATATACAAACGCAGGTTTTTATTTTCTAGCGTCTTCATAAGATACCGTCCCCATAATAGGTGGGATAAATGACATGAGTACATCGCTCTGTATGTACGTTGGTAATTTTCCTTTACGAACTGTGTATAAATATATATACATATTTAAAAACACGAGCTGCGAGAAAATTGATAAAATTAAGAATTAACGTAAAATGTTTATTGGATGATTAAATATGCAGAAAATATGCGAAGAAAATAGTGTATACATATATAAATAAACCTGTATATATATATATATATGTATGCATCATGCGCATACAGTGGAGTTTGAATAAACCGTTGGATTTATTTGTGTTTTAATATGAAGCAGCAGCACTCCCCATATGCAATATTGTGTTGTTCTTACTCCCGGTGTTATTCTTTTTATCTGTCATTCCCAGTACTCGTTATTATTTGCACTTAAGGCTTTATCACTCATCATTTACTATCATTACTTTAGTATATATTTTTTTTTATTTTAAATATTTCCTAAAATTTTAAATTGTAAATTAATTGATAAACATACATGTTGCCCAATCGACTTTTCCATTCGATGTTTCCATCATTTAAGTAGTTTTTCATTCATTCATTTATTTTAGTTTTTACTGTTTTTATTATCCTTTACTCGTTTTAATTTTATATTGACAAAGGAAATCATTTATCCCCCAACGAATTTTCCCTTTTCCGTTTAATATTTTCTTTTTCCGTTTAATATTTTCTTTTTCCGTTTAATATTTTCTTTTTCCGTTTAATATTTTCTTTTTCCGTTTAATACTCTCTTTTTCCTTTTAAAATTTTCCTTTTTTTGTTTAATATTTTTTCTTTTTCCGTTTTACTTTTCCTTTTTCCTTTAACTTTTCCTTTTTCCCTTAACTTTTCCTTTTTTTTTCTTTTTTTTTTTTTTTCTCACGCCACATACCTTTTCTCTCGTTTAACGTGTGTTGCTTTAATTTATATTAGTGGTATATTTGCCATATATATATATAAATATTTATTTATTCATGTTTTATTTTATGTCGCCCAAGTTATTCTCGTACCCTCTGTTTTTTTGAGTAAATATTTAGAAAAGCAATTTTTTGTGTCAGATAATTAATTTTAGTGCTTCTATTTTTTTCTATTTTTTCCCACATTTTTCAAAATTTACCGCATTTTTCTCATTTTTTCCTCCCCTTCCACACTTCTCCCTTTTTTTTTTTTTTTTTGGAAAAATTTTAATTGGCACACATATTGTTTTACCATTAAGTATAACCCGGAGAGATACATTTCCACTAGGAGATATATATATATTTTTTTTTTTTCCCCTTTCCCTTTTGTATACATTTTGTATATATATATTTGCATAGTACATTATTGTATGTATATCCGTGTATACATGTGTGTGTCCACATATGTTATCGTGCGCCAATATACACACTCGTGAACGCACTTAAAATTTTGTTGCCCCAAGTCAATGCTCGTAATGTATACCGCACTGCCCATTGCACATACACATAAATGGGAGAAAAAAAAAAAGTAGTATATCCGAAGAAATAGAAAAACACAAATTCTCAGATAGACACAGAAGCAATTACCATGCTTCGCAGAGCACAAATATAAATGATTGTAACAGAAATGGTACCACAATATGCGTCAAATACATATACGCCTTATTATGCACAAATGCATGAGCAGTAACCTCCAATCCCCCACATACCATCATATATCATCACGTGTACATGTGTATACACCTATAGATGTTGAAAACGCACATACTGGCAAATAGGTTAACTATCCCCAATTGCTAACATGTATATAAGGAGAAATACTGACCTTTATTGAGTTATTCTCACGAACTGATAAAAATATTTTGACGATATCTTTTTTTTTTTATCTTTTTATTTATTGGTACCCCATATAAAGTTACATATACACATATGTGAATAGTTGTTAGACGTACGTGAAGAAATAAACAAAGCCCACAGGCACAATAGGTTAAACGTATGGTAAAACCATCAAGCAATTAAGAAAATAAACCAAGAGATATCACACCAAGCGCCACTTCAACTTGCTTACCTACCATCCCTGGAAACAAAGAATTCAACATCTTAGAAATGGAAAATATAGGAAATCACGGCGGGAAAAAGTATGAATATTTAAGCAACAATTATGATACCATATACAATGGAACTGAAGAAGAGAGTGAATCAATGAGTAATAATTATCATAGTGGTATGAATTACAATTATAGCCAAAATTTATTAAACAAAAGTAACGGTACGAATATGTATATGAATAACAATATGAAAAAAGGTGCTTATAACTCTAGTGATATTAGCATAAATATGAATAATAGCATGAACAGAAGCATGAATGGCAACTTCAATTACGGAAATAATAATAAAAAATACAACTCCACAATGGAAAAAGAAAAACTAATAAATAGTAAGTCCACCTACCAAATAAACCAAAAAAATTACAATAATTTGAACTATGATAGCAACGAAGATGATTGCTCTGAAACGCATTATCATTTTGAAAATAAATATAATTTAGACAAAGATTTAGAAAATAATCGAGTTTTAATTGAACCTGATGAATTATTAACATCAAGAAGAAATCACATGAGAACAAAAATGCAAGTATTAATAAAAGTATTAGTAATTGTTGCCATTTTTTTTCTTCTAGTATTTCTTATTACAAAATTTAAAAAATTCTTAAACTTAATTAATGTAGTTATTAAATGGGTGGGTGAACAAGGTTCTTGGAGTATCCTCTTATTCATTTTATTATTTACTTTAACATCTCCCCTTTTTATGTCTGTAGAAATTATGTGTGTAGGCGCAGGTCTTATATTTTCCGGTGTTTATGGAAAATTTTTAGGAATACTTGTAGCTGTTTTTTCAGTTTTAACTGGTTATGTTTTAGGAATGTCATTATGCTTTTTCATTTCAAGATATATGATGCATGAATTTATTTATAAAAAGCTAATGGTCTATCCTATATATTTAGCATTTAACCAAGCGATCAACTCTAATGGATTGTCTTTCGTCCTCTTGATTCGTTTGTCTCCAATTTTACCCGCCTCAGTCGTTAGTTACATATTAGGCGTGACATCCCTCAAATACAAGGATTTCGCACTTGGGTCCATTTCTGCCTTACCCAGTAAGAAACTGAGCAGACATATGGGGATGTTGCTAATGTTACAAATGCTACAAATACGAGTGAACAAAACCGAACAATGACAGCACTGTTGCAACCCCGTCCATACTGTCGAAATATTAATTTTTTACTTTTTTTTTTTTTTTTTTTTTTTTTTCCCTCGCCATCACCAGGTATAAGCATATTTGTTTATATTGGAGTTTTGCTTCAGGACATTTCCAACATATCGGGTAACACCAAAAATTTCATATATTTGTGTAAATATAATTTTTCTTTTTTCTCCATTTTGTTCCTTTTCTTCCTGTTTCATCCCATTTTGTCCCATTTTATCCCATTTTGCCCCATTTCTATCCTACAACACTTTGCAGAAATGGAGAACCACTGGGCCAACCTGATCATCCTTTTCATTGGCTTTATTCTGGGTGTGATTGCCATTGCATACATATCAGTTGTGACCAAACGCAGATTAAATAACTTGAACATAATGAACTCATCACTGTCGACAACCAATATCGACATCGAGTGAGTGTTTTTATCGAATGTAGAAGTCAACTTAAAAGTAGACATGTATATCTTTCCCTAGTTTTCTATCATGGGATAAATATGTGCGCATGGTTATGTTTTGTGAAGAAATCGCATACTAGCGTTGTCCCAAAATATGTATATATATATATATATATATATATATACATGTGTGTATGTATGTACGTATGCATGCACACTGTTATAATGGAAAATAGGGGAAAAAAAAAAAAAAAAAATAATTTGGAAAAAGTGTACATTATGGAGGCCATACATTTTTGAGAAAGACAATTTGTCACGCTTACTTCATAACTCGAACCAAAAGTTCTTTCCTTTTTTTTCATGCCTTTTTTTTTTTTTTTTTTTTTTTTTGGAACCGCTGTTTTCATCTTATCTTAATTTGTTCCTTATCCCAAGGATACTTACACTATATGTCTTCGTAGTTTTCCTCATCATCCCTGTCGCCATCTTCATAACTTGATACATTTGATTCTCCGGAAGAATAGCTACTTACATTAACATTTACATTATTATACCCTTTTTCATCACTTAGAACCTTTTCCCTATAATTTTATGTTCAAACACACAATATTAAAATTTTTCATGTGATTTACTTTAATCAAGCAAAACATATCAAATTTTTATGTAACAACATTTTTTTTTTTTTTATGAAAATGTTTTATATAATATGCATTGTTTAAAACTCTATGGATCAATTAAATTTTGTTAAAAAGATAAAAATGTGCAAAAAATATACGCATAATAGTTCTTTTTTTTTTTTTTTTTTTTTGTCCTAAAAAAATAAAGTGCTAATAAGCTTTCAGTGCCACCACATACACACACCAATAGATGCATATTTACTTGTACGGTTTTTTCACCCACCTAATATGATAATACAACTCATCCATTAGCTCCTTCTCACTTGAATTATTAAGTATGGTACTTCCTTCTTTATCTATCTCTGAATTTCTATTATTACTATCCTTTCTTTTTTCATTTAATAGAAAAAGAACCTTATTTTTAAATTCATCTCTTCCTTTCAAAATGATTTTACTCAATGATGAAGCTAACTGGACACCATATATGTCTAAAGCTTGTCTCAACTGTCCCAGATTGATCATATGGAGAATGAAAAAAAGGTGGAATGGAAATATTAAAAAAAAAAAAAAGAAAAAAAAAAACTGCTACTTTTGTACGTTATGTTATGTATATTCATATTGTATATTCCACGTTTGGAAAAATCAGTCTCCCTTGCGCCTCACTTGATAGTCCGACAAACTCTCAAACTCATCGGGAAGCTGCATTTTTATGCTATTGAACAATCCAAGTGTACATTTGCTTATTAAACTGGAAAGAGCTTTTCCTTCCTTAATAAAAAAAAATAAGTAGACAAAATAAGTAGGTAAATTATGTAGGTAAAATATGTAGGTAAAGTATGTAGGTAAAATATGTAGGTAAAATAAAAAAAACAAACAACTAAGACAAAAATAACAAAACAAACAGCTAAGACAAAATAAACAAAAACAAACAGCTAAGACAAAATAAATACATAAACACAGCTATTTCGAAATGTGATCAAGCTTTTCATCAACGAAATGCGAAAACAACTAAGCAAAGGTACATTTATGCAGGTTTTGGTTAAATTGGCAAAAGATATATCACTCCCTCGAACGTCGATTCCCTGATGATAAGAAGAAACGAGCATATAACTTGTCTATAAATCGTTCTATTCCATGTTATCCTTTTATTCTATTTATTTATGCATGTATTTAGTTATATATTTGTACATGCATGTGCTTATATTTATTTATTTACTAGGACTATTATATTCCATGTAGACTTCTCCGACTTCTTAACACGAAACATGTGACCTATCTGAGGCGATAAAACAAAATGACACACATCAAGAAGACAAAACAATCTGCATTTGAGGAGAAACAATACTGGAATGAGAAGTTAATTACTTCGTTTAAATCTTTAAAACATTCTAGATTAATTGGTTCTTCTGAATATATTTCCTCGAGGTTTCCAACCTATTTTGTCCAGGGAAAAAAGTTATATTTTTCACTTGCATACGGATAAGAAGAATTATACTCATGCATAAAAATATACATATGCCCAAAAATAAAATAAAATAAAAAAGTTATCACGGTAAAAAGCTCCATTCCAAATTGAGGACCATATAACTTCAGAAAATTCCTGAGTTAGAAAAAATCATAACAAACGCATTAACATATTAACGAATGAATGGCTCCGAGGGGGACGAACGTAAATCGAATGAACTTGTCTATAAAAATATATGATGCAAGTTGTTCACAAAAATTTCAACGTGTTTCAGATTCTCTTTCTTGACTTACGCAAAGCTTTTAGTTATGGAACAATCAGTTGCGGTGTTTCCTAAAAGGGGCATGGAATTCACATAACGAATTAAATAAATATGTCCAGTATTAATTCTCATCCCGTTCTCATCGAATTTTCCTGATTTTCTGACGTTTATGTATGTGTTTACGTTAAAATTGTATGAAGTAAGATGATTTTTTCTGAATATCATACTTGTACAATTATCTACTAATGAGTCTAACAAAAAGTGTTCATCATCATTGGAATGATGTTCTTCACATGTGTGTGTAAACTCTTCAACATTGTCATAACAACACTTAATATTTATATCCTTCTTCCACAAAAGGGTTAATTTCATATAAAAAGAGATTCTCTTATCGTATATATTACACGCATTATTAATTTTTAAAATGACTGATATTTCTATGGACCACGTCCATTCTTTATCCATGTATTCCTTAAAATTCTGCACAAAGGTATGACTTAAATCCTTGTCAATTACTAGCATAAAATCCCATATTTTATTTTCTTCTACCCTTACTTTTAAGTGCAAAAATCCGTAAGCTGTTTTGAACGAATAAAGCAATATTGTTTTCAACCCAATACCAAATTTCCCACTTGTTTTACTGTTATCTTTTGATGTTAAAAACATCTCAGAGAATTTTTCTAAATCTTTAATTTCAGTACCTTCTCCATTATCTCGACATATTATTTCATAAAGAGACAAATTCCTGTCGTGTTCCCTTATTGAAATTTGCACCTCTTTTCCTTTACCCTTTACACCAGATAGAGCATCAATAGAATTATCAAATAGTTCCTTAACAGTCATAAACAGAGCATTCTCTTCATAAAACCCCGTAACAGACAAATTTTTATAAAAAAAGGAATAAGTCGAATTATTGCTTTCACTCAAATTGTCCATGTGTAATGAGAATACTTGTGTGCAATATATAAAAAAGCGTTGTAATGGAAATAATGCATTTATGGGACTTTTCCTGCAAAAAAGTGAAATTTTAAATGTTTTCTTTTCTTTTTTTTTTTCAGTTAGCTAGTTTTTTTTTTTTTTTTTTTTTTTTACATGTTGTAAGGTGAAAATATAATTGTAAAAAAACTAAAAATAGCTAGAAAAGCAATAAAATTTTTCCAAAAAAAAAAAAAAAAAAATCCAAATTTGGTCATACAAAATTCCATAGAAACAACGGTGTGCAAAGAATTCGCTCATTGATGTACTTTAAGTATTTATGTAATGCTATTCATATACACATCAATGAATTAAAGACGAATGACCACACACATATGATGTTTACGTATATATGCAGTAATGACTCAATACAAAATCTTTGGTCTCATTTTTGTGAGAGACTCCATGTGGAAATTTAAAACAAAAGAAGATTGGCTTATGTGTGCAAAAGCAAATTATGAAAAATGACATAAAATTGCATATAATATAAGGGAAATTTTAACTGAAAAAAAAATATTACAAAAAAAAGAAGGCCAAAAAATGGAATATATATGTATATGTATATAAGTACATTTTTATATGTAACATTGCTGCAGATCGTTGCCTAGTGGGAGGTTGATCTGAATCTTCAACAAGTGAATTAAAAATTTTGTGGGATGCATTGGGGAATATGTATACTATCCTGAATACAAAGAAGTAATTAGATACATTCATAAAAATGTGTTATCCAAATTTCTGTACACATGCTTGTGCTTAAAATGTACTACTGTGTGGTGCCCACGAATTCTCATACGCGCAAATATGGAAAGGTTTCTCAGAAGTTCCATAAAGTATTCCATTTCTTACAAGGTAAAATACTTTTCACATTTTATATATTGACAATGGGACAAATGGCATTTTGGTAATTTGAGCGTTTTCCAACTTGTTTAGACATTCCACCTTTATAAGATTGCTAATAGTAGAATGTTCCGTCTTTATATAACCCATGGCTATTGGTTTCTGCAGTAAGGGTGAAAATACGCTACTCGTTATATACCCTATTTCTTGATCTATATTTTCATGGGCATATATTTTAGAATTTTCCTTAGGAACAATAGGAGAATTTATAATTAATCCAACTCTTTTAATTTTTGTGCCATTTTTAATTTGGTTCATTATAATATGTGCACCATTGAAATCTAACTCTTTTAATCTTCTTTGTCCTAAAACCCATTTATAATTCGATTCAATGGGAGTAAAACTTTCATTAATGTCTTTTCCATAAACACAAAATCCACTTTCTAATCTCAAGGTATTCTGAACTTCTAATCCTCCTGGTTTAACTAAAGAATTGCTAAGAATACATTCATACAAATTTTCCACATATTTATTCGGTACTAATATGTCAAAACCATCTTCACCTGTACATGTGTATCTATTTAATAAACAGTCGTCTATTCTATTTAATGTGGCTATATTACTAGACATAAAGCTACAGTTTTCTAAATTTATATCATCCCCTATGATTTCGTTCAGTACATTAACAGATTTACTACCTTGTATACATATAGAACTATGAGAAGTGTATTCTTCTATTTTTACATCTAATTTTGTATTTTCTAAAAGTTTTTCATTTAAATATTTAAAAACTTTATTCTTACATTGTATATTCAAATATATTAACAAATGGTTTTCCCTTAATATAATAGTTATGTCATCTATAATTCCACCTTTTTCATTTAATAATAAACTTATTCTACATTCATTTTCCCATAACCCTTTGATATCGCTGCCTACATATTTTTCCAAAAAGTGTATTTTATCTGATCCACTTATTTTTAAAATTGGTCTATATGTATAATCAAAAAGAGAGCAACTCGATCTTGTATGTAAATGGGATGTTATTAATGTGCAATTTTTGTATTCATTTGGAATATAGTAATTACTATGAATTTTAAAAATTGCATTGTTCTTCTTATGTACGTTATACAAAATGGTTTTCTTCACTTCTTCCTTCGAATCAATGGGTAATAATATTAATGCAACATAGGTAATGTAAAAAAAAAAAAAAAAAAAAAAAAAAAAATGAAAGAGTCTAATAATTCGTTGTGCTAAACAGCTCAGTGTAACAAAAAGGATTGAAATGTTTGAACAAGAATAACGTACGCACATACAATGAATGGCACAAGTCTATGTCAGGACTAATAATCAACAAAATTATTTCCAATAAGTAGGTGTATAATATATCCTACGTGTACTGTAAGCATGGTAATATTTTTTTTTTTTTTTACATTTTTTTATCTTATACGATTAGTTGTGTATATAGTGAACCATCTTATGAACATACTATTTTAAACCGTCTAAATGCATAGTTTTAAAAAGCTTACCTTTTGTTTATTCAATGTGGAAAAACATCGAAGCCAGGGTAGTATCTTTTCGTGCTTGTGTATAATCTTCATTTTTCTATTTCTTATTAAAGTTATTCTGATTAACACGCAAACTTTTTTTTTTTTTTTTTTTTCCTTCTCTCGAAATGAATATTACTTGAGAACCAATTTTGGTTATTAAATTTTTGTATATACAGTGGGAGTAGCACAATTTCATGAACACCATATAAGCATATATGCTCTCCATTCATGAATAATTAAGTACTGCATGCTCCAATGCGTAATGTGACAGGTTTACATGCTTATACTCGCTAATATCACTTGAAGTTACATATTTGTGTTCTCCATTTCTTTATCCATTTATGAGGACCATCTAAATTATCCCCATTTGAGGAAGATCCCTCTGCACTTTTGTTGTGAATGTATTGTTTTACGATTTTCAAGTGCGTTGGGAGAAAAAGAATACATTGCCTTCGCCTAGATAACCTTTCTTTTATTATTTAACTTTTGCCTACTTATTTTTTTTTTCTTTTATTTGTTTTACTTTTACCTACTTATTTGTTTTACTTTTATTTATTTTAATTTCATATATTTAATTATTTTTCTTAGTGCCCAAATTATATACAAATTTAATCTCCCTCCCCCACCCATTAACCTTTTTTTTTACCATATCTTCGTTTTATTTTTATATCATTGTTTCATTTTAGCGCTCGTCAAAATTTCCGAACCATTTTTGTTAAGCCTCATATAACTGCTTTTTTTTTTTTTTTTTAATCTACTGGCTACGATGTAATCTATTTTGTCCTTTACACATTTTTGGAAACAGTTGTATTTGATACGTGTGTTCGGATTCTTATGTTCATTTGTTTCTACATTTTTTACCCCATTTTTGCACGTATGGTTTTTCTCATGTATTAAGACCCCACACAAGGGGATACCGACCCTGTGTGTATAGTCTATTTCGGCATAACCCGTTGTGCCTGGCACTCAAAATCATTTTTAACCATCCACACACAAACTCTCTTCTTAGTGTTTTTTTTTTTTTTTTTTTTTTTTTTTTTTTGCTTACAATTCATGTAACCAAAATGGCACATTTTATAAACAAAGATTTCATCAAGTACGGGCTATGCTTTCTTCTGGGGTTTTACATAAAAAAGATAGCTAAATGGGGAAATAGGGAAAAAAAAAAAATGAATGAAATCCTGGATGTGATATGTTCCAAGGTGGAGACAATTTTATATCCATTTATTTTTTCATTATATGATTATAAAAATGTGGAAAAAATAGAAAAAGAGTTATTTTATGAGAATTTTGATAAAGGAACTATTGATAAGTATGGGAAATATATAAACATAAATGATATTCCATCTGATTCTCTTGAAAAAATTTTCAAAACAAAAGTTTTAATTATTGGTTTAGGAGGATTAGGCTCTCCTGCATGTTTTTACTTAAGCAAATTTGGTTTTAAAGAAATTGGCCTAGTTGATGGTGACAAAGTGGAAAAATCAAATTTACAAAGACAAATAATACATATGGAAAAACACATTGGGATGAATAAAACTTTATCAGCTAAATTAACAGTAAAAAACATGGGAGATGATGATGCGAATATAAAATGCTACCCATTTTATTTGAACAAAATGAAAGGTCTACAAATAGTTAAAAATTACGACATTATTGTTGATTGTACAGATAATATTAGTACACGATTTTTAATTAATGATTTATGTATTTTATACAAAAAAAAATTAATATTTGGAAGTGCATTAGGGTTATATGGACAACTAAACGTTTTCAATATGACTGAAGACACTTCGAATTGTTACAGATGCTTAAAAAATTTTAATAATCATACAGAAAGTAATAATTGTGATGAAAATGGAATTCTTTCAACCGTTACAGGAGTTATTGGAATTTTACAAGCCAATGAAGTTATTAAATTGGCCACAAATTTGGATAAACAAATATTACAAAATTTTTTAACATTTAATAGTTTATCCAGTAAAAGACCCTTTGAAACGTTAAACATGAATCATAAAAATAAAAATTGTATTTGTGCATGGAATAATTTTGATAAGATGCTCCATTTCATTCTGAACAATAATTACGGTGCTGGGGTTAGCGATAATAATGGGGATGCTACTGAAAGTAGTATTAACGATGGCACTGAAAATTGCATTAAGTATGGTACTAGTGATGATGCTCAGAACTGCAGCAGTAATGACATTTGCAAGGGCAACAAATCTCCTTGCCCCAGCAGTAAAGTTATGAACACCTACCAATATGACATATACATTCCCGATTTTATGGAAATTTTAAACAATAATTTCTCCTTTTTTCAATTTCCAGTAAACTATTTATGCATTTTAGATATAAGAAAACATAACAACACCAATGTATATGGATTAAAAAATTCGATCAAATGGAGTTACTACGACATCATGGAATCCATAAATGATTGTGCTAATAATTCAAATAAGCTTAATCAGCTAATTTTGGAAAAACTAGAAATAACAAGACAGAAGGGAAATATAGTTATCATTGTTATTTGCAGAAGGGGTATTGATTCTTTAAAAATTGCCAAATGTTTTAATAATCTTTTTTTAGTTAATCCGACTAAAAAGAACAATACCTCAACCATTCCTCACTTATCTTCATCCAACTCTATCCTCAATTTTCCCACAAAGCTAGAAAATCATAATAAATCTGAATTTCAGGATAAGCACATTTATACGTACAATATGAAAGGTGGTTACCTTGAACTTCAAAAAAAGGTATTTAAAAATTTACCCTTTTTGTAACATTTCCTCTAAAAAATTGTCTTCATGTGATATGAAGTAATAATATATGGTTTTCAGTTTTGCATATATACCCAATGTTCCAATACATCTTTTTTTATTACTTGGAAACATTTTAAAATTGGACCCTTATAACAGTTCACAGGGTTCAGCTGCTACGTGCGACTGAAATATTATTAAGTTTTTGAAGCAACCCTACAGGATCAGTGCTTCGCAAACATATATATGCTTTTAGCTTGTATTGGATATATCCATATGCTTGTATACGTTAAAATGTATATAATAATTCCTTTACTCATTTGTTAAGCAAATTTTTTTTTTTTTTTTTTTTTATGTAAACCACCATCATCGCTCAACCCCCAAAAAATATATTGTTACATCCTAAGTAATTTCTTCAATGTATCCTACTTTGTTTACCCCCATTCATTATACTTGCAAAATTGAAATAATGTTTCTTCCAATGAGATGGAATTTTTTACGTTTTATTATTTTTCTTAATTCTCCGTTAAGTCAAAATTTCAAACAACAATTTTGTTCTTAAAACTTTTCTTTTTCTTGCAATAATATATTACATTTTTTTTTTTTTTGTTTTAGCTAAAACGTTGTGACAATATGGAGTTACAAAATAGGAAAGAAAACACAGAAAAGGAAGGAAAAAAAAAATGATTAAATGTTGTATTATTTACACTCATATATTAAAATAGCACTCATCTTTCTCTAAATTAAAGAGGGGATTTTCCCCTGCCCCCAATATTGACCATAAAAAAAAAAAAAAAAAATCACATAAAATCGCATCATATGAAATAAAAAAAAAAAATAAAATAAAAATAAATAATTACGTGTTTTGGTTTCACTACATGTTTAGTATCATCATTTCACTTCTTTATTTTTCTTTCTTTATTTTGCTTTATTTTTGAGTCTACAAGGACGCGCGCAACTTAAGATAAAAATATATATCTACAAACGTACATATATATATATATATATTTTTACGTTACTCCTTATATATAATGGCATTTTTTATTCAAAAATCTACCGAACTGTCTGAACGCCCCATGGCCCATTAAATCAGCTTTACAAAGAAGGGGAACAAGAGACTTATATATTTATTATTATCCCCTAATCATTTGAATTATCATCATCCCTTATTAATATTTTTCATCACTGCTTTGAAAAAGGTTCCTTTGTTTTGTTTTGTTTTGTTTTTTATCCATACTTGTCAAACATAAAGGAATAAAAACATCAAGCTGGTTTAATAAAACCATATATATATCATGATGTATCATGGGGAAGGAAGAAACAAAGTCAAATCACGTAAAAACAAGAAAGAGAGCTAAGAATTAAGAAATAATTTTTAGTGTTCGCATCAAGCATTTTAAATAGGAAAAGAAATGATACGATTAATTTTTTTGGAACTTTGTATTTCTGCAAATCTAGCTGGAATGCACAGAACGATGAACCATATATATATAAATGAATATGTATACATGTTAAAAACATATATACACAATTAACATATGTTAAAAGCATACTTCCGTACCCCGTGCTGCGTAATATGCATAACATACAACTGTGCATTCAAGAAAAAATCCTTTTTCGAATACAAACTCACAGAAGAGATGAATATAAAAGATTTACTGCACAATGAAATTATCATAATAAAAATAACTGAGTTTTTAACCATATTAGAAATTCAAAATTTAATTATATCACTAAGAATAAATGTAAAAACGAACTTGTATTTTATGAATGAATGCTTGGCCATATTGATGGACAAGGAATATGCAGGTGAAGATTCAACAGAAGAACCAATATCATCATCACTTGCAAGTAAATCGAACGGAAATGCAAATCACAATAGTAGTCGTAGTAGGACTTATGGGGAAAATGAAGCCCGTGATGGATATCAAACTTTGAATAATGGAAATGCATCCCCTGTAATGAGACACATAGATGTTGAAAACGAACGGAACTATGGAGTTGATCCCAATCAAATAATTGATTTGATAACATATGATGAAGATCATGATGAGAATTTAGAAAGCTATGCTCAAAGGAATACAGTCCTAAGAATGAATCGAATAAATGGAACCCTCAGGGAGGAACCTCCAATTGTGGAATCAAATCATGAACATATAATGCCACACGCAGTAATGGATCCATGTAAGAATGCTGAGGAAAATGGAGAAGAAGAGGGAGGAGGGAAAAAAAGGCAAAGGATAAAATTAAAAAGGAATATATTTAAAAATTGTTATCAAATTAATGTAAAAAAAGTCCAATATATGAGAGTAATTAAGAAATACCTGAATATCGATTTTTATAGAAAAAATAAAAATTCCACGTATAATATAAACCCGCAAATGAATGGAATTAAACGATTCAGAAAAATCTGGCTGTACATACATCTACAGAACGAAATAATAGATTTGAGAAAGAGGTTCAAGAATGGATTTTTAAAAATAAATATTAATGAACCAGTATATAAAAATAATAGAAAGCGATTTGATATGTTTCAAATTTTTAAAATAAATAACAAATTTTATACTATTTTTGATGTACCTTGGGTTTCTATATATTTTCAATTATGTTTAAATTCAATTTGTGTATTTTGCCACCAGAAGGTAGATAGAGATTCCCTGTGTGTATTTTCCGAAAAAATTAATTTATCTATATCAAATAAATTGCTTTTAAATTATTTTAATAATATTATAAAATCTGGTGAAATCAAATTTTCTTCACATAAGGGAGAAACTCAGATCACCCCAGACGAACCAGACGAACCAGACGAACCAGACGAACCAGACAAAACAGACGAACCAGGCAAAACAGACGAACCAGGCAAAACAGACGAACCAGGCAAAACAGACGAACCAGGCAAAACAGACGAGCGAGAAGAAATGATTACTCAAGGGAAACGAAATGATAAAACAAATGATGAGTGTAAGGAGCACCCTCAGAAAAGAAAAAAAATAAGCCATGATTTTACGGAGGATATCTATGAGCTTGATCGTGTGTCCATTATAGATAAGGAAGCTTTTGATGATTGGAACAATAACATGATCAAGGAAAATAACTCATATGCCCTTTCGTGGTGTGGAAGTATTAATAGTCTTTCGTTGAAGGACACGAACGGAGCAATCGAATTGAGCGACACGAACGGTGCAGTCGAACTGAAGGACACGAGCAGCACGAACGACTCAATCGATTGGAGTGGCACAAATGGTGGGACGTCGTGGGGTGGAGGAAGTACATTTGATGGTATTTCGTTGAGAGTTACGAACGATGGATATCCGCATAATCAATTTAACGAAACATCTATTGAAATAAGAGAAGAATTTTTAGCTGTAAGAAAAACCCACATATTTTGCGACGACTGCATGAGGATACTCGAATACAGAATAAACATAAAGTCTATTTTTGAAGCTTTGAAAAAAGATTATGAATTGTTAAAAAAATTGAAAATAATAACGAAAACGTTTAAGATCCCGAAAGATCTTTTTTGTATATGTAATTATTTTTTTTTTAAAGACAAGTATATTTTATATTTTAAAAAAGTATCTAGAAACTTGCAAAATGTAAGGAAAGTTTTAAAGAAAAAATTAATTAATAATTTTATATTCACCTTTTCTCTAAATTTCTATAAATATGTAATTCGAGCACTGCTAACATGTGATGACAAAAAAATTTATTATTCCGAAAATATTTTCTTATTTGGATTTTATGTCAAGTATAGAAATTTATTGACTATGTTTAGTAGCCCCAGAATTTTATATTTATACTATTCCTTCCATGTTATTACAGAAAAAATTAAAAAATTGCAGGTTTTTTTCTACCATAAGCATTTTATAAAGTTGGCGCAATCTTTACACTTCGATGTTGTAGCCATCATTGAAAGACTTAAACGATCTGATGCAAAGAGGATTTACAAAGGTATTTCTAAGTATATGTATGAAAAATTGAACGAAGGTTTGTTATCAAACAGAAGTTATGATGAACTCTACGTGTTTTTTTTTCAGTGCGTCAAGAATTACAGATTTTTCTAACCATTTGCAGAACCATTACGGCACTAATAAAGATTTGTTATTATTTATATATACAGTAGGTGCTATTCTATTTACCTTGAAGTTATTTTTTCTTTATTTGTAAATCGGTTAAAAGTGGGGGTAGGGTGCTATATTAGCACCTCGTTTTGTCATGCATTTCGTACTAATTGGACACCACATTATCTACAGAATTTATTACTTTTTTTTTTTTTTTTTTTTTTTTAAATATTAAAACCCTTTTTTAAGTTTTAATTGCTTTTTTTTTTTTTCTTCTTCTTCTTTTTCTGCATCACAAATGATAAAATTTAACTTGTTTTACCCCCATCCATTATGTGTAAACATTACATATAGGTGTCAGTTTTACAAGTCTTGTACGTTTTTCCCACCTATTCCGCTTCCCGACCCGCACACACACATGTCCTTTTCATTTTATTTATATCCTATCACTCTTTTACAACTGGTTGCATGTGTGTGTTGAATTTTACGTAAAGTGTTTAATTCGGTTATGGGTAAAAAAAAAAAATATATTCTCTTCTCTTTTTTCTCATTTGCATTTTTTATACCCATCAATTAAACATAACCCCTGTTTATCAATGTTTCCCTCTTCTTTCTTATCCACCATATTATAATTCATAAAATGAATAGACTCATTTTTCACCCATTTAGAAAAAAAAAAAAAAAAAAAAAACAGCCAATATGTATATAATTTTTTTTAAAAAAAAATGAAATTATTGTTTTAATTCAGATTGTTATGTTATTTAAAAGAGAAAGAGATGTAATATAGTCTCGAAAATGAAAAAAAAAAAAAAAAAAAGAGCATATGGATATTAAAAACGTGTGAAACGTGAAGTATATACAACCTTTGGTACAGCAAAAAAATAAATGCAGCACAAAATAACATTCACATGTGACACACATGTATTCAGTGAAAACAGTTTAATCGATGCATACGGATATCCAGACACATATGTAAACCAATCAAATTGACTATATCCATCCATGACCTTGGCACTTTAGATCTTCATCCCAAAATAATTACGCTTCTTCCAATTTTTAACTACATCCGTCACTCTTGTTCACAATCCACTTGGGTGAAACAAATATCTTACGACAACTTGTTATTTTCTGGTATATCAAAAAGGTCCCCGTGAAAGCATATCAAATAGCATGACACAAGAAAGCTAGAAACTCTTAATATGATTTTCCACTTGTCCGAAATTATATCCTTCGGTTTTTCTCTGAACATTCCTGGGTAAAACATTTTGTACTAATTTATATATATGGAAGTAAAAGTAGAAAAAAAAAAAAAAAAAAAAGAGGAAAAACGGTGATTTTATTTATCCACAATAAAAAAAGCTAACATAGCCCCTTTTACACAAAAAATAGTTAAATTTTAAAAGGATAAACTTTAACAGGAATAAATTAAAGTGAAAATTTTATGTTAAGATATAATAATTGCATAAGCATTATTTTGGTTAAAATTAAAATTTATAAAAAAGGAAAGTTATCTTCCATACTGTGTATACTGGCATTTCTTTATAATTTCATATAACATAAAACATATATGAATTCATATATATGCTACTACATCTCCATACACGCATTACTAAATATATAATAATAAAAAAAAAAAATAAAAAATAAAAGCATCCATACTGGAGGCAAATGGCTGCTTCCTATCATTTAGAAGTATCCATTTTTTTTAGGAGGAACTTTAGCAATTAGTTTTCGACACAAATGCATTTATTTGCGTATATATATGTATTTAGATTTTTTTTTTTTTTTTTTTTTAACTGTTGTGCTCCTAAAAGTGGCCAACAACTCATACATGTATTTACCTTATTTTATTTTTTTTTTTTTTTCTTCTTCTTTTGAAGCAGTATAAAGTGCCTTTTGGGTGGACTCTTCATTTGAGCTTGACACATCTTTGCGTTTCTCTCATTTTTCTACATTTTACATTCGCCCATATGAGAGATCACTCATTTTTATGTTTTGTTAACTTCTCCCTTTTTTACTCTTTTTGCAAATTGCATTTCGGCGAAATGGGAAATGTTTTAAAAAGAAAGTGAAAAGTAAGAAGCGCACATATATGTATGTAAATAGATATGTTCATATATATATATATATATATATATATAGAGAGAGAGAGAGAGAGAGAAAGGGTGTCGTTTTTCATTCCCCATTAGATGAACAACTTGATCCACCATCGAAACGCCTCCACACCCCAAATTCGCATCATTTGAATAAAGAGTGACGACCATAGATAAAACCCAAGTTTTACATTGCATTGTTGTTACTTATTCGGGGTGATGGTGCAGAAAGTTTCATGGACAGACACATGTCTTGTTACAACCTGAGCGACCTACGTGTGCTTAAGCAAATACGCATATATGTGTGCACATTCGTATGAACATTCGCCTGAACATTCCCAATCGTGCGAACGATTGGAACATATTCATACACCCAACTCGGCGCATACACCCTGTGTTACATGAAACTCAGGAAGCAAGCATAACTCCAAATGGGAAAAATAAAAAATGATAAAACTAAGTAATATATATTCATATTGGCATTACAAGGCTTGGCAACGTGCGACGGCTGGATTTTTGAGGACATGTAATTTTTTTTTTTTTTTTTAATTTATTCACTACCACAAAAAAAAAAAAAAAAAAAAAGGACACATCTATGATATATGCTTAAAAAATGATAAAATTTAAAATAATTATTTCAATTTTTTATGTTTTATATTATTAATTTTCATCACTAATAATTGAATTTTTTTTTTTTTATATTTACTAGCAATATATTACAGCATTAATTTTTAATTATTTCCTTTTTAATACATGATGAACTTCATTGTCCGGCCTTATTAATTCTGTATTCTTATTGATATTTTTCTTTTATATTAAAACCACATTATTTTACTCTTTTTTTTTTTTTTTTTTTTTTTTCAACACATTAAAGTCATTAAAAATAATTTAGCAAATAACGAAATGATCGGATATGTTATTAACGATAAACATCCCAAAAGTATACGAGTAGCTTGTGACAGGTTCGATACACATGACAAAATTTTGAGGACCCACTGTTTGTGGGTCAAGGGTGCATAAACCAGGTGTACAAACAGATACGTAAAGTATAGATATACGTATGATTTACAATTACCTTAAATACCTTAACCCATCAATATGTCGAGATCATATAAAGTACATAAATAGACAGTAATATGTGACACATGCAAAAAAAAAAAAAAAAAAAAAAAAATATTTGAAAAAAAATATGACCATCAATATATGCACTTCATTTTTGTATGCAAACAAAAAAAATTACAAACGGGGTAATGGTGGTTAAATGGTAAAGGTTTAACCCTATATATATATATATATATATATATATATATATATAAAATGCACTTATATATAAATAACAAAAAAAAAAAAAAAAAAAAGGCCTAGAATTTTAAATCGCCCAAATTCATTACACACATGGTTCTATCTCCTCTTCCTCTACACATAAAAACATATGCACATTACATTTCTTACAGATATATGTATGTTGTTCGGTATAAAAAGACCTTCAGATATACCAAAAAAATTTGGGCACATGATGAAAAAAGTGAAGCGAAGATTGGAGATATTGTTCGGATTCAGCCACTGGGGTATAGAATAGGTCCATGGAAAAATTATATTCTCGTCAAAATTTTGTACAAAGAAAATAAAGAATAATGATTCTTTTTATTATATTTCAAATACGAGTGGACGGGAGAAATATGTGTAGTTGAAGTAATACTTTTCTTATCTGATTTCTTTTTTTTCTTTTTTTTTTTTAAGTTTTGTTAGTTCATTCTGTTAGGATATGTATATATCTCATGTATGCTTACTCACATCCTCATATGTGTGCATGAGCATTTTCAACTATTTTTGCATTTCGACTGAATTCTTACGTATTTGCAATTTTTTCCTTGTGGAAATATTTTTCTATGTCGCATCATATGCAACAGTAAAATAGTAATCGGAAAAACATCTCCCCCCCTCTTTCCCCATTTACAATCATTTCTGTTAAGAAACAAAAAAAAAAAAAAAAAGATCATAGAAAATGTAAAGCTTACTAATGAAATTTATTTGCTTCCAATATTTCACTTCTCATAATACTGCCTTCTGTTGGATCTATCATAATTTGATGGTGCATTTATGTTTTTCAGAAATAAATTCAAATTATAATTTGTTTGCTTATCCTCATTTTTCAACTGATAATGTTCTTCTTTCAAATCCTTTATAATTAATTCCCTCTCCATCATTTTTTTTTTATACGCTTTCGTTATAAAAACCTTTTCTTCCTTAGAAGTGTCTATTTGGAGTTTTTTCTGTATCAAAATTTCTTTTTCTAATTCTCTTCGTTTGGCGCTATTAATCAGTGCATCCATGTATTTTGATTTGTTCTTTTGATTATTTTCTTTCTTGTTGAATATGTCATCTATGCGAATTTCCTTTTCCAACTCGATTTCTCTCTCTCTATTTTTCTTTCCATTTTTACATTTATCAAAAAATTTCCCCTCATCTTTCCCCATTTCGTTGTCTCTTCCGAAATCGCGTTTTTGTCCCCTCCGTCCACTGTTGTCACTTCTTTCATCACTTGGGAACTTACTTTTCCTTTCATCCGTGCCATCGCAATCTGGGATGGATTTCTTCTTCTTCTTTTTCTTCTCCCCAGGTTCGCTTAATTCATCATCATTCAGTTTTGTCAACTCATCACCCCTATAACCCAGGTATTGAATTTTCTTTTTTTTGTTCTCATGATATATTTTTAATCCTTTCCTTGGATTCGTTTCCACCACGTTTTCGTGTTCATATATATATTCTTTTATTTCTCTTTCGATTTCTTTATTTTTTTTTTCAGTTATTTTTTTATTTTGGTTGTTTTCAAACTCGTATAGTTCTTCATCCTCATCGTCTGATGGAAAAAAAAAATTCCCTACTTGATTTTTTGCTTTTGTTTCGTTGGTTATATTCCTTCCAATATTGTCCCTTATTCGAAATTCTCCATGTTTCTTATTCTTCAATGTACCAGTTGATGTGCCTTTTGTGCTACCACTCCGTTCTACCTCCTCCTTAATCTTATTATTTTTGCTTACGAATAAATTAATCTTCATCTTGTACTTTTCTCTTCTTTAACTGATCCGCGCTACAGCCTTTCAAAAAAATAAAAGTGGCCTCTTAACACGTTTGTTCTTTTTTGCCTATGATTTTTATGTTACATGGATATTTAAGCATAATAATTTACGTGCTTATCTGTGTATGTAGTATATACATACTGTTTTTATCATTTATCTGCATATTTTACAACTTTTTGAGTAATTTTTTAGGGATTTTCTTCATCCCTTAATTATTTTCATTTTATTATTATTTTTTTTTTTTTTTTTTTAAACTAATTTCTGCATTTCATTTTTTTTAATGTTGTTTGTTTACTACGATCGAAAATTATCCTTTTAGCGACAACTACAAGGAGGGGGGTAATTTTTTACATCGCCATAATTTGAATTGGCACACTTTAAATGGCAACAATTTAAATTGCGTCATTTTTTATTGGTTTGCATTTTTTAAGGAAAAATCCTTTTTGCCCCCATAGTTATGCCAATTCTCATGTGCACACATTGGTACATGAACATTGTATCACGTACTTTTTACAAAAATGAATATAGATGACTTTCTAAAATGCAACAACTTAACCATATCGAAAGATAAAATAGGAAACAGCCTTCAGCGTAATAAAATAGGGATACTAATAACAAATTTGGGTAGCCCTGCGAAACCAACTTATTGGGCACTGTACAAATATTTAGCTAGTAAGAAAAAGACAAAAAAGGGGAAATGGAGAGAAAAAAGAAGGGGGAATTAGAACGCATACTGAGATAGTTCTGATGATGTGCGTTCGAATATAATGCTACATTTAAAAAAAAAAAAAAAAAAAAAAAAAAAAAGAACATACGTGCGTTCATACATACATACATACATACATATATTCACGTATTCACGCATTGCAAGCTGTTCACCGCGTGCGCGATACAGCGTATCATCTTTTTGCTTTTTTTTTTATTATTTCCTGCTGGCCTTCACCAATTTAGAGTTCCTGGGAGACCCAAGAGTTGTCAAATTGAATCGATTTATATGGCTGCCCATCCTATACGGATTAATACTACCCTTACGCAGTGGTAACAAGAAAAAAAAAAAAAAAAAAAAAAAAAAAAAAGATACCTTTATAGGAGTCCTATAATCTAATACATCAACCGAGAATATTTTTGTACGCCTCTAAAGTGATATCTAGGAAACATTTACATCTTTAATTTTATAATCATCCACATGTACACTACTTCGCAGGAAAATCTCTGTCCAAATATAAAAAAGTATGGACAGACGAAGGCTCCCCCTTGTGCGTGAACACGCATAAGCAATACTTGGCGATAAAGGAGCGTTTATTTGAAAAGTAAATAAGAAGAAAAATAAAAAAAAAAAAAACATACACAATGATGCATCCACATGAACATGTCCAATATACAAAATATACTCTATCCGTCTCCTTCCTTTTTGATGATGGGGTCCTCGTGCTGGAGAAATTTTTATTCAATTCATCGTAAAGGAATAAAACATGACTTATGAATGTACAAAGTCCATCCCTTCCCAACCCCCACCCCCCCCTAATCACATGAAAATTTGCAGATACAAAGATAAGGTTGCAATTACGTATGGCATGAGATATGGAGAAAGATCTATAAAAAGTGGATTACATTATTTAAAAAATGAAAATATAAACAAACTACTAGTATTGCCACTATACCCCCAATCAGCTGAATGCACAGTTGCTTCCACACTTGATTGCATAAGTGAGAATTTAAAAAGATGGAATAACGTCCCAGAGTTGAGATTTCTCTCTGGATATTGTTTTAATGAAAAATATCTAAACAGTATGACTGAAAATATTCAAAATTTTTGGAAAAAAAATGGAAAAGGAAATAAACTAATTATATCTTATCATTCCATACCTACTAAAACAGTTGAAGATGGAGATTTATATCCTTTTTTTTGTATCGAAAGTACAAATCAATTGGTTAAAAAATTAAACCTTAAAAAAGATGATTATATTTTAGCTTTCCAGTCAAAAATTGAAGGTCAGAAATGGATACAACCATGTATTGAAAATATTTTAAAACAGCTGTCCACTGATGGATGCAATGTCGTTGATGTCGTATGTCCATCTTTTTCTGCTGATTGTTTAGAAACGCTTGAAGAAATTCAAATAACTTATCAACAACTGTTTCGTCAATATGGCAATGGGCAGCTTAGATACATCAAGTGCTTAAATTATTCAAAGATTGGCATTGATTTTATTATGAATATTATTGAGGAGAACATAGTCGGGTGGTAGTGTATTTCCTTGCATGGGAGTTACAATTCTCTACTCCCATACATATGATTTTTTTTTTTTTTTTTTGCTAATCCCCATTAGTGCTATATATGTATACATATTTACAACGAAGAGAAACATAACAAGAGCACAAATTAGAAATATATAAAACTACGGACCTACTCAGCTTTGTGTATCGCTCGGTTTCATGTCTGCTGAACATCCCCGTAACCATATCTCCCCAATTTGTTGTATCCAATTTGTTAAACCCAATTCTTTGTATTACAGTTCTTTGTATCCCATTTTTCGTAGCCTATTTATCATTGCCTAAATTTTTTTTTTTCTTTTTTTTCCTCTTTTCTCCTTTAATGATGTTGAAGCTTATGTTACAACGTAATCGATCATATTTTTTAATACAGCCAAAAATAAGAAAAAATTATAAACTAAAAAAGAACAAAATATTATTCCTACAAAATTTATAATTATTAACAAGTTTTTTTTTTTTTTTCCTTTTTTCCCTGAGGGAGTAAAAACGCATTATTAACATTTTATCATTAAAAAAAGCACCCTCATTTTTTAATAATTAATGTATTTAATGCTAAACTTGTATATTTATAAATGTGCTCCCATCAATATATTAATGTCCAAATGGCGAGTTGGAGGCACAGGGGAGTAACACTTAAAAATTGCCATTCTTGAAATTTTATCCCATACTGGCAGCACTTTTTTTTCAAATTTTCTTGCATGATATATTTGTTTACTATTGGCTAATATGCCACATTCTTTTTTTTTAAAAAATTTTTTTTTTTTTTTTTTTTTTCTTTATTCCAGTGTGAAATATAATACTTTTCAAAAGTATTATAAAATAACTAAAGAAAAAAGAAAAATGTAATAACATATATGTCACGTGCTTACAAGAATAGGGTAACTTATTATTGTAGGAGGAAAAAGGCATGGAACAAATACAACAAAAAAATAAAAATAAAAGAATAGATTGAAAAATAAAAATAATCCCTTGTTGAAAACAAAAATGAGAAGATTTTTTCCCAACCCAAATAATAACATGTCATATTTTACAGAACCAATAAAACTTACATAACATATGAATATGAATCCTCTATTTATGTATTGTATACATATATATACCAACCAAGCGTTTATGTATGTATAGAATATAATTCACTTCTTTTTTTTTTTTTCCATTTAAAATTATCAATACTGTGGAAGGGAGAGCACTAATCATGTTATATGACGAATGTTCCCACCAATGGAAGTATAAACAATAGCTCAAGCCAAAACCTTGAACGAGTTTGATTTATTCGTCTTTTTTAAAAAAAAAATATGAACGTTTTTGAAAGGCTTCACTTATGAAATAATAATATACTTGTAAAAAAAATTAAATGCAAAATGCTCATAACGAAAGGGCACACAAATTTTTTTCCAAAACAAAGTTATACAAAATAACATCATATTTGTAATGTGCACCTCCACATATCATCTCAACATTGTCAAAAAGGATAGTAACTCTATTAACTTTTCCTAATTCAACGATATATCGTCGAAACCAAATAATAAGCAGAATAAAGGGGTGAAAAAAGTATAGAAAACGAATTTATAATATCGCAAGAAATAACAAGCGAACCAAACCAAATGGAAGACCCCACTACAAGGTTCTACAAATGCAGAAAAACCTGCTGTGAGATGCTGGAGGACAGGGGATATATAATAACACCAAGAGAGAAACTTGAAAATTTCGCAGCCTTTAAGGAACAATTCGAAGAAAATGAAAAATTGTAATGAAATATATATATGCATGAACATATATATGTATCTATATAATGGATTGTCTCCAAAGTGGAAAACATATTCCACTTTTTTCTCTTTTATTTAAATTAATAAGATGTTGCGCGAGTGATGTGCATATTAAATAAAACCCCTTACATCCGCTCCTTTTTGTAGACGATCTCGAATGACTATTATAACAAGCCACAAAAGTGACCCGAACAATAAAATAATAGTTTACTTCGCTGATGAAATTAAAAAAACGGGAGTTAAACCATTGAGAGAGTAATACGAAAAACACGAAAATAAATATTTGTTAATGTCTGATCTATACTCTATATGTAAAGTACATTTCATCTTTGTATTTGTGCATGAAAACATGAACAGACTATTTTCACGTCCCATTATTATATTATATATATAAAAAAAAAAAAAAAAAAAATTTATTCATATAGGTTAACAGAAAAAATGGACGAAAAATCAATTCAAAGAGCAATTCTTGTGACTCAAAATACATTAACACCCTTCGCTCGAGATGTAATATATTTAAGAACAATGAAATTAAGTTTTTTTTTTTTTTTTTTTTTCTGACAAGCAAGAAATATAACATATTTTTCTTCTACTTGTCCCCACCTCTATTTTTATATTGCAACATTATAGGCAATTAAGGAAGCTGCCCCGAGACACATCATAGAAAATTTTTTGGACACGGAATTGTTGGTAAGCAAAATGAAAACAAAAGGAAAAGCAGTAGTAGAGCAATATCAGTAGCAACAACAACAATATCATGTTTAATTTTCACAAGCACGTTGATCCATTTCACAGGGCCAGTGTTGCAGATACAATTATCTCGTCACATGTCAACCATACACAATTTCAACTTAATCCTCTGCAGGTTAATATAACGGAGCACGAGTTGGTTCCAAGGCATATCCCCCTTACGAGTGATGAAAAAAGAAATTTGCTACAAAGATATAAAGTAATGCAAAAAGTGAAATCATAGAAAAGAGAAAATATATAATGAATTAATTGTATGAATAAAATGAATTTGTGTTATTGTTATGTACTATGTGTACCACACCTCACTAGTGATATCCAATATTACAAAAAGGGGAAAAATGCTTATCTCGTTGTGTTATTAGTTAGTTTATACATATTTTGAAGCAAAGTGGCAGATAGTATTTTAATCCCTCTCCTTCTGACTGCACACGTACCCGCTATTTTTAACACCCTTACTGACTTCTTTATTTATAGATTAAAGAAAACAAGTTACCAAAAATCCAAGATGTGGATCCTGTATGTCGATATTTTGGTCTTTCAAAGGGACAGGTAAAAAACAAACTTAGTTTCAAAAAAATATTTTTTTCCTTTTTTTCTTTTTTCCTAACCATACTTAATCCTGCACATTTTTCTACATTTATTTTTTCGTATCATTTCCCTCTCGATATCTTAGGTTGTTAAAATAATCAGGCCCAGTGAAACTGCGGGTAGATACGTGACCTACAGACTCGTAGTTTGAGATCCATCGACCTTTTCTGCGAAGGGGGGGGGGGATGGCATATATATGCCATTTAGACATTCGTACTAGTTTTTCCCTTTTTTCCCCTATTTTTTTTTTTACATGTTATTACTATTTCATTTGAACTAATACAGACATGATGCACCAGCTTTTTACCTCTTCGTAATTATAAGAGTTCGTATACATGCTTGTCTCCGAATTCCTTTGCACATTAGCATTAATTGATTTGAATTGCCCACAGCAACCTTTTTTTTTTTTTTTTTTTTTTTTTTTATTTATATCCTTTTCATATCATTTTTAATTTTTATTACCATTTCTTATATGGAATAATTAAAACTATTCGCAAAATTTAGAAAAAAATTTTAACCTTTTCAATTCATAAAGCATTCCCTTGAACGAACTCAGATATTTGCAGTATCTGCTTCTTAAGTAGCTGTTCGATGTGGTCAGGGAGGAGGAAAGGATCTGTGGACATAACTCCTCTCTCCCCTCTAATTACGAAACATGTCTTACAACCGATTGCACTTGAATGATGCATACGCATTGTTCATAAAGCAGGTAGCAATTCTTTACCTCTTTTTGGTAATTCAAAGCTGAGAGCGTGATTTACCCAAAGGGAAATTTTATTCCGTTCTGCTGCAGCGAAAAAACCTGAAAAAGGATGAAAGTCTAAGAAGTTGAAATAGTTAAATTTATACGTTGAAATATAGTCTATTTTTTTCATTTGACTTAAATCACATATATTAATAGTACAGTTATTTGTAGTGGAAATAAATATTTTGCTATCTGCTCTTATAACTATATTATCCATGTTGTCATTTGTATGTGCCTTTTTGGTTATATAAGTCTGTTCATTTTGATCAAGCAGTAGGGAGTATACTGAACCATTATTAGTGCTAACTAAACAGTTGTTTTTGTTTATATGATAACTTAAAACATTTTCCTTAACATCTATCATAAAACTTGAAACAAATTGGTTTGTCATTCTAAAATCGTAGATGAAAAAAACGGAGGGTTCATAACATGCTATCATATACGTCTCTCCAAAAAATGGAACTGGATAAATATCCAAAATGTTATTACACAATTTCAAATTCAAATCAGTGTTCAAAACATGTTTGTATTCATGCTGTTTTTCACAGAAACTTAAAATTTTGATCTGTCCAACTTTTTTCTTTATTTCATCAAAGTGTATAACCAATTTGTTATTATTTCCTGTCTTCAAATTATCCCACTTATTATTACAAAATACATCTTCTTCTGTCACTTTACTCTTGGCATACTTTTCGATACTACAATTTATATTTTTGTTATCTCTACTTAGGGAAGTTAACTTACCCTTGCATGGGATTTTATTTTCTATATTTTTATTCTCACCAGTATGAAGCAACAAATCATGTTTTTCCCTCATATCACATATGGCAATATCCCCATCGTGATTTATAGGTGTAACTATATTACCATTTACACAATACGGTTTCGCATAACTAAAATTATTAGTATCTAATTTCATCACACAATAATCATAATTCAAATTCCATAATTTTACCGATCCTTCTTTTGTTTTCACAAAAAATTGTTCCTTATCAAATGCAGATGCATAAAATGCACTATGATTTGATACCTTATATTTTCCAACACTTCTTTTATCACTTAAATTCCATATAGTAACAACTCCACAATCGCAAGTAGATATTAATAAATTATCCTTAAAAAATTTTACGCTTCGTATATTGTCTGAGTGATTACTCAGATATAACAAAGCCCTTTTATTTTCTCCCATCATGTCTGCTGCATATTTCTTATCCGTCCCCTGCTTTTTAAGTGAATCATAACGAATAAAAAAAATTATAAGAAAATGGGAAATAATTGGAAAAATGTTGTAAAACCAGTAAAAATATACTATGAAAATGTTTGCTTTAAAAAAAAAAAAATAAAAAAAAATAATTTTAAAGGTTCTGATGATAAGATCCCTTGAACTCACCTTGCAAATAATGGTGTACTACTAATAACAAATGGGTAAAAATCTATATGCATATAACTTTTATAGGTCTTACATGTACTGAGGATAAAAAAATAATACCTCCACAAAAAAAAAAAAAAAAAAAACAAACAAACAACAAAGAAGCATCAACAAAGCAGCAAAAAAGCAACAAAAAAGCAACAAAAAAGAGGTCACGGTCACGGTCACAATTTGCGAAAAGAAATAAAAAAAAATAAGTTTCACAAAATAGTGAAAAAATGAGTGAAACTCAAGAATAGAAGCACAGGTTGTGTGCATGCAAAAATTAAAAACTTCAAAAGGGAATGAGGAAATGGATAAAAAATAATCATTAGAGGGCTAGTCGCATTTAAAAGCCCTTAAAATGTACGTATAACAACTAATATATGTTAAAAAAACGATGTCGTAGGAGTAAAATAAAACAAAATAAAAGTAAAGAAAAATAAAATGAAATGAGGATTGTTTCTTAATTTTATGGAAGGCCTTATCTTGATGGTACAGTTCCAAAAAAACTATAGTATGAAAAAAAAAAAAAAAAAAAAAAAAAAACTAAGAGTGATAAATAGGAAGAGAAAGTTATTTCAGCACCAAGAACACAAATATAATATATAGCCATGAATTCACGGCTGTTCTAAATTCAGTGCCTCTGTGTGTATCTGTCTATCAGAACACACAAAAACACCCCTTTTTTCACAGTATCACTGGATAATCCGGATGGGATCCCTGAACTTCCAATGCAATGCATTTATTTCGCGTTCCAACTTATCCGTAAATAGCACATCCTCTGTGAGTGAATACAAATTTTCTCGAAGTTGCAAAAAATCTGAGATACCAATAACGGTGGAAGTAACAAATGATCTTGTATAAACCCATTTCAAAGCAGCCACAGTTAAATTTGGGAAATAATATTTCTGACTTAAATAATATAACTCTCTAATGATATATGTAGCTATAGATCCTCTTAATCTTTTCATATAGGAAGGGAATTTTTGCATTCTTCCTTTTGTTGTATAATCTGTATATTCTAAATATTTTCCTGTTAATATACCGGCACATAGTGGTGAATATGCCAAAATGGAAACGTTCGTATTTTGTGGTCTACAGATTTCAAGAAATCCTTTTTCTACGTCATTACGACATAATAAATTGTACTCTAACTGTACTGATACAGGTGGAGATATATTTAACTGTTTGCATAATTCATAAAATTTTAATAATCCAAAAGGTGTTTCATTACTTAATCCCCATTCTCTTATTTTCCCTTTTTTTTTTAGCTCATTAATTGCTTGCAGTTGTTCTACGAACGGCACAAAATCATCATAATACTTATTATAATCATAAAGCACATCGCTATAATCACCAGATGATTGATTAGGATAATATCTATCGGGCCAATGTAGTTGTAACAAATCAATGTAATTCGTTTTGAGTCTCGTCAAGCAATTGTCTACACTGGAAATTATGCTCTCCTTACTAAGTGTTATAAGGTCATTTTCTTGTCTTTGGATATTCTTCCATTTTTCTAGTTCCTTCATTTTTTCCACCATTCCTTTGTCCCCTTTCAAATATAATTCTTCTTTTTTTTTTAAGGCCTCTAATTTTTCAATCGAACTTTTGTTTTTCTCTTTTGAGTCATACAAATCATTCACATTGTCCTTATTTTTCCTTTGTAGCTCATGTTCTGTATCATTTGCATCACTCGCTAAGTCATCCATTCTTTTTATTCCTCTTTTGTATTTTTTAGCCCACGGAATTTTATCAGTTCTACCGCAAATTTTCGTAGCAATGACAAACTTGTGTCTGTTGGCCTTCCCCTTAGCTTTAATCCAATTTCCCAAAATTTCCTCCGATAATCCAAAATAATTCTCACTAACAGGTAAGGGATATATTTCTGCAGTGTCGAAAAAGTTCACTTGAAATTCTTCATACGCATAATCAAATAATTCATGTGCTAATTTTTCATTTACATAATTTCCAAAATTCATGGTACCTAAGCAAATTTCAGAAACAGCTAAATTACTATTCCCTAAGTAATGATATCTCATACTTGGCTTCTTATTCCCATTCTTTTTAATACAGTAAAGTTGACTATATTTCTGATATTCAATTAAATTCCCATAGGGATACTTAACATGTCTCCATGACTCTAATCCTATGGGTTCTCTACTACAGCCACCTGTCAAAACATCACTTAGCATTGGTTGTCTAAAAATTTCATTATCTAACTTTTTTTTAGGTATAATAATTTCTTTTCCATAATATCTTCTGTCTTCTTCTAACTGAGATTTGTATGGTGGAATTTCATGTATTGTGTTACGAAACATTTTATAATAATTTCTTCTTTTATATTCAAAATAATAATTTCGTTCCTTGTCGTAATAGGTAATTATATAATCATACATCGGATTATCAAAATCTGCTTTCACCAACTTTATATTTTTATTTTCATCATAGTCAAATGGTAACATAATCCAACCATCATCTTTAATACCTTGATTTTTTATTCCAAAAAATCCTTGAAAATTTTCTTTTGCTTTTTTTAATTCTTCTTCATTCCATAAATTTTTTATCTTTTCATAATTTTCATTATCAACAATGTATATTCCCTCTTCTAAATTGTATATTCGATATTCAATGTCTACACCACGAATGTTAATTTTTTTTAATTCCATTTCTTCTACATATTTGTACGATACGTCATCTTCATTAAGAATGCGATTTTTATAATCAGTGTTATTACTATTTTTCTTTTTTCCATTCTCATTCTTGTCTCCCACTGTAAGTAAATCCTTTTCGTCATAATTCACCTTTCCCCTTTCATTGATAAAGCTGAGCATATCATTGCTATGCTCATTTTTCTTCTTATCAATACATAGAACAAACTGATTGATCTTTTTTTTTCTCATATGATTAAACTTATTTGGGACATATCCCCTTCTAGTAATGAAGTGTCTTACTAAATTCTTTTTTCTTCTCTCTGTTTTTTTACCTTTTTTTTTTAAATGTTCTTGAATTATTTCCTCTTTTCCGTCACCGGTATGGTAGTTGTAATATTTCTGCAAAACAACCCAACTATTACTTTTTCTTCTCCAGCCTGCATACGAAACAGTGTTCTTAGGCGAAAAAAAGAAATTCCTTTCTTTACAATTTATTTTAGCCCCATGCAAAAACAGTACGATTAAACCGCTGATATATTTAATTGCGTCCTTTCTCTTCATGGGCTCCTTTTTATATTTGTTTTTTAGTTTTTCTTTTTTTTTTTTTTTTTTTTTTCTTTCCACATAATTCATTTAAAATGGGGTTTTTTTTTTTTTTTTTTTTTTTTTTTTTTTTTTTTTTTTCTTTTTTTCCTTTTTTTTTTTTTTTTTTTTTTTTTTTTTTTTTTTTTTTTTTTTTTTTTTTTTTTTTTTTTTACATAATTTATTTTAAAATTGGGGATTTTTTTTTTTTTTTTTTTTTTTTTTCATTTTCATTTCCACTCAGTGTCCCTTGTAATTTTTTTCACTTTACACTCTGTGCCATAATGTTCTATTATGACAATTTTTGTTGCTTTCTTCTCCTTCAAAATGATGAAATTCATATGGTATTAACGTTTTTATTTCATGTAGATACATATTTTTCTTAATTTTACAAATTTAATTTTACACATTTTATTCATAATTGGGTAAAAAATCAAAATAGCGCTAAAAAATATAATTCCTTATTGTTTACATAATTTGTAAAAAGAAAAAAAAAAAAAAAAAAGTGTAGTAGCAAAAGATAATTAGAATTATAATATGGTGAACAAGATAACCTTTTCGTAAAACCTATCAAGATGAGACTTCACATCAGATCTCTTTTATTATTATTATTTTTTTTTTTTTTTTTTTTCTCCTTTTTTCACTTCACATCCTCCAAGTACATATTTTACCTATGTGTATATTTTTGAAAAGATTACGCATATGTAAAAAGCTTACGTGTATGCGGAGATAGACCATTCCTCAAATGTGGATTCGCTTTCAAAATATACACAAAAAAGAAAGGTTTTACAAAATATAGTCATTAAAAAAAATGATATATTTTTGCTTGTTAGGCATTTTCTGCTCAGCCTTTAAATCTTTTCGTTCTGATTAACGGTAAGAATTCATTTTATTTAAATTGCACATTTTGTGCATTTTTTTGTACTTAGGTTTGCAATATTTTTTTTCAACTGAAAAAAATTTAAAACTAAAACTTGTAAAAATGGTGAACTGATAAACTGATAAACAGATAAACTGATAAACTGATAAACTGATAAACTGTTAAACTGATAAACTGATAAACTGTTAAACTGATAAACTGTTAAACTGATAAACTGATAAACTGTTAAACTGTTAAAACTCCTAAAAATGCAACATTAGTAAAATTAAAAAAGTAATTGCCAAAAAAAGGAACCTCAATGAGAATACACACGATTGAAAAAAGGGTAGGTACAGGTTGGAAATGCATATTGGACACAATCGTTGTATTTTTTTTTTTTTTTTTTTCATTATAATAGAAACTTAACGAATTGTGCAAGAATATATGCAATAACCTCACACGGAAATATATTCCAAAAATTAGGAGTTTAAAGTTGAATAAAAAAACGAGGACATCTGTACCATCTAGTCATATGTTATCATTTCACTTGTCCAGATGTACACCTGGTGGACGCTTCCGGTTTATATGTGTATTATTCCCTCGACTAGTTTTTTTTTTTTTTCGATTTCTTCAAATTTTGATTAATAGCAACAGAAAAATCAATATCGGATGAATCATCATTTGATAAAGCAGAAGACTCGATGCTTTTCTTCTCCTTCATATTTCTTTTATCATTAGCAAAGTCTGACAATCCTTTAAAATAGGGGGGGGTGCGAACATTCATGTCTATTTTATCAATATCCTTTTTGACAGTATTTTCTGATAATGAACTTGAAAAAATAGTATTCTCCTTTCTTGGTATATAATTCTTAGTTTTTTGCATTTTCAAATTATGTAAATATGAATTAATGTCGCTAATTTCTTGTCTTTTTATTTTCCCCATATCTGTATTCCCACTGCTACTTTCGTGTTCTGTTCGCTCGTTACTAAAGTTATTCATGTGCCTGTTATAATTATCCGTGAGACAAAAATCATCATCATTCTTTGATCTGCTTTTATGCTTTAATTTCCGAAGTTCTTCGTTTAAGAGGTACTGATTTGTGGGTACATCACCAACGGTGTCTGTCCTATCCTTGGTTGTTTTACACTTTTCTTCTTCTTTCATATTTTGCAAGTATATGTACTGTTCATATTTTTTTATAATGTTTTCAATGTTCATATTATTTTTTAATGATTGATTAAGGGGTATAACTAACGGTTTTTCGCACATATTTTCATGATCATATTTTATATGAACTGGATTGGAAGAGTATTTTATATGTAAATTTTTTTTTTTTAAACCATTTCTTAAATTTTTGTCCTCTTCTAATGCATCTTGTAAAATTTTTAAAATACTTTTCACTCTTTTTTTTGCCAGTTCAATGGCTTCAATTATTCTTTCATAGGATATTGGAAACCCGCCAGGTTTCAAAATGCTAATTAGTTTCCCATTCTTATTAAGTGCTACGGATAACTTCGAAGACATGAATTCTTCTTCCTGTATAGATGGATCGATCAAACACACATCTTCACAATTGAAATATGCAAAAGTTGTTAAAATTGGTGTATTATGAATTGACAAGGGAGTATAATTCGTTTCCCCCTCTTCAACAATAATATTTCCTGAATTTTCAACTGTCACTTCATTATTTCGAAAATGTACTAATGCACTATAAGCAGATAAATAACATGAGTCATATAAATTACCATCATTTTCAATAACAACAATATTAATTATCAGACACCATACTTTCTTATGGGGTATAATACACAAAGATTCGAAATTTAAAAGATTACTTGCTTTTAAAATCCTTTCAATTAAATTTTTAATTTCCAAACATTCATCACTTGTTTTGGAATTATCATTTACATTTGTAAAACTATCTATATCTAGGTTAACTTTTATGATCCCTTCATTTGGTCTTTTATCAAAAGGTTTCACAATTTCACTTGTTATTCTACATATAACTTTCGTATGCCCAATGCATATTTCGACATTTCCATACTCTCCTAAAAAATATATGGAAATGTTTCTAGAGTCCTCAAAATTACGCCCATCTAACCGTAAGTTCTTTTTTAAGTTGCACCAAAAGAAGTTAGAGTTGTTTTTGCAGCTCTTCATTTTGCACTAGCATCATAACACGAAAGGGGAATCAAAACATGTAAAACTAATCCCAAAGGTGATGTTAGGGATCTGCTTAAATGAAATGTGTTATCTTTTCACCTATAACTTATAATATGTAGCTTACCACTGAAACATTGTGTCATGTAGATTTTCCCTCCCCCCCTTTTTTTTTTTTTTTTTTTTTTTTTTCTCTCTCAGTAGCCCTAAAATCTGTATAGTGTGATCTTACAAAAGATAGTCATTATTTTATTTTTTTTTTTTTTTTTGCATTAATATCTTCTCTTCCTCTTCTGTCCCGTTTCTTTGCGGTATTCAATGTCCCTCAACTGTTGCACGTGGCAGGAAGGATAGCATAAAGAACAAAAAAAAATAAAATAATAAAATAAAATAGAAAAAAATAAAGCATAACAAAACAAAGCAGAAAAAGTAAAAAAAAAAGTATAAAAAACACAAAAGTGAATCTTGCCTAATTTATAGTCATTTTTTCTTCAAAATGATATTCATTCGTTGGCAATCCCTGCTTCAACGCATGAACAAAATTTTCCCCCTTAAGCAACTGTAAAAAAAAAAAAAAAAAAAACGATAAACAAATAAACAAATCTGTTTCATATGCAAAGGTTAGCGAAATATAGTTCCCATAGAAAAACAGAAAAAATAGATCGATTACATATAAATATATACATATTCGAAGAAAACAAAAATTATTAAAAAACATGAAAATGGAAAAACTATATTCTCCAACAGAACATTACAAATTGTAAAAATAACGGTGATCCACATTTAGTAAAGCTATGTGGGTTAAAAATTATGAAATCACTCTATGGGTAAAGAGGAAAACGTTTAAACACATGTACTGCAAAAAAAAAATAAATAATTAATTAATTAATAAATAAAATAATTAATCATGTGATGTTATGATGCAGTTTGATGTGTTGTGGTACAATGCGTGCCATGATGTGAACTTTTCACTATTTCTGCGCAATTCCCAATTTGTAAGCATACCCATTATATATCCTAAAAAAAAGTATATAAAGTTCTCTAGAGTCATTTTCCCCCTAATCAATGTGAACAAATTAGTACAAAAATGTGATGAACTTAAATGGTTAATGGACCTCATATTAACTTCCCTTAAGATTATTTGTTCTACATAATTAACTTAGGCTGTTGAATCAAGTGAAGTTCAGCAAAAAAGATGACCTTCGCACGGACAAGTATATATGTATATATTTGCACTTACACCACACCAACATGAATATGTATATTTTTGTATAGATATACTCATATCTATACAAACAACTTCCGTGAACAAGGAAAAGTGGACGACGGACATGGTGGTAGGTACTCATGTTGAACTCCCACAATTTCCCTAATAACATTCGAAAAACTAATTGATAAGTGAAAAAATGCAAAATTGTAAAAAAGTAAAAAAAGCATAAGACACAAAAAATATATACATTTTAAAAATACATACATGTAAAAAAAAAAAAAAAAAAAAAAAAAAAGACATATGCAGAGCGTTAAAATCTTTGTATTGTGTGGTAATCATTTCAAAAAAAATTCATTCGTGAAGACGAGATATTATGATCACAAATCGGGAACATATCTCATATCCAATAAATATACAAAAATATAAAAAGTATAATTGAAATTTTCAATTATTCGTATATGCATATATACATGATGGAACAGAAATCAAATTATACAAAACTGGAGAGATGAGGAAAAAAAAAAAAAAAAAAAAAAAGGTGCATTTTCATATGTTTAACCAATAAAAACTGATTACTGAAATGGACATGAAGAGATATTTCTTCACCTAATGTATGAATACACCATTCGTTGCAGCGATGGATCAACCACTTCTTACAGTTAACTCCTTCCGTGTTTTTTTTTTTTTTTTTTTTTTTCCCTTTTAATTAACAATATTTACCTTCTTGCTGCGTAACATCCTGTGGGAACGTTCAATCACCCGTTTATCTTCATTCTTCTTATCGGAAGAACCGTTATAGTTGTCAAAATCAGACCTTGGAAAACAGTGCTTCAAAATATCTAAAATGAGGTAATTGTCGAAGGATTTTTTCTTCGTACACACAAGGGAATTTATGACTAAATTTAAAAGAAAAATACTTTTCTGGTATTGATAAAGAAAATGAGGTAAATTAATAAGTTTCTCGGATTGTATATAAAAAACGTCCGAAAAGAAATTGTAAAATAATCTTTGGAATTTATTTATTATATTTTCCTTGTTTCCATCTATCCATAAGGTTGCAAAAGATCTATTTAAAAATATATCTATAATTAACTTTATCGAATTAAATGGAAGAAATTTTAAATTGTTAAATATTATGTTAAGAATTTCAACAGATAAATAAAATTGTAATGTAGAATACTTTTTCTGGTTATATATATACGATTTCATTTTTATATTCTCTGAAAAACATGTGCTATTTCGTTGTGTATCCGACACGACCTTCTTATAATGTGTCTTTATCATTTTAATCAATTTTACTTTACAAAAAATTGTATAAAAACATGAATATATAATGTAATCCAAAAAGTTATATTTCGCATAATTGGTATCTTTTTTCATATCTTTTTTAAAAACACGACTTATTAGCCATCCATTGCTTTTTTCATATGATAAGGGCTCGGATAAAAGGGTGTATATAAATTTATACGAAAAATTACTACAAATAGTGTTTAACTTTTTTAAATTTTCTTTCAAATTTAATGAACTTGTTATAACTAATTTTTTCTTTTTATTCACAAGGAAAATTTTTTCTATATGTATATCCATTTTATTCTTATAAAAACATTTTTTTGGAAAATAATTGTAATTCTCCAAAATTTCACTACCTTTTGAACATAACACTTTTTTTATATTTTTCCTCAATTTATATTTCTTGTTTTGATTTATATTTTTATACATATTTTCGTCTATAAGGTTAATTAAATATTTTACTACAAACCTTTTGTCACCATTATTTTCTCGTTGATCTATCCCTCCCTCTTCCCTTAAATCACTTAATTTATTATCACCACTTTTACTTTTCACATTCAAATGTTCCATTTTTCTGCACATTTCTCTTCTTTCGTTCCCTTTTTCTCTTTGTTCGTTTACCTTATCTCTACTCAGCGTTAATATAAACTCCTCTTTCATCTTTACTTTTAGCAAAAGACACATTAAAATGTAAATAAATGACAAAATAAAGCTTGTCAATTTTTTATTAGCCCTTTTTTGCAATACTTTATTTATACCTAGAAACAAAATATTCTTCAAAATGATATAGTTATCTTCATAAAATGTTAGATAGTAAAAATTAAAAGAACACATAAAATTTATGTACAGGTTAATTAAATTCAAAAGCAACTTATCTGTTATTTCTTTCTCTTCGCTTTTGCTATGCTGAAAAAGCAATGCTTCTCGTGGCTGGAAATAGTCATTGAAAAGTGCACCACCGATTCTAGAACCTGGGATCCTGTAATCCAAATTGTTTCTTCTAACATTTCTTAAATTGTTGTCATAACAGTTGTTTGTTGGTTTTACACTTGCATCCTGTGCGTTCATTTTTTGTTTTATACCCCATTTTGTGGCTACCTCTTTTGTGGCTACCTCTTTTGTGGCTTCCTCTTTCATAGATACCTCTTTCGATGTTATCTCCTGACCTATCGTTTCTTCCTCTTTCTTGGCGTTCCTTTTCGACCTGGAACTTCTACTAACTCCACTTCTACTACTGTTTTTTTTGCTTCTCGATCTTTTATTTGTCTCATCCTTCATCAGCTGTTCCTTTTCTGCTACAGCGATTGGGTTTGTTAGATTCGTTAAATCAGTTTCGTTCTTTTGTGTGCTAGTCTCATTAGTCGTGTTAGTCCTTTTTGTTGCATCATCTGCATAATTCATTTGGACACCCTGGTTTGTACCTCCGATCACAGTATGATCTACTTTGATCTCCATTTCATTTATAGTTTTTTGTATACCATTTTCGCGAGGATGAATCTTAAATTTCTTGTTATTGTTTTCATATTCCTTAATTTTTTGCTCCGGTTTTTCATTTGGCTTATTTTGGAATCTCTTAAACGACAAACGACTTCTTCTGGTGTAAATTCTCTTCTTCAAGGTGTCAATATAGGTCAGACAGATGACAATAAAATTCTGAATGATTATTTTGTTAATGTGTTTTTTCTTTGAATTTTTAAAGAGGCAACAAAAAGAAATAAAAATAAAGCAAAATTCCGAGATTTTGTATATTGGTATATGCAGAAACGAATTGCTAATTAATTTTATCATACTGTGTACATATTTTTTGCTATTTTTAATTTCACTTAAATAATAAAATAAATTATTTAATATTTTTTCTACCCCTCTATCGATGTGATTAGTTTTGCAAAAATCAATTAATTCACTTATTTTATCAAAATTTTCTAAAAACACATCTGTGCTATTTAATTTTATGCTTCTTTCAAAAATAAATATACTTAAAAGAAATAATTCTATATTTTCATAAAAACATTTTTCCATTTTATACTCTTTATAGTTGCTTAAATTGCTATACTTCTTATAATGATTTAACCTATCCATCTCAGCTATTAAACTACTATTACAGTTTAAAACAATTTTTAAGCTCATATTCTTCTCATTTATACGTTCAAAATTTTGTTCTCCTCCTTCCTTTGCTTTATTTACTGTGCTACAACTTATGCCATCAGGTAAAATATCGCCTCTTTTTTTTACCTCACCAACGCCTTCTTCAGGAAAGTTACCTTCTACTACCATAATGTTCGTTTGCTCTTTGTTATTATTACTATTACTATTACTATTATTATTACTATTACTATTATTATTACTATTACTATTATTATTACTATTACTATTATTATTATTATTATTACTATTATTATTATCATTATTATTATCATTATTATTATCATTTTTGTCACATGCCAATTGGTTCTGATCTCCACTTGGTGCTATGCAGGGAGGGTCTTTTTGTAAATCATTGGAAGGTAGAACTGTACCCAGATCTCCCCCTTTGTTTTCCTCTTTTTTTTTGGTTCCACTTCGCCCTTTCCTATCACCTGAACTTGCAGCAGCCTTACGTCTGCTCATTCGTCTATTGTTCCTTTGCTGTTCATGTTCTTCTTCAATTAAGTGACTAAAATTTTTCTCTTTTGTATTAACACCACTTTTCCTTCCATACCGACTTCGTCTAGGTTCGGGTTCTATAACGATTTCAGCCGCATTATTAATTTCTGCTTGTTCCTCCATTTTTATTTCGTTTTCTGCTTTGCAATTTTTAGTATCATCCCTTTTCTCCTCTTCCTTCTCTTTTTCTGCATCCATCATTTGCTTTGGGTTTGTATCAATGTCAATATTTTTTTCGTCACTTTTGATGTTATTACATTTTCTCCTTTTGCTCCTACTATTAGTCGTCTTCACATGATTACCATCTGTATTTACATTCATAGGGATCAATTTGCTCGCTTCTGATGCCTTCTTATCATCTTTAATTATTCCTTCTTTATTTGTGCAACCCTTGGTTTGTACTTTTTCCGTTTCTCCTCTGTTCCCCATATTAACATTTGGTTTGTTACTCTGACTGTCACTTTGACAATTACATCTGTCTACATCTTTGCACTCTTCTGTTATGCCACTATTTTTAACATCAGGTTCGCCCTGTTTTTCCGTTTTCAGAGAAATAGCAGGTATGTCCTCTGCATTGTTCATACTATTTTGCACCTTCTTTGAATTGGATTTACTTCTGCGGCTGCTATTATTTGACCTCTTTCTGCTTGATTTATTTTTTTCGTTTTTATTACCTCCTGGAAATAATAATGCTGATTCAGGTGGTGGTGCTTCCTTTGTTTGAGGAAGAACTTCTGTTTGTCCCTCAATCTGGGGATGTATTGCAATGGATACTTTCCTATGCACAACATTCTCACCATGTTCTACTTTGATACAATTAACATCAGCGTGTTGGTTTTGACTCTTCTGCAAATATACATTTTCATTCCCTTTATTCTCATCAACACTGATTGTGGTACTAGCACCAAGGTTGTCACATTTTCCGAATGACGCAAAATAAAGCTCTTGTCTTATATATTCTTTTTTTGCAAACACATCAGATATTTTTTTCCTTCTACTTTTTAACTTTGAATGAAAATGATTTATTCTGCTAATAATAGTATCTTTGAACTTTTTTTTGTAGGAGAAGTATTTTAAAAATTTTAAAATATGTTTCTTGGTCGTAATCCCAATTAATTCATTGTCTAATAACTGTATCAATTTGAAAAAGAAATATTCAAAATGGTTTGTGCAGTAATCATTTATCCTAGTCAGTAATAGAAGAACTTTTAATAAATTTACAAAAATGAAATAAAATTTATCTAATTCTAAAATGGTTAATTTTTTTAAATTTTTTAAATTTCTCAATTCATTATTTCCTCGCGTTTTTTTCTTTAATAATGTTTCGATATTTACACTAATTAAGTTCTCTTCAATGACCGAAATAATTTGTAAAAAATATTTAAATAGTGTTAGCATTTCCACTATAAATTCTTCTATATTTTTTTGATCTTTCATTTCACTTGTTTCATCAACGTCATTATTATTGTTACTATTACTGCTATTATCATTCTTAGTTGAAAAATCTACGTTAAAATAGTTATTCAGGTAACTGTGTTCATTTTTGATAAAGTAGAAACAAAAGGTAAATCGGTTAATGTATATGTTCAAAAAACAATATATACAATTGAAAGTGTAGTAAATAAAACTATTATCGTATATTCCTTTTTTTTTAAGTTCAGAAAAAAAAAATATATTTATAAAATACAAATTTTTATATACTATTTCTTTCATTTCTTCTTCATTTTGCTCTTTTATTCTTAGTTTCACTTGAATATCATTGCTAAGAAAATCGTTCATGTTTATATTTTTTACTCGAAACTGTTCTGCTTTATTGTTTTCTTTTTTTTTCTTTAAACTGACAGATTCCTTTGCATCTACGAGGGGGACGCTACTATTGTGTGCCCTGCTAGGAGAAGACCTACCATTTGTCACATGGGTTGGCTGTTCAGCTGAAGCTTCAGTTGACGCTTTGAGTGGCCGTTCGAGCGGCCGTTCTGATGGAGGTTCTACTGACAACGCAATTATGTCATCACTAACCCCCACTCCAAATCCTCCTCCACTTCTGCCAGACCCAACAATCTTGTTTTCCTGACTCTCCTGGCTATCCCCCGTCCCTGTGTGCATAAATAAACTCCCCATTATGGCCCTAACCTCCTCAGAGGATATGTTCAAAATAGTACTCACAATTTTATAGTTTGCTGCATTTCTACAGTTTTTGAACAAAACTAAGAATGCAAATACGTAGAGGTCCTTTGAGTTATTTAAAAACATAGATTGAATATTCCTTAACATGATATCATCATAACCTGGGCCATTTGTATCACTGTGCGAAAAAATTTCCTTGCTTTTGTAAAAGCAGTCAATGTAGCAGAGGTTGTATAAAATGACTTTATCATAAAATTCGTTTAAAAAGGAAGGTGACAAGATTTTGGAGCAAATAAATAACAAACTTACACATAAATTTCTAAACTTCAGATATATATAAATATTCGTTTCTGGTTCTTTTAAAATGTTAAATATGCAAAGGAAAAAATTCTGATATATAGATTTCATTATGTAATTTTTTAACACCTTTTCTTCATAACTTAAGGATCTATGTTTAATAAATTCGATTAATAAAATAGTCATCATATAAAATATTCTCAAACTCATGTATCTAATAATACAACCTTTGCTAATACAACACTCTAATAAAAAATTAATTATATTATTTATTAAAAATTTTTTACCCTCACATAAAGTCATCAAATCATTTTCATTTTCTGATACAACTGCATTTGAACTTTTCATTTGATCCCATTTCATATGTTTGTTCTTCTCGTTACTTCTTATCAATGATGATAGCAGCATTTTTGCAGCCAATTCATTGTTCTTGCTATTGTTTTTTTTCATATAATCATTCGCACCAATCAGATGATAATGATTATGATGTTGCTGTTGCTGCTGGGGCAGGTCAAAATGATGTTCGTCAACTTTGGAGGAACTCATTTTCATACTTGTCTTTCTTTTAATTTTACTTACATGTATTTCGAATAGCATATACCATATGTTTCTTCTCTTCCTCCTCTTATTCATTTTAAACAAATTAAAAATTAAATTTAATAAAAAGTAGCAATTGTAATTATTTAACGTAGAATTGTTCTCTTCATATCTTTTACTCTTTATAAGTTTGTCAATTTTGCTTAAAATATAGACATATATTTTGTACTTATTAAATTCGTTGCAGTATCTTGTACTTTTCAACATACATGAAAAAATTTTGTTAATAATTATAACATTGTCATCTTTGAAATCTATTTCTACACATTTTAATAAAATATCTAAAATTTCTAAAAAGCTATTATTGTATAAATTATTTATCATATCTCTTATAACTTCGAAATTACTCTTTTTTAAATTATTCTTCATAAAATCACGATTTAAAATAATATCTCCCATCTCTAGTTCATATTCCCCTTTCACTTTTACATTCATTTTCATTTTGTTTTTATTTTGTTTTTTTCTTCCTACACCATCTTCTTCTCCGTCTTCTTCAAATTCTTCTCTATAAGCTTCCTCATGAAAGTTATTCCACGTTTCTGAAGCAATATCCTCTTTATTCTTAAGTAAAAAGGCGTAATTGTTACCATCACAGTGGTACATATTACCAAGGTTATTGCTATTCATATTTGCATAACCAAAGTTGTTAATATTACTACCACCACTGCTACAACCGTTACAATTTAAAGCGTTGGTATTCATTCCATATGCAAACATATTGTTTTTCATATTGTTTATAAATATATCATTAATACCTGTACACGAATCATTATTACTAAAGCTGATTGGACTACTGTAGTAGTTACTAATTTGATCATTGTCTATATTACTTAAGCTTTGATTCGAATCAAGAAAAGTTTGTTCATTGTTTGGAAAATAGTATCCGCTGTTGGCACTGTCGTTAAAGGTAGTATATACACCTTCACTATTATCTACATTACAATATGATGGGTTTATATTACTATATATGTCATCATTTATGTGGACACCTTGATCGTCGCTTAAAGTAACGACATCTTTACTGATACTTATGGTTCCATCTTGAATATCATTTGTAGTGGTATTATATTTACTTATATTTATTAAATCATCTGAACTGGGGTTCACAGGTGCAAGACTAACAGTACTATGTTCATTGTTTATCTCGACACATTCATTTCCTTGGTTTTTATTTGACATGTTATAATTGTAATCCACACTTAAATGCTCACAACTATTCGTTACATTGTTGCAAATATCATTTATATTATTACTAGCAAATGGAATACTATTAGTACCTCCATTGTATATTATATTGTATGTGTTTGGATATAAGTTATAACCATTATTATTTATTATATTCTCCTGGAGAGTTTGATTAACGGTGAAATCATAACCTGCAATACTACTGCTGATGCTACCGTTGATACTACCGCTGATACTTCCACTGACACTACCACCTCCTTCGCAATTATCCCTTGCAGAGGATGTATCTACAGTACACAATAACATGCTACTGTTATTTATATTATCCAATTTTAGTTTATTGTCATCAAGTGATTCTTTCTTTCTTAGTAACCGAAATAAATCCAATTCATGGTTATTTGGAAAATTGTTTTGAAGCTCGTCCGTGTTGATGTTACTATTATGGTTCCAATTACCACCACTGTAGTAGGGGTGGTAGTTGCTCTGATCATTTCCATAATCTTTTCTGCCGATTATATCACTTTCAATATTAGTATACTTTTTTTCTCCTCTTGGAACGGGTTGATCCCAGTTATCTTCTTTTTTGGAATATTTACCTGCCTTGGAGTCTTTTGAATTTCTCTTTGCTAACTTAGTCAGAAACAGAAGAATTAAAAATTTTAGTTTCAGAAAATAAATTATGGATTCACTTAGATTATTTTTTATCTTATTTATCATACTTTTCATCTGATCAACCACAATTTCAACGTTGTATAGTAGGAATTCATTATAAGACACTTGGTTATCGTGGTAAAACAAGAAGTTTTGCACATTTCTGATATTATACATGTTCATATAAACATTCAAAATAATATTCACAAACATGATGTTTTCATTCTCCAGATCTTGTTTTACGGGGAAAGAGCTCCTTCGCTCCATGTCCTCTTCAAGTGTGCGCTCATTTGGATGTTCCTCTGGATATTCCTTCGAAAATTCATTCATGTGTCCATTTGATTGGAAGCTTACGGTGCCACTTCCAATACCATTTCCATCATTTCCAATACCATTTCCATCATTTCCAATTCCATTTCCATCATTTCCAATACCATTTCCATCATTTCCAATGCCACTTCCATCATTTCCAATTCCACTTCCACCCAAACAGTCATTTTCTGCTAGCTCAACTTTTCCTTCATAAACTTCCTCCAATTTCTCATCCCCTAAATAAAGAGAGGGACACGTGGAAGGAACAGCATCAATGCACACCTTGTCGTCCTCCATCAGTTCATACATATCTTGTTCGGTTGTAAATTCCTGTGTGTTATTAATGCTTATGTTAACACCGTCTTTTCTAGTAGTTTCTTTATCTTCATTACGTTCTGTATATTCCTCATTAGTAAAAATGGAAAAATTGTTGGATAATTCTTCACCCTTACTTTCTTTTTTTATTTTTTTTTTTTTTTCCTTATTACCATAATATGCATGTCGTCGCTTATTCACGTTGCTGTTATTTTCAATTAGTTCCATGTTAGTATTAGCTTGATTTTCATCAAAATTTTCACTTTCACAATTATTATCGATTTCAGCTAAATAGTAACTTTCTACACGATTATTATCATGTCCTCCACGAACGTTGTTAATTTCTTCAGTGATGTTCCTGTTTTCAACAATATCACAAGCATCATTTTGAGTATCGCCGTGAAGCTTTCCCATACCATTTATATCACTTCTATTCACTATATGTCTTCCAAAAAAAGGTTCATCCGTTTTCTTGTAATTTTCGAACTCTTTCGTATTAACACAAAATTCAGTTTTGTCATCTTTCGTTTTTTCTTGAATCTTTTTTTCTTTCCTTTTTTTTTTTTTTTGAGAATTGTTCTCATTCTCCCTTTCTGAAGTAATAGATTCAGATTCATTCGTGGAGTTCCTTTTTTTTTTTTCATTAAAAATATTGTTAATATTTTCCAATGTTATGGCATTATGATCATTTAACAATTCACTATAGAAGGAAGATGATGTGTCATCTTCATCATCATCATCGTTTAAGGAAAGATAATTTTCATTATCGAATTCAAAACTTTTGGAAAAATAATTCCAAAATATTCTATATATTAGCTCTGAAAAATTCTCATTTGGTTCGTTAAAAGTGTCATATTTAGATATTAATATGCACATACAAGACAAAGAACTTATTAAGTTACTAAGTAAATGTGTTGACAGATTGGATGAATAATATAATAATTTAATAAACACTAATATATACTTTTTATAAACCCTTTCACATATTATTTTATAACTTTCTTCAGTTTCTTCTTGATTCTCTGTTATAATATAGTGATACCTACTAAGATAAAAAGTTTCATTTTTTGCATTTCTCTCTTCTAATATTTCGTTGTATATTATTGGAATCAATTCAGTGTGACATATTTCTTTTATTATGTTTGTTATAAATAAGTAATATCCTTGAAATTTTTTACATTCATAATTTTCACAACTTTTAATTATATCAATTAATTTCTTTTCACATTCATCTAGGCAATTATACTGAAACATAAATCTTTCTATGTCTCTTCTCAATTCTTCATTTCTTACTGTACCGTTATTATACTGATCATACTTAGTGATTATATTATCTATACTTATCAAATCACTGTCCCCTCGGTCCTTACACACATTTTCCATAACTTATATGTTCGCCAAAAAAAAAAAAAAAAAAAAAAAAAAAAAAAAAAAAAAAAAAAAAAAAAAAAAAAAAAAAAAAAAAAAAAAAAAAAAAAAAAAAAAAAAAAAAAAAAGGAAAAAAATACGAAAAAAAAAAAAAAAAAAAAAAAAAAAAGGAGGCATCGATGGATATGATCATGGACACGATAATATTATTAAATGTGCTCGTGTATAAACTAGTATCAAGCAAAGATACATTATGATCTATAAAGGGAAGTTAAATATAATAAAAAAATAAAAAAAAAATTCAATTTTATTCTTTACTTCTATATATTCAAAGTTGCATTTGCAAAAATAAAACACACAAAAGTGTCTCATCAGCATGTAACAACACATATCACCATTTTCTCCCCTATTTAGTTCACAAAATCTTTTAATTATTTATATCAAAAGAAATTAACAAAAAAAAAAAAATAAATAAAATATAAAATAAATGAAGACACAGTTTCTCTGATCAATTTGGTAATATGAACAAATTAAAAAAAAAAAAAAAAAATACAATAAAAAAAAAGAAAACATATGTCACGTGTAATGATGTACACTAATTCATATGAACAAAAAATTGGGGTTTCGACATAAATATTAATTTTGGTAATATTTTTTTTATCAAGAATTTGGAAGAAGATGGTTGGGTTGTAATAGGGTTCGTGTGTATCTAACAGGGGGAAAAAAAATGCATCTATAAAAATGGGTTTTAGTCGCTATAGGAGAAAATGAATATGTACGTATGTGGGTGCTTTTACCAAATCTTAAAGCAAATACAAAAACAGGAAGAAGCATCTACCTAACATACTTCTACTGGGTTTTTTTTAAAAGCGTCGAATATTAAAATTTTCTTCATAATTCGAGGGGGTTATATATCACTCATAATATATAAGTATAGATATACATGGACATATATATAAACATATATATATGCACTTATGTACATGCTTAAAGGTTCGTATATGTATACAACACGTATTTATACAACACGTATTTATACAACACGTATATATACAACATGTATTTATAACAACACGTATTTATATACAACAAGTATTTATACGTACCTATTTTATACATATATGAACGCATCCCTCAAATTGAGATAAAATACATGAAAGGTCATATATAATTTTTATGCATTAACTATTAATGAGGCATATAGATATATATTCATACATACATAATATAAGTTAGTGTTTTTTTTTTTTTTTTTTTTTTTATTTGGGGAGTTTCTACATAAAATACATGAGAAGAAAAATGCAAAATATGTTAACATAACTAGCATGTTTTCACTAAAGGCAAAAAAAAAGAAATTATTCATTTTTAAGAATTAATTTGACGAGGAAATTTTTTCATTTATTCCTGTATATAAACATCATCTATGGGTGACACTATTCACTTATTATTATTAAAACAGTGCTTAAAAAAAAAAAAAAAAAAAAAAAAAAAAAAAAAGAAACAAAAGCGTGGTATTTAAATAACCGCACATATAATTTTCTCGTACTTATTTTATGCCATTTGAAAAATTAAACAATTTTCCAACGATATTTTACAAGGAAATATTTTTATGTTTAAACTGCAAAAAATTTTCATTCATAAAAAAATGGAGGAATTTTCCTTTTTCTGAATGAAAATTTTAAATTTAAATGCAACAAATGGGTAGATAATAATTTGTGAAATTATTTTTATTTAATAACATTTTTTTTTTTTCAACTCCTAAGGAACAAAACAGGGGTTTAAAAATATTCTATTTAATTAAAATTTCCTTATTTATGTATAAACCCCCCTTTCTCAAATTCATTTTGGCGAAAATAGTTCTATTTTTTTGGAATAGGAAGAAAAAGCATTTACATATATACATATATATATATATATATACACTGTGGGGAGAACAGCTACAATCGTTTGACATACATATTCAGATAAACACACTACTTGTACATTTTTTTTTTGTTGCTTTTCTTCTTTTTTTTGCCTTCCCTTTTTTTTATATACTGGCTTAAATATTTTCAAATATTCCCACTCACGTTTGTTGTTTTGCCACTTTATTGTAAATCCCCAATGGAATATAAAATAAAACGCCAAGTTACATGTTACACATCGTAACAGACTTACAAAAAAAAAAAAAAAAATAGTGGAAGAAAATGCAAAAAATATGATTGGCCAAATGAATATTGAACCAATTTTTTTTTTTATAGCAAAAAAAAATAAAATGGAAAGCTTATACATTGTAAGTAAAGAAGAAAAAAAAAAAAAAAAAAAGAAGTCTTAAAATAGTACCCCCCCCCAGCACATGAATTTTAACACCTTTCGACTTGAACACATTTACAATACATAATTAGCACACACACATGTACGTGCGGACAAAAAGACAGTATTTCTTAAAGTCCATTTTACCCACTACATAATCGTCCACTTTTATTTAAAAAAAAAAAAAATAATAAATAAATAAAGTTTTTTATGAGTGGAAAATTGATTGCATAGATGCGAAAAAAGGCATATATATACATGTCCCTAGCACTGCATGTGGAAAAATGTATGTGTTATTGGTTGATGAATCATCTCATGTAGTCACATACGAGGAAGCGAATATGCCATAGGCACTTTTAAGATTCGCTTTCTTCCATTGCAAACAAGTGAATAACATCCTGTTACAACAGTTTCATATTCAAGCATGCATATGTATGTCTATGGCATTTACACATATTTGTAAATGCAAATTTTGTATATTATTGCTATTGTTATAACCTACGTTCCTATCCCTTCTCCCCCTCTTTCTTTTCATTCGTTTTTTCTGAATGATAGCGAAAAAATATCTATATAGTACGTCTTCATCTGATGAAGCAAAGGAAACAGTGGAAAAAGTAAACAACAAACCGCTCAATGAAAACCCAACATTTAAGAAGAGGAAAATAAATAAAGAGAAGCAGAAAGGAACTAGTAGTAATATTCAAAATAACTTTTTTAAAAATGTGCACACTGCTGACAAGGAAATTGTATTTGTAAAAAGAGGAAATAATAATCATCCCAAAACGATCTACAAGGACAGAAAAGTTTCTACAGAAATAAATAATTTCGAACGAAAATACAAACATGAAAGAAATGTCGATAGAGACGTTAGTAACTCAAAATCGGATGAACTCTTGGGTGATGACTATTCTGAGTCTAACAGCAACAGTTACAAATGTCGGGAGTCTAATTTAAAAAGAAAAGCACACAAATCGAGTAGTAGCAGAAGTGGAACGGAGCGAAACAACAGTAGCAATGAACTGGATCAAAAGAATCGAAAAATAAGCAAAAAAAGTAACTACCAGAGAATTCTGGATAATAAGAAAAAGGAAGAGGAATACTATAAAAGAAACTATGATCGAATTATGGATGAAATATGGTACTCTAAAGAAGACGATTTTGTCGATTCATTTTATAACATGGATATTGACTCAACCTACCATAGAGAAAAAAAAATGATATCGAATTTTAAAACAAGAACGAACAGTACAGGAAAAAAAGTTAATCAAAAAAATTTAGATAATAATTTATGGGAACTGAATAAATTAAAACAAGGTGGTGTGCATTCAACATACAACAAGTTACAATTGGAAAAAATTAACGAAGCTAATAATACAAATGAAGTTAGAAAAGTTGTTTTAACGAGACATGTAACACCTTTCTTTATAGAAAAATTAAAACTCACAAATGAAAACGGAGGAGAACAGATACAACAAGATAATAAACAAAGTAGTGTAATTGATGAATGGAATTTAGTTTCGCTTGACATGAAAAAAAATAGCACGTCCTACTCAACCGTAGTGAAGGACGAAACATGCGATTTTGTAAAAGCAGCAAAGAAAGGAAGTGAATTTTTAAGATACTTTAAAAACGAAAATGAGAATTCCAAAGCGAGAGACAGATACTGGGAAATTGGTAGAAGTAAACTAGGGGAATTATTGCGGATGTATAAAAAGAATCAAAATGATTCTTCAGCGAAATATGGCACAGATGCAAGTCCAGTCGAAGAAGAATCAAATATGGACATTTTTGATTATAAAAAGGACAAAATGTATAGTACTATTTTTAACTTGGAAAATAAAAAGAATAAAAAAAGTACATTACAAGATAAAGAGGATTTATTAAAGCTAAAAGAATCGCTACCTATTTTTAAATCAAAAAATGAATTATTAGAAGCTGTTTACAATAATAATATTATCATCATTGTAGGAGAAACAGGTTCTGGAAAAACAACACAAATAGTGCAGTATTTATATGAAGATGGTTATCATAAAAATGGAATAATTTGTTGTACACAGCCAAGAAGAGTTGCAGCTGTTTCAGTTGCCTACAGAGTTTCTCACGAAATGAATGTTGAAATAGGATCCCTAGTTGGATACACAATTAGATTTGAAGATAATACAACGAAGGATACAAAAATTCGTTATGTTACTGATGGTATTTTACTAAGAGAAACTTTAACAGATAAGGAATTAGATAAATATAGTGTTATCATAATGGATGAAGCACATGAAAGATCAATCAACACAGATGTACTGTTAGGTATATTGAAAAATATATGTTTAAAGAGAAATGACTTAAAGCTCCTAGTCACATCAGCTACTATCGATTCGAAAAAATTTTCAAAATTTTTTGGAAATGCCCCCATATATAATATTCAAGGAAGAACTTTCAAGGTGCATTTAGAATATTTAAGAACACCTTGTAATGATTATATAGAATGTGCTGTGCAGAAAGCGATTGAAATTCACATATCGGACAACAAATATGATAACAATTTTGGTGATATACTAATTTTTATGACAGGACAGGAAGATATAAATGCAACATGCTATCTTCTCAGTGAGCGATTTTACGAAGTGTACGAGTCGTATAAAGAATCAAAGAGCAATAAAAAGGAAACAATTACCAAGATAAGAAATATTATAAAGGATAAGGAAGCTGTTTCAAGTAATACAACAAGGAATGGTAACAGTAGTGAGGGAGGTGATGAACACACGGACGATAGCGATTATGGTCCACAACCACTTACGAGAAAAGATTCAGAATATTGCCAAATCGACAATAGAGAGAAGGAAGAAGAGAAAAACGTAATATACCCATTCTACGTGTTTCCTATATATTCCCAACTATCAAGTGAACAACAAAGTAAAATTTTTCAAAAATACGACTTGCGAAAAATTATCGTTTCAACAAATATAGCAGAGACTTCTCTAACATTAGACGGAATAAAATACGTAATAGATACTGGATACTGCAAATTAAAAGTGTATAATCAAAAAATAGGAATGGATGTGCTTCAAATTACTCCTATATCGCAAGCAAATGCAAATCAAAGATCAGGAAGAGCTGGGAGAACAGGTGCAGGTATATGTTATCGTCTATACACGGAAAATACATTTTTGTGTGATTTATATCCAAATAATATTCCAGAAATACAGAGAAGTAATTTAGCAAATGTAGTTTTATTGTTAAAGTCGTTAAATGTTGAAAATATTTTTGAGTTTGATTTTATTGATATACCTAGTAGGGAAAGCATAATAAATTCCCTACACGAATTGTGGATATTAGGTGCTATAAATAATGAAGGGAATTTAACAGACATTGGGAAAAAAATGATTCTATTTCCACTGGATCCCCCTCTTTCTAAAATTGTAATTTATAGTGAAAAATTTGAATGTACAAAGGAGGTTTTAATTATTGTTAGTATGCTATCATCTGCAGCAATCTTTTTAGAAGCAAAGGAAAATAGTGAAGCTATTGAATCCAAAAAAGAAAAATTTACAGTACCCGAGAGTGATCATTTGACTTTATTAAATATTTATTTACAGTGGCGTTCTCACAATTATTCCCCACGTTGGTGCACAGAAAATTTTATTCAGTATAAATCTCTGAATAAAGCAAAAGAAGTGTATTCACAATTAACTGATATAATTAAAACCTTAAATATGAAAAATGTGTCCTGTAATAATAAATGGGAATCAGTGAGAAAAACTATATGTTCTGGATATTTTCATAATGCAGCCAAATTAAAATCTATTTCAGAGTATATAAATTTGAGAACTAATGTGTCATGTCATGTGCACCCCAGTTCTTCACTATATAACATTGGATATACGCCTGACTATGTAATATATCAAGAAATTGTTTTTACAACAAAGGAGTTCATGCGAAACGTTACTACTGTCGATCCCGAATGGTTATGCGAGCTGGGACCACTTTTTTTTTACATGAAAAATCTGTAAATATATGCATAAACCGTTAGGAGTTTATAAGGCACGGGGGGACAGAATATGTTCCCCATGCTATTATCTTCATCCGTATGCAACATGCACGTGAATTTATATCTACCAGATGCCTTACACAGCTTTTTGCAGTGCACCTCTCTTGGAACACTGAATCGCACACTCCTTTGGAGTTAAATATTTGCTTTTCCTTTTTAACGTGTTTTTATAGCACATATATATATATATATATATATATATATATATACTTTTGTGTAACCAAGGTATCCAAGAGTACACAAATGTGTATACAGTGTGTAAATTTTTCTCATTCCTGTCACAATTGTGGTGTCATTTTATTACCAACTACTCCACTTTTTTTATGTTCATTTTTTGATATATTTTTTTTAAAAATACACACAACTTTTTTCTGAGCCCTTAAGGGTGCTGCGTTTGATATATTTTTTTTTTTTTTTTTTTCAACCACTTCATAACTATGTATAAAAGAATGAATTTGCAAAAATATAAAGTTTTTACGAACCATTGATTGGTTTACACACACAGATATGCAAGGGGAAATTAAACCTACGATTACATATTTTAAGAATTTGTAATTTCATATTATGTCCCTCAACGATGGACACTTTTTGAAAAAAGGATATCAAAAGATTAATAATTATTCTCAGTTTTGCTCTTGGCCTAGCATCATACACTGTACACAATAATTCTATTCCATTTTAGTGTTACTATTTACTCAAAGCAGTTTTACATCATGTAGATAGTAGTTATTTGCTTTCCTGTGAATATTCATTACATCCCGAAAGAAAGCAATTTTGTAAGACATCCCCCTGTGAGACAAAAAACGTATATCAGTTCTGACAATTTCATTTATATTTGAGTTTACACACAACCATAATTTTGTATTCTTATTTTTAAACAAAAGTTTTTCTTAAATGGGAACTAATTTGATAGCATAGGTTAACTTTCCATTCACAGTATGTTTCTATGTTAAAAGGAGCAGAAACAATTTTATTATTATTATTATTTTTTTTTTTTTTTTTTTTTTTTATTTATTTATTTTATTTTTTTTTTTTATTTTGTCCCCCTTTAAAAAAATGTTAAATTTTGTCAAATTGGTAAAATGCGTTAACAAAATTTGATATCAAGTCAGATACTGTATGAGCTTTAAAAAGGATAGAAAAATAAAAATACGGGACTATTTATAATTTTATAACAGTTCCTGTAAAAAAGGGGAGAATAAAAAGATGTTGAAAAAAGTAACAGGAAAAAAAAAGGGGTACATAAAAAAAAAAAAAAAAAAAATACAAGAATAGGAAATATTGTTGAAACCTTTTAAAGGAATGTGGACACATGTTACAATAAAAATGAAATGTTAATTTTTACTTCTTTTTTGTTCTTTTTATAAATATCTTTAAATCCTGTTGCTTTTCATCAATATTTCTCCTTCTTATGTTTGTCAAATGTATTTATATGTAATAATTCCAAATATAATTTGCCAATAAATGTACATTATATGGAGTTATACCATTGCCCTTTAAAGGTAATGATATATTGTGCAAATTTTTAAATAAGAAAAAAAAAAAAAATAAATAAAATAAAACACTTGTTTGCACTTTATTATTTTCATCGTTGTAAAGAAGTGGGAAATATAAGCTATTATAATATGAGATATACTTAAATTTTTGATGAATTAAAAAAAAAAAAGGACCAAAGGGAAAAAAGTACTTATTTGTATCCCATTATGTATGAATGTTATCAAACAGCATACTTTTTCTCTCCCTCAAACAAAAATATATAAACGGTGTGCATATTTTTCCCATACATAAAAAAAAAATATGTACACGTATGTTATGTTTGTATGTATATATAAATGGATAAATGCATGTACACAAATGCGTATATGAATGTACACAAATGCGTATATGAATATACACAAATGCATAAATGCATGTACACAAATGTATAAATGTATATTTACAAACGCATAAATGTATATTTACAAACCCATAAATGTATATACAAATGTATAAATAACATGCATACATAGCACTGAGATGAAGAAAAACAGAAAAAAAAAGTAGTTGAAAAAATTGCATAAATGAAGTTAAGCAAAGCTCTGTTTTGTGCAAACGTAGCAAAACATGTTTGTGCCCTTTTGTGAAATTACGCTCATTTTGAATTATCCTAGTTTTTTTTTTATTTTTTAAACTTTTTTTTTTTTTAATACAACTCCTTTCCTTTAGCTATCTTGTCATATGTTATTATACACCACTTTGAAATTCAAACAAATGAGTAGGATTTCATTTTATTTTTTTTTTATGTTCACGCCCTCTCCCCCAACCTTTCAAAGTAAATGAAAAAATCAACGAACTATGGATGTAGGTGAAAAGGGCTTAAATTTTTTTGTTATGAATAAATATGAAAATCACATAAATCATAAAAATTCAAAAGAAAATAAGAATGAAAATTCAAACAAAGAGGGGGATGACATAAATAACGCAAATGGATATTATGATAAGGTTGATGTAAACGAGGAGAATGACCAATCATACGATGGATTTGTCACGATCTCAGACCAGTCCTCATGTGTGGGCTCGTTTTACAGAAACGATTTTTATGATGATTTAGATGAAAATGATAACAATAACGATGAAAAGTTCAACTCAGTGAATGGGACAAGTCAATCAGGACCCCCCTATTCATGCGACAATAATAGAAATGATTCAGAAGACTCCATGTCAGATGAAGAATATGCAACTTATATAGATCAAAAAGAAAGATATGTAAACAAAATTCTTAATAGAGGTGACCTGAATAGTTATGAGGACAATGATTACTTGGAACAAATAGAAAACACAGAAAAAAAATCGGAAAAAAAAAGTAACTGGAAGAGGCTTTTTTCCTTTAGCAGAAATGCTCCTTTTGTAGGGAAAAGAAATAATGCTTCTGAGAGTAACATCCCATCGGCTGAAAGTACATCCTGTTATAGGGAAGCGAATGGAGATCGTCTGAAAAGCCCAAGTTTCCCAAATGAACATTCACTTCACAGATATGAAAATCGTGATAAAAATTGTGATAAAAATTGTGATAAAAATTATGATAAAAATTATGATAAAAATTATGATAAAAATTGTGATAAAAATTATGATAAAAATTGTGATAAAAATTGTGATAAAAATTGTGATAAAAATTGTGATAATAGTCGTGAAAACAAGAGTGAGAAAAGTCGTGAAAACAAGAGTGAGAAAAGTCTGGGTGATACACAAGATAGCAACCCCGATGAGCGATGTGAACAGCAAAGTGAAGGGAGTGAAGACGATGAAGACGATCTGTATTCCGTAATAAGTGGGTCAGAGGGGGATAACGAAATTTTCAACGCCACTAGGAGAGACACGTTTGCAAGCATGGTGAATGCGTCAAGTGATAATGCAAACAAGGATGATAAAGAAATAAGCGAGCCTCATGATAATATTCTTGCAAATGAAGAGGAGAATCAAGATAAGCCAGATTCATCTCCACGTGCAAATTCATCTAAGAGGATTAAATTTGAGGACGAAATAAAGCAATATACAGATAATGGGAAAATAGCACCACAGAAAAAGGAAGAAAAACTGGATGAGAAGAAAGAACAGGCGAATGAATTCCCCCTCGCTACGAACAATCTTCCAAGCGATCACGACACCAAAAAGAGACAAAGAGGAAAAGAAAATCATTTTCAAAATAAAAAGAATTACGAATTTAAACAAATTTTATCAAACACTATTAACATGTGTCATCCGAAAATAAAGTGTGCAAATGACACACAAGAGATTATAAGCAACATGGAAAAAATATCAAAAATTGTTATACTAGATGATAAAAATAAAGAAAGTAGTGGTGCTACCAATGAGGAGGAAGAAAGCACGAATAGCCTTTACGATGATGTAGATAACATTCTAGACGATCGAAAAAAAATATATATGGAAAAAAAAAATGAATATCTTATGAATAAAGCAAAGAATACTACATTAACAAATGTTAGGGAGGATGAAAAAGGAGAGCAGCAATGCAGTAAAGGAAATCTAAAAGATACGCAACCAAACATTGGTAGTAAGAGCATGACCCATGGCACGAAAGTTACAGAAGAGGAGAAAATGAATGAAGAATCCAAGAATTTTATATACTATCTAAATAATGACATGATAGAATTAAATGAAAATGTTTTTAAATTACATCATGGAACATGTGATTATACGCATCGAAATTTATGTGCAAAAAATATCATAAATATTGTACCACACCTTCATAATATATATGAAAGTAAAAATTTAAGTTATATTAAGGATTCTCCAAATTTTCATGAAGTATATAAAGTTGTACCAGAATGGAAAAATTCCTTCGAATTATTGAATAAAAAAGCACAAGATGATACTGAAGATATGAAGAATATATTAAGAAGAATTGAAAATATTCAAAACGATTTAGGTGAACTGAGTAAAGATTTAACGGAAGATAAAAAAGAGTTCGAGAATATCAAATTTGAAACTGTGCAGCATGAATCTAAGATATCAAGTTTAGAAAAAAAGAGTAAAATGCTCATTAAGGGAGTATTAAAATTGGACAACATGTCTTTTAAACTAAAAAAAATCCATAATATAACCACGAACAATTTGAATAATTTTACCATAGTGGAAAATGTAAACAGATTGCTAAAATATATGGATAATGCATTGACTGATTATTCACAACTTTTCTCAGAAGAAAAAAGTATGGAAATTTTGAGATTTCAACCAATTGATAATGTATATAATTTTTTAACAAACACAGATGATGAGTCATGTTTCATTATGAATTTACTGAGAGAGGAACTAAAAGAAATGATATTAGAAAAGAAAGATCAGATGCAAAACATAATCAGAAGGACTATGTTATACAATGCATATGATACAAATACATACAAAGAGCATATTACAAATGCATTAAATAAACAGACCATAGTAATTAATCGAATAAAATGTAACATTCAGTGTAACGTAATTTTACTATTTGACATGTATAAAAAGTTTGCTAAAAAGAATATGAAAGTAATAAAAATTTCAGAAAATCATGTCAAAGATTATATAAATGAAGAAACAAAAAAATTGTATATAATAAAATCATATAATGATGCAAAAAAGAATATTTCCAAATATTTTAATTGTATTAATTTTACACGAAACAAACCAATTATTCATCCATTTTTTATTCATTTTTGTTTAAGCGACAAATTTGTACATCACTTTATCACATTTGTGTTGGATCCATTATCAGATCAAAATCAGAAAAATTTCTTGCAATATTGTTCTGTGCCTGGATTTAATTCCATGTTATTCATCGAAAAAATTGTCAAGTTGTATAAACAAGAAGAGCATTTTACGAAGAATGATACTTCATATGATTTTACTTCTGCGTATTCGAGAATTATCCTTTCCGATTTTTCAGATATGGTTAATAATCCTTACGCAAATCAGCAGTATGAAAAATGGAATGAAGAAAATCGTTACCTAATTGCTTTGAAAAATGCATCAGATGCTTGTTTCAAGTCTATTTTAACAAACAATCAATATGACCACTTTTCATGTTTGGACACTAATAATTCCTTCAATTTGTTTTACTATATACCCGATGGGATAACAAACATGACTAACAATTCAATAGGCCCCACTTATGCAAATTATGCACATCCATATAGTAATAGTAATAATTTCAATTTAAGCCTTAATACTAATAACCCGAATGCAGCCTTTGGAGTCTCCCAAATTTACAACATGAATAATTGCAATGCAACTCCCGCATTTCTTAATAGTATGATGATGAATAACAATTCCACACTTAGTAACAACATGAATAGTATGTTTTCTCAAAGTAATGGAAATTTATTTCGTAGTGATGCTTCTTCCCCCATGGGCATAAGTGATGGAGTCAATGCAACTTTCACCATGAATAGCAAGAATCCTCTAGTTGGTCTCTCCAACCAGTTTGGTGATATGAATAAACAGTTAGGAAGTTCAGTAAACACGAATCAGAACAATATGTTTGGAAATGTCTCAATGAATAACTTATCAGGAGGGGGAACAAGCAGCATATTTAACTACAACAATACCAGCAACAATGGAAACAATTTTATGTCGTCTGGATTTAATCAAAACAGAAGCAGTAACTCCTTTCTGAATAATGCACCTGGGGGAATGTTCGCCAGTGCAAATTCGGCTCTGATGCCTAGTAACACGAACCAATTGGATAACTCCACAAATCTGTTTAGAGGCAATGTGAACAGTTCTTCCAACCTGTTTGGTAATAATTTAAAACCCAGCGTTCCAAATATGTCTAGTAACATGTTCGCAAATAATGTGTCCAATAATCAACTCGGTTGTGGTATGAATAACCTGTTTAGTGGAAGTGGAAATAGTAGTGGTGATAACATGAGCAGGGGAAATTTCTTCAGTGATACCGGAAGTAGTAGCAATGCGTTAGGCATGTCTAACAATACACTGAAGAACACGAACACATGGATGTTTAATCAGAACAATAATTCTAATTCCAGTCATTTTGGTGGCCTTTCAACAAATAACGCAAATATTGGAAACACTCAAAATATGAAAAGTATACAAGATCATTTAGGCTCTCTGTTCAACAACGGCACAAATACATCGGCCATTGTGAACAATTTAAACAGAAATATAAGCAGCAATATAAACAGCAATATAAACAGCAATATAAGCAGCAATATAAACAGCAATATAAACAGCAATATAAACAGCAATATAAACAGCAATAATGGTAACATGTTTCAATCGCTTAACAACCAAAACAAAACCAACATCTTTTCAAGTAATAATAATAATAGTAACACGATCGGAAAAAACTTTAGCAATTCCAGTAATTCTTTATTAAGAGATGGAATGTTTTCATCATCTCAACAATCTGGTAGGAATCAAATGATGAATAATAATTTATTTTCCACAAATAAAGGTACAATGAATATTTCAACGAATAATAATGCATTTTTTTCAAACAGTATTGCAAATATGGGAACAACTCCTACATTTAATAATAGACAAAATTATGGCAATACGTCGAATAACACCACCACAGGTATAAACACAAGTAGTATCAACCAGAATGGTAACCTCTTTAGTAGGAGTGGTATGTTCAATAACCAATTGTCGTCCCTTAGTGGGAATAGTAATTATAACAATGCACAAGGAAACAGTAATAATAATATGGATAATTCCTTTTCTGCAAATAAATATGCAAACTATTTCCAAAATAATAACACACAGAAAAGTAACATATTTGGCACCACTTCTAGCAACTTATCAAGTAATAATAGTACCAATTTATTTCCCATCAATTCGAATAGCAAAAGTAGCAACATATTTAATAATGCAAACAGTAGTAACAATATGACATCAGGTAATATATTTAACAACAATATGTCATATGATAGCACTAGCAATAATTTAGCTTACAACAACAATGGTAATACTAACAATAGTTTATTAAGCTCACACAACAATCAATTTAGACCGAATGCAAGTTTCATGCCTGGAAGTAGCACTACACCGGGTACCAATAATAACTTGCTTTTATCCAACAACAATAGCAACAAATCTTCATTTATGTTTTCAAATGAAAGTAAAGGAACTAATAACATTGGAACACATGACGATAAATTATTTCAAAATTCAAGTAGCAATTTTTTGTCAAATAATAAAGCTGGAATGGCATCACCATCAAATATGTCAAACAGTTTGTTTCAAAAAAATACATTTTCTTCCATAAATCAGAACAAAGGATCTATACCCAATTTTAACAACTCTTCCCCATCAGACAATTTCGGCTTGGTAAACCACAATGCCGCTCTGATGGGAGGAGGAGGGACCTTGACTGGTATATCTAGTGGTGTGAATTTGAACACATTTAACAATAGCAATAATAGTAACAATACTAATAACCGATTTCAACAGAACAATTCATCGAATTTTACCTCATCCTTTAATTCATCCAATAAGACCAATACCATCTTTTCAAGATAATCATTTTGGCATAGAAATAAGAAATTTTATAATCGCCTTCTATCCCTAACAGTAATTCAGGAAGATTGCATGAATTTCTCGTTCAGAAGCTCCTGAAATGTATGTTCATACGTATGAAGACTTGTTCTGTATGTGTTTTTTTTTTTTTTTTTTTTTTTTTTTTATGTACCTTGCCCCCTGCCTTCTGATAGGTGCTTTGAAAAAAAAAAAAAAAAAAAAAAAAAACATCTTATTTTTATTTTGAATATAAGTCCTTATATAACATTTTATATTAAATTTTTCAAACATTCCAAGAGAGATAACATATGTATGGATATGTATATACTCCCCCACAGGTCCTGTCTGTTTTGTCATATTTGTCTCCATTTGCATATATAAAATCCCCGCGTCTTTTTTTCCGTGTTTAGTTTATTTTGTTATTTCTCTTTGCATTTTGCGTTTTGCATTTTACATTTTGCACGTTTTACCCTTTTTTTTTTTTTTTTTTTTTTTTTTTGTGCACAACCAATATGAAAATTACATTTATGAAAGAAGTTGTATTAAACTAGATTTAACGTAAATTTTGTGTTTTTTTATCTCTATTTTATTTTAAATAAATCGCAAACATTTAAAGTTAGCATTACATATGTTTATCCATTTTAATTTCCCTCTTTTTTCTTTTTTTGAATTAAAAAAATACATGTGTTTAAAAACGTTTATAAACAGTTTTATACCCCCCTCCCCAATTTTGACCCTTCGATCATCTTAAAAAAAAAAAAAAAAAAAAAACGTAATAATATACGAAACAAAAATACGTACTATAACTTCTTTCTTATGGAATAAAAACTGACATGAGTGGAAGGAACATGAATGGTGAAAATGCACAAAATAACGTACAAAAATAGTTTTTTCGAATTTTCATTTATTTTTTTGTTTCGTCGGATAAGGAATGGATCTACTAACTCCGTTAGTGTTTTCTTAAAACATATAATGCAGCCAAAGTTATGGTTAACACTGAAGTTGCTTGATCGACTATAGGAAATAAATGCGAGCGCACCACACATCACAGGATTTAGGGAGCCCGAGATGTAACAATTTACCCGCACTTTTTTTGACAAATTATTCCCTTCATCCTCACAAAAAAAAAAAAGAAAAAAAAAATGAATAATATATTTTTCGTTTTTTAATTTGTCTATATTACTCTTATTTAAATATAAAATATATTCTATGTCTCCCTTCACATATAACTTGAATAATCCCCTTTTTAGAGTCACAAAAATGTTGTTACTATGAAATACAAATTCAATGTTATATAAAAAGTACCTGTCTCATTAGCACCTTATTAGCAATAAGTGCACATACAAATCCGATTACTTTTTGATTACTTTTAAAATATGAAATTATTATATATATTGTTTTTCTTTTTTCAGTTCCTCTCTTAGTGAATTCTTTATAATTATATGAACCATTTGCAAAATCAGTATCATTATAGGACAATATTTCTCTCCACCTTTGTATAAAATATAATTTCATATAAACACCCATGTCATAACGTAATAATGCTAGTATTATATACAATCCTAAGAATAAAATTATAAATAACTTTTTTTTTTTTTTTTCAAAAGGGAGCTAAGAATTTACATAAGCTGTTCCCTTTGAAAATATATCAACAACATTTTCATTAACTTATCTCCTTATAGTATGTTAAAGTATTATCATTACTATGAATTTTAAAAAATAATTTTCATCTCAGTGATTTAAGTCAAAAAAATTTATAAATATAATCAAGGATAAGGAAAATTTTAAGACCAATGCATAATGTAAAGTATATTTTTTTTTATACTTGTATAAAAATTTCGAACAGTGCAAATAGGAAATAGAACTTGACTTCTCGTTTGCACGCATAAATGCCAGTTTTATAAGTATTATCAGCATGATCATCAAAAAAGTACCTATTTGCTTTTCATTCTCAGAGCCCCCTTGGTTAACAGTTTTATGGTGTTTACTATCTAACACCTTGTTAAATGAAAATACATAAATAGTTAACATTTAAAGATACCTTTTGTGGTAACTTTATATAAAAAGACTTTAAAAAAAAAAAAGAAAAAGAAAATCATCATTTGTTGTTCAAAGCTTTAATGGACACATTTTTGCAAATGTGATGGCTTTTCATATTTTTAATTCAATAAGTATAACTGTAGCTTAATATTTGATTCTCCCCCCTTTGGGGGTTAATTTCATATCCAGCTTTTCGTTTTGAAGTGATTATTTTTATTATTTTTTTTTTTTTTTTCATCCATTGTATGACAAACAGAGATATACAATCTTCTCCTTCACAACAGTTTCGTAGTATGTTCCTTCAAAAGATAGCACCATAACTATATAATTTTCAGTTTTAATGTCTAATTTAACTCTGTTTTCCATCAGATTCAATTATTTAACTTATCCCTGAGTTCCAGTTTGTTGAAACTATTCTAAAGTTCCATCATCATTCTTTACACTTTCTTACTATCCATCATCTCCATAGATATCTTCAGCATATATCCTATCACAAAAATCCCCTCATTCTTTGACTTCATCTTAAGAAAATTTGTATCTAAAATAATAGATTCAATTACGAAAAGGGGACTGTCTTAATTTCATCATTTTGCTATAACTATTAGGACCATTTTTATTCTCTCCCAAGCATATCAAAAATGAATTTCTCATATTCTCCAATAAGTATATACGAACCTGAATTGAATTGGAGGGAAAGTCATAAAAATTTTCCTTCCTCTAGATTTTTCCAAAAATTATTCTCTCTTTGTCTTTGCAATATATCATATTCCAGAACATTTAAAAATTACAATTGTTTCATCATCTGTTGTAAACACAGAAAAAAAGGGTTGCACCATTGAACCCATTCTCTACTTCATTATCACATTTATTTTCCTAATCAGCAGAACTTGTGCTTACGTGAACAGTTATTATACATTTTTCTTTAACAGGTATAAAAGCATAAATACCACTTTTAAAACGATTTTCACTATAAAACTATTTTATCTCCATCGTAGGTATGTTAAGAAATTTCAAAAATGTACATGTTATGGTTTCTTTAAAAAAAAAAAAAAAAAAGAAAAAAAAAATTTACTTTCTGTATTTATTCAAAAAAGCTAACTTGTTTGAGGAATCATATATAACTATGTAATTCTTAAAACTCGAAATTTTGTAAACGTGTATGAAAATGGGTCCCCTAGAGTTGCTTAATGGCCTTTCCAAGATCCATAATCCAAATGACAAAAATTAAAAAAATAAAAAAAAAAACGAAAAAGGGAGAGCAAAAAAAAAACAGACTTGAAAATCCAATGTATACACCAACGCTTTCAGAAATGGAAAAAAAAAAAAAAAAAACACAAACTTCACATGTGTATATGCTCGTATACATATGTCCATCTAAATTTCCTTTTCAACGATTATTATTTCTTTTTATGTATATTTCAGACATCACAAGGAAGAAGTAATCGACGCCTAAAATAAAATAAAAATAATTATATTTTATATCCCTTTTACAGAATGCATAATTAATATGACCGTTCCTCATAAAGAAGAGGAATAGACTAGCAAAAATAAAAAAATAAGACAAGGTAAGGCAAATTTAAGAGCGCATCACTTTTCTTGCTTAAATATAAAGCCATGGCATTCCTATTACCTCTTTCATCTGAGAGCAAGTCGAACAATCCTACATCATGAGGAATATTACACAAATAAATTCATCACACGTTTTTTATTTAGCATAATTTAGCACAGTTTAGCTTACTTTTTAATGTTTTTAACACAAGTTAATAGTTTCAAAAACTCAATTATAGCCATTAATTTCACACGAAAATGTTAAAAGCGTTTCATAATTATTCCCAGTTTAAGTTGCTTCAAAATGTGTTTTTAACATACCTCAATTGCTCCTTCCGTTTCGTTCCTAGATTAGTATTATTTCGGTTTTGTTCTAACGTATTTTTTAATAATCGGATTATTCTTACCTGATTTGCTCAGGTTCTTTTTCATCACTAAGTCGATAAACACTTTTGCATAAAATAAGTAAAAAACGAAAAAAAAAGGAGAAAAAAAGGTAAAAAAAAAATAAAATAAAATAAAATAGAGTAACGTAACGTAAAACATATAAAAAACAAACAGAATGAAATAATGATAGAAAATTGTTAATTATCCATTTTAAGTAAATGCTTACACAACACATACACAAAAAAAAAAAAAAAAAAAAAAAAAATGACGTTAGAGGAATATTTTTTAAAAGCATTTTACTTGTTATTTCAAAAAAATGAATATATGCATTGAGATCGGAATAGGCGGAAAGGGTGGCCTGATGAAGTGCGGATTATACTTAAATATGCCCGTAAAACAACAGCAATATTCCTGTAAAGTTCTCAAAATGTGTCTTCAGATGGAGAGGGGAGGGGGGAAGTCTTGAAATTTATACTAGTAGACTAAATGACAAGAATTATATAAATATGAAATATCATTCCACGCAGATGTCATTAAAAATGGAATACTTGTTATAGTACAACTTTTCAATACTCTTGGCCGTGTTATAATCTCCAAAATTTTTCAAAAGGAGGGAAGAACTTTCAATTAATTTTTTAACAAATTCTTGATCAAATTGATCTATTTCTTGATTAGCCCAAAAAATAGAAGCTTTTTGCAAGTTGTCAAGGATTTCTATATTTTTAATTCTTTTTTCAAAAACGTCCATCCAGTATGTAGTGATTATATGAATAATTCCTTCAATGTCTAATTCGTTTTTTCCTTTGGTTTTTTCCCATATGTTACTTTTGGGAATTTTACTATCAACTAGCCATTTATTTCCATATTCAATGTCTAGGATTCTTTCTATGATGGGTGATAAATGTGTTGACAAAATATGGAAAATGTTTAAAATAATATCTAATATAATATATTCATTATTAATATATATGTTACTTTGGATATTCATCAGCAATGAATGAATTAAACTAGAGGGGTAGATTCTTCTATTGTTTTCATCAATCCTTAATTTAAGTATTACATCATCATTTATGTTATGACTACTCAACAAACTATGGGCATTAATTATTATATTTTCACTAGAGTTATATAAATTTCTATAAATTATATTTCCAATATTCCATGAGATGTATAAATAAGAATTTATGGGAATGTTATTCGAATAATTATTTCCATGCATACAACAGAAAAAATCACGAGCTGCTGTGATATTAATATTTGTAAATGTATATGTCTTATTTATGTACAAACTATTCGAAGTAACATTTCTTTTTTTTAATAAATGAAAGTTTTTATCTTGTATTACATTTCTTCTAAAATCTTCATGCTTTAAATAATTAATACTACTAGTACTATTATCTGTGCTATAAATTTTCTTATTATTTTTTAGACTTATTATATCATCCGTTATTTGTGCTTTATCCATATGATGGGACTTATTTATCATTTCTTCTACAGCATTGGAGTATAGGGATAGGGAACTTTTTATTTTGGAAAAATTGGAAACGTGAGAAGGAGAAAGGTTTTCAAAATTTCCCATCTTGAAAAAATCTTTTTGATTTCTCCATTCGTCATCATTACAATCATACACATCATCATACATCATTTTGAAGTCACTCGGGTTGACTAAATCTTCGTTCAAATTATTCTCATTTGATGCATTATTCTGAAGATACTGACAAAATTGACGAATCACATTGATACTACACTGATATATAACATTCAAATTGGTATCAATATTGTCCTTCGTGATACCATACTTGTTAATAATATTATTAGTTAAAGCTCTACATTCTAGTATTTTTATTGGAGGATAATAATAATATTCCAAAATGTGAAACACAGCTGTACATTCATTAAATATTTCTACGTTTTTAATTATAGTATATTTCGTAGTATTTTTTATATTACATTTTATCTTGGAATTTACACTATTGATATCCCAAAAAATGTTTAAATAACATGGCTCATTCATAAAGTTGTATTTACAAAATCCGTTGATGCTTGAAAACATCCCATCACTATTACATCCAAATTCACTGCAACGCATAGAAGAAATTTTTTCACTTGGTAGTTCTACCCAATTCCCCTCTGTCAAAACAGAGGACTTCACTCCTTTGCTATCAGATAGAGATAAAGTTTGTCTTGTAAAATTTATAATCAAAATGTATAAAGATTTGTGAGCTTTTCGTAATCTTTTTTTCCATTCATAATTTTTAATATTTATTATAAAACTTAATGGTAGTATTTCCATTAAGTCTTCATTTCGATAAGAACTATATGTCATTCTACCATTTTGTAACGTATTATCCTCGTTATTATAATTATATCTAATTTCATTTTTTTTAATTGACTCATTCATACACCTTTCATATCTTAATTTCTCTTTTTCTTCTATAGTTCTTATATTTAAAATTCTCAATAAACCTTTTTTTAATTTTTTCTTATGATATTCAATGAATCTCTTCCCTTCATCTGTTTCTAAAATGCTTATGTAAAATTTACTATTATATGTGTTGTCAAAACTATGTTTTATTATGAAATAGTTCTGTGGTGATAGCATTTGTGTCGTATCATTTTTTATGTTCATTCCTAAGACGGCTGATGCTGTGTTATCACCCAATAGAGGAATATCAAATCTAGCATTTAAAATATAATCTTCGTTATTAATCACCACACAGTATTGTAAAATTCCGTAAAAATTACCCATCGTTTTAGTAAATTTAGCTATGCATTTTTCTTCTCCTTTGCTCTTTAAGCATTCTGGAGGAGTAACCAACCAGATACCATGTTTCACTGAATGCATATATCTATAAAATGCACAACTCGTACCATTCAAAATTCTTATTTCGCATTCCCTGTTTTCCATTATCCTTTTCTATTAGTGATTAATTACGTGTTTTGCTTAACAAAGCGCAACCTTTTAACCATGTAACGTGTCACTCTTTTTACCAAATCATAAATACCATATTTTATTTTATTTCATTTCATTTCTTTTTTTTTTTTTTTTTTTTTATATCCATTAACATAACATTTGCTACTGTCCCAACATTAAGGGTCTTTTCTTTTTATTACGCTTTGATTAATATGTGTCTGTGCCTTGCTACAACAATGATGATTCATATGGACTAGTAAAACATAAGCATATATGTACGTTTCTGATTATATCTTTTTTTTTTTTTTTGCCTTCTTCAAGAAGGTATTGTACGTACTTAAGTTTAGGGTACGGAAATTTATTGTGCAAATAATCTCCCCTCTTATGCCTTTTTCATTGCTGTTTTACCTAATATATGTGTTCATTTATCAACAAAAACCTCAAAGTAGCTTAATTCGATAAGAAATTTTCGTTCAGCATTTCTTTGAGTACCATTTATGCACAGGCAAAAAGTGCAGTATTGTATATATATATATGCACGTATGTAAAATACTATGGGGTATTAAAAAGTTTTTTTTTTTTTTTTTTTTTTTTTTTTTTTTTTTTCAAAAGGTGTAAATAAAGCAATAAAATGTTTTTTTATTTTATTTTTTTGAAGCTATTACTCGCGCTCTCTTATCCTTGTTTTAAATATGCTCTAAAGTATAGCCCAATTGGTGTGTTTCTTTTGATGTGTACGTATAAGTATATTTCTTTATGTAAATCATTTTTCATGCTCCATTTTTCATGTTTCATTTTTCATGTTTCATTTTTCATGCTCTATTTTTCATGTTTCATTTTTCATGCTTCATATTTCGTGCTCCATTTTTCATGCTTCATTTTTGTTTTTATTTTTTTTTTTTTCTCACCAACATGCATGAAATGGGTAACGCCGAATTTCATCCCATTTGTTCACTGTGAATAAATAACATTCTACTATGCATGGCTCATGCGCGTGTTCCCCCCTTATTCCCTACAATAAATTGCCAAATGTAAGATATAGAATTGCACGACCACCATTTTGCTTTCCTTTCATTTATCGAAGGGCTATAATTCTCGCAATTTCTCAGTGTTGTTAAGTATAAATATGCTTTTAACACCTTGCGTAATCTTATTTATAAGTATGCTTAAAAAAATGCAAGAGGAGGTCGATTTGTTTGCATTAAATGTTTGTACGCGTGAACTCCAAATTGGAACATTTCCGACGCTGTAAATTCGAGAAAAGAAAAGGAGAAAAGTGTAAATTATTCTAAAAAATTAACACATATATACACTAGTATACATATACTTCTACAAGTGACACATACGAATTTACACAATTTATAATTTTAAAACAAGTTACACTTATTGAATCTTTTTTCCAATCGTTTTAACGGTTACAGAAACTGAAAAAAAGTGTGTATTATTACAACGAAGTATAATTTCTACATTAGTGTCTCCCCCAGAAAATCAAAAAAGCTTTCCGCGCAAATATTTATGTATACATATATACACAAATGTATATATAGTGTATGCCTACTGTGATTCCCTCCTTTATATTCACAATATTCTCATGAAACTTACATAAGCATGACTAAGAAAAAGTTACATATAAATGTTAATATGTTATCTTTCATGTCGCGAATTACACTGCTGAAACTTCAAAAAAAAGGAGGGCTGATCAGCTTTCTTATTCCACCTTTCCTTTTTCGAAGGTTTAGGTTTCAAACACAGAGTAAAAGACTTTTCTAAAAGTTTTCTAGCACAGACCTTACACAAAGGTGATAGGTAAACTTTACCTGCTCAAATGCGTATATAAGTATGTATATATATACATACATATACACATATACATTTTATCGCACCTGGTAGAACAACGATTTGTGAAAAAGTTTTTTGGATAGTAAATATTTTTTAAAAAATAGCAAACCTTAAGGGCATTCGCACGAATATATAAATAAATTCAAATATTTCACTTTTGCAATCAGGTTATTCGCTACCCAATGGGGACACCCTTTTAGCCTATGTGTATATTTTTTGGGGTTTATCATTATATGTAAATGTATATATCAAAATGTAAAACTCACAATAATGTATAGTTGGAAAAAAAATAAAAAAAAAAAAATAACCCCTTAGTTTTATTGCTGCTCACTGAAATGTGTAGGTGGAATATGGTTAAACCAACATAAAAATAATTTCCCATAATGATCAATTATAGTTTCTTCTCTTTTTCAACTTGGATGTAATAATTTTTTATTTTCCTCTCCTTCATTCACAAAGAAAATTACGTTCTGCTTCTAATATCCAAAAAAAAAAAAACAACGATCATATTATCGCTTTTCTAAATTGTAAATCGTATCTATTTGACAAAAGCAGGGAATGTTTCTTAATCGAATCTTTACATAGTGAGGGAAAGTGTAAAAACCCACAAAAAATTCAACATTCGTAAATTATCATATATGTTTTTCTTTTTTAATATCTACATGTTTATAAAATTAAAAAAAAAAAAAAATTATTTTTATTTTTAAATTGAAATTTTTTTATAAATATTTGCTATAGGATTATATGCATTATCAGGGTCATATAATAAATATTCCAGTATATGTGGATGGTGTATGGGATAGGTTTAAAAAAAAAAAAAAAAAAAAAACAAAAAATGAACGAAAGAAAAAAAAAAAAAAGCATAAACAATATGGAACAATATTCAACATAAAACATAACATGCGAAATATAAATTGTCGCAATAAAATAAATATATAAAACAAAGACAATATACACGATATATGCATTGTATATGTATATTTTTTATTTCTTTTTTTTTTTTTTCTTTCCCTTCTTTTTGAGGTTGGTTTTGTGTGACAGATTTTGTGAAAAATAAGTGTTTCACAAGGTACGAATATATGTACATATGGGGGCGGAGAGCGTAATGGTAAAAGTATGTACAGATGGAGTATGTAAATCTGTGCATATTTTTCTTGGCCTTCAAAACTTATAAATACATTTAGCGATGATGTATTTTTTTTTTTTTTTTTTTTTTTCTCTCTTTTTTTTAAATATACTACGTGATCTTATTATTTCATTACTAAAACTGAACATTGTTAATAATACTTAAGTGATACCTACATTCATAACTTCTCTAAACTCGAGGGATGGATTTATCCTTTAATTTATACTTGAACATCTGTTTTATATATTTACTACCACACTGATACAAATTCAAACTTGATAGAAATTGCTCTCATATCACTACGTTTTCTCATTATCAAAATGTGACATTCTTCTTATTATTGGCATTGGTTTGTATAAATAAAATCATACATCTTGAATACATATGTGAGTCCTTATGTGCAACATATGACACATATTTACATACACGTTTCCATATATATATACCCATATATACATCTATACATATGAAAAATATAGTGCAATAGACACAAAGTTAAATGCTTTTTTTTATATGTTTTAATTTTGGAATGTTATCAAACATGTACTTGGCCTGTTCCTTCAGGTCAACATAATATGGGTGTGCAATTTGACACATCTTTGTTATGTAAACATTATTAATATGGTTATATAAGAATATTGCCCAAGTAACCATGTAAAATAAAACACTAAAATTTACAAAGGATAGAAAATTTCCAATTGCATAAATCACAATAATTACAGTTACATTTTCCATTCTGTTCGTCCAAAGTAAATATTTTCTCACTAATGTCAACTGATCATTTATTAATTCATATATATACATTACACAACTCTCAATCATTTCTTTTGATACAATTTCTAACTTGTCACTCTCCTTGTAATCTGACGCTTTGTGCACTTGCAAAAATACAAGTAGCCCACTTAATAAAAGTAACAAAATGCATAAGGTACATATGACTTGCAAAAATGTCTGGTTGAAAAGGTATAATAATATATATAATGCATTTATCGACGCAAATATCGATAAATTTACGATATTCTTTGAATTCATATTCATCTTCTCAATTATTGTGAAAAACAAAAAGGGGACTCTGGATTGATACTTCAAAAAAAAGTTGCTATATTTCTCAAAATGAACTTGCTAAATATGTTTTCGCATATATACAGCTTGGGCAATCGTATATGTATATATCACTAAGTGGATACAAAGTATATTAAACATATACTGTTGTATATATGACTTTTAAATATGCGCATATATCTATTGCTATAAAAGCAGAAGCATGTATATTGTATTTATTCTTCTCTCTAATACATATACATATAAATATATAAAGTACTTAAAATACTACGCATAAATAGCTTTCCTTTCGCTAGTTAATACATCCAATTTAATTTCATACACTGTATAAAATTATATACATTAAAACGTATCCTCGCTAGAAGTCATGGAGAAAATAATGCGCAAAAGAAAAGGAAATAAAATGGAAAAATATATATTGTGGTGGTGGGGGGTAATTGTGAAATAAAATATATTTTAAAATAAAAAAAACAAAAATGGGGGTGGCAAAATTATAAAATTTTTTTCAAAGTGTAATGAGCATAACGTATTTGTGATTTTTATTTTTAATATTATTATGTTTAAATATTCATGTTAAATTATTTATTATTTACATTTTTTTTTCATGAGCATTTTTTTTTTTGGTTTTTTTCCCTTTTTTTATTACATGGTATATGCGATTTTTTCACATCTATTTCAAAGGATAAAATATAAGAAGTATTACAGAAAAAACACAAAATCTCAAAAAAGAAAAAAACGAGAAAATTTAAATATGCCAAGAGGGCATTGATGGAAAAAGATTTTTTTCACTACTGCACAATGTAAACGTAATGTATATCATCCAATTTTTTTACAGTTCATTTCATACGCGTTTTTTGGATATAATATGAAATAATTAATATGCATATAATATATATATACACGTTAGTATTCCTAATATTCGCAAATATGCACTACCGCTACTCGTACATACAATAAAATTTTTTACGTATCCATTTCTTCGCACTGCACGTTCATAAATTATGTTTGAAATTTTATTCAAACAATTTACATATCTCATCCCAATTTATTGCTTATGTATTTATATATAAATATATATATATATATATACACATAAACATTTATGTAGCACCTTATTTTATATTTCTTTAAATTAAAAAGCCCCTTTTGACGAAAATTTTTCCATTTTTTCTTTTTTATTTATTTTTTTTTATCACGTCTATGAAAAGTTACGGATAAACAGTCGTGCGGTTGCGTTGAGCTTAAAAATTTTTAAGTGTATCAAAAAAGAACATGATCAAAAAAAAAAAAAAAAAAAGAAAAAGAAAGTGCGAATTAAATAATATCCCATATAATATATTTTAAATACTAGTAGTACTGTTTATAAACAATGATTCTAACGCTTAGAATATGTATATGAACTGCTTACAATATGCACACCATATAGACATAACTTTCCCCCCCCCCCAAAAAAAAAAAAAAAAAATATTATAATATCGTCCATACCGTATGCCCACGTAGTTCTTTTATCCCAACCTTGTTAATATCCAGAAAACTGCACACACTTTGAACTGTCGAAATGACAAAATATCATGTGCGAATTAATCATCCTTTTTACAATCCCTTTTATGTGCTAGTTTCCCATCAGAATATAACGAAAGTGTAAACCCATTTTATGATTATTTATGGCCACCCTTTACGTTGAACCATCATGTCTCTTTGTGTAATTTATTCTTTCTAGTAAAAGGTCATAATAAAGGGTCATAATAAAAGGTTATAAAAAAGGTTAATCGAACGTGCTCATTTCTCGCTTTATTATGTGCTCCCAAAGCAAGACAAATTTTCGCATAGCATAAGGATATATTAGCACGTATATTTTTAATTAGCCCTGAGAAGTTAACCTTTACCCTGGAATTATTCATATATAACAAATGCTTGACATGGCTGTAAATAGACTCAAATATTTGGATTTATATATAAGGGCTTACACGAATGGGTACTTGTAGCATAATTTATTATAAAGAGGATGAGTAATTTCTGTTTATCCCATACATATGTATACACATATGTATGTATGATCTCATCCTCAAACCCTTTACATGCAACTAAAAGACTAGTGCAAATTATGTCATGAAAACTGTCACAGATAATTAGTCGGACCTAACGGATGTATTTGACAAATCGTGAAAGTGTTGAGAGAAGTACTATAGGAAATGAAATAAAAAAAAACATATATCAAAAGTGAAAACCTATATCAAAAGTAAAAACATGTCCAAAACAAAAACATATATGGAAAATAAAAACGCATAAAATGAGCAATAAAAAGAAAAATTTACGTATGCATCCATAAAAATGGAGATCCTGGTGCTACTATTGACCAAATCTTTATTATAAGAATATATCTCCTAATTTGAAGATATAATTAAAAAATGATTTCCTTCATAAGTATGCGGAGATTATAAAAGGTGTTTACAACACTTTGTGTGTGTATCCTGTTATGTAACTCGTGATGTAAGGGAAATCTATATTGTTTGAGATCCTTATTTCCATGGAATTGTTAAGACATCTACCAAAGAATGCTTTGTATCACACAGTAGAAATTTTCTGAACATACGACTAAGCAAACAGTTTAGGTATTATCCAATGAGAAAAACTTATGTACCATCGCATCTTCTTCTAAGTCATATAAACTACAAGTCTCTTTTTCTTTATCACTCTCGAGAAGTTTAGTTTTACTGTTCACGTCGATGTTATGTTCGTCCCTATGACAACTGCTATGATCACTTCCATATTCCCTGTAACCCTAGCAAAATGACAAATTATGAATTGTCAATGTGACAGTATTCGTAAATTTCTGTCCAAACCACTACCACTTTTGCAGAATAAACATGAGAATAATAACTTCAGAATATAGATATTATTTTTTTTCTCCTTTTGTTTATTTTATTTTATTTTTTTTTTTTCTCTTTTTTGTATATTACAAAATCACGCATTCTTTCTTCCCGCAAGCGCGTCATTACGTTGTGATTGTGCTCTATGACATTGGCTGTGGTAGAAAAAAAAGTTAAGTACATAGAAAATTGCACAAGTTTGATTTTATCATTGCATTGTTCAGAATACTTTAAGCCCATTTCCCTGGAATTCACCATTCACTATCTTGTGCAAAGGTGTTGACTGTTTGTCTTACTAAAGGATATGGGGCTTTCCGTGTACGCCTTAACATTTGTTGGCGAAGGGAAGTAATGGAAAAAAATGGGGCGATGTTTTCTATGCAGTGATTTTATTCTCATTCCGATGGCATCTTCATTTAATCTAAGTAAAAAATTGGAGTAAATGAAAATATGAATGGCTTAGCCAATAACAGCCTCATCTGCCTATTGGCGTTTTTCTCATTATTGTTCTTCAAATCATATTATACTCCATAGTTTAGTTATTTTTATTTTCTACTCTTCGATTTCTTTGGGTTGAATATCCTCGCTAACTAGTGAAGTGTCTGAGCTGCTAAACTCCACATCACTGTCAGAGCCTAAAATCATTTCGGTTCAATTTGGACGAAAAGAATGCAAATATTTTATTTAAGTGCGTGAAGATATATGTATATATACACATTAATATTTGCGAAAAGGTAAAGACAGTAAAATATTCTCTCTACATACTGTACAATATTTACCTATGCTGAAATCTTCATCCTCCAAATATATTGAATCAAGATAATCATTGTAATTTAACCATAAATTTAGAACATTAACTGAAATGGAGTCAAAAATGGAATATAAAATTATAATTTTCTTTAAAGGCACTTGGGTCATTGTTTCTCATTCTTTTTTTTTATTGCGTTAAAATCAATGTTTTAAAAAAAATATGTATTCCTCAGAATATTTCATAATTTTTTTTTTTTTTTTTTTTTTTTTTTCTTAACAACTTACCCGTTTCATGGTCCACAGTATGATGTATTTGTTCGTTTTGTCTTTTTATCTCCCTAAAGCGGTTTTGATGTTGGTCATTTTTTTCAACAAGTTTTTTTATGTATCTTAATTCTTCCTCGATTATTTTTACTGGCTCTTTGTAACTGAAAGGAATGCCCATGGATAATTATAAGTATCAAAATAAAAATTGAAAATAATGCATTAACGACTATATTACATCTTATGGTAAAATGTACTTAAATATAGAAATATTCCGTTATTACGTTATTATAGTAGTCATTAATATTTTAATGCCAATTAAAACAAATGTCTAAAAAGAATAAGGCGTAGGGAGAAAAAAAAAAAATCGATTTAACTAACACAAATTGAGCTAATTGTGAATACTATTAATCGACTTCGAAAAGACCCCAATTGGCTTATGAATTTGTGTACGATAATATTTATATTTCTTATCTAGCTATTTTCCCGTTTTTCTATTTTTTTAATTTTTCTGTCTTTTTACATATCTAATCCCCTTTAATGAATAATCGACTAAATTATCGCTGATTTTCAGAAATGCATATTTCCTAATCAAAGTAACAATCTTTTTGAAAATCAGTTCCGTAAAGCAGCAAAAAAACACACCTAATAATGGGAATGATTCAATGTGGAGAAGTGGGGGTTGTGATATGTATACTTGCATTCATGTGATTCTCTATATGTATATAAGAATATACAAATATGTACGGGACATCCTCACGAGGTCCCCTTTTTATTGTAGAATTCTTGCACACAGCATTTATCTATTTCATTTTATTACAAGATATAATTTTTCTTCGACCACTGGACGCATAACTTCGGGATGTAATAAGAAGAACCAGTAGTAGTATCAACAAGTATATTACAAGCATCTTAAATCCTGTAACAAATTCTGCAAATTTTTTCGAAATAAAACAAAAAAAAAAAAAAAAATGATTGTCACATTTAAATTGTAATTTTTTTCTAAAAAAAAAAAAAAAACTTTTTTTTTATATATATTCCTATATTTATGTTTACTAGTGATAGACTCATGGTGATTCTTTATTTTTATTAAAATATGTATAACCTCACTAAAATCATTTTTAAGTCCTTTTAAAAAACTATCAAATCTGAAAAAGCAAAAAGGGCATAAATATTGGGTAAATAAAATAAAAATAAATAAAATCCGAAAAAAGGTATTGTCAACATGCTTGGGTAAATACGTCTCCCTCCGCACACAGGAAGCCTCACATGGATATGCATGTTCAAGATCAATTATAGATCCGTTTAGTTACCTATTTGTATTTTCTATTTGCTTGACTTGTGCATGTTCTATTAACTTCATGTTTTCTAAATTGGTAGTCATCTGCCTGGTTATGTTTACTGAGGTCTCCGCGAGTCTATTAATCTTTTCCATTTTTTTAGAGGCCCCGGGGGTGGAGATACATAAGGGAAATCAAAGCGTGCATATATATATATAAAAAGGTGTATAAAAAGGGGTATAAAAAGGTGTATAAAAAGGGGTATAAAAAGGTGTGTAAAAAGGGGTATAAAAAGGTGTGTAAAAAGGGGTATAAAAAGGTGTGTAAAAAGGGGTATAAAAAGGTGTGTAAAAAGGGGTATAAAAAGGTGTGTAAAAAGGGGTATAAAAAGGTGTGTAAAAAGGGGTATAAAAAGGTGTGTAAAAAGGGGTATAAAAAGGTGTGTAAAAAGGGGTATATGTGCTCTTATGCGTGCATGGGTGTGTCTATTTAGGTACACATTTGTACACCCGCACTCGAACCAGGTGCGTAATATCCTCACATTTTCATCAGTTCGTCTATTCCATTCTGATGACTGTATGTAAAAGCAAATATCATCGATGTGGTTTAGCTCGGAGTGATAAATCTGAAAGGCAGTATCAGACATTCTGTCACTGGTAGTACAATTCGTTACAATTTTGTATTTTAAATTTTCACATAAAATGTTTTTTAAATAGATATCTTCACGTGTCACATCTTCTTCAGAGGTAATTTTGTAACTATTGTTGAAATTGTTATCAGTGCTAGAATATATATGATTCCTTTTAGAACTTGAAGAAAAAACGTCATTTGAGACACTCTCATATTTATTATCATCATTTTCAATATCATTAAGACATGGATTTTTTGTTTTTTCAATTTTCCTTAACTCATCTAGGTTTAACATTTTATAAAAATTTTCATTTCTAAATTGATCAAACAAATTGTTGTTATATAAATATATTTGTAATTTATTCAACTTCTTTGGGTTTAATATACAACCCGATTTTTCGTCAGGAAAACTTCTTACCGATTTTACAAAAATGCATTTCGTTTTTGCTAAGGCCAATAGGGATTTATTATTTTCATTTATTTCATTGCAGTTATACACGTTTAAGTTGTTTAGCTGGTCTAGTACGTATTCGTAACATTTTATTTCTTTTACATATGTACTATCCTCCTTTTCATCCCATTCTTCATTTTTTTCATTTTTCTCATTTCTACCATGTCTTCTTCTTTTTTTTTTCTTTTCTTCATATTCAATTTCTGCCTTTTTTTTTGCCTTCAGCACATCTTCGAATGCCTCTTTCCCCCTTTTAACCCTCTCTACTAATAGCTCTGTATTGCTAACATACTTGAACTTACATTCTGTCCATACTTTTAATTGCGCAATTGTTATTATAAGAATGAAGATATATATCATAGTTACCCTTTGATGATATATAAGCACGATGTTTTTTTTTTTTTTTTAATATTTTTTTGTATTTTTTTTTTTTTTTAAATTCGTTATTTAGGTCTGCCCCTATAATGCATACACGCATATATAGGCAATGTACATATACAATGTCTCCTTTTTTTTTTTTTTTTTTTTTCCATTTTATCGTTACAAAAAAGGAAAAGAAAAGGAATATATATGTGTATGTGTACACATTTGAAGGAACTTAGATTTTTTTTTTTTTTACTTTTTCACATTTTATTGTTTTACTTATTTATTTTTATTATGTACACCCCTCAAGGGAAGATATGTAGGAAAATGCTACATACTTATTTCATTAGTTTCCTTATTCTACATATGTATTTGTCTCAATTTGCTATCGCATTATGATTCTACAAAATCTTAGCAATTTCTGTCCAATGAAAGAATAAGTTTGCACAAAAGTGTTATATATATATACCCTTATAGCATTTAGTATTACAATACCATTTCGTTTTTTCAGCTAGAACTGTAAACATTCCAATGGAAAGTAGAATTTAAAATAATTTCTGCACTCTTGTTAATATATGTAAAATTAAACCTTCTAACCTACATTTTCTTTTTGTCATTTATTTTGTTTATTTTCAAAATTGCACAAATTCCTTATTTAATAATTTTTTTATTTTATTTTTATTTTTCATTTCCTTTTCTTGTCTCATAAATTGGAAAAAGCCTCTGTTAATTAGTTCAGTGTTGCAAATGTAAAAATTGCAAGCATAAATAATGATAGCCCCATTTTTTACACACACGGCTGAATTCTGCATGTGCATTGGGGAAGGTCTTATTTTTAACCCTTTTACAAATATATCAAAAAAAATAAAGTGTGTCATGAAGGTCTTTCTGGGCAGAAAGGTTTAACTTAATTAAATAAAAACAGAAATAAAAAAAAATAATAAATAAATCAAGATGGTGTAACGGTTAAACAAGTTCGTGAAAATTTGAGAAAAATTCACTCATCAAATATGTAACCTTGCCCCAAGAAATGGAAATGGGTAAAACGCCCTATGTAGAAAAACAAAAACCAAAGGTGAGACAGAAAAAAAATAAAGACAAAAAAAAAAAAAAAAAAGAAAATATAAAACACTGTAATGAAGAACATTACCAATTTTGTAAAACTTAAGAGTGGGCTGCAAATTCGAGCTTGCTAATGAAGGAGGGAATAACAGCAGCGCAAGTGTGCGTAAAAAGCCAAAAAAAGTATATACCATAAATATATATATATATATATATATATATATACATACTGACGAGACGTAAAACGCGACGAAATGAAATGCAACGAAGAGGTGGGGGAGAGGATGAACGGGTAGAGCAAACAATAGCAACGAGACATAAATGCAAAACGCAAAATTCATAACTACTGGGAATCTAGTCCCCTCGAAGATGTATCATCTGAATAATCGCCTATGGAGTTATCACTCAATTTAGGGGAATTATCATCAACAAATTTTCCATTTCCAGCATCGCTGTCAAAAAACTCTTTTGTCAATTTAGAAATGTCAAAATCATCCTCATGGTTAGTTGGCATTCCATACATATCCCTAGCCACACTATTATTATCTGTGTTTATTTCCCCATTTTCGATTTTTTTCTTTTGGCTCACAGAATTTTTTATACTATTTTCTATGTTCTTAATTTCTTCATCTGAAAAAAATCCCCTTAAAAATTTTTTATCCATTTTCGTGAAATTTTCTAAAAGAGTTTCTAGTTTTTCTTCTTTCTTTTTATTTTCTTCATCTGAAAGAGAATCATAGTTTTTGCATTGATCATCCACTTCTTTAATTATGTCTCTCATTTGATTCAGAAGAAATAATTCTCTTTTCTTTTCCCTCTTAAAATTCTGAACGATTTTTTTTTCGTCCTTTGTTAGGAGGTCGTCATTTTTCTTTTCTTCGGTTCCAACTGGTTGTGTGTCTTGTTTCATATTTTGAGCCACAGGTGGTTTCCCATCATTACCGTCATCTACGATATCGATAAAATCCTTCTCATAATTTTTTAAAAGTTCGTGGGAGGTCCTATTCTGAAGGTTCTTATTATCATAAAATTTCTTCAAGTTATCCGTAATTTCTTTATGATTTTCCTCTGATGGATTATTTTTATATGTCAAAAAATCCTTTAAATAACTATTTCTATTCATATAAAGCAAAGTTTTGTGAGGAGCATTCCAATTCTTACAAGCCCGAACAAATTCAGGCAAATCATTATGTACAAGTTTTTTTTCTAAACATATACTGTCATATCCTAGGCTCCCTAGCTTTTGTACATAATTTAGATCATACACATCAATTTTCGCAATGGTAACTAATTCAGGTATAGTATAACTTATAGCCTTTATGGCATGATTATACTCATACTGATTATTTAAAAAATCAAATTCATTAATCATAAGGATACAACTACCACACTGGGTAGCATAATAAATATCATTGTAATCGTGTACTTCAACAATTGCTTGAGTTCCTAAATTAACACAATAATTTAACATATCTTCTAAATCATTTTTTAAATATGATAAATTTAAAATAACACCATCTGCTTTGTTTTCCACTGCTAACGCAATTTGAATTGGATGAATTATTACATCGTCAACTACCACAGCAGGTCTGACATTTCGACTTAATTTTCTTGTACTCTTAACAACATCGTGTAAATCGTTTAACATTCCTTGGGTTGACAGATTGTCGATATTTACTATTATGACATCGAAACCTATTTCGTGCAGCATCAAACTGACATTACCCGGGTTTGCCAAATTGAGAAAATTGTTTTGATACATGTAATTTTCTTCATTCACTAAATGTCTTCTTTTCTTTCCTGTTGCTACAATGTCTGTTTCGTTTTCTTCCATTCCAATTTCAACCCCTCTGTCACCTGTCGTATGACCCTTTTCATCACTTCTAGTGACACTACAAAACACCTTTCTCTTCACATCTGCTACTACTGATAATCTATGCTTCTCATCAGGACATGTTCTTTTTAGACTTTCTGATAATTTGTTATTTATTGTGTGTTGTAAATATTTCATACGTATTTGTAGAGGGTTGTTTTCTTCGAAATTTTCTTCTAATAATTTGCCCACTTCGTATTTTTTGTTTTCAATTATTTTATTCACATGTTCATACGCCAAATATGGATTTCTATGATCTTTTCCATAAATCCTTAAATACATTTTTTCTTTTTTTTTTTCTAGAATATTATGTTTTCCACGATCATACATTTGGTGGTGCCTTATAAAATAAGCCCTTTTTCTTTTTCCTATTTTTGTTTTCTTCTTTTCCTTCTTTTCAAAAGTTTGGATCCTATGCCTAATGGGAGTCTTATTCATTAGTGAAATGCTGAACACAAATGTGCAGGTCGTCATTACGACTATGAAGATTACTAAAAAGGAAATTCGCGACATTTCTATGAGTTCACAAATATGTATTTATCCCGCTGGACCTTCATAAAAATGTGCGCATATTCACATAGTCTTACCTCTTGCCTGATCATCTTCTTCCCACCCTGAGTTTGCAACATTGTTCATTATTGCGTCCCTTCGTAACGTCTCCCAATCTTTTTGGCTGTGTTAATATGTCCTATTTTATTTATATATATTTTTTTGCTTTTTTCCCTTAAGGGATAAATTTTATATTGCCTGTTCCACAACTTGATATGATCAAATTTCAAATATATTTATTTTGTTTCCATTTGGCTGCCAGGATAGTTTGCCTTTCAGATGCTGGTGTTCACCTTTCTGAAAAGGGTTATTTATATGTACGTTCATGTGTATATGCATGTTTATGCTCCTATTTATGCTCCTATTTATGATCCTATTTATGATCCTATTTATGATCATATTTGTTTTTTTTTTGTTTTTTTTTTTTTAAATTCAGTTGAGCACATATCTCCTTCAGCCCGCCGGAGCCCTATTAGACTAGTGCAATTGTTCAGGTGCCAAGGGCCTACATATTTGAAACACATGCGTGGATGTAGTGTATATTTAATACATGCGCTCCCTTCCTTCTTAAATGTTCTGCTGCCTACTACTACTCACAATGTTCACTTCATTTTTTTTCTGTTTTTTTTTTTCTTTTTTTCTTTCAATTCTCTCCCAAGTACAATTGTTTGCTTTAAAAAAGGAAATGTGTATAAACCTTATATATATACTTATAACACCTCGCTTCTCTATAGCTCAAGTTCCCCATAAAACATCTGTTTCCTTTCCTTGTGTTTTTTTCCTTAATATAAATACTTCATTAACAGATTGTAATATTTTTATTTAGAATTTATTACTTAACACAATTTTTCTATCTTCTCCATATTAACAATGCTCAATTTGTAGCTCCATTTTTTTTTTTTTTTTTTTTTTTGCTTCTTCTTGGATGAATTATTTACTGGGGGCAAATGAACCAATTTCTCCGTGACTTTTCGGTCATTTTAAAATGAAAAGTGAAAATGTACTAACGCAGAATTGTGGAATGCTGGATACAGTGTGTGATAAGTTAGTAGAAATTTTAAAAAACTTAGAGAATATTTTACTTCATTTAGATCCATTAAATAATTATGAAGCTAAAGAAGAATCTATATTTACAAATATAAATGATCAACAAAACGAAATAATTGTTTTATCAAGTGTGATACATCATAATATTAACAAACTTACAGTTATACTTCACAATTTTATCAAAACTATCCCACCATCTTACACCTACCATACTACCTTTCATTATAACTCTTTTGTAATTTTAAGAGAAAAAAAAAAGAAGGAGCAAAAAAGACAAGATGAAAAGGTAGAAATAGAAAATTGTCAAAAAGGTACAACACAAAATGATAAAAGAGTAGCGATACAACATCACGATAAAGAAGACACACAGTGTGATGAGGAAATGTTAGTAAAAGATCCAACTCCAAAAATAAAGGAAAATGAAAATACCAGTTCAATTAATGAACAAGGCATAAAATCATGTAGCTTTTCCCCATGTTATCAAAACAAATTAAATAAAAAAAAAAGCAAATTGAAGGAACAAGATAAAGACGAACGGGTTAAGGAATTTTTCTATTTTTCTCTAACAGTCGATTTAGAATATGCTAATTTATTGTATATGAAAAGATATGAAGAGGAACTTGAAAAATATTTAATTAATACAAGAAAGTTATGACATCGAACAAGATATTCAAAACTGAATCATACACAGTAGGAAAATACTATTTGGATGGGAGAATTTCCCACTATTATATATATTTTATTTATCATTTACAATGTTGTACAAGTTATATGATAAAATAAATGGAATCAATTGAGATATATAATTTGGTTCATATCAATTCTAATTGATATAGACTGCGTTAAAATAGTACCGTATATATGTCGAACCATATTGCAAAAAACACGACCATAAGATCATCTTCATTTCTTCGCAACAATTTACTATTAAGGTGCGGACAGCTGCAATCATGCTTATGGAACTCTTACAAATTGCTTTAGTTTTGTAATAATCTCCAAATTTACCGTAAGTACATTTTATAACCGAACAAGTGAATAAATTAAACTTATCAAATAATTTTATGAATATATGAAATTCTACAAATTAGTGTGTATTTCATATAACTGATATGGTACACTGTAATTTTTAACGAATTCATGTATAGTCCGTATAAATATATGTCCATTACTCCATTTTTTTTTTTTTTTTTTTTTTTTATTATGCCGCCTTTCCTATACCTTTTTGTTGCACACAGTTTTTGCGTCAACATTTTGTAAAACAGTTAAAACTAGTGTTTTGATATCCCAGATAGATAAAATAAATAAATCAAATAAATAAATATGTAACATACTCTAAAAATAGACAAACGAAGAGGAACAGAAGTAGGGTGACAAACTAAGTAAATATAGAAACGTAAAAAAAACAACGAAATGGAACCTTAACGTAAAATAACTAACATGTTTGGATTTTTTTTTTTTTCCACGCTTTTCATCTCAGTACACTATTCTCTTCATTTTGTATGAAAAATGCGTGTGTTCAATGATTATGTGGAAAACTTAACCATTACACAAGCACATATATATTATCATTACTTCAAGGTAGGTTAAAACGTGAAAAAAAAAAAAAAAAAAAAAAAAGTAAAGCACAAGCATTTTATAAAAAAAAATGAGAAAAAACAGAGTTATATAATCAATAGGGAAGACATACAGTTAAGTAAAATGTTTGAGGTTTCTACACAAAAATACGAATTTCTGCGTCCTTAAAATGAAAAGAATAAGTGGCAAATGCTTTTTTCTTAAAAAAATAAAAGCGTCATGGGTATATTTATGTATAATCTTCATTAGAGAATGTAAGAAAAAAATACAATTTGATAATTAAAAAAAAAAAAAAAAAAAAAAAAAAAATGTTACATACTCTGCAACTATATGAAGTAATCTTGAAAAATAAACTTATTCATGTTTTTAAGCTTCTACTTATTTGACCTTCTAACTAGAGTAGCGCGTAGATACAAATGGTCGGAGGAGGAATATTTCTGAAAGGTGGAGAAATGAATGTGAAGATAAAAATTAACTGAGAAAAGGTTCAAAAATAAAAAGGGTAGAACAATTGAATGTTTTTTTTCTTATTTGTTTATTTGTTCATTTATTTATTTATTTATTTATTTATTTATTTATTTATTATTATTTTATTTTATTTTATTTTTCTCTTATTTTTTGCTCAACAGGCTTACCTCATTCGGTAGGCATCCATGTTTCGCAAGTTGGTCGAATGACGGGAATGTGGAACAAGATATTTTCTGCATGGATGGGAATGCGAAAAGGGGTATGTGTATCTATGTTCACGTGTACAAATGTAGATATATGCGCATGTTGCTGAAACGAAAACAAGTGTGGAATCACTCTCCCATGTATGAAATTTTCTTAAATGCCAAAATCTCCATTTTCACATTACCTTAAGAGTCTTGTACGAATAAAATATATAATCGACACAACCCTTTTGCTTTCCGTGAAATACAGTGAATGGGACACCACTAAGAGTTAAATTATTTTCCTCATCATTCAATTTGTCTATATCATCATACTTGTAACATGGCTTTTCCTTTTCTACCCGATTTTCTTCCGAGCTGTTATAAATACTTTCAAAATATAATGGATAGTACAGTGCGAACTCTTCCTCTCGTTGATTATTTACTATTTTCGTTGCGTTTTCTGGTTGACACTGTTGACAGTCCTCTTCGACTTCTCTATCATCTTCGACTTCTCTATCATCTTCGACTTCTTCATCATCTTCGAATTCTTCATCATCTTCACCTTCTCCATCATCATCATCATACTCATCCCCATCCTGCATCATATGATTATCCATTCCAACAACATTCTCCTGTTGGTCTTTTTTATTATTAATGCACTCTTCTTCCTTTACCTCGCGCGTCTTCTCGAACTGCTCATTGTATTTGTGTTCATTGCGTAACTGTTCGATAACAGGAAATGCTTTAGTTTTTTTCTTTGTATGATTATAAGAAGGTAAATAGTTTTTCTTCCGTTCTTTAAATTTGTTCTGAGAATATTCATAGGAATTATAATTTTTCAAATATGGTTCATCTGCGTGCTGAAAATTTTTGCTCATTAAATACTCCTCGTTTAAAATATTTTCATTTTTAAAAAAATAAAATAAGGATTCTCTTTTCATGTTTTCTGTTAAACTATTGCAGTGCTCAAGTTTTAAATCATTAAGTATGTTTTCATCAAACATCTTTTTAATTTCATTTCCGTTGTAATAGCTATAAACATAGTACTCCTTTTTAAACATAAGGTACTGACCTGAAATATTTTTTAGATTTATATTCTTCAAATTTATGTACCTGTTAATTATATAGTAGTACAACAAGCTATTTGGTGTTATGTTCAAGTCCCCACAGAAAATTATAGCAGGACTAAGAACACCACTATTGTCTATTTTGTGATAATCCTTGCACTCGCTTTTTGCTACCGTTTCGTGTAGTCTTTCTTCCACGTGAAGTATGTTTTCAGAGTTTTCAATTTTGTCTGCTTTTCTTGAACCATTTTTTTTTATCCCTTTTTTCTCTTCCTCGTTTTCTTTCACTTTCACCTTCACCTTATTCATATGTACCTTTTTCTTAAGAACCCTTAAATAATTTAAACATTTATTCATCATGACAACCAATCGATAAGTCATATAGCACAGTTGGTACAGCTTTACGTCCCCCTTACAAGAATCAAAGATCAGATGCGTATTGGAAACAATAACAATATCATTTAATGAAAAAACGCAACCAGATGATCTGTTTTTGTTTTGGTTTTCCACCATTTTTCTATCATCATCAGAAATTATATTTTCATCATAATATTCTATCTTTTTGGAATGTAAATTTTTTAAAGCTACTATAAGCCCTACGTGCCATTTTTTCAGAAAATGAGATTTATCATAAATGATTTCATCAAAAAATAATAACTTAAACATTTTTGTATTATAAAAGATACATATTCCATCTTGACATGTTTCTTTTTTCTTTTTTAAAAATAATCCTTTATAATGTAATAATTTTAGTTTCTCTTCTAATTCTGTAAAATATGATTCTTCTATTTCTTGTAGACATATGATATCTGATAACTTATTTATTATATTCTGAAAAATTGTTTCTTTTCTATTTATCCATTTCATGACATTAGAACAATTTTTCTCGTATTTATAGTCTACTAAACTATTTGCCAAAATGTTAAATGAAAAAATTGAAAATTCTTTAAATTTATATATTTTCTTTTTTTTCTTTGTCATTACGCATTTTAGCAATTCTACATTATTAACATCTTCCGGTAGCGTATCTTTGTATCCTTTTAGAACTTCTTTTGAATTATTACTATGGACACTTTCTGTCTCTACTTGCTTCAGTTCTGTAATCCCCCTGGATATGGTATCATCCATCGTATTCCTGCCTTCATTTATATTTGGCTGAATTACACAATAGTTTTTTGTGATTTTTCCAATATGAAATTTTCCCCTTCCACAACTGTCACCGAGGACACCTCGAACAATTGGAACACTTTGAACACTTCGGATACTGAATGGGTAACTTTTGCAACTTGCACTATTATTATAGCATTTAGTGTCCTCTATTTTCCTGGTATGACTGGAAATATTTCCCGCAGTTTCATTCACATATCTGTTATGCTTGCAATTGATAAGTTGTCTTCTTACTCCTGTATTTGTAACTTGTTCATGAAAGTTCTCTTTATCTAAACATGTACCATTCCTAATGTGTGTACATTCGAAAACATTGTTTTCATTTTTTTTTAATCTATTCAATGTTCTTTTCCATAAAAATGGTGTTACAGTATTTTTATTATAAAACATTAATCTATTTTCGCTATCCTTTTTTTCTATTTTTTTTTTTTTTTTTTTTCTTCTTAAAATAAAAAATTAACTTCTCTCTTCTTTTATTTAAGCTTCTTAAAACGCAAGACAAAATAAATAAATAAATGTGGAACCAACGGTGCTCTAATTCGTATAATGAAAAAAGTTATACACTATTTATGTTCCTCATGAACACTTCGTGCCTACACGTATATGCGCATGCATAGGTACAAACATATACGTACACACTCCATATTACTTCTGCATTTAATTTCACTTCTCCTTATCCTTGAAATAATCAATTTTGTCTTAGTTTCAGTTTTAGCTGTTTATAAAAAGAGTGTGTTAAAAGAGGGGTTAAACACCATAATAGTTATATTCCCTTTTCCTTGGTGTACAGTACTATTTTGGGTGATTAAGAAAAATATATTACTAAAAAAAAAAAAAAAATAGAAATAACAACAACACTTTATCGTGAACTATAGCAATTATGATTTGTTAGTTCAAACGTGGCAAAAAAAAAAAAAAAAAAAAAAAAAAAAAAACTAGGGAAGCTTTGTTTATCTTTGCTATTGTTTAACTATGTTTAAGATACTGAAATAAAGGAACTTAGGGCAAAATACAAATTTGTTTCACTTATTATTATTATTTTTTTGCACCTCTTTTAAACTTATATTTTTTCCTTTTTAATCATTTCGCCATTTTATTATTTTTTTTTTTTTTTTTTTGTCATCCCTCAGGTATAAAAACATCCATGATGTAATTCTCATTAAGGGCTTATCCAAACACATTTTGTTACACTGCTCGGTACATAAGCTTACATATATATGTGTCACATAACGCTGGCATAAGAATCCAAGCTTAACATTTTGATCATTGTCCGCATTATATATGAATACGTTTAGGAAAATTTTTTTTTTTTTTTTTTTTTAATTATTACCTTTTCTCGCCGGAATCATCTCGCTTCCCATTTTTTCCAAAATGCATTTGTTCATAATTTTGCAAACATATTTTTAGTCACATTTTATTACTTCTATATTACCTTAAGAATTTTATACCCGGCTCCCGCATTTTTCCCGGCCACCCCAAAACAAACGTACCTTTTCAACCGTAACTTAAAAAAATATTTTCCTTCCATGGTTTATTAAATTTATCTGAATATTGGCTGAATCACAATATGAATTTTTTATGAATTTAACAATTCAAATAATTAAATAGCCAAACAGTTATGCAAGCGAGCCATCTGGCAGAGATCGTATCGACGCACGAAGTTTTTCAATAAATATAACAAAAGAATAAAATAACTGTCAATTTGTTGTAAGACATATTAATCGACAACTCGACGTGGATATATACTCCAGTCGAAATTTCGAAATAAAGGTTAACGGATTATTTTTATTACATCATCCAAATAGAATCAAAATTTTTTTTTTTCAAATTGATACCCATCAGTGTCGTCTCTTTTAAGTAGCAATGGGAGGTTAAAGATCTAAGAGAAAAAATAGTGGATAAATATATGTGACTATATCTGCATTGGTGTTATACGAACGAGTTTTTATGCATCCATCTACTGAACACTCATCCGCTGAACCTTCAAGTTCATGTGCTATCCCAATTTTCAATTCTACCCACATACACACAAGATACTGCTTTATCATCCCCTTGTAGACATCGAATACGAACTGAGAGGTATCATTTCCGGACATAACAAAGGAGTAAGATGCATTTGTGTAATTAATCAAACCCTATTTAATGAATTAAAAGAATCCCAGCTGAACTTTGATTATATAGTTAGTGCAGATTTCACTGGGACAATTTTGGTGTGGAAAATAAAGAATGATGAGGATATACCCATTAATGAAGTATCACCTGATGACAACATATACAAAGATATAGAAATTTTTCCATCACATTTGTGTGATAATTATGAACTATACAGAAAAATAGAAGTTCACGAAAGGTTCGTTTACGCAATGACTTATAGTAAATTTATAGGCATAAATGAATTGAAGAAATGCAAACAAAAACTGGAAGATCATTTACATGTGTATAGCGGAGGGAGTGATCAGAGAATTTATCTATTTAACCTGAATGGCTATATCGAATTAGTGTTGCAAGGACATAAGAATAGTGTATGTAGTATAGTAGAATACAATGAGAATATTTTACTAAGTGGGGATTGGAATGGAGATGTTATAATGTGGAGAATTGAGAAAATTAAAGAATATATGGAAAATCAAAATTTGGGAATAAACACTAGTGGAGATAACAAGAGTGGTAATGAAAAAAATCCTCTTTGTGGAAATAAGTACACCTACAGCATACTAAGAATTTTAAATAATCATAAATATGCTACGTATGTAAATTGCCTGAATGATTTTTTCCTTACAATTTCGCAAAATAATATACTGAATATATGGAATAGCGAAGGAGAAAAAACAGATGAAATTAAAAATATACACAATGATAGTGTTCGGGATATAATATTATTTAATGAAAATAAAAATGCAGTTACCTTTTCGAATGATGAAACCATTTATATTTATGATTCAAATTTTAATATACTAAAAATTTACAAAGGACATCAAGGTTTTATCTTCTGCGTTTGTGTAAATGAAAAAGAAAAAATAATGTACAGTTGTAGTGACGATAAAACTATCAAGATATGGTGTATAAAAGACATTTACAACTTAATGGAAAAATATGAGTCAGGTATGACAAATTTAAATAAACAACAGTTAATGAATGATGAAAAAAATTCTTCTTGCTTACAGACAATTTATCTCTCTGATACCTTATGGAATATCAAAGTGCTAGGAAATGGCGACTTTGTTTGTGCGTGCAATGATAGCTATATTCGCATATATACCAACAAAAAAGAGAATAAACTTAGTGCAGATGCACTAAAAGAGGTTCTCGAAAAGTGTAAAAAAAAAAACATAAATGAGCAAAGTGGAAATAATGCAGGAAATGCAATCAAAGTAGAAAATATGAAAAACATTTTAGGGAAAGAAGGAGAAACGAAAATTTTCCAAAACAAAGGAAAATATGAAGCATATAAATATGAGAACAATGAGTGGGTGCTTATAGGTGAAGTAGTAGACGATAACAAATCCCATAAAAAATTTTATATAGGGGATAATATATTTCAACAGGGATATTATGATGAAATAATTTCCATAGACACGGGATATGGAAGTATAAAACAGATGCCATACAATACAAATGATAATGTTCATGTCCTAGCTGAAATGTTTTGCAAAAGAGAAGGTATTTCTATTAATAATATAAAATCCATCGTCGATTTTGTTAACCAGAATTATGCATTCAAGAATATGGATTCCACAGCTATAGCAAACACCACCAGTTTTAATACGATCCATGGTGCTAAAAAGTTTACTACTGTTTTAAATGTGTTCACCATCGAAAAAGCTTCCCTAGATAAAATTTTACAAAAAATTCAAGAGTTTAATTTGTTACACTCAAGTGACGAAAAACAGGAATGCAAATTATCCAATGAAGAAATAAATGCATTATCAAATATCATAAACTTATACAAAACGAATATAAGAAATATGTACAAATTTAACACAGCAGATATAAACCTAATTAAAAAACTTTTTAATTGGCCCCCCTTTCATATATTTCCAGTGATAGACTTATTTAGAGTGTTGGTGTTAAATAAAAATTGTGACTTTTTATATAATAATAAATATGCATTCAACACATTTAAATTGGTTTATGATTGTGTTACATATTACGTAACCAATTCGATAGGTTTAAAAGAAAATGAGGAAAATAAACTAGATTCTTTACTATTGTGTTGCCTTCGCTTTTATTTAAATATGTTTAGTTTATCAACCCCTAGATATTACATGTATAAAAAGTACAATTTTATTATTAAACAATTCTCCGAAATTAAATCAAATAATTTTAATATTAATATATTATTTATGAAAATATTCTTCAATTATGTGATAATATTAAACGAGAATAATGACCAGGAATTAAGAAAATCAATATTTGAAGTCTTGCATTCAATTAATCACAAAATAAATGATATTGAACTTTTGTATATATATTCTATTTGCTTTCATACGTCCCACAACTTACACACGAAGGAGACAAAAGAAATTATAAAAAAATATGGCTCCATTGATTTTATCAGAAACAAATTAAGTTCCTTACTCTCTTTGAAAAATGAGCAAAATGTCAAGTTTTTCCAAAACGTTGATTTTATTTTGGAGGACATGTCAGAATAGTGTTTCTTATATCTGGTACCGATAGTAGTGGTTGAGAACGATTTCTAAAAAAATGCAACCAATTATTTCGAAGGGGCATTTTTTGCTATTCTCATAATGGCTATTTTTCAGTGCCAATTTTTTTTAGGTACTACTTTTTCATGTACGGACATTTTTTCGGTTCATATATATTCTACTCCTTTGTCGTTCGTGCTTACGGGCATATATATATATATATATATATATATATATATATATATATATGCATATATGCACCTTTGTAATTTCCACACTTCTCTCCTTTTTCATTCTCTAAATAGACTGCGTACACATAAAATCATGATAGTGTAAATTGCACACTATATATTTGCCTTGTTTTTATCCAAGAAAAGACATTTTTATGGCTCACAAAAAATTAATTGCAGCACATAAGTCATATGGATCTTAATTCATTTAAGACTCTTAAGACATCATTTTGTCATGGATATATAGGGGTGAATGTGCACTGTGGATAAACATATTATTTTTTTGTTTTTTTTTCCATTCAACCTTGTCAATTTATTCGATATACTATTTCAGATTTCTTATCCTTCTTTTCATCCTTTAAAAGCCTGGAAAAAAAAAATATATATATATATATATATATAACTCAATTGCATAACAACATGACAATTTATGTAACATAAAATTTGTTTGCAATCCCATCACATCAGCTGATTGCAATGAAAATTCGCATGCGTTGGAACATGTATTATTCATGTGCTCATATTCAATGCTATGTTGTAATTACTCATATTCCTGCAAGGACGAAATCCTAAACACAATTTCGTTTAAGAACTTGGCATTTTGGATAAAAAGAAAATAATAAATGACATAAATTCCTGTATACTTAAAAATCAAATTGCTCTGGATAATCAAATCATTGTCATTTGATGTGTCTGAAAAAATTTGTTCATATATATTATTTTTGTATTCTTCTTCATTTTTATAATAATTTATTTTATGTAAATTTTGGCAAGTTAAATCCAATTCGTAATTATGCGAAATATAATTAAAAAATTCATATAATCCATATGATACGTTATTTGTGTATTTGTATACATCTAGGTAAATAGTTACGTCTATATTTTTCAAATGTGTAAAATATTTTTCAAAATCTTCTTTTATCTCTACACCTTTTTTTGAATCAACATGTTCTGTTCTTTTATATTTTTCCTTATCAGCATAGTAGTCAATATTTTCATAAGTAGCATAAACAGCTTTTCTTTCTTTAATTAAGTTCCTTGCGAACCCTCTTTTTATTTTTATAATGTCTCCTTTTTCGCCAATATGACTTATATTATTTAGTAGAACTACATGGGTGTATTTATTTTCAACGGTTGCTATGTATGTTTTCCTTTTTATTGTGTATTTGTTATAATTTAGGTATGAGCTCATAAACGCCCTTTGCAAGTTCAAAAAACCATTTATTCTAAACATCCTTTGAGATTTCTTATCACATAACAATGACTAAGGTGTTCTTCTTCTGAATGTTTTTTGTATCCTCGCAAAAATTGTTAAAATAGTTTAGCAAGCGAGGAGAACCATTTCTAAGCATGCTTCCCTCTTATTTTTCTATTTTTTCTCTTTATGCGTTATTTTGTTTCTTTTATTCTTTTAAGGAAGGAACGAAAAATCCCAATTTAACATCTCACATTGAAAAATTTTCCCCATTCGCATGTCTGAAAATTTTTTTTTTTTTTATTTTTATTTTTTTTTTTTTAGTGTTCGTTATCATTTTTTTTGCAGAATGAGGTAAAACATTTTTTCGTATATTGTGAACCCCTTAAAATTATGCCATTCCCCTTCACTATTTTATTTTTTATAGCCGACAGTTGGTGGACATGTGACGAGTCCTTGCTCAATGTGCTTTATATATTTTACAGGGGTGCTCATATTACCCATGTATACACACGTTTAATTAAATGTGTTGATGAAAATAGTAAGAAAAGAAAGTGAGTATAGCCAATAACAAATCAAATGTATATTTCTTCCCTTTAATTTCTTCTGAAGAAAATTACAATTTATTACAGAGTAATACGCGATGAGTTAAACGATTAAAGTCTCAATCTCACTTTACTATTTTTTCACCCCAGCTGTCGAATCTCAATAAATGCACGGCTTAATTTATGCCTGATTTGCTAACGATGCCGCTACTGCTACAACTGCCACTACTACTGCCCCCTCATCTAACGACTTTGATAAAAATATAAAATCATCGTGTACATGATTAACCTACATACAACCTTCGAAACAATAGCCATCATAATAAAATGATCAAGAGACGCATCTCCCATTTTGAATTGCCTAATGACAAATGGAACATAGTAAAACATACATTAAAAAAAGGGGTTCCTTTATTTTTAGCCCTCATTCACTTATACCTCGTCACATTTCGCACCTTCTCTGCCCATTTTTTCGCACTTTGTCCTTCACAGGTAGATGACAGTCTGCTGTATCGAATTGTTAAAGAGCCGGAAGACAAAATTTACAGAAAATTTTTCTCATTCGATCTAGATAACACATTAATTTTATCTCGCTCATTCTTCAAACCTGCACAAAACCAGAATGATTACATTTTCTATTCAGATATAATAGACTTTTTGAAAAAAAAAAGAGCAGAAAATTACAAAATTATCATTTTCTCCAACCAAAAAGGAGTAAGTACAGGTAAAATAAGTATTGTAGATATAGTAAACAGGGTTGACGATGTTATAGAAAAAATAGGGATACCCTTAGAATGCTATTTAGCATTAAAAAATGACAAGTATAGAAAACCGAGAATTGGAATGTATAATTTTGCTAAACAGAATAATAAAGGTCCAATTGATGAAATTATTTATGTAGGAGATAATGCCAACCGAATTTATGACGATAATTTTAAAACCAAATTTATTAATCACCTGAGATATGTATATTCCAAAAATAACGTGAACATTAACATAAACGAAATAGCCAAAAAGTTAAAAAAGGATTATACAGACACTGATTTAAAGTTTGCTTTAAATATAAATGCCAAATTTTACACACCTGAAGAATTGTTTCTAAATATAAAAAATAATTTGTCAGCCAAATTTTCCTTTAATCCTTTAAGTTTACAAAAAAATGTAGATGAACTAAATTATCAGAAAAGCCAAAATAGCGTCCGACATTTGTTGGATCGAGCAGATCTTCACAGTTCTCCACCACAACATGAACAAAATTTTGTTCTTCTAATTGGACCCCCTGGATGCGGAAAAACCACCTTCTGTAAAAATTACTTCCCAAATTTTATTCAAATAAATTTAGAAGAATTAAAAACAAAAAATAAATGCATAAATATGTTACGACAATATATTATTAGTGGGAAAAATGTAATAATGGATAACGAAAATACGTATGTAAAAAACAGATTAATTTACATCAATGAGGCGAAAAAAATAAACAAGAATTTAAAAGTTAAGGCTATTTTTTTTAATTACTCCAAAGATTTAGTTTTTCATTTAAATAATTTTAAATTAATTACTGACATATCAAATCAAATGAAGGAAATCCCAACCATTCCCATTTATTCCTTTTATAAATATGTACAAGTGCCCTCGGAATGTGAACATTTTGACAGAATCATAACTATAAATGATGAACATTTTGTACCGTCTAACTTCCAAAACGATGAACAGCAAAAGTTGTTTTACTCTTATTTGTATTAAGTCTATCGTTTATAGAAAAAGACGTGGGAAGTTGAGAAACAGAAGGGATCTTCCTGCACACATATTTGGCACCATATTGCTTATTCATTTGCTACTAATGGTTTCCATGCCTGATCAACCGATCATATATTTATCTTCCATTATTATCCATAAGACGATGCACATAAAATGTTTTTCGAAAAATTTCAACATTATAAAGTCATAACACATGGACAGATAAATGCTCCCCCATTGTTGCACACACGTGTGTGATAGATCCTCTCATCCAACACAGACACACATCTCCGCATGGGTTTATACATAAGAAAGATTAATGAGGTAAATATTAGTGTACAGCAGTAAAATGCTCATTCTTTCTGAACATACTTTTGGCAAATTTATTAACCACGAAATTTAGGTTCTGAATGTTGCTACCTTTCCCGTCCATTGCTTGTACAGGATTCCTCAAATGGTCGATTAGCAGGTTAATAAATTTGTCTTCTGTAATGCCTAAAAAATGAAAGGAAAAAAAAAAAAAAAAAAAAGGTTGCAAAAATCAACAGGAAAAGGCTCCATTTTTGTGCATTTCTTTCGTCATATTTTTTTTTTTTAATATTGATTAAAATTTTATTTTATCCCAAATTTTCCACATTTCGGAATTCACTCAATTGCTACGCGCTTGCAGTTATTAGAACGCAGTGAATGAACCATGGAAAAAAACGCAATGTCATTCAAGCAATAGAAGAAAAGTCATAATGTGATACACAAAACATGATAACTCACTGGAGTTGTATATCTTACTGAGACTATCAACGATGGTTTTCCCTCCATGAAAAATCACAAGCATTATGGGAACGAAAAATGGGGGAACATCTTCATAAGCCACCTTTCCATTCTTTATATCTATGGATTTTTTGAAAAGTGTACACAACTTCCAGCCAAAATTTAGGCAAATTGGTGTTGTGCTATTTGTAATTTTCTGTAGTGATTCATAATACTTAAATAGGTACACATCCATTTCGTTAATCAAATGATAACAAGATAGAGCAATTAAATAAATAAGTATTCGGTTTATTAAATTGCTTATCATTTGTGTGCACTCATATATGGGTATACACTGAATTATTCTCGTATTAAAATAAGTACATAATTGATCAAAAAGTAAATGAACATCATGTGTACCTAAAGTGTTATGATTATTCTTAAAATACCATATAGATTTTTTCTCAAAAGATTCAAAACATTCATATATGCAAGAATTTACAACATTGTTCAACTCACATATCCCTTTTTCTAATTCAGTTAAGTCGAAATAATTTTTTTTATTTTTTTTATTTTTATCTTTAATAAAAAAAGGAGTGATTTCATAATTATCATGATCATCACAAATGTTATACGAATCGTTCAAATGAAAGGAGTTATGTTTAACATCACTAAAAAGACTAATTTTGAAATCTGCTACATTCTTATTATCATATTTACTTGTCTCTTCTTCTTTTCCTCTTTCTTTTGAGCAAGAATCATTTGGTTGTTCATCTCCCTGAGGGGATATATCAATTTGCTCTTTGTGCTCTTTTTTTTCAATCGATTTGTTTCCTTGGACATATTCTTTTTTCTGACTTTTTTTTTCCTCACAAGTTTCTAACTGAATAAATTCGTTACTTGAATCATTATCCAAACATAGCAAATTATCACCAAAATAATTATTTAAATGATCTTGATAGTGGAAAAATTCCTCGAATGATTCATCAAATGATAGTGTGATTAGTTCCTTACCTATTGTATTATCACTTGAGGAATAATTCCCTATACCAAGGATACCTTCCTCTATCCCTTGAAAATTGTCATTAAATAAATTCGCTACCTCATAATTTTCCTTACATGAAAGAACATTTATCATTTTATAGGTACTTATTTTAGATTCCATAATTTTTCTCTTCAGTTTTGCCAAAGAGTATATTAAATATCTCAAAAGCTGTCTACTAATTATAAATAGCTCTAAATTATATTTCAGTTTTTTATGAACATAATCTAGGGTTATATACTTATTTTTAATATCTATTTCGATGTGTACATTGATATTTTGTTTTAAGTTATTTAAATTGTTACTTAGTAGGAGTAGGGAATTATTACAGGATACTATAATTTTACGAAAAATATAAGGATAATATATATGCATAATTAGTTCCTTAAAAAATATTTCTACATAATTTTTAATATCAAAAATTGAAGGAAAATTGCAATCATTTTCATAGTCCATGCTATTTCCTATACTAGTTTTTTGAAATAATAGTTCGACAAGGTAAATAAGTTTATTCATGGAAGTGAACGTTATTTCTTCGTATTCTCTGTTAAACAAATTGAAAAGTATGTCTTTTTCATAACCTTTGAAGAAATCATTTTTACTATGAATAATATGTAGAAATTCTCCTATTAAATTTAGAACATATAATATATCTTCCTTTTTAATCAATTTATTTACTTGGTTATTTATTAATAAGTTAATGTAAGGTAAATAAAATTCAGTATATATATGTACATCATTACATTTCTTCCTATCTTCCTCTGACGAGTTAGAAGCATTTTTGTTATTGTTGTCACCTTTTTTTTCTTCTTTGTCTTTTTCTTTTCTAATTTCTTCTTCCATGTCGTAATTTTCTTTAATAATTTCATTCAAGTAACTAATCTGATCAATACCATTTTTACAATTTTGCAATATTGTGAAGAAATCTTTTCTACCATTCTCCCTCCCATTCTTTATATTCAAAATGTATGGATTCGCTTCACGTATTTTGTAGTCTATTATTTTTTTTAAACACTCTTTTTCGATATTTAGATTTCTAAACGCATTCATACACTGTTTTACCTTCTTCTCAAAATTCGTATCTTTAAAAAAATTTCCCGATAAATACTGTATAAATACACTTATTATATAATTTTCGTACGTCTTCATTCTTTTTACCTTTAAAGCCACAATGGATATATTCTCTATATTATGGTGACGAATGAAACTTTTTGTATTATTCAGTCTACTTAAATACTTTTCGAGGATGTCAAAGTCAGGGGTCATTAGCAAACGGGTGTAGATCCCACTGCTACTACCACTTTTATTGTTGTTTATACGCATATCTGGAATGTCTAAACGTTCTTTGTTAATGGATGCCAAGTCAATCATATCCGTTTCTTTGCCTTCACAAGAATGAAAGACGTCAAAAACCTTGCTATCTCTCATCTCATAATACAGTTTTTTTATATCCAAATCTACAATTTCATATAATTTTAAAATTTTCTCAATTTCAATTAAACACCTTTTCTCGCTAATTAAAGATAGCACCTTATTCTTTTTTTCCCTTAAAAATTCATAATTTGATTTGTATTTTTTTCCAATATTCTCTAAATTGTATGAATTCCATTTTTTTGTTTTCTTTGCATTACTCATTTTATCAATATATTTGTAAAAATATTCATACTTTTCCTCCGCCATTTTGTTGATAAAATTCTTTAGTATGTTTATTTTATCGTTAATAAATTCTATGGTTCCGTTTATTTCTTTTTCATTAGAAACATCTTTAAGTATATCTTTTAATTCTAGCTGGAAAATGTCATCAATTACCTGATTCCTTACTACTTCCTCATTATTTTCTTCTCTACTTTCCTCCGAGTACCTCTTCGAGATGTGAATGTCTTGCTTCGATTGTTTCTCCTTCATGGTACGCATGTGTGTCGTTATGACCTCAGGGATGCTTCCCTACCCCCCCCCTTAGAGGATTTACCCCTTTTCTTAGCACGAATATCGTGTGTTTGTTTAGTCTTTCTTTGCTTTATTTGTTTAGTCTTTCTTTGCTTTATTTGTTTAACCTTTCTTGCATTTGTTTCTCCTCTCCTCAGGATTAAAACAACTTTTCCCTCCACTTAGCCACAGGCTCCAGAAGCCGAATGGGCCAACAAAGGTACATGCAATACAGTAGGTGCAGTTAAGTTGTGTGACGATCAGTTCTGGTAAAAGTAAACATGTTGAAGGGGAAAAAATTAGTTAAAATTGCCATATTGTAATAAGTGTATATCTTATTATGTGCTTATGCACTTACTCATTTATGTATTCATAATGTATTTGTACCATTTCATGCATATACATATGGATATATCTAGTCCCACTTGGGATATGCGTACACCATAAGAGAGTCACTCAAAATAGGGGGAAAAAATAAAGAAAAGGTTAATGAGAGTATATTGTCGATGATAATTTTTTTTTTTTTTTTTTTTTTTTTTTTTTTTTAATAGCATAAAAAAAAAAAAAAAAAATTTCCTTGGGCATATTTACATATTTTTAAACGATATGGACATCCCCCCAAATGCCATCATACATTCTATTATATTTTGTTTGATAAATGAGAAATAAGCTAGGTCCTCCTCATCTATGCAGTGTTTATAACTTCAAAAGAGTGGTAAATGCATATCTCTCCTTTACATATGATACTGCGCACATAACACAAATTACTTATCTAAAATTGAATCAATGAAAATATGAAGAAAATGATGCCCGTGAGAAATTCCTGGCGCACCTGCACCGTCACTGTTCCTTCAGCCATATTGAAAAGAACAAATCCTTTTTTAAATTCGAAAGGTGTTTATTCATTAAGCCATTTTTTTTCCCGTATTTCATTTCTTCCCAGAAAAAGTAGGCGGAATTAAACAAGGCACAATTTTGATAAATGTTAAAGATAATTTTTCTTTTTTTTTCCGTAAAATTGATTTCCTTATGTTCATTGGAAACATCGAAATCGTTCGAAAGGACAAAGTCTTTTCCCTTGGATGTATAAAAACATATATTTTCATAAGCCATTAGATAATATATATCCATGACATAATTTAGCAAAACAAAAATGTGGCTAACCTTTAATTTGTAATTCACTTGATCATCCGTATAGTAATACATCAACAATTTTTTAAGTATTTTAAAAAATCGTATACACAATAACTGTAATAAAAAATGATAATTGCCCATTTGCTTATCCTTTCCATGGGGGATATTTTCAATGAAGTATTTTAATAACCTGTGTGTAAAAGGGAAGTGCAAAATATATCTTTTTCTTATTTTGTCCTTAAAGTGAACGTTACGAATGGGTGAAAAACATATGGCACATTTGCTTGTATGTATTACTCCTTTCCCCAAGGGTCCTATATTTGCGCTGTTATAATATGGATTAAAATTTAGCACAATCTGAAATTCTATATTGGGGTATATATAAGTAGACCCATCATAGTACGAACACATGTTTGATTTTATCATGTAATTTTTTAAATATGTCCAATCAGTTTTAATATTATTTATTATAATAAATGGGTGTATATTTATATCCATTCTGTTAATTATATTTTTTAAAATTTTTATATTTTTTCGATATTTTCTATCGTGTGGACGTAACAATGTTTTTTTTTTTTTTTTAAGTTTCTCTTCTTTTGTTTCTTTAAAAGTACTATAATTAAAATTTATTTCACTCTCTTGCTTTTTATTTTCAAATAGATCGACCAATGCATTAATTATCGTGTCACGAGTGAAGTAGCAGATATGATTTGCTAATACTTTGCAACTGTAAAAATCGTAGTTTTTTCTTTGTAATTTGTAATAAATAACAGCATAAAACAGGTAATTGAGTAGGAAAAACATTTTGTGTTCCTTTAGGGATCGAAATGGATAACACTGATAATTCATTTTCAGCAAATTTATAAAAATGTACACACACGAAGGTACACAAATGTTGTAATGCGAAAGGTTATTATCCTTTTTAACTATTTCAATTTGTTTTAAGTAAACAAATTTATAAATATTTAGCTTACGAACTCCCATACATTCATTATTCTTTTGAACGTGATAAAAATAATAAAAACAAAATTTCATAAACAAAAAACATATGTCAAAATGTTCTTGAACCAATTTTTTTACATATACTCGATTTTTATTCCTATATATGTATTCATCGTAAAATATTTTAAAAAAACTCTCAATTTCTCGTTTTTCTTCTAATAAAAAGGAAAGGTTTCTCATCACCCCTAGTCTTTTTTTTTCTTCTTCATCCGCATTACCGCAACAATGTTTGTCATTGCTTTCACTACAATCCACATCACAGATGTTATTTTTAACATTGCTGCACTTTTTCTTACTATTTTGCTTATGTTCTTCTGTGTAACTATTCCTCCTGCGTCTTAATTTTTTTTTAGAATAATATTTGAAAATTATGTCACCACATTGATTCCTTTTTGTAGTTATTTTATTTCTTTTTCTCTTACAATTACAAACTCTCCATTTTCGATTAACACATTTTTTTAAAAAGTGATAAATAGGGTCTTGGGGTATGGTGATACTTCCACTCATACCGCTCCTTCTAGCCATGCATGTCTCATTCTTATCCCCATACTCCATATTTGTAAAAATTACATTCATGATTTTCAAATTGTAACTTAAGTTAAAATATATATGAAATTTTTTGCTTAGCTTCTCAAAATCGAATGCACGACTAGCCACAAAAAGAACGTCCATCCTGTTATAATTGTTTAAATCATTTATGATATTTAAATATTTTACTGTATTCATCAAATGTTCCTCATTTATAGTAATGAAAATATTTTTCTTCTTCTTTAAAAGATATATGCATGGATTACGGTTAGCACTTTTAAACGTACACCTTGTCGCGTTCAACAATTTATATGGAACTTTACCCTCATTGGTATATTCTTTTATCATTTTATTAAGATCAAATTTTACTACTTTTTTATGTCTATTCGTGCACATTTTTCCCATTAAAATTTTATACATATGCACACTCGATTTTACCAAAAAAAATGATCTCCTTAAATTGATGAAATAACTTATGTACTTTGTTTCTTTAATTCTTAGTAATGCACTTTCTATGATATTAATGATAGTCCTTGAGTCTGATTTATTCTGTGTCCTTTTTCCCTGATAAGGTTCTTCTTTTCCAATTATTTTATCGCATTCGCAGAATTTTTCATTATTCAATGTACCATTCATTATGTCATTGGCATTTCTCCACATTCGTCTTACCCCAACACAATTGAACATTTCATAATACCCTGTTATTTTACGAAATAAATCATCTCCGTACTCACAGAAATTTATTTTTAGGTAGTCGAAATTATTGGTGGCCAATCCTGTTCCTAAACTGAACTCGTAATTAATAAAATCCAAATCTTCTCGCGTTAAAAAAATAGATGCTTCACATATATCCGTGTCTAGAAAATTTTTCTTAAATTTTTTTTTCAACACATCATAGTTTCTATTTGTTAGCTTTGAGAATATGATTGGTATATAGGATAGAAGCTCCAACTTATTGTAATTCCATATTATTTTTTTCCTCCTCCTTTTCCCTGTTTTTTCACTAGACAAGCCAATTCTCCAATGGGTTCTTCCCTTACTAATCTCATTGTCATCGCAGACGTCATCCGTAACGCCTTCCTTAATGTCATCATTATAGCTACCTCTATATCCACCATTAATGTCATCCTTAATGTCATCCTTAATGTCATCCTTAACGCCATCCTTAATGCCATCCTTAATGTCATCCTTAATGTCATCCTTAATGTCATCCTTAACGCCATCCTTAATGCCATCCTTAATGCCATCCTTAATGTCATCCTTAATGTCATCCTTAACGCCATCCTTAATGCCATCCTTAATGCCATCCTTAACATCATCGAGAACGATGACTCTATCATCATGGCTACCCCCTGCGCAGTCCTTATCGTATCGATCTTTAAAATTTTCCACACAACTTATACAATTTAAGAAGGTGGTTTTTCCGCTGTTTTTATCGCCACAAATTAATATGTACATGTATTTCATGTCATTCACAATATTTGTAGTTACCCTGTCCATATGGTTTCTTCTTCCCCCCTTATCATTTTTTCTTTCCTTTTTAATGGGACTTTTTTTTCCACACCATCGATTTGAGAATATGTTTACTTTCCGCAGCACACTTCCATTTTTATTGGGGACCTTTAGCACCTTGTTATCTATATCTAAAACATCCTCATCATATTTTTCGTCATTTTTATACGTATATATTTCCTCATGATAATTAATTTTATCTTTCCTTCTTTTTGACTTCATTTAAAAAATTCGAAGTAACAAATCTAGTGACATCAAATTAGGTCTAGTAGATGCTACAAGTTAATTTCAACAATCGTCATTCCTTTGTCGAGTACATGTAAATGGAATATTCACCACTTATGTGTCCTTGTTCACCCACAAATGTGGAAAGGGATAATTTAGAAATTGTATTTTTTTTTTATTTTTTTAAGTTATCACTCTGTAGGCTGCTATTTTTTTTTTTTTTTATTTTATTATTATTATTTTTCTTTCTTATATTACACGTTCGTTAAAGCTGTTTTCTTTCTTTTTTAAAATTCTAATTTTGGCCTTTTGCAAAGAAAAAAAAAAAAAAAAAAAATTGAAACCATACAGCAAGCTAACAACCAACCAAGCACAGTTATCTACAGCTTTTTTATTAAAAGTTTGTTTATAAAAAAAAAAAAAAGAATAGTCCTCTGCATGATGAGAAAACGTGTACAAAATTGTGTCATTAAGAAAGTAGGCAAGGTAAACAAGAAAAAAAAAAAAAAAAAAAAAAAAACCTAAAAACTGTCTCCACGAAATATATGCACCATGGGGTATGTATAAACAAGATGAAAACGATGAATAAAAGGAAAAATCGTTGCATAATGCCACACACACACACACACATGCACACACGCACATGTTCACAAATACCCTTTTCACACACACCCTTTTCACATACACCCTGTTCACACACGCCCTTTTTACAATTGTTGGGAGGGGGAAAACAAAACGTTCACCAAGGACTCGTGCAAAAAAGATAGGTTATGCTTGAGAGAGACGTAAAAATGGGATTTGCATAAATACATGTGATCTATATCTAAGCAGGTGTGAAACAGTTGAATAAATAAAATAAAATTAGAAAAATATTTACTTAATAAAAAATTAGCAAAAGGAAATGTAAAGAGAACTTCATTAATTTTTGAGCTGATCCATCTATCAATTCTGCATCTAGTAGATTTTAGCCATAGGTAGCAAAAAGAAAAAGGGCAAATTTCCATTTCGTTATCACTGTTATTTTTTGTATATATTATAATTTTTTCTATATCATTAATTTTTAGGTATTCATTAGAGAAAAAATCTTCATAAAACTCATTCGATTCAGAGAATATATTTTTAGTCAATTTAAGAGGGTATGTAACTTTATGTATGCACTTATTAATAAAATGTGGTAGTAAAAATAGTAGCAGCCATTCTTTCGTTTCTTTATTTATACTATTAGAATATAACTGTACAAAATTTAAGTTGTTATCCTTGTAAAATGAATTATACAAAATATACAATGCCAACGTACGCATGGGATATATTTTCACGCTTAACACAAAACAACAGTCTTTTATTTTTGTGTCATCAACATTTCGAATTTTATCCACCTTCCAATCTTTGTTTTCCTTTTTATGTGTATTATCCATATCATTACTGGGATTATTACACAGATTTGTAAAAACGAATTTTTATTCTTCTTCTTCTTCTTCTTCTTCTTCTTCTTTTTTTTTCTTCTTTTTTTTTTCCTCCATTACATAATTGGTATAATGTTCTTCACACTTTATTGTTTTATTATTCATTTTGTTAAGAACAATTTCGAACGAATTCTTTTTCATTTCTTCTTTTTCTTGTGTTATACTATTTTTTCTTCTCATTTTGTTAAATTCCTTTTTTATATTTTTCCCTATCTTGTACCCAAAATAATCAGGGTTGTGTGGCCATACAGGAAAAAAAGCAGACATATGTTCATCATCCTTAGATATATTGTAATTAATATTGCTCAATAAATATTCTTTTATGTAAATACTTAAACTAACATCAAAACAATTGTAGTAGTTTATTTTATTTTCCTTCGAGCTAATTCTTATTCCAAGGTAAGTTATGTCTTTTATGTATTTTTCAACATTGCATTTTTCTTCTTCCTTAAAACACAAACTCAGAGAGGCATCCCCCCTAAATTTTTTCAAAGGAGAAAAAAAAAAAAAAAAAAAAAAAAAAAAATGGTAATGAATACAGTTTCTTAAAATTCGAAATGGGGTAAAATTCGATTACACATACGATTAATATGTATTTAATATGCTATGGGAATGCCAGTAGAGATAAACATTTTGTTAGAAGGGAAAAAAATTGTGTAAATGGAATGGATGTATGCGCAAAATTGGATGCAGAATGCCTAGACCAAACGTGGATATCGTTTTTCTCAATTGAAATGGTGATAAAATGGAAACTAAATCCAGCATCCGCACCCCTCAAATCATATAATTATGTATATGCACATCTGCCCCTTTTTGACGAATCAGGAAGACATTTCCCGATACAGTAAATATATTATAAACAAACTTCGCTCCGCTAGCGTATTCACAAAGGTAGTGTCTTACTTTTGAAAAGAGTCACCATCTTGGGAATACAGATCGAAAGATATGTTCGGGACAGAATCCAGGGAATGAAATGTTTTTATATTGTTTGTCGAACTTGCAGTATTTCCCATTGCATATTCTTCATTTCCTTCATTTCCATTGTCGTAGTAGAGTTCTGTGTTGCTTTCATGATTATCTTCCAACTGTTGGTTGTACCCACTTTGATGAAATGTTTCATTAATTTTTTCGTTAATATTAAAATTAATTTCTTCTGATTTATCTAAATTGTAACCAATCCCTTCTTCTGCATCACTCAAAAATGAATAAATACTAGAAGTACTCGATGTATCGTTCGAATCTACTAAAAAATTACTTAGCCTTTTCAAATGATGAATTTTACTTTTTTTCAATTTTTTTCGAACAGTAAAATTATTGCCATAATATACTTCTTCTTTTACGTATAAATCTGTCTTCTGCCATATTCTGTTTAAAACATTTTTCAGAACTGATTTTCTAAATCTCGTGTTTTTTATATACACGTGCTTTTTTCCCCTGTAGCCTTTCCGTTTCCTTTTCAAATTATTATTCATTTTATGATTACTTCTCATGTTTAACCAGCCCATTTTGCTAATATCCACTGTATTGCTCTTAGCGTATTGTCTATTATTTAAGTTTTTTATCGAATTACCACTGTGTGCTTCTTCCCCCCTTGTGCTTTTCCTATTGATATTTGAAAAAAATCCGATCAAAAAATTCATAACCGAATCAGTAGATGGTTTAATATTCTTCAAGTCTGTTGTCATATTATTCATTAATTTGAGTGCTTTTATTTTGTCGTATAAAAAAAAAAATTTCATAAACCTTCCTCCATTTTTGCTAAAGAAAAAATCTACAAAAATAGGGTTCAAGTATAAAAAGTGATACACCAAGTCAAAAAATATTCCCACTCTTAACACATTTCTTGTAAATATTTTACGGAAAAAAGTTGCGTTATATAACCATTCATTTATAGTAACTTTATTACATAACTTTTTTAAAAATGTATTGTCGTATAGATAACCATAAAAATCTAGAGATTTCATAACTTTTTTAAAATTGATTCGAGTCATTTTATATATGATATCATTAGAAAACAAAATCTCTGACAACTCAAAGTTAACATTATGCTCATTCATATTTATTAAATTGTTTCTACCATATGTATTTAAAATTATTTTAAAATAACCATATTTATTCATATACTTTGGATTTACTTCTAATACTTGCTTTTCCTTTTTGTATATTAATTTTACATTTTTAAGAAAGCTATATCTTAAATTGGACTTGTGCGATGTGCTCTCCATTTTTTCCCCTCTACAATCTATTTCTTTAACTACCTTATTAATGTCCTTACCAGTGAACATTACAGAATTTTTATCATTTTTTGCCGATTGGATCTTATCTAAAGAAATAGTTTCTAAACAAGGGTTTTCATCTAGTGCATTATATTCATTCACATTCGTGTTTTCATGCTTATTCACATTCGTGCTCTCATTCTTATTCACTTTCGTGTTCTCATTCGCATCCTCAATCTCCTTACTATGTTTATCAATTGTGTCATGATCTGCCCTTTTGCTGTATATGCGTCCGTCACCTCCCTCTCCCCTTTGACTACATTCTGCCGTACTTCTGATTATCTCATCGTAAAAAGATGATTTGTGTTCTTCCAAAACGGTGTTTTCATCAGAAGGACTGAAAAAATCAAATTCTGAGAAACTACCAATAAGGTCGTCTACTTTCATATTTATCTGTTTCTTCCCTTTTATTCCAAATCCGGTATGTGGATACTTGTCTTCTCTCCATTCATCATCACACATTACCTTCTTTCTGCGAAGAAAACCTATTTCATCGTTCAGATGCTCAACTCCTCTTGCAAAGTTATCAGCACTTGTGAGACATAATATCTCGTTGTGAATGCTTTTAATTTTTCTCTTTTTCTCGATTATACTATTTTTAATAATATCAGTACTTCCATTAATATAACACTTTCTTTCATCGAATACGCTGTTAACAGAGCATTTACTGTTAACAGCGCCGTTCTTCAAATCCTCATTTGGTATATTCTCCATTTTGTTACTTATCTCAAGCTTACTACTTCTAGTTTCAACATTTTGTTTATTATATCCAGAGTATTCAGTATGCTTATTCGTTATGTCTTCCTTTCGAATGGCATGCACATTGATTTTCATTGGCTTAATGATCATATACTCTCCAATTTGTTCAATTGATTTAGCACAATTGCTTTGTTTGTTGAATACTGAATTATGACGGTCATTTTTTCTTTCATTTTCTACCACTAAATTGTGGGAATTCAAGGGGTGTAACTCATTCTTATCATTCATATACTTAGCAATTATGTTTTCATTACAACTAATTTTAACATTTATTTTTTCCTCACTTTTTCTAATATCGAACTTGAGTTCATCTCTACCTTTACTGATACTTTCTTCAGGGTACATATTTAAAAAAGAGGAAATGGAACTTGGCTTAATAGTAGCAAAGGAAGGTTTTTCCTCATCTGGTTGTGCTATGTTTTGAGAAATATCCATTTTTTCATTTTCTAAATAACGTTTTATGCATTTCTTCTCTTCACTACTGCTGTGATTACATTCGTTGCTGTTGAAGTTACTACATTCCCTTCTTAACGAGTTTGCATTTTTGTTTTTGACTTTGACCCCGTTTTCGATTTTGATTCCCTTTTCGACTTCGACTCCATTTTCGACTTCGACTCCATTTTCGACTTCGACTCCATTTTCGACTTCGACTCCATTTTCGACTTTCGTTTCAATTTCATTCTTGCATGTATCTTGTCTTTTGAGTAAACAATTCGCTTCCGTAACAACAGGTATGCAACTGCTACCGTTAGATCCATCTTCTATTTGAGAAATGCTATTTTTGTGTGCCTCCTTTTGAGTTAAAGTGTTTATAGGAATGTCCTCGATACAATTTTCTCCTGTAGGCGAATATCTCTTAAAGCATTCATCATTACCACTCCCAGCATGTTCACCCCGAGCTTCACAGTTCATTTTCGAGTTGCTCTTCGATGTTGAATATAACATTTCATGTAATTCTGTTTTTCTTTTCCTGTTGAAAACTTTAGTTTTATTTCCCTCCACGTTCATATTTACTAAAACATTTTTGGTGTTACTCTCTTCCTCGTTATTTTCTCCTTCAATGAGATTTATGCCACTATTTTGACTTTTATTACACCCATTTCGTAGGTCAAGTTCTTCGTAATTAAGGTTACTCTTGTCATTATTTTTGTAAAAATCTTTCATTTTGTTAAAAATTTCAATATTATATTTTACATCCTGATACAAAGCATTGCACTGGATTCTCTTTTTCTTACTATCACTGTTCTCTCTCTTTGTCACAAAATTGTGAAAAGAATTATTCTTCTCATTTCCCAAAATTTTTTTAACACCTTTTGTGCTGTTTAAGTCGTACGAGCGCTTCTTTGAATTGTACACCATCATGACACTACAACGCACTGCAGGTGTGTATGCATGTGTTGTGTGAATTTTTTGCGTCCGTTTGAACTGCCTATTAAGAGTCTGATTTAATTTTTTTTTTTGTATGTGCACAAGAATTATTCTTTTTCCTCTAACTTACATTATACATAAGGGTCGTATAAAATTCAGTGTCCAGCGAAACAAAAAAGACAAAAAGGTATAAGCATAAACTGACAAAAAAGTAGACGCACAAACTAAAAAAAAAAAAAAAAGGAACATAAACAAAATATAATAGAGACAAAAACAGATGATTTAACAAATTGACAAATTAACACATGAACAGATTATCAATGAAGCATATTTACTAACAATGATGAAATAAAACAAAAAAAGAAAAAAAAAAAAAGAGCTGTTTTATACTCAAACGTAAAAAATATGTAATTCTCACTCTAAGCGTGACCATCTTTGTGACACATGCATTACATTAAGTTCTTTTTTTTTTCCAAAAAAAAAAAAAAAACAGAAAAAAGCAAAAAAGCAAGAAAGCAAAAAAAACATATCCCAAAATTTTTAATTAAAATAAAAGTTTTTTACCCTAAAATATAATGTGCATACACCGTGTGAAATTAACATGCGCATGTTTATATTCCCTTTAAGCATTGCTTACTAATTTTCCTGTTGTACAGCATATCACGTGTAGCATATGGAAAAACTGTTTTATCTCATTATTTCCTTTATTCATTTTCTTTTTTATGTGATAGTGATTTATATTTTGCACGGTTCAAACGTCGCAAGTAAAATATATACCTCAAGTCTACACATCAACACGGCATTTCTTTATTTACTTGTTTATTTATTTCATTATTTTAATTAATTTTTTTTTTTTTTTTTTGACACATTCAATTGGGTATAATTAGAGTTCCTCCTAACATGGCATTTTTTCGATAAAGAAGGGGGTGTCTACCTAAGCTTGTTTGCAACAGTGCATATATACAAATATACACAAATCAAAAAAAAAAAAAAACAAAAAAAAAAAAAAATTGAAACATATCACACATCAGATGTGATAAAACAAAAAAAAAAATATTTCATTTAATTTATTTATCTGCTTGTATGACAATTTTACTATTGGTTTATGTACCTATTTTTTTGTCTGTTTATTTTCTTATTTCTCTCATCTCGGTCAGGCCCATATGGCACCCATTAAAACACGTGCACAGACGCACGTATGCACGTGTAGACACACGCGTTGAAAACACTGGACTCTTCTTCCACGCACCTTTATCAAAATTTACACAATCCACTTATAATATTGGCAACGATAACAAAAAGCAAGCTGAACCAATTTGCATTATATATCCAGTCTAATTATATTTATAAAATTGTAATACTTATCCGAGCAACCAATTAAACTAATCAAATCATCATTCGAAAAAAACTCCTGATTTAGTAAGGAAAACGCTTTTCGCACATAAAAGGATACTTTAAAATATTCGCTATTACATTCAGATATCAACCTGTTTACAAAATCATCATTCATATTATTTTGAAAATAGTAATTGATGGATATTTTCTTATCGTAAAGTATTAAATCCTCTGATTTATTAATATGGACGACGTTATCATAGGAAAATTTTAAAGTGTTCTGATTTCTTTCATAAAATTTCTGTTCATATTTATTTAAATGCATAAATTCAATGTTTTGTAACAAATCATTAAAATGAATTTCCTTAAAGCTCCTACTTAAGTTGTCATTACAACTATTATCACTATTAACTTTTAGCAAATTACTATCTTCTATATTGTCCCCTTCGCCACATATAGGTGCTAATCTACGAAGTATATTCTTTTTAAAAACTTTTACATTTTCCTCGTAAGGTATTGGAAATATTAAAAAGACATTCACTACAGCATTAATAATTCGGTTTAATCTTTCCTTCAACTGTTCTATGGCATATTCATTGAAGTATTCTATATCTATGTCTTTTAGTATATTATCAAAATTGCTCATACCTCCATTGATATTACTATTACTTTTGAAAAACGAAAAACCATTATTTTCCACCTCTGGTCCATTCGCTATATTGCCATCAATTCCCATAATAATGTTACTGACTGACATTTTTTTCTTCTGTTCATACATACAAATATATATCAATATATTCGAAAAGGCAAAAATGAAATACTTCAAGTCATCCGAATTTTGGTATATATGAAGTGCATCATTTATCCATTCATCAATTATGGAGCCAAATATATTTTCATCTACTAGTATGTTAAAAAAATCCTTTATGTCTAAAAAAACATACAAAGAAAAAGACTGATATATGTATCTTTTCTTCTGAATCATTAATAACATTGTATACAAATTGTATTCATTTTCTGATCCATTTAAAACTAAATTTTTATTCACATATTTTAATGTTTTCAGTAATTCTCTTATGTGTTCTCTCTTTTTATCCTTCAAAAGAAATATGTTAAAATATATCGTATTCAATAGTTTTGCAATTTTGTTTTCCTTGTTAGGATCTATGTCCTTATCACAAACATTTCCCCCTGAAGAGTGATTGTTATGTATGTTGTTACTTTCATCATTATGATAGTTTCTTTTTCTTTTTTTTTTTTTAAATTTTTTCTTTTTGTTCAGAAGGTAGTTTTTCATTTCTCTGTAGAATAAAACTTCGTTTTTCCAATTTGCTTCATTCATTTCTCTCTCACACACACTATCGTTTGTATCACTATGTTGAAATGAAAAATCGCTCGAAAGACTTTTCGGATTCTTAGAATAATTAGTTGCAGTAACATCATTCGTGTGTACATTCTTTTCACTAGTATCTTCTTCCATTTCTATGTACACCCCTTCCCCTTCATCCGCATCTTGATCATCTTCCATTTCTCCATCTTCCTCTGCTTCTCCGTAGTTTTCTTCCAATAAATCATCATCCAAAAAAACAAATTCTTTACTTTTACAATTTTTATTTGTACTACTTGTTTCATCAAATTTGTTAAATGAATAATTAGAAATGGTGTCATCCATATCACTCAACTCAACTTTATTATCATCGTGAATCAAATCATATGCTTTTTTTAATCCATTCCAAAGTAAGTGTGTAAAAAAAATTTTGTTTCTTGTTAACAATGCAAAGAGGTAAGATAGTAAGTTATTGTAAAAATACAAACCACATATGTGTAATATGCTATTGTTACAAAAATTCTGTTCATTCAAATTCTCATCCGATAAATGTATTAGTAATAGACTAATTTTCCGTAAAATTTCTATTAATGATATATTGGAACTATTTGCATTGAATAGTTTTCCCTCCGCGACAGAAAAGAAAATGTAAAAAACGTCCTTCTTAATTACATTGTTGAAAAACTGAAATACGTACACTGGTATATTCCGTATTTTTTCTAGTTTATTCATCTCTTTCAACTGAAATATATTCAAATTGTTAGAAATTGATGCAACGGAGAATAGAAAATAAAACCAAAATACTTTATAATTAAATAATGAATTTTTCGTAAAAATGTATAATATATAATATATTTCATTTAACGTTTCTTCACATAGCTGATTCTTCTTCACCCTTCTTATTATATTTTTAAAATAATTGATAAAACTCTCATTTTGCAGTATTTTTATTATTAACAGATCTTGTGTACTGCTAGCGTTTTTATAATGCTCCAGAAAAAAGGAAAAAAATTTTAGTGCTTTCAAAAAGGAATATTCATTGTCTTTTCCAGGTATGTAGGAAGATGTGATGTCTACTAACGACTCATTTAGCAAGTTGATAAACAAAAAAATATTATTGTTAATCTCATTTTGATAGAATAGTGAAATAAAATTCAAAAATTGGTTCAAATTGTTTTCTTCTATTTTTTCCATATAATAATGGAAATTATGATATAACACATCATTAATAAAAAAATCGGTAAAACAGTTTGCTTCGTTGTATAAACAATTCTTATATATAATTTTCCTATCATAGCCATAATCACAGAGGGTGTCATTATTCCCTGTTAAATATGCTAAAAAACATTTTTTCTCATAGTTGTCGTTCAGAACTACATTTATATTATTTTCATAAAAGTCATTATCGTGCGAATTTGACTCATTTTTTATAAACAAAATTAATAATTGGAAAAATAAAAATGTGAAAATTTCTCTAAAATCGTTGTAAAATATTTGCCTGGGAATTCCATATCTATACATCAAAGTAATCAATGTGTCAAATGACTTAAATTTTAAATGTTTTTCAAAATAAAATAAATTTATGAAGCATATATAAAAAAAAAACTGTAAAATGTTTTCGCTGAATTTTGTCATATTAATATATTCCTTTATCATCCACATTAGTATTCTCTTTAGGTTATTCGAATACGGGTGAAAAATATTTACTAGAATGTAGTTAAGGAAAAAAGATTTGTCCCTTATCTTAAAATCGGTAATGATATGGTCAAATTTTACTATTTCATCTTCATCATTGTTGAAATGATATTTGTAAGCATTTTTATTTTTGCAATATTCTTCAATGTAATCGTCAATTGTTAAATCTTCTTTGTCGAAACCTGTTTTACACTCATCATTATGACTCCCCTGTTTTAACAATACCTCTTCGACTATGATGTTGTGCAAAACCTTTGAGATAAATATATATTTATAATATGTTAAAAACATAAAAAGAGAAAAATATTTGTACAAATTTAAGTCATTCATCGTAAGACAACTGAAATTTAAATTATGATTATTCTGCATACTGTACAAATCTTTGAAAATTAACTCATCTTGTGAATATTTATATAACGGCAAATTCTTAATAATAAATATCAAATTGTTAAATGTGTCATCATTTAATAAATAAAAATACGAACAATCCAAGTTATGTTCTATGTCATTTTCTTTCATATGCTTTTGAATAATTTCTGAAATGTAATAAATTACACTATTTACATAAATGTTGTGATTCTTTGTTCTCATAAACATTTCCGTATTAATTAAAAAGTTACTCTTTTTATAACAACTAATTTCAACTAGGTCGTTAGAAAAATCTATTTCCTTCTTCACAAACATTTTAGGATAAAGTACATGCATATACTCATTTTGTATAGCTAGGCATGTTTCCAATTGATCTTTTACATTTTTGTCTAAATAAAATATTATATCATAAAAATATTTCTCTAATAATTCACAGAATAAAAATATAATGTAATTTACGTATTTTTTCAGCACATTTTTTGATTTTGTGTCGTCGTAATAATCCATTAAATATTTTCTGTATAATGGAATTTTTTGGAAACAAATAATATATCTCTCGAATTTTAAATTATCAAACAATACGTTTTCTTCCTTTTGTGTGATGTTTTTCGTGAAGAAATTCTATAAAGGGTGAAGGGGAAAAAAGTACATAACAAATATGTATCCGATTCGATAATGCAAAGGGACAAGGGTGATGTGAAAAGCATGAACATACGTATATATAAGTACGCTTGGATAAGCAAGTGTTATAAGATGGCATGAAAAGTGTCATGCGCGCCAATCCCTTATTTTTTTTTCACGAATTTCCATCCTTACATCGATACACTCTATGTGCGAGCTGCTACTAATGTGAATGAAGAGACAATTTAAAAAAGTTTCACTTAGAATATTCTGTTTCACGAAAACTTGCAAATGATCGAAAGAAATGATCATACACAAATAGTTTAGAGATAGCGACAAGCACTTATCAGCATATTTCAAATAATCAGTAAAGTCTATAATATATTTAATGTAACAAATAAATTTGTTATAATTCGTTCTTTCTTCGTCTTCGTATCTAGTATTAATAATAACTTTTAATATTAAAAATGCAATTTTCTCCAAGAATATTATATACTTATTTTCAAAATGTTTCAGAAGCACCTTCCACGTCTCGTTCATTTCCTCGAAATGAATTGATCTATATAAAAACAAGTTTAAAATTTTTAAGCACCATTTTTTGGATTTCAATAAAATTGTTAAAAATAATCTATCTAAATCATAATTTTTGCTGTGAATAAATTCACTTAAATTTTCATAGGAAGATTCTTCTGTCATTTTAGCAACTGATATTGATGTTTTATTAGATGATTGGTTTGTATTTGCAAAATATAATTTATGTACATATTCATGTAAATTAACATCTATTATTTTCATTATATTTGTAAACAAAGTCTCCAGTTCATTGTGCAATAATTCTTCTGTCAAGGTACTAAAATGACATAACAATGTCTTGTATAAAAATTTTACAATTTTCTTTGTTGTGTATATAATGTATATATTATCCATATAACTCAATAAATAACATAATAATCTGTTAAATAAAGGAAAATATATGTTTATTATATCCTTAAGTCCTGATAACAAATTTTCACATGGTATTTTTAAAGAGCTATAATCTTCTGTTTCTAGAAAATCTTTATTACTATTCTTTATGTGCGAGATAAAGTAATTATGATACAATACAGAATACGAATTACTATTCTGCTTTCTCGGTATGTATTTTTTTAACATTTTGTTCAATAGGAACATTAAGGAATAAAAGTTCTGAAAGTGTATTATCATCCTGTAATTATCCTTCTCTCCATTATTGTCTCCATTTTCCATTTCGTTAATTGAAGTATTACACTTTATCAAATCAGTAATGCAACTTAATGTGGAGTAATAATCATTATTTATCAAATTTAATAAATCGTTGTTTTTGTAAATAGAAATAAAATTAAAGGTATTGGATATATTTTCTATTAAATTTTCCCATCTATAGGGATAATCTATCAAGAATATGTTAAAAAATATATCAATAAAATATAAGCATACGTTAAATTTCTTCATTTCAATTATACTTTTATGTCTTTTAAAAGATCTATACATATTCTTATTAATAAACTCCATTAACATGGTAAAATTATCGTTATTATCATAATTTATTACACATGAATTTTTAATTAAGAGCAAAATTTTCTCTTTTAAATATACCCATTCTTCTTCTTTAATATATTTTGAAGTATTCTGAGAATTTTCTAACATCTCATAATTTATTGAAATATTTTTACCTAAAAATTTAATGAACAGGAAATTTGTATCTTTCAGTTCCGAATAATCTTTTATTCCCTTTTCTTGTTCATTGTTGTTCCATATACCCTTGTCTATCTCACCACTGCCTTTGCTATATATCAAACTATTAAAGTTTTTTGCTTCTTTTTTATATTTACTCATTTCATAATTTTTTATGACACATTTCAAATATTTATTTACATATTGATAAATGTTATTTTTTAAACATATAATCATCATTAATCTTGTATAATGAAATTCATCCTGTTTCACATAAGAATTATTAATAGCTTGAATCATTCTAATAATATCTAACTTATTAGTCTTAAATTTTTTGGAAATGTCATAATTGACATGTTTGTCCTTAACTAAATCATTAAAAATGTTCACGTGCTGTTTTATTTCTATTTTACAACTAATTTTCTCATCATTTTTATAATTTTCAACATCCTCTAAATTGTTGGCTTCAAAAATGTTTACGTCTTCTGATTCATCTACTTTATCATAGTAATTATGAAGATCGATAAATATTACATCGTTTATTTTTATTAAGGTATCCATTATTTTTAAATAATTATTTTAAATGAAAATGATATGAAGTAATTTTAAACATTAAAAATTTGTTATGGTTCTTCTAAACTTTTGTTTGGAACAACCTTCTTACATAAATGGAAATTTAATGAATTTTTAATGGTATTTATAAATCAAATTCTTTTTTTTTTAAAGAACTCATATATTGTGTGTTGTATAATATTATCCACCTTATCATGTTTTTTTTTTTTTTTTTTTCCCTTTGTTTTTCCCCCCACCTCCTATCTCTGATTTATAATCTTTCTTTGTATTTGTCCCAGTATATACTCATTTATCTGTTCTCTTTGTGTGTATATGCTTCATTGACTTGTACATATGCTTGCTATGCATTTGCTCTTTGCGTACATATTTATATAATCCATTATTTTATCTTTTCTATGCAAGACTGTAAACGTGTAATTCTTTCTCCGAAGTAAAATGTATCTAAAAATTGCTTAATCTATGTAACATTAAAAAAAATAAAAAATAAAAAGGTAAATACATAAAAACTTAACACTGTAAGAAAATTTAAAAACTTAGCAAGTAATTTGCCCATTATTTAAAATGAAGTATGATTATTTAAACAAATTAAAAATGGGAAATTTTATTCACCTTATTTTTAGCACTTTTTGTTTCTCCATATTTCACATAAATAAGCCCAGTTTTTGTGGGTGTGCACAAATGAAACATTTTAAGACTTCTTTTGAGAAGTTTTGTTTGGTTAATGAACTTTACATATTTAAAACTTACAGTTCATTAAATGTGCACTTAAAGGGGAAATTTGAAATATATCCATTTTAATTAATTTCGCTTAAACCTTATTCATTTACACTTTCATTTTTTCATTCATATCACTTTTTTATTATTTTATTTTTTTTTTTCATGCAAAAATAGGCAACAAATTATTTCAACCTGGCTGCTAGGAATATTATATGGCGCAGATTATTTTTCTCATAAAAAACACATAATTTTTCTTCTTTTTTCTCTAGTTTGTAAAAAATAATTCTTAATTGACTAGTAATTACCTATTTTAAAAAATATATGTGTAAACAGAGCTAAATATCGAAGGTGTAAAAATGACTTTTGGTTATAGCTTATAGTTGTAATGACAGGAATGGAATGTGTAAAAAAAAAAAACGTGGGGACATGAAAATATAATTTAAAAAAAAAAAAAAAAAAAAAGGAATAAACAACAAAAACAAAGACAAAAACAAAACCTCCTCCCTAAAAAAAAAGAAAAGTACACAAAAAAGTTGATATAAAAATTATACATAAATTAATGAATGAGTAACAAAATAGATAATTGCATAAATACAATGAAAATTATTATGCACAATGACAAAAAAAAAAAAATTATGGACTATTAAAATATTAAAAGTAAAAAAGAGAATAAATATTCTTTGGCTAGCTTAAAATTAAATAGCTTTTCATGCTTTTTTTTTTTTTTTTTTATTTTATTTTTATTTTTTTTACTAAAATAAAAACATCTTGTTTGGATTTTCTTAATGATAGTTGTGTTTTATTTGAAAAGGAAAACTCTAAGTTGTACAAAACTGTAACTATCTTTTAAACGGTTGTAATTTTTTCTGTTTTCCATCTTTTTTGGCTTTAATTAACATATTTTAAAGATGTTAGCATTTCAGTCTTTTTCGTTCTTTTGTATTTCTACGATGTTATTTATGTGAATATGGATTGGTTCACTTCATAAAAATATACAGATTTGACATATATCAAGTTAATATTCATAGTAATTCCTCAGTTTCAATAGGAATACACGCATGTTCATATGTAACATTTAACTTTTGAACGCATGAATTGTGCCCTTATCTAATAATTTCCCAAAGTGTCCGTGTCTACCAACTATTCGTATTTGTAAATTAGTAGTATAATAATTTATTTGTTTATAGAATTTTTTGATATTAACAAGGAGTACTTTTTTCTATTCACCTTTTAATTAATTAGAGTGTCTATTTTTGACAGCTTCATTTTAACAGGTTAAATATTTGGGGCCTGGATTTTTATTATTCCCATTTGGATTTGAATTATTCACAGATGTGAAACCTGCGTTATTTCGTAACATAGAATTATTGTCTATCCTATGTTTAGATGAATAAAACGTGTTATTCGTATTGTCTTTGTCCTTTGAATTGATTCTCTTACTAAAATGTTCATTAAGTCGTTCACTAAATGGTTCATTAAAAGTTTCGTCATATCTATCATTAAATCGGTCACCATATCGGTCTCCATATCGATCTCCATGTCGGTCTCCATATCGGTTGCCATACCGGTCGCTATATTTGTCATCAAATCGATTTTTTATCAATTTCGTGGACCAGTTATTCCTCTTATTATTTTGCTGACACGTTTCCAGCATATACAATTTACAAGATGTTACATTATTTACTTCACCTTTCACATAGTCATTTTTTTGATCCCCACGGGGATACTTTTTTTTGTAAAATTCATTATTACTTCTGACTTTGTTATTGATTGCATTACTGCTACCAAATCGTTTTTCTACCAGCCTTTTTTCATTGTATACCTTTCTGTTAAAGTTATAATCATCAACCTTTTCTTCGTTTTGGTTATTTTTCTCATTAGCGCTATATTTTTTCAAGAATTTTGCGTTTTCGTTTTCGTTTTCGTTTTCGTTTGTGTTTTCATGTTCGTATTCAGCATTGCTTCCTTTTCCATTTTCTCTTTCGTTCATATCACCTCTTTCCGAACTGTCCCACATTCTACCTGAAGAAAAACTTAAAAAGAAATCCTTGCTGTTGTGTAAATCCTTTTTATGAAATAACTGTAGAGATTTCTTCTGATTATTTGGGCGATAATTGTTATTTCTTCTGTAGAATTTGTTTTCTTCATGATGTGTCGTAATACTATGTAATACGTGTGATGAATTTTTTGAACCTGAAATAAAATTACTTTTTGTTGTGTTATAATTATCACATTCAACATCATCTACAGGTTGGTCTTTATTTAACTGTTTAGAAAAACCCTTTCTATGATTATTCTTCACTACCATATTATTAGTCCCTTTTGTGTTCATTTGAATGTTGGTTTTTTTCTTATTTTTTGCAGTATCCTTTTCTGAGGTATCCATGTTTCCTAATGTTTCAGTCATTTCTATGATATTTTCATTACTGTCTTTTTCCACAGTGTTGTTGATATCAAATGGATTCAACTTATAGATTTTTATTTCCTCTTCAAATATTTCATTGTTGTTTTCTTTCCTGTTTTCCTGGTCAATATAAGATTCTAATAACATATTATATCTTCTACTCATCCAAAATTCTAGCTCTTTAAAATTAAATGGGTTGGATGTTTCGTCTGCGTTACTCATCTGGTCTGTTCTTACACTCAAATACTTCTTTTTATTTTCAGGACAATTCAAATAATTACTTTTGCTGGAACTATTTTTGTTTTTAGCTTTCTCCCACTGCAGTTTGATATCATCGCTCTGTTCATCATCTTTTGCATCGATACAATCATACCCTTCCGTGATTAAGTGTTCAGTATTATGTTTGCCATATTCAGGGTTCATCGAAAATTTCTTACAATTTCTCACACGATCTTCATTCTTCTTTATATATGCAACACTTCCTTTTTGTTGTAGCAATGAGTTATCCTCATTCTTGCATTTTTTAAACCCTCCCTCTTTTATTATGACTTTTTCGCTACTGTTATTAATGTTGCATTTGTCTCTATCGTTAGTATCTGCTTTAATATTATGTGTAGCCTTATTTTCAATTTTTACTTCTTCAGAATTACTATTAGAAGGATTAATATATTTTTGGATATCATTATTATTGTGAGCGTGTTTGTTTTTAGCATAAGTTTTATTAACATGCTCATTACTACTATGCTGTACACTATTGTTCCTGATATTGCTATTTTCTATGCTATTACGATGCATGTTATTATGCATATTTTCATTTGAGTTATGATTAGACCCAGATGGTAAAATAGTGCTGGAAATATTTATTACCTGATTACTTTCCAAATGGGTTCTATTTTCGCACGTACCTTCTTCTGCTAATGAGGCATTTGAACCATTTTCATCATCGTAAAGATTTTCATCCATGATAATTTTACTACTATTAACAATTCCTTTTTTGTCATAATTACTATTCGTAATAATATGATTAGTATATGAATTAATTTTTTTTTTATTACTATTGCTATTGCCATTACTGGGATTCATGTTTTCATTTCTTACAAAATAATTATCGTCATTGTACTTCTTTGTATATTTTTCTATCGTCCGAAATCGTGGCTCTTTTTGATTAGCACTTGTTAATTCATTTTTATTATTAAAATTATTTCTTCTAAAATTAAAATCTTCTTTTTTTCCATTTTGCTCATACCTTTCATAATTTTCATATTGTTCATTCTGGCTATTCCAGTGCATACTATGGTTGTTGTTATTCTTTTTCTCATCATGCCTGCTAGAATTTATCGCACACTCATCATTATTACGGTTACGATAATAGTTTTTGTAGCTGCTAATTTTATAACTGTTTCCATTTTGGAAATTATCATTTGTTTTCTCAAACTTACTAGTTTCAGCATGACTATCAACATCCTTATAGTTGCTATAAATTATATTTCTATTCGTATGCATGCATCCATTTTTGAATGTTTTTTCGTTATTCCTATATATATCTTTGTTTTTGATGCGATTGTTGTTGCTTCTGTTTGGTGAATTTCCCTCATATCCGTAATTCACTCCAATTCGATAATTCTGCTTAAGCCTGTAATTTTTACAATTTTTGCAGTTTTCACCATTTCTGTTATTCTCACAACACTTAACATTCTCTCCACTGGCAGCGTAATCTTCATTTTTTTCTCCAAGGCTCTTCCAGTATTCGTCTTTCTTATTATTGCCAAAACCTCTGTAATTGTCGTTCTTTCTAATGAAGGTGCCAACATTCGTGTTATTCCTCCTGAACTCCTTATTAAAGGATATATCTTTGCTGTTATTATTAAATGGCGAATTCTTTTTATAATTTCCATTTTTGTGATTCATTTGATTACTGTTGCTTGTCGCCTCATTATTTTTATCTTTATCTTTTTGATGCTCATTTCGTTTAAAAGAGTATGTTTTATTACTTCTCTCGCTAGCAGTTCTGTTGGCACTAAAATTTATAAGATCATTATTCTCATCCTTTTCGCTCAACTCAATCTCCTTCAGATCTATTTTTTCTATAATCTCAAAATTCTCCTTAACAATTTGAAGATTGTTTCCTCCTTCTCGATTTATTACATCTAAATTATCACTTGTTAAACATTTATTCTTATTATGATTATACTTAATACTGCAATTATTATTCTGTTCATTCGGTTTTCTTTCAAATTCGGCTAGCGTATTTTCCTTCTTAAAACTATCACTATTATTATTATTATAATTATTATTTTTGATGATATGATCATTTTCCTTTTTTGAGCCATGGGACTCTTGAATACCTTTATCGTCATTACTATTACACCATTTGAAATTATTGAAATTTGGTTGATCCTTCGAAGTGCAAACTGGTTTATGATAATTTGTGCTATTATAACTGTTTTCAACATTTTTGTTAGCGTCGACATTGTCACTACTACCAATATTGCCATTATTGTCTCCATCATCATTTCCATTTTTTGCTGATGAACACTTTTCGCCACTAGCAAAGAGGTCTTTATTGATATTATTGTTGTTGCCATTTACCTTGTCAACATTTGATAGGCTCGAATCAGTTTTTTCCCTTTCGATTTTGTTTTGGGACAATTTTTTGACATTCTGATCTGAGTTCCGTTTGTCATAATCATTACAATTTCTATTTAATAATAAATTACTGTGGTGTTTTTTTTTTACACCATTTTTCGTTAACACTTTTTGAAAAATCTCTGAATATTTCGTTTCTCCAAATTCTTTGCTGAAGCATTCGCTATGGTCCTTTTTGTCGTTACTTATACCTTTCATAGTGCTTTGCATTTTTGATCCTATGGCAATATTCGTGGAATCCCAGCCAGCAGCACTACTTTTGTAACTATCTCCACATTTCATACCATTCTTTAAGTTATGATTATTTTTGTTATTGTTCCTATTGTTATAACATGTATTTTCAGTATTATTTGCACCTACCCTGCATTCGGCAGTACCTCTACTTCTATAGTACACTCCTTCATTGCTTTTCCTCTTTGTTTCGTCAACCATATCACAATTAACTTTAAGAAACGGAGTGCTTTTTTTTAACACACTTGGATTTGTTCTGATTTTATGATTTTCATTTGTTCTATCAAAAGAACAACCACTTGTATTAACACTTTTCTTCTTAAATATATTTGCCCTATCATCCTTATTTGTTTGATTTTTGGAATAACCTAGCTGATTGTTATTTTTGCTTCCTTTTTTGGTATGGTCATATTTTCCTGAATTCCGATTTTTCACTTCTTTCTGAGTATTCATTTTTTTTTTCTTTTTCTTTTTTTTTTTTTTTTTTTTTTTTGTTGGTGAAAGGGTTCTAACTTTTTCTTTACTTTTTTTTCCTAATATATTTTTTTTTTATGTGCCTGTTAATGTAATTTTTCCCAAAATGGGGGGCAAATAAATATGCTCCTGTGTATGTATATGCAGAAGTTTACTTTTTTCATGCTTACGTACATTGTCATACCAAAAAGTTCGTACCTGCTTGTGCAAAAAGAAACACAAAGGAATGCCTATAAGGATATGTACACCTCCATTTACAATTTCATGTATTCTTTCAGGTTCAACTTTTATATTGAAGATGATGAGAGCTCGGTGGAGGACGAAAGGGCAACTATGCTCCTAATCCTGTTTCTGCCTCTTTTTCTACTTCTGCTTCTCCTTCACTAGTGTGGGTAAATTTTCTCGAGAAACTGTTTTTATCTGGTAATTCATATATTTATAAAAAATTAATTCACGTGGACTACTTAAGACATTTTATATGACCACAATTTCATAAAAAAAGATGTTCAAAAAAAAAAAAAAAAAACTCGACCAGTGAAAAATGTAAGCACGTAAAAGTGTGCACGCATAACCATATGTTCATATATATGCTTATACCTTTTAATATAAAGTACGTAAATTTAAGTGTAGGGTAAAAGTGCAATACAGAATTATAAATATGTATCTTTTAAGAATTCTATTTTTCTTTATATAAGAAAAAAAAAAAAAAAATCTTCCCTGGTAGCACGCTCAAAAGTAGTCAGCAAATGTGGTCGTCAAGAAAGAAAAAAAAAAAATAAAAAAAAATAAAAATGAATAGAAAAAACACCATATAAAAGATCACATCTACGTATCCGTAAATGCAAAATTGAGTGTGCATTATAAAGTACAGATATGTATGCATGCAAGGCTCGCTTTTCTATATAGTCAAAAATAAGCATACGCGTGAGTACATGTTTATATATATGCCTCTGACCAACCTAACATTTTCCTATTATCACCTCCTAGCCTTTTTTACATCTATTTTTTTACTCCTTTTTTTTGGCAAACAATACCTTATTCTCATTTTTAATGTTACTTTTTTTTAAAATTATTTTATTTTATTTTTTTTTCTGTATGTGTGGTTACGCTGAATCATTTACTTTGGGGGTGAAAGCAATTATTGCAAATGTCACATTTTTTCATTACTCACATTTAGCATACACTTCTTTTCTTTTTTTTTTTTTTTTTTTTTCTTACCTACAGCGCTGAAGACTAGTTTTATTTTATTTGTTTTTACGAATATTAATTATTTTTTAACCATGTGTTATTTATATTTTTGTTTTATTTTTCTTTAGCCCTCCAACCTCCTCCATGAAAAAATAATTTAGCTGACGAAATGGAAAAAAGCCACTATTTATATGAACAATTTCAAAGGGGATGAAGAGAATTTGCAAGAAAAAAAAAAAAAAAAAAAACATTTTACCTGATTACATCCAAGATTCGAATTATTTTTTTAAGGAGAACACATATTTTTTTTTGTAATATAAACAGATGTATCAAATTGATAAATTATATTTAAGAGCAAGGGGAATATATTTTATTCTTTCTGTTAAACGCTTCAAACATTCCACGACATTACACTATTTTATTCCACTACTCCTGTTTATATGTTACTACTACAGTACGACACCCCTTTGTAGCATTGGACCGAATGTAATCCTTTGCTCTTAACATATTTCTATAAGGTCATTTTTTGCAAATGTTCTAAGAAAAGTCTATGGGTAATATATTCTTTTCTTTTTTTTTTTTTTCATTTTTCCATAACATATATATCTTTGTTATTATTTTTCATTTCTACATCACCGTTATTATTGTTTCTCTCTCATTTTTTAGAATGAAATCATCTCTTCACCCGAAGATATGAGATCCAAAAGGTTTCTCTTCGTGTTTATCTAAAAAGAACGTTTCTACAAAAAATTATTTTATTTTATTATTTTATTTTTTTTTTTTTAACATTTCATTGACTTATTCCACTTGAAAACATGCACGTGAATTATGCACCAAAAGAGTTCCTTTAATGTAAATAAAAAAAAAAAAAAAAAAAAAGAATTTATAAACGCATATGTTCAATCTGTAAACATTTATATACTCATTCCCCTAAGGTACTTATTTTCATGTCTAAACAATTGTAATGATTTCCTTCTATTATCATGCTGTACTCGTTTCTACCTATTGTGTGTAGAAAATTTTTACAAGGAATTGTAAAAATGTGTAATTCGTTAAACTATAATTCAGAAGAATGAAAAAAAAAAAAAAAAAAAAAAAAAAAAAGGTTCCCAAAATGTTCTTATAAAAGATATTATTATTCAATCTAGTGCAGTAATTTTATTATTTTTTTTTTATTTTGAATATGTAGTATTAGCCATTGTTGTTATTCTTTCTTGTACATGCACAAATTAACAACGTAAAAATAGGTACACAATATGTCCCATAAATTTTAATATTTCAATTTCATACCGCACGGAATCGAAATGACATTTTGACTATGTCTAAGCCTGTATGGTTTTTTATTCCATTTTAGTTAAGCGAAAATTTTAACAAAAATTATTTCAACAACATCCTGCGATGAAATGTGATAAATGTCCATAATTACATCTCAGTCCAATGAGGACTCTAAGAATCTTAATAATATTTAACACGACCAAAGGAAAACAGAGAAGAGCACCATTTTTAGATTGGATAAATTTATTGGCTTATAAATGAATATAAAAGAAAACTTCCCCTTTTTCTTTTACTTTATAGAAAGAGTGCACAATATGATAGTGATAAATAAGGAAAAAATAAATTTATATATTGATATGAATATTCACATAAATGTTGATATATATGCTGATACACATGTTGAAGCGCTTATTTTTACCTTGTCTTATTTTATGCCTAGTCAGTTCCACACACAACCAACTCACCCTGAAAAACGGACGCATTTTTGAAGCGCTTCTGATTTGCTTGAACTTGTCGAGAAGGGACAATTTGCTGTGCACACTATAGTTGCTTAACATGTCTTTTAGTTCATACATGGGTAGAAGAAAAATACTATATATAACACATTTATTCTGAAAATTAGATTTATAACACAAAGTAACTATGTGAAAACTATATTTATGTGCTACCTTTTACTTATTTTAGAATCTGTAATTTTATTAACTCTTTTTTTTTTTTTTTTATTTAGAGAATTTGGACAATATATTGTGCTATATACTTCGTAAAACATTAATTCTATTAAATGACTAATTTCTGAAAGTGTCAATGTGGAAATAGAAAAAAAAAAAAAAAAAAAAAAAAAAAAAATAGTGCTAATGACAAGCATAAAAAATTATTAAAGAAAAATCAGAACCCAAATGTTATGCATGTGTATATACACGAGGGATAAAAGGAAAAAAACGATTGCAACAAACATAATATCTAGCATATTGATGAATAAAAAAAAAAAAAAAAAAAATGTTTTAATTTTTGACAAAAAACATTTCCCATTATGATGATACATATTCATGCGCTTGTATGTATGTATTTTTTAGAGCACCTTTGGAGAGAAACAGAAAAGTGCTTGGGATCACTCATCTTATTCTTTTACTCTCGTAGTTCTTCCCAAACAATAAGCGCGAACAATGTGATATATGTATATATATGTGTACATGGCAGGGCATACACGTTTTAGGAAGTTTTTCCAAATGTGTGTGCGCTTGGCCTTTGTGGTTATACATATATGCATGTATACATATTCACCACTCTTCGCAACACATTATTTACGAAATTTAGGCACATATATATAAACATAGGCATATACACGGATATATATAATCACCTTGTTATGTTTTTTTATTTCTTTTTTTTCTCTTTTTTTTTTTTTTTTTTTCTTTTTTTTTCCTTTTTTTTTATATTCATATGCAGTTTCCCGCACCACTCACTAAGACTCCATCCTTTTGAATATTTCCTCCTCTCGACATTTCAAATCTGCATTTTGAAAAATTATTCTCGTTTTTTCAATAGCCTCTTCAAGATATTTATGAACCAAATCTGAGCTCCATTCGGCTAAATGCCTTGACGTTTTTATATCATCATCGTCCTGATTTTCCTTTTTAACTTTTGACAATGTTTCATCCTCCAGTTCAGATATATTTTCGAATCCAACTTCTACGTCTGAGTAGATGGGATATACATGTAGGCTTCCTAAACGAAGCAAAAATAAATTCCCCACATAACATTTGTGAGTTCCCATGGAACAGCGTCAGTTTTGGTGACACATTAGCGTTTTGGTGTGCGTAAAAGATAAACATACGAATATATAAACAAACGAACAAAATAACTCAAGTATTCTTTTCTCATATGAATTTTTATTTATAAAACGATTTTTCAGAGTTACCATCTTCTCCCTCTAAGTACAGCATTCTATTCTTTGCACTCTTTTTGTTTTCGAAAATTTTATCCATTTCTGTATTATTTTCTTTCTCGATTTTCACATGCTTTGTTGCTGAAAAAGTTATTTTATAAGGACAAACTTGTATTTATGACTATTTTTTTTTTTTTTTTTCTTTTTTTCTGAATTTAAATTTGTTTGATTGTGTAAATGGGGAAGATTTTGTTTGCTTCACCCCCTGGGGACAGCATAATGCAACTTTATTCTGGCACAAAAGGTCCCATTAGTTCGTATGAATGTGTATACACACGAAAAGTTCGTATATATTCCCATTTTCTCAAACATGGGATAAAGTTTTTCTAACCATTTAACCACTTTTTCTCATTCATTTTAATCATCTTTTCATTTTTCCTTTTATTTCTTAAACTGAATTTCAGAATATTTTTATTATCCAACACCTTGATGTCATTCGTTTTAATAACCTTATTACATGTATTCTTCGACAAAGGTAACGGCACATTATCTATCCTACTGTTTTTATCTTCCCTTAATATATAAGTACAGTTATTACTTACCCTCCTTAAATTGTGTTTCATTTCATAATTATTCATACTTATAATTTCTCTTTTGTTTGTATTGTTATTCACTTTTGATAAGAAGGCTTTTTTATTCCTTTGAATGCATGCATTAATGGAATTCCTCTTAAAATCGTCTATATCGTTACGTAATTTATTTATTTTCAAGTGAAAATTTTTCATCTTATTATTCCATTTATTATCTAACGTCTCCATGATATTATTTTCTCAAAATGGAGATTTTTCCAAAGTTGGTTTTTAAAATAAAAAAGGAACACATGGGTTGTTGTAAAAACAAAACAAAAAAATAATAAATAAATAAATAAAATAAAAAAATAATAAATAAATAAATAAAATAAAAAAATAATAAATAAATAAAATAAATAAATACAATGAAGAGTTAAACAGCAAATTACTTCTTCATTTATTATTACTTTTTCTTTTTTTACAGATACTGTTACAGCATGGAATATCTTAACGGGGACAACGTTGTACGAAAAAAACAAAAGTATTTAATAAGAAAATTACTACTTTTTCGTGGTTAACAGTGCAAGGAGGGAATAACCCCATGATAGAAATGCGTGCGTGTAAATTTTTTTTTTTTTTCTTCCCTGATGTGTATATACACATTTTTCATATTTTTTTTTTAAACACCCCTTAGACATGGACATAGACATATACACACACACACACATACTTACGAGAAATATATATATACCTACTTCCTTCAGTGCAATAACATAATTTTACGTATAAAAATTTATCTTCATTTTATCATATCCCATTGGAGTACTAGTCCCATAGGCAATTTCTGCATTTATACTTCTGGGTAAAAGTAACGATTAAATTATTGCTATTTGAGACACATGTTGAAAAAAAATTACTCTCTATTAATCGTTGTTCTATCATTATAAGGGCATAAGAATCGATACCTGCATATACTACTTGCCCTTTTGTTAGTGGTCTTTTACTCCAGTTGGATAATTGCAGTTGTTTATTTAATTTTTTGTTCAAAAATTTATAGCATAAATCGTTTAAACTTTTAAAATATAACTTATCAGTCGTATGGTTTAGACATACACTTATTACTCCTTCCGAATAATTGGAGTTATAATTTTTCATTCCGCTATTAAAATCGTAAAAAGTACTTTTTGTCATTTTTTTAAATGATTCTACATCATTCGTCTCAATTATGTTTCTATTAAATAATTCAATTGCAACAATGTTATTTGAACTTTTTGAACTTTTTGAACTGTTTGAAATACATTCCCTTTGCTTATGAACATATATGGGATCTTTCAAATCCATCACATTTGCATAAGCACTTATAATTGATATGTCTTGAAAAAATAAATTTAATATATGCATATCACAAGCAAAATTGTAGAATATTTTATGTATGAATGGATTTTCTAATATCCATTTAAAAAATGAATGTATTAAAAATTTGTAATTGTAATCCATATTTATCAAATCGATTAAATAAATTTTCTCCATTGTTGCTATTGAAATGATACTAGCTTTTTTATTTCTATTCCATTCAACATCTATACCGATATAATATATTTTCTTTTTCTTTCTTAAATTAATATTAATATCCTCTCCAGTTAACATATCATCACATAATTCGAATGCATAAATACTGTTATCATTGTATATATTCTCCACCCAATGTTTTTCTTGACTAGTTTTTACTTCTCTTATCATCTGTTTCAAGTTGTCTACATTAGTTATAATTGAAATATTTTTCATTTCTTCTGGTAGTTCATAGTAGTCTTCATAGAAGATCATTTCTCCCTTCACATAATTAACACCATTATTGTCCTCTTTCCCTTGGTTAATTGTACACTCCCTTAATTTTGTTCCTTTGGTTTTGCTTTTATCCCTTTTCTTATTCTGCAGCAAATACTCCATCATCGCTAGATGACCACAATAATCGGAAAAAAAACCTGTAACAGTGTGTCAAAATTCGGATGTGAATCAAAATGTGATGACTGATTATACACATAAAGCAAGTTAGCGAATATGCTATCTCCACGATGCGCAAAAAAAAAAAAAAAAAAAAAAAAAAAAAAAAAAAACACGCATATAAAGCCATAAAGCAGCACAAGAATGAACTGAGCAGAACTTGGATGAATATTTCACCTGACATTTCATCTAGAGACACCAAAAAACGGAATACGTCCCTTTTTAAATCATTACATTTCAAACAGTCCAAAAATAAAAAGAGAAAATTTTTTGATTGGGTTTGTAATATATACTTCAACAAAATACGGCAATTGTAACTGCTATTTTCAGTAAAAGGAGAAGTAAAGCTGATACGCTCATCACACAGAAACAACGAAGCTAATTCTATGGCATGAGAAAAAAGTACTTTATCATTTAAAAAGTGATCAAATAAATAGTCTACAAATTCGACATTCAAATTTTCCTTTATCTTCTTTTTATCAAAAGATATACTGTCCAATATGTACATAAATTTTTTATATTTAATAATTTCACACAGCAAATTTAGATCTAAATTATCCCTCTGTCTTATATTATTTTTGAAAAAAAAAAATAAACTGTTTAGCATTATTTCTTGTATGATCATTTTTTTATTTCTCCTCAAAGTTGGACTAATATTCTTTATAAGTTCATCATTAAAAATGCAAAAAATGTATTCTCCATTTTCGTTCTTATTTTTAAATATGCTGTGGTAACATCTTATCAAGCCAATGTAAATATTTTTTATGTTATCTTTATGCGCAACTGTAGATTCAACGTTTTTAACATTCATAAATTTTAAAATATGGAAAATTAAATTTGAAGCAATGGGCTTTACATCTTTGTTCTTACATAAACGAGGAATAATGTCGTAAATTTCTCCTTTAACGTGGACTTTGTTGTTGGTAGAATAATAATACCTACTTTGCTGCCTAGTCATATAATATCCTTGTCTATTCGAAAAGACGCCCAAATTTTTTACCATAGCAGAATTTTCTACTACTTTATTTTTTAAATTATTTTTTTTTTCATTTTCTATTCCTTCATTAGTATTATGCCCCCAATATGCAATACATTTATATTCGCAATACTTAAATCGTAAATTTTCCAAACGGTTAAATTCGTGGATACTTTTTCTCCTAACAAAAGGGTGGTCAAGTGATATTCCCTTACAACATCTTACCATGCAAAACACGCTTTGCATATTCCCCTTCGATTTAATTCTGCATTTTTGCATACTTCCTCATTTAAAACAATACAGTTTTATCTTTTCATCGCAAGACAGTTTTATCACTTAATTGGTTTTTATGAAAAGCATATCCCATACGAATAGCTACTTCAGGTACACCTTGTTTAAACAAGGAAATGTATACATGTACATTTTTTACCTAATACTTCTAATGACAACTAATATAGGCATGATTTTCATACAGAAATGATATCCTGTGGTCAAGTTGTTTAATTTTTACAAATATTATTATTCTTTTTTTTTTTAAATGGAAAAAAAAAAAAAAAAAAAAAAAGTATACATTTATGTTTACTTGTATGACTATTCCGAAATTAACTAACAACAGGAATCAATAGAAAAGAGGGCGATAAAAAGTTATAGGGTTAATGGGGAAACTTTTCACGAAAAAAAAAAAAAAAGGAAAAAAAAAAAATATTTGGAAAGGGCATAATCTTTAATGGATGTTTCTCGTGTGTGTAATGAGTAGTACGAGTACAATTATTATTGCTTATGTTTTACCTTGTTTTCTTTCTCTCCTTCCTACATTGTTCACTTTTTTTTTCTTTTTTTTTTTCTCTCCACCTTGTAAGTTTTTTTAACTTGTGCTAAAGCATATTTTTTAATTTTCAAAATTATACTTTCTTTGTTGCCGCCATTCATAAAACTAAGTCATATGTCCTTTTTTCCCTTTTAGTGTACAACCGAAATGACTACTAGCATAAATTCCACATTTAAAAGTTTATATTTTAAGATTGTAGCAAATAATTTTAAAAATTATGAAAAAAAAAAAAAAAGAAAAAAAAAGAGGAACTCAAAATTTTATGTAATAAAACAAAACTGAAACTATTTCTTAGAATAAGAACAACGGAAAAGGGTATTTTTTATGTGTACTATAAGATGATATTTCTTCGTATATCATTTTATGCATGTGGAAAACTAATTCAGAAATGAAAACGTATATGCGCGTGGGTGGTCCGCACATATGCTACATATATGTGTACACATAAAACCAAACGAATAGCTACAAACACACATAAACATTAATATACACAAATTATACATATAACGGCAAATTTATCAGGCAAATATATTGGGATATAGCAAAAAAAAAAATTAAAATAAATTGTAAACACTTAAAAAATTTTTTTAAATTTCAAAAGGATAGCTGCAATGTCGTAGCATAATATGTAGAACAAAATTTTTTCTCGAAATTTCGTATATACCAAATGAAGATAATAACGTGTACTTATATAAAAACTCTGCGTGAATACAAGTACACACATACATACATAAATATATATATATAGGAAATACATACACATATAATCACCACGTGCACAAATACACATACTTGTGACGCGGGCGGGCCCTAATTCTGTAGTGGTCATTATGAAAAAAGAAAAATTATGGCAAATAAATTAATCACCCCTGTGCTCATACTTCAAATATAATCTTGATATTGTTAACTACTCCACGACTACGCTCTCACGACTAATCTATATTGTTTTATTGCACATTTAGATGATTTTATTTATGCATCCATAATTTATATTATTTTATTATTATTATTTTTTTTTCCCCACTCCCTCATTTAACCACGTTCTGGATAGGTAATTTCGATGGAAATCTCACTAAAATTCTTCTTCTGTCTGCACAATGAACAAAGCTCATACACGTGATATCTCGGATTTCAATAGATATATCAAATATCTAAAAACTTCTAACAATTTCGTGTCGCTTCTCAGTGTTGCCGATGTCCCTAGGTCTGCACAGGGTAACACGTGTCAACAAAAATCTGTTTGTCTGACACAAAATGAACCTCGTGGTTAAAAAGAACATCCTCCTTTATATTCGTCGTGATGAGCAACAAGTAAGAATTTTGTTCATTTCCCAATTCTACCAGTGGAATAAGTACGGAATTAAATTTTATGTAATAATCATAGGCACAAGTAGAAAGGGGTAGGATATCATTACCTGGTCCACCATGTATATTGCATTTATTAACCATTTTATACACATGTTTATTATGTGCTATATGGGAATTGAATGAATTATTTTTTATAATATTTCCAGCTTCTAAATCATTTTCATACGAATTTGTATTACTCACAAGCTTGTATATATTAACAAATGGGATTCCTTTAATATTCATATTTTCAAAAAAGGTAATTCTAAGTGACAGCAGTGTAATTGATAACGTATGAAATAAAATCACTGAATAATTTTTTAAAGAATATAAATGCACTAACTGATATTTAAAAAAAGAAAAAGGCGGAACAACATACGAATACGGAATAAAATAAAGTACTGGTTTTTGCTTAATCTTGGGGTAATGTATACATAATTGATAATCTCCTGTAACATTTGCACGATATACTGATGGTATGAGACAATAAATTCCACTTTCTAATGTACATTCAATGTAACAACATCCTGCTTTGTAAGCACCACTGGATATTATTTCTCCTTTTTTTAAACTTCTCGGAGATGATGTCATACCTTTAAAAATTCGTAAATTAACTGAATGTTCTTGCGAGCATTCTAAGAATATACAAAATGATGAATCTTGTGGAACATAAAAACGTATATGTGGATTTCTGAAATAGGACCATAAATTGTTTGAACATCCTCCTGCGCATTTATTTGTCCACTGTCCTTTAAAATAAAGAGATTCATAAATATCTGGTAACAACGGTGGCAATTCATAAAGGGATAAATGCGTGTGACTAAATACTTTAAGAGTAAAATTAAATTCTTCCTTCTGAGAATACTGGGAAACGATCAGTACAAAATCAATATTCCTTAAAGTTCCCTGTTCAATATCTTCAGATGCATTCATCTCATTACCTTGAATACCAAATCCACCAACATCCACATTACCTACCTTATGTGCAGGAGAAGTAGAAGTTGCAGCAGCACAAGCCGTAGCAGTATCAGTAACTGTGTCATTTTTCGAGGGACAATTTTTCATAATGTAATTGTTAGTATATTCATCTTCACCTCCTATAACCAATTTGGTAAATGTACACTCCCCATTGGAATAAATTCCTTGCTTTATGGGGAATAATGGACATATTATTCTGTCTTTTCCTGAATGTATGTGCAAAGCTAGATATTTTTGCGAAACATCTGTTTTTCTCTCTCGCACGTGTCTTGATAAAAGAATCCATATTTCTATCGGCTTCTTACCTATATAACGCATACCATCTTCTGATAAATCCTGTTTTTTTACATTCACATGTAAGGCAAACTGTGGATTGTAAGCCACCAAATGCGTATCATCTTGTAAAATTGAACTATTTAAATATGTGCTATTTTCCCATTTTGTATGAATTTCAAATTGATACGGAAAAATAACACTATTCCAGCATATATAAATATGTGAAAAATATTTTACTACATCTTTCCAAGGAATCCAAAAGCATCCATCGTCTTTACCTCTTGCCTTTTCAATAGAATAATTTAATTTTTTTTGAACTTCTTTTGTCCATGTAGCTTCATCATGATGAGAATATTTCCCCTTCCATCTAATACAACCCCATGGATTTTTAATATATAATAACTTATCTCCATTATAAGATTCAATATTTAAAATGGAATAAGCGTGTCTAGTAACAATACCAGTTGACATGGATACACCCTCTGGATAGTCTAATCCAGAAGGTGCAGCATCTTTTAGTTCTAAGGTACCTAAACAAACTACACATTTCCCTTTTTTTATCCCATCATACATATTATTCCATATAATATCCCATCTCTCATCATATTCCTCATATTCATCATCAATATAATTAGAACTTTCTCCTCTTTTATTTATATAGCTATACTGATCAACAGACCCACACACATACGATGATAAATCCATGCTACTTATTTCTTCACACAGAAACTGGTTCTTATGATTTCGTCTCATTTCGTAATCTACACTACATCCTTTAGATATCTTTTTAATATTTTCATTATTTCTCTTAGTAACATTTCTTACATGACACGAACTATTCTTGTTTCCATGCCATTGTCTCATCATTATGGAAGAAGGGCCCTGAAAATATTCTCTTTCCAGTGTGTTTTTCAAGCAAAATTTCTCCTTGGACTCTTTAATTGAGGATTCATTTTCTAAAACGTTTTTTGTTATAATATCATCCACATTTCTTAACTTTTTAACAATACCTTTCAATTGTTTATTTGTTCTGAGCGATTTTCTTTTTTTATTCACCTTTTCTTTTTCCAATTTCACTGCATACAAATAATGCATATTCCAGAAAATCTTTAACTTTTGATACATTAACAAATTAACATTAGCATAGGAATAATTCTTATTTCTATACAATATGTGCATACTTAAGTTGGCATCAACTGGGAAATCATACCTCAAGCCTGAACTATCACCTCTCGCGTATAACATGTTACCTCTATTGTATGCCTTCACATTTTGGTTATTTAAAATCCATTTGTTAAATCTCTTTGTACGATATATCTCATTTTCCCTCTTCTTATATTTCAAATATTGTGTGGATGTTAAATGCATTTTGTTTCTTGCATTTAAGCTTAGACTTTGTACACGTTTGCCGTTTTCCACTTTAGATTTCTTATCCAAAATGAATGAATCTGAATTTAATGTTGCGTGCATTGTGATATGGTCAAGCGAAGGAGGAGAACTACTTATCTTAGTTTTTAACGAAATAGTTACTGGGATCCAACCGGTTAAATAATACAAGTCAGAACCTGGGTTGGATCCATACATAGAATATGAACCACCCATTAATTTAACAAAAGCTTTTTCTAACAGTGTAACCCATAACTCCTTTTGATTATTTGAATAAGCAACTAATAAGGAATTATTATTCTTTACAGGTACATAATCATCTATGATAATTTTTCTTTGAATACCATTACAATGTAGTCTACAAATATACATACCACTGGGGTTGAACACTGGCCATGTTTTATTTACATGCACATAATTAGATGAACATGGCGATATAATACTTGACAATACAGGAACTTTATGTTTTTTTTCATATTCAATCAAAACTGTTAGCGATGATAAAAAAGAACAATCAGCTACAAATCCTTGTCTTATACAATTATTGTACAAATTTGTTGACATAACAATAGGATTATCATACAATTCTGATAATCTTTTCCACGAATCAAATTTTTTTTTCTGTCGAACACTCAATTCTAAGAATCCATCAGGATCTGTCCATTTATAATCTATCCATCCGTATAATTTAAAACCATTCGAATAATGAAATATACACCTTTTTCTATGACATTTTCTGCACACTATGTAATTCTTTTTAATACTATTTCCACTTAATCTGTATTTATGATCACAATATTCTTGTGCTGTTTTATCTGCTCTCAAAGCTTCACTTGTTTCACATTTGTTGTGAATCATTTGGGTTCTTTCCCCTTCTCCTAATTTGTCATTATGTCGGATATTATTATCTCTACAAGTATGTTGCTGTAATTTAGGATCTTCCAACTTTGTATTCCACATATCTATGCGCATTTTATTTCTATTTTCTGTGACAATTTGGTGATAGGGAATTTTATGGATTTCCATTTTTCTCTTAACCCGTTTCACCACTTTTATGTTACTATTTGGAATACTACTATCCTTTGAAAGAGAAATTGTATTCATTTCTTCATCTCTTCTTAATCCATTTCCCTTTTTTAATAATTCTTTATTCTTCTTGTTACTATTATTTCTAAACTGTTCTTCTTCCTTCACTTCTTTTTTTCCTACATGACAATTTATTCCGTTAATTTTATTTTCCTCCATAGTAATTCTAACTACCATTTTAGATTTTTTCTCATCTGTTGGGCTTTTTCTATTCCCTTCCTTTTCCTTAATTACCCTCGATTCCATATCTCTACAAATCATTGTTAGAGTCACGTTATTTTCGGAAGAATTCATAAGTTTTTCTCTCTTTTTCCTTGCCTTCAAATGTTTAGAATTTCTTGCCTTTTTCTTCTTAACCTCCTCATCCTGGTGGCTGTTTTTTGTTTGATTATTTTTTTTTGAATCCTTTATTAGCACTTCCATTTTTTTATGTTCCATGGATTCCGCAAGACAAGTACTCATTCCTATTATTCTACTACAAGGTATGTTATAATGGGTGTATTCCTTCTTTTCTGCCTTATCATTTTCCATATTGGATATATTATTCTTGTTATTCTTAATGGATTCTTCATCATACACATTTTGATAGTGTTCCTTCTTTTTTTTATTTCTATTTATTGCTTGAATTTTTTGATTTTTATGAATCAATTTTTTATTTCTTAACATGGGATCTTCTTTCGATTGAATAATAATACCATTTTTCTTCTTCTTTTCTACTTTATCCATTTTCTTTTCTCTTTTCTCTAACAATATTCTTTTCCCTTCGTCGGAAGTTGTGTTTTTGCATTTCTTCTCTTTATTATTACTATCTCTTTTATCTTCAACATCTTTCGTTTTAGTAGCAGTTCCTTTTGATCCCTCATTTTGTATACAAACAAGTTCATTCTTATTTATCCAGTGTTTGGTATGAACGATTGATGGTTTTCTATGGTGTAGTTTGAATAAGTTATGCATGCTGAAATTTCTGTTATTGACGTACTTCTTCTCTTTCTCTTTTTCTGTATTCCCATTGTATAATCGTACTTTTTTTATTAAAATATTTGTAGAAATACCATTCGACGTGTATTTATCATTGGGTGCGTTACATTTCTGTCTTTTTTTATCACTCTCGTCCTTCTTCTCACTCTTCTTCCTCTCACTCTTCTTATTCTCACTCTTCTTCCTCTCACTCTTCTTATTCTCACTCTTCATCTTCTCTCTCTGCATCTTCTCTCTCTTCTTCTTCTCACTCTTCATCTTCTCACTCTCCTTCTCCTTGTTATTCTTCTCCTCGTTATTCTCCTCCTTTTTATTCTTCCTTTTTTTCTGATCATCACAATAGTCATTATTCTCGTTGTCGTAGTCCTTATCATAATAATTATTGTTAAAGAGTCCACAGAAATTAACTTCCTTACTGCGTGATTCATCTGTGTTAATGTTATTCATCTTTAATTTATTTTCAGAAGCATATTTCACATATTTCATATACATATTATTTTTTATATCGGGATCATTTTCGATCCACGGTAGTATTATATATTTTCCTATCAATGAGCTTTCAAATAATATTTTGGACGCATGCACATTTTCAGAAATGTGGCTGGGCATTATAGAAAACAAATTAAATACGTTACTATTAAATTTATAAAATTCGTATATATATAAAAAGGTATTTTTTTTTAACTTCATACTTCTAAAATCGTGATAATACAATAATTGTTCTTTATTTTTTCTGGTAACCCTCATTAACAATTCTTCTTTTTTCTTACTTCCTAGACAGTTGTAACTCTCCTTTGTTTGTTCGTTCTTCCGATAAGCATATGGAAACTTATTTAGACGCACATGTAGATGTTCATTTTGATCCCCCTTGGTGCGGTTTTCATCCTTGCTCTTTTTGTATAAGATTTTATATTTTTTTTTTAAAACGGTTTCTTTCTCTATAATTGAAGGAGATTTTATCCTTTCTTTATTCTCCCTATTTTGGGATTTCCTTTTCATGAATGTATTATTGATTGTTTTTATTATTCCTGTAAATGAATTATTATCAATTTTATTTTTAATACATTTTTTATCACTCTCCCTTTCGATAATCTTCACTCCAGAATGGCTCATTTTAAGTTTTTCCAATGTTTTTTTCTTTTCACCTCGGCTGTTATTATTATTATTATTATCTCCTTTGTATGAAACGGAATTAATATCATATTCATTTTTTTTGCCATGTCTTTTTCCTTTTTCTCCCTTTTTATATTTCCTTTTATCATTGGTCATATAGTTCATTTGAGAAAAAGAATTATTGCTATCAGGATGACAAGCAACATCGCCGTTACCTTTTTCATTTTCATTATAACTATTGATAGCTCTTCTTTTATCAGACTGTATATTAGATTTATCACTGTCTCTATTTGTACAACTTTCCTTTTTTATCTTCCTATATGAGTTCGAACCATTTGTGTCTGTTCTATATATCTTCAGTACATCATTGTTGAAGTCACTGTTAATTGCATTTGTCTTATGCTCATCTTTCTTTCTTTCATTTTTCACCTTACTAAGTTTACACCCCATATCATTATATGAAAACTTTTCATTTGAAACCTTTAACAGGTCTGAGTAATTGGCCTATGAAACACACTGCTGTGAAAAGGTGCCCCCAAACAAAACTTTTTGTAAAGATTTATCCGAAAAAAACGGATACGATGAGAAAATGGAAAGTGCAAAATGGAAAATACAATTTGGAATGTGTAAATTGAAATGTACAAATTGAAATGTACAAATTGAAATGTGCAAAATGGAATGTGCAAAATGGAATGTGCAAAATGGAATGTGCAAAATGGAAAATACAAAATACAAAAACGAAACCAAGAAGAACATACCAATTGCAATGTTTTCTAATGACACCCTAGAAATGATTTTAATTTTTCATGGAATTGTATATATACACATTATTTAAGCATTATATATATATAAATATACATTTACACGCTTAGGTAAATATATATCCTCAACTTTGTACACATGTTAGAGATAGATTTGAAGGCATTTTTTTTTTTTTTTTAACCTTCCAAATAAGCATATAACATACGTGAATAAGGAACTTGCGTGTTTTTGCTGGTTTTCCTGATGAAATTTCTATGTGTAATAAAATATGTGTACATATACTCAAGCGCATATTACAAATATTGTACGTATGTACATTATTAGTCTAGCAAAATGCTAGCATAACAGTAATTAAAAACACAAAAATCAAATGAAAAAAAAAAAAAAAAAAAAAAAAAAAAAAAAAAAAAAAAAAAAAAAAAAAAAAAAAAAAAAAAAAAAAAAAAAAAAAAAAAAAAAAAAAAAAAAAAAAAAAAAAAAAAAAAAAAAAAAAAAAAAAAAAAAAAAAAAAAAAAAAAAAAAAAAAAAAAAAATTAAAAATTAATTAAAAAATTAAAAGGTATTTAAAAAGTAATTAAAAGGTATTTAAAAAGTAATTAAAAAGTAATTAAAAGGTATTTAAAAAGTAATTAAAAAGTAATTAAAAAGTAATTAAAAGGTATTTAAAAAGTAATTAAAAAGTAATTAAAAGGTATTTAAAAAGTAATTAAAATACAAAAAGATAACAAATTAACAAAAAAAATTCCTTTAAAATTTCAAATAAACAAAAATTTCACATTTTAGTTGTACAAAATAATACTCTTTCTTCGCAGAAGGCTTTAAAAGAAAAATGTAAAACTTCAAAAAAAGTGAAAGGGAGGGGGCAGTAGTACAAAAATTTAGAATTTGTAAAAAAAAAAAAAAAAAAAAAAAATTGTATTATGAAATATATAGCATGCAACAAACAATGAATTAAGCAGATGGTCAAGTTTTAATTATTTTGAAATTGAAGCCACAACAAAGTTATCAAATTCCAAAAAATGACATAAATGACAAAAAAGTACAGGAAAATGTATAAAGCAGCACAAAAGTGGAAGAATTGCACGAAGGAAAACAAACACCGGCAAAGTTCATAAATCTAATCATTAGTTTTGTGAAAGCGTGATGAAAATAATTTCGGGGGATAAGGTGTATGCTGATACATATATATGTATATATATACATAAATATATAAATAGGGGAGCTTGAGTTTTAATAATGTTAAGGGAAATTGCTTTACAACAACAGCTCCATATTATGAATGTTTGCTTTTTTTGGTCTAACTTTCAGGAGTATCTACATGTTTTTGTACATATATTTCCATATTTGGATTATCGTAGTCCTATGTATTTTATCTTTTACGCTTATTACTCATTTTAACTAGATCAAGGGGAAAAAAACATAACCAAAAATACATACACACAAAAAGGTGTGGTAAAAAAAATGCAGCAAAAAAAGATATAGCAGAAAAAGGCACAGCAAAAAAAAGTAAAGTAAAAAAATGTACAACAAAAAAAGGTGTAGCAAACAAAGGTACAGCAAAAAGGAACAGTCAAAACAGTGCAACAAAAAAGCATAGTAAGATGTCGAAAAGTATGTTGGGAATTAAAAATAGGATAAAAAGACCTCTCAACAAAATTCGCATGAATCCTATCATTTTTCACATGTAGGACAGGTACAACAAAAAGTTGTAGATTCTACATAATATCATTTATAACCTGTAAATGTTAATGCACCTTAGGAATATCCTATTAGCCGAAATGGTAGCATAAACATAAACTTATAAAATATCCCTCGAAAAAATATAACACTTTGCAGAATTGCGAATTCGCAAATAATCGTTACAACATTAGAATAACCAAAAAAATAAAAAGGAAAAAAAGGAAACTACTTTATAATACGTTTTGAATTCGTTTATTTGTTGCACCTTTTAAGTGTATATATATTAACTTTTCTCCCTAGGTCAATGGGTGCTCACCAGCACCACCACCTCAACATACACGTAACAACATATTAAGAAATCTATAAAAAAATAAAATAAATTCGAAAAATGAGTAGGGATAAAAACAGCGATCTTATTTGCATCATCATCATTTCAACATACCATTTTCGTAAAAATATTTTGATAAAAAAAAAAAAAAATTTTAAATAAATTTTAACAAGTTAACTAAAAAAAAGGAGTATGTAAAAGTGAGGGGTACTACTCTCCTAGTTGTGTATGTCCACACATATAATATACAAATGGTTTACTATATCCAGCGTACATATAAATATATGCGTACCAATAGATTTAACAATAAATAGAATAGAAAGGGAGGGGGAAATGTGAATGTGTTTGAACAAATACATGCAACGAAAAAAGGCTCACAAAAAAATATAGTATAATAGAAAATATTAAATAATCTCCTGTTAAAATCTATAGTATTAACAAAAAATGCAACATGCATATGTGGTGAATAGAACAATATGTGGAAAGAGAACATAAACATCAATATGCATAAGCATAAACAAACACACCTAACAAACCCACGTAGCCACATAAAAACAATGCCAAAATGGAAAACGAAATGCACAAACAAAACTAGAGTATTAGGGGAAAAAAATAATCACTTTGTAAGCTCATGCATTTCTCTTTTCCAGTTGTTCCTATTTCCACATATCCGATTGCTCCTCAGGCATTTTAAAATCCCCAAACATGCCCGACGGGGGTGCATAGCCGAAATATTTTTGGATGTTTTGTCTAGTGAGCATCAAAGTTAAGGTATATATAAAAGTTGATGAACAGTGATACATATTTTTTTCTTGTAATCCCGCATGTGTTAGTAAGGTAAATGGGAAAATTGGTTTAAATGGTAAAATTGCAATTGTGAGTCCTTCAAATAAACTAAATAATAATGGCATCACGGACATAAAAATTAAACCAGTTATTACATTTGATTTTGTTTTTAATGTTGCCATTGTTTTTGTTTTTTCTATATATATGTCTTCGGTTGACACTTTTTTTTTGCCTTTTTTTTTATTATTATTAATGCTGCTTCCATCTATTTTACTTAGTAATCCATCCTCTTTTTCCTTTTGAACTTTTTCATATAATATTTTCAATTCTTCATTTAATTTTATAAATTTTTCATTTCTATAAACGAATATCCAACATAAAAATTCGGAAAAAATTCCGCAGCCAATTGCTATTGCGATTATGATAAAAATATCGATCTTTCTTATAGTGTCATCCATTATTTATTGGTTACTCGAAAAAATTGCACATTTATCTATCAAATAGATAAAAAAGTATTTTTTTGTTTGTACCTTTTTTTTTGTGTAAATTATTAACCTAGTGAAAAACTGTTGATGTTGTTTCAGCTGATATAGGCAAATTAATATTTTTCCTTTATTCGAGTTTTTGTATTTTGTTACTCCTTTTCCTCTTGGTTTTATCAAAAAAAAACTACAGTAAAAAACAGTAAAAAGGGGATAGTGCGTTATCAATATATATATATATATATATATATATATATATATATATATATATGTGTATATTTTTCTCACATAAATATGGGCAACGAATTAAAATGGGAAAAAATAGAAAAGTGTCACTTGTTGAGATACTTTTGAGATAGACATTTAAGCAAATTTCTACATGTACATTAATAACGTTAAAAACTATTTTGTGTCTCACTTTTATTTTTGCATAATATGTTTCTCCACTTTTGCACAATCTATTTCCCCACTTCTTTATTTTTGATATTTAGAAAATTTAGAAAAAATTTTGTTCACATATATTACTTTAATTATGCTGCCCCGTAAGGAACGCACTGTGTTTATCTTCCTTGCGTTTGCCTGTTGAGGCTTCTAAATTTGGTCAGTTAACACGCTCTAAAAATTGGCTTATATATATACACACATACATATACATATGCGCATACACATATGTCCGTGTTTGGGAAAATAAAGGATGTGTAATAACTTCATGCATTGTCGCTTTCTCTATTATTTTTTTTTAGCATCACATATGTCAGCTCGCGATAAGTTCGCTGTATCATTCGCTAGTAATTTGTGCAAATATCAATTATGCTTGTAGTGAGTTTATTTCCCATGGGCTCGGGTATGTATGAGTACAAACACTTATACATTTAACGTTTCATACATGTTACGCGAGTCTCTAATAACGGGGGAGATATATTATATCGTCCCTTGGTGACTTTAAATGAATAAGAAAAAAAAAAAAAAATAAAATAAAATAATAAATGCCCAAATGGAGATAATTAAAGGATTTTCCCTAATTTTATGTAACCCTTTTAAATTTGGAAAAAAGGTGTAAATTTTATCTTTTTCAACCGTCGTTGGGGGTACTTAAATTCATACCCTTATATGTATAAAGAACATTTTTTATTTCACCGAAAAATCGTTGGAAAAAAAAATTCTCCCCCAAAAAAAATGTAATGGAAAAAAAAAAAAAAATGGGTATAAATGGTTAGTACTATGCGACATAATACTGCAAGCCAGGCAATAACATCGCAATAAATATAATACTATAGCTTGTCATTATTTCCAATTTAAAAAAAAAATACATGTATTCATATGAGTCAATATGACGACACTTCAAAAACGCTGAAAACAATTATTGTAAAAAAAGGTGGCGAAAGAAAAAAATTGCACAAATCAATCACATGAGATGTGATTATCCTATAAAAAAGGACTGCAGAATTAAATGCAACATTTGAAAAAAAGAGTATTCACAAAAATATTGCAGAGCTAAAATATGAAAATGTTTACTGTTATATTATGCGAATTTCTTTTTCATAACACACAAATATAGGTACGCTTATATATGATACAAATGCACAAGCACAAATATCTATAAAATATTTATTGTTGATCCAAGTAGAACTGAACAAATATGCAAGTTTAAAAAAAAAAAAAAAAAAAAAAAAGGGAAAAGGAATAGAAAAGGAAAATAAATAAACGTATTACATATAATTCTGGAAAAAAGAAAACCCAGAGTATGTCCCGAACTTAGAAATCTGACACGGGGCGCATTTTTTTTTTTCTTTTTTTCCCTTTTTGACAATACATATTTGAGCTTAAAAAAGAAATTTCAAAAAGAGAAGCCCTACATAAATTTTGAATCAATTTTAAAAATAAAGAAATATAGAACGGAGAACATATTAAAAAGGAACATATAATACCTAGGAAAAAACTACTTTTTGTAAGCATATCAAAAATTCGCGCATCTTTACAATTATTTATGAAAACTTTATGTATATATACAAAACGCACGACAATATATACCTTCGAATTGTCTTATTTGAATTTTTTTTTTTGTTTTGTTCATGTCCTACACAAAAGGATACACGTTATGTATATACATATATATATATATATGTGAACACATCTACGCTTACATATTTTAATAGCACCACCCAATAGACATAAGCCACCACTACGGCACATCAAATGCACATGCCAAGATGAAGCTCGAAGAAGTGAAGGACATTCAGAAAATTGAAAGGATTGGTGCACACTCGCACATCAGGGGTCTAGGGTTAAATGATTGTCTTGATGCTCGCTACTGCTCAGAAGGTATGATAGGACAAATGAGTGCACGTAAAGCTGCGGGTATTGTTTTACGAATGATTAAGGAAGGAAGAATTAGTGGCAGGGCAATTCTTTTAGCTGGTCAACCAGGTACAGGTAAAACGGCTATTGCTATGGGTATTGCAAAGGCACTAGGAGAAGATACGCCATTCACGCACATTTCAGGATCAGAAGTTTATTCTCTAGAAATGAGCAAAACAGAAGCACTAACGCAAGCCTTTAGAAGGTCTATTGGTGTAAGCGTTAAAGAAGAATCTGAAGTTATCGAAGGAGAAGTTGTTGAAATTGAAATAGAAAAATTTAATGAAAAAGATATTAGTAATACCAACAAAAAAGTAGGGAAAATGATTCTTAAAACAACAGAAATGGAAACATTATACGATTTGGGTAATAAAATGATTGAAGCTTTACAGAAAGAAAATATCACGGCAGGGGACGTAATTTGTATTGATAAAAGTACAGGGAAAATTACAAAAATTGGAAAATCATTTGCGCGATCTAAAGATTACGATGCTATGGACCCTAATACAAATTTTGTCCAATGCCCAGAAGGAGAATTACAAAAAAGAAAGGAAGTAGTTCACACAGTGACTCTGCATGACATTGATGCTATAAATAGTAGAACACAAGGTTTTTTAGCATTATTTTCAGGAGATACTGGAGAAATTAAAAATGAAGTTAGAGAACATATAGATATGAAAATAAATGAATGGCAAGAAGATGAAAAGGCAGAAATTGTGCCGGGTGTTCTATTTATTGATGAGGTACATATGTTAGACATTGAATGCTTTTCTTATTTAAATAGGGCCTTAGAAAGTGAACAATCACCCATTGTTATTATGGCAACCAATAGAGGTATTACACACATACGAGGAACTGACTATAAGGCACCTCATGGAATTCCTTTGGATCTGTTAGATAGGACTCTTATTATACCTACCTACCCTTATAAACATCAAGATATAATGAAAATTTTAGAACAAAGAGCAGAAGAGGAAGATGTTGAAATTGACGAGTATGCTAAGGAGTTATTATGCAAAATTGCATCCGAATCATCCCTCAGATATGCTTTGCATCTGATTACTTTAGCAAATTTAGTTTCCAAAAAAAGAAAAGCCACTGAAGTTACTGTTCAAGATGTTAGAAGAGTATACAACTTATTTATTGATGTTAAAAGGAGCACGCAGTACTTAATTGAATACCAAAATGAATTTATGTTTTCAGAATTACCAAAAGATGATGAAGGTACAAATGCGGAAGAGTCCTATGATGAAAAGAGAGAAATTCAAGAAAAAAAGTTAGCAAACGAAGTTGCAGATTGTTAAACATAACCTCAAGTTATTTTTCAACGGGAAACACATATATATGTATATATATGCATGTAAAAGTTCCCACCAGAGGTGTGAATTATTTTGACATAAAAATGTACAGGAAGGCAATGCAAACTAGGCATACTATTAGCATGCCTATATATCCACTTATGTACATAAAACACATTCACGCTTTAATATTGTCAAGATGGGAAAAAAGAAATAAGTGTGTATATTCCGCATTTATAGCTTTACCCTTTTATACATGACACAAATGAATCAACATTTAATTTACACAATTACATGAAACATTTGCAGATCAACTAAAAATTTGTTAATAATACAACTTAAAACTTTTTTCATAGTTTGTATTTTCTTTTCCTTTTTTTTTTTTTTTTTTTTTTTTTTTTGAGTATAAATTAGTTTTTATTTATTTTATTATTTTATTTTTGTCTTTTTTTTTTACAATATTTGGGAAAATTATTTATATTTTCCCTAGCGTTATGTTTGTATTACCCCGTACATTGGACTATATACATAAAATGTTGTCTTTACGATGTTTACAGAAAATAAAATATAAAAAAAGGGAACCCTTCCTCTTTAATGAATTTTTTATGTGTATCATTACAAATTTGTTCATTTAAAAATTTTTTTATTGAGCTAAATTAAAAACAATATTGATCTATACAATATAGGTGAAATTAAATAAAAACAAATTGCTTCGTGATATTTCTTCAAAATAAAATATAATTTATTCTTACATGCAACACAATTAGTTTGCACAAAATTTCTAAAAAATTTCAAATGAAAATTTTTACTTTTCCCCTTCCCCCCATTAACAGCACAATATCAAAGATAATAATTTTATAGAGTAATATTATCCTTTGTCTAAAAAACTTGTCAATTTTGTAAACATCAAATTCTTTAAAAGAAAAAAAAAAAAAAAAAAAAGGACCTTATCAATTTTAAATTATAGTTCAATAATTCTTCTATTCATGTGTTATTGAAAAAAAAAAAAAAAATAAAATAAATCATCATAATATTTTGTAAAACACACATTTCAAAATCTTTAATTCTTCACAGTTTTCGCATATTTAAACATGCAGAAAAGTGAGATTTAAAAAAAATAATACAAAAGTTGAAATTGTGTGTATTCATGCCATGTTCCGATAGAACAAAAATAATATCTTTAATTTCAATTCTCCGTATATACATTCAGAAGTTTATTACAGTTCTATTTTTCTTTCATTAATAGGCTTATACAGCTTTTTCGTTATAAGTTGTTAGAGGGCAGAAAAAAAAAAAAAAATATCTATATATATGTATATATATATATATAACTAGCTGCACATGAAATATAAAAAAAATGAGTGCTATGTAAAAAGCCATTCTCATGTCATAAAAACACATTTTAACCTTGCACGGTCATACACAAATGTTAAAAAAAAAAAAAAAAAAAAAAAAAAACTTCCGAACAAAATTTTCATAGAACTCCTTTTTTATGCCGTTGCAGCCTTCCTATTTTAAATTGTGTTTGTTTCACAGACTGTCAATCTACTCATCTGTTTTAATTTTGTAAAATTAGAATAAGGTTATTTATGGACAACTAAACGCAAAAGACCTCGATTATTTGCAATTTAAGTGTCCACTTTTCTTTTTGCACTAGGAAAACTGTTAGTGTAAGTGTTTTACACATAATCCATGTGTACACGCATACGTATATGTACATATTTATGTCATATACACACGCGTGCTCCAAAAATTAAGCTAAATTCATACCAACATAAGATTTCAGGTACATATTTTACGTTCACAAAAATTCCCCTCCTTACAGATGAATTATAAACATCCCCATTAATAATTTTTTACAAAAAAAACTTCTACTCAACCCCCTATTTTTGTCTACTTTGCAATTTAATTTTTTTTTCCTTTTTAAGAATTTAATTTACTCCTTTAACCTGATCACTCGAAATTTTAATGGGAATGTATTTTTCTTACTTGTTTCATGTAGGTAGGAGCAAGGAATTTTAATACAAATCAAAAATACAACATGAGAAACAAATAATGAAAAGCAAAAGAAAGAAAACAATAAATGAAATAAAAATATAATATAGCAAGGAAGTTATTCAACTAAGAATTATTCAATTAAGAATTAAGTATTTTTGAAACAGATAAAATGAAGGCGTCTACTGATAATGATATTTTATTTAACAACAAAAAAGAATTCATATATTACCTAGAAATATTAAATCACATTGGATACTATGATGGTTAAACTGTATAATTTGGATTATTTGAAATTATCACAGCAACTAATGTGTGCGTTTTTTCATTTGTAGTAAATATAACAAATAAAAACAATCTCTTTTTTTTTTTTTTTTTTTTTTTTCTCCCATGAACGCAGAAATGATTTCCATAATAATCTCTGTTAATGTTCATAATTACAATTTAAATTACTCTGAGGCAATATTAATGGTTAGGACATGTGAGACATCACATATGTATGTTACATTTGTGTTTTCCTTAATTATTTACACATTTAAAAGAATATTTTGAGGGAAATGTAATAGAGGACATTTTATTTTACATTCTGCTTTTTTTTTTCCTCACTACATGATGTAGTAATGATTGTCATTAAAAAAAAAAAAAGTAGTGCCTCACGCATAAGTCCTATTATATGTGGAACGTCATCGTGTGTATATATCTATTCACGTAACGGCACAAAAGTGAGCAATGAAAAATGCTTGTTCTATGTTGTTGTTATTAGAATAACTGTTGATTTTCTTTTAACAAGTATTAATATGAGCACAAAGCAAGGATAAAAATAAATATGCCAAAATATAATATAATTAGAACAATGGCTAAAGATGAAAAGAAAACGTTACATATTCTTAAATGCGATGTGCTATGTGTTTTTATTTCGTTTCATTTTATTTTCTTTATTTCATTTGTTTTATTTTATTTGCTGCATTCTATTTGCTTCATTCTATTTGCTTCATTCTGTTTGCTTCATTCTATTTGCTTCATTCTATTTGCTTCATTCTATTTGCTTCATTCTATTTGCTTCATTCTATTTGCTTTATCACAGGGATCTACCTTCAAAAATGCTTTAAACATGAGAAGGAAAGAGAAGACAATACTTGAAAATATAATAACAAATGAAAAATCTAATGAACAAGAAAGGAATTGCGCACAACTACTAAATCACAAGTTAAATAAAGACATAAGGACCATAGAAAAAAATACATATGACGTTATAAAATTAAAATGTATTCCCAAAGCAACTGATCAAGTAACGACATTTTAGCAAATTTTTAATATAATAAAGACCTACCATTTTTTTGTCATAAATGCGAAAAAATAAAAATGATTTAAAATTATAAAACATAATAAAAAAAAATAAAAAAAAAGTAAAGGCATGTATATATGCTTTATTCTGCATAAAAATAATAAAAATACTATTCACCCTGTGATAGAATCACAAATTGCAAGAAAAAAAATTTTTTTTTATCACATCTTACATATGACATGAGGAGTTACATTTATATCAAAATATTTACTTATAGAAAATATTAATGTTCTATTGGCATTTACTTGGAGATATTACAAGATACTGTTCTGATACATTTGATGCGGAACAAAAGAAGAAAATGCAAGAAAGAAGCATGCGATCGTATTCTTATGCCTTAGGTTATGCTAACCGAATGAACATCCCACCATCAAGTCCTCGGATGTTAGAACTCCTAGTTAGTTTAACAGGTTAGTAAAATCACAAATATACATGTACACACACGCACACGTACTCATGTGTGTGAGGAAAATATATTAACATTTTTTTACCATCTTAATAAATTTTCATTTTCTATTTTTTCTTTTTTCTCAACTTAATTCTAGTTCTATACAAAGATATAGAAACCGATATAAATATTTCCATAGAAATGGCAGCACAAGCATTTAGAGACGCAATTCAAAATATGCATCTTTTGGAGTAATACATAAAATTAGATATCCATATATATAAGAAAAAATCAAAATTTGAAACCTTTTTTTATATGTGATTTATTCATTACATGTTTAAATATTATCCCTTTTCCATTTCCATGTGTACATGTGTCTACAAGGAAGGTGCATATATCCGCACATATATTTTATTACATGAGTATGTAAAATCATACGTGCTATAAGAATCGTTAAGTAGCAGTTATGTGTTTATATTATTCCACATCGTAATCTTCTTTTCTCTATTTAGAAATGATGACGAATGCTCCAAAACGATTCGTATTTTAGGCGTACTGAGAGATAATATAAATAAATGGTGTAAACGTAAGTTTTATAATTTGAATTTTTTTTTTTTTTTTTTACATATTTTTAAAAAAAATTATATATATAATGATGACGTAGTTATTTTTTCAATTTTATTATATTCTATTTTTTTTCCCCCTCCTCCTGTTTTTCAACAGTTAGTGGTAGAAAAAATGTAAATGCTCTATTTGAAATAAAGGGAGAAAATTTTGATAAATATAAGGATATTATGAACAGTATCCAGTCATAAATTTAAAGTTCAAGCACTGAAATAAAAAGATATAGAATAGTATTTATGAATTCCTATATCAGCTAATATTCTTAAACTTTCTACATCTTCTATTTTTTGTTTATTTATTGTTATTTTTTTCAGATGTCTTTAAAGTGTTCTTTAACATTTTTATCTGAATCCAACTATAATTTGTATAAATAATTAATTAGATAATACTTTTTTTTTTTTTTTTTCTTTTTCTTTTTTTTTTAATTTGGAAGAATTTTATTTTAATTTTTAAAGTCCTTTCATGGATGCTTGAAATGTTATAAAATGTGTGCACACACTTTGATTTGTAGGAATATTCACTTATTCCTTATAGATAAGTACATTTCCAAGTAGTGTAAACATGTTCACAATTAAAAAAAGTCAAGTGTCCATAACGAAATACATTTTCTATTATACGGAAACTTTCTTCCTAATTTTCATATTCATAATTTAAGGTCACATAGGAGGTTACACGGATTGTTATTTCTATACCCATACATCTACCAGCTTGGTGGATCCCCAAGGTGCAAACTGCAAAGATGTGTATACACAAATATATGCATATATCCGCTCGTGCATATAGCTTTGCCCTATTACATTAGGCAGCATGAATTCTGTAATTCTGATACACTAATTAGAATAATGGTTAAAAGTATTAACGATATTTCGACTGTTTTGTATGCAAATTATATAAGCTGTGAATAATAAAAAAACAAAATTATGTAATTTAGTACTGTGCTTGGCGAGAAACGCAAAAAGAAAAATATTCATTTAAATATATAGCATAAAAAATTTCCTCTTAAACAGGTATACATGTAAATGTTCTTAAATGGGTATAATGTACATAAAATTGTTTATTACATAAACAAACTTGTGGTGTGTGTATATGCACTGTTTGCACATATTTTATGAATTTATTTAAACGTATCCATAAAATATGTTCTCTTAAAATTGCCTCTGTCCATCAAGTGCTAGAATTAGGTTACATTTAAGCATATACATTAGCATACATATATATCATAGTGTAAATACAATAATGTAACAAAACTTGGTTAAAGAAAAAGCATTTGGAAAACAAAAAAAAAAAAAAAAAAAAAAAAAATTTTGCATGTTCACACTTTTTCACAATTTCATTCTTCTTCATTTCTATACTCTGTCGGTATCCAATCAACAGGGTTTATGTCGGCATTTCTATATCTTACTGCTCTTCTAGATTCAAGGTATTGTGAAAAAGCATGATGATCAATTTCTCCACCATAATAATGCCAATTGAAATGCTTATAATAATCTTCTTGGTCCATTGTAACTTCTAATGGTTCGAATTTCTGTAAATACAGGGTAAATAAAAATATGGGTGTAATAGTAGCTACTAATGATCCCAAAAAAAGAAATAAAAATTGAAATTGTCCCCATGTTGCTTTAAATAATTGCCAATAAGTAAAATGTTTTAAATAATCTTTGTTCGTGAAAAAAGTGGCTAATTCATCAATTGTCATGGAATGAATAGATGGGCCTGCCCAATTTCCATATTGATATCCTGTTTCTTTTATGGTTCTTGTTTTAAATATATTTGTCCATGGGTAATTATGTACTTTTCTTGGATCTAAACCGTTATATATTCTTGGTGCAGTTCCAACCTTTGGGCTTCTAAACATCTCAGACGTTGGGTAATAAGATTGCAATGTTCCATTTGGAAACAAATATCTTACTTTGCTCCTTGATAATGCCATCGTTAATCATAATGTATTTGTTCAATCATATTATTATGTTTTAATCTTCTTTTTTTTTTTTCCTCTTTCTTTTCGCTTCCCTTTTCGTTTCCCTTTTCGTTTCCCTTTTCGTTTCCCTTTTTGTTTCCCTTTTTGTTTCCCTTTTCGTTGTCCTTTTCTTCTCCTCAAGTTTGATTTCTTAATTTTTCCAATTCCCCAAAGAAGTTATTTTCTCTTTTAACTAAAATATGTAAAAGATGTATATCTTCACATGTATTTTTCTCCTGTGTAATTGTTTTTTATGAGTACATCGGAAAAATGTTGCTAAATCGTATGTGTTATTTGTGCGTTCATTTTACATATTCCTTCGCCTTTGCTTTATTTTACCTTATTTTATTTTGCTTTCTTTTTTTTTTTCCTTCTCCATTACGTAAAAATTTAGCATAATAAAATGACATTGCAATTGATATTTCTCACGTATTTTATGTTTTAACAAATTCTTGTATACGTTACCCAAAAGTATGAGCAGGGGAGCCAAAAGGAAAAAATTTCATATGGCATATCAAAGTAATCTTCGGATGGTCAATATTCATCGTTTTTCTGATTCGTCACTTCATATATACATATATATATGTATATACGTAGGTGCATTTTTTTTCCTGCTTTTTTTCCTTACCTTTTTTATTATTTTATTTTATATTTTTTGTTTTGAAGTTTTTTTTTTTTTTTTTTTTTTTTTTTTTTGCACAAGCAGGAAACGCAGCAAATAGAACTTTATCACAAAAGAAAAAGTGAAGAACGTTGCTTTCGATATTTACACATGAACATGTGCTTTTGTGGCTAAAGCATCCGCACACTTTAAGTACATATATATACACTCAACCATATATACCATTTTGTACTTATTTAAACCCCTGAAAATTGAGCAGCTGTAATTAAGAAATTTAAGCAATATTGCAGTGCTTCTTCAAACATGTAAAGTATAAATCACGAAAAATCATAAATCATTGTATTTTAATAAAGCTCCACCATCATTTCGCATGTGTACAATTTAGCCAAATACAGGGAAGGTTAAACGTTTCCTTTAAGAAATTTCCTTAAGATGGTCGGAAAACAAATTTTACAATGTTGTTGACTATGTCCTTCTACATGTTGAAAAAGAAAAGTTAACATTTCATTCGCACGAAACAGTTGCTTTCCTTTTTCAAGAAAGGTAAGGAAAATAAAATGAATGAAAACAGCATTGCTCTATACCCAGCAAGTTAGAAATTTTATTTATTTATTTTTATTTTATTTACACACAATTTTGTCCATTTGACCTTACTCTCAACCATCACCACCACCCCCACGCACACACCTACCTATTGGTTGCCTGAAAAATAAACCTTTTTAAAAAAATGTGAAAATTTTTATCAAACTGGAATCGAAAAAATAAAAACACAGATTATAAACAACACACATGTATATACTTGTGTAAGTCTAACACATGGAAGCGAAACATGCTGAATACGTTATTTAAAATAAAACATATTAATGTTTATTATGTATATAAACCACGTATAGATGTTTTAAACTTTTTTTTTTTTTTTTTTTTCTGTCTTTTCCCATTATTTATAACCGAAATATATAGTTGAATTTTTCTACGTAACGATTTAGCAAAACTCCTTGTACTGTGTAAGTTCCATATTATAATCACATAATTTTTTAATTTTTCCAACAAGATGTTGATATCTAAGAAATACTTAACCCTTTTTTTGTATTTTGCAGCTCAAAAAGTTGTGCATTCAAAATAAATACAAAATTGTAATGTTTATGTTCAAATGTAGATATTCCATTACGTGTGAAAAAAAAAAAAAGAAAAAATGTTTTTTTGTTTATTTTCCTTTGATCTTCTTGGTACATTTCTTATAGTATTATCAATTTTGACATTTTCAAAACCCATGTGTTCTATTTGAGGGATGAAAAAGAATGTTATTTAAAGTTCTCTTAAGAAGAAATATTAATAAGACAGAGGAAGGTGTTATAGAAACGTTTTCTATAACAATATTTAGAGAAATAAAATTGGAGGAACATAGCTTACTAACATTATAATTATCATACATGATTTTGTTAGGTGTGTAAATACTAACACATATGTATATGTTACATATCGGTATGTATCCATTTGTCTTAACACAAACTATATAAGAAAAATGTGCTGTTCCCTTGGCACATGTTCCATTTTCAAAAATACCCGTTCTATTGTAATTACATTTTTAACATTTCTTCAAGCACACATATATAAAAAAAATGGACAAAAATGTACAATGCAAAATAGCACCTCATTTTGTATGTCACGCAAAATACAATTTTCTACATTATACGTAAATTTATATTAAAATGGAACTTTCTATGCGAAAACTGATGAGAAAAAGTGCACTAAACATTAGCTATACACTTTGTAAGACAAAAAAAAAAAAAAAAAAAAAAAACATGCTATACCGCTTCCTATATCTTTTCTTATTCCTAGATTCCCTGTGAAATGGCTACACAAAGGAAAATACAAATAATAAGTAAAATAACTCATGTATTAATAGATGTAGAGATGTTTCTAATGGCTTGATAAATGTTTAAAAATAGAGCTGTGTTCTCGCGATTCTAAAAGCATGAATTTGGAGAAGGGTGAAAACTATTGCAGCAAAAGAATTCATGATCTGTGCATGTATATATACATGAGTCTACCCCAATTATATTCGAAGCTAATTTGTACCTAAGGCATTTACATAGAAAAACTTATTACAGCGGTATTCACAAAGGTAAAAAAAAAAAAAAAAAAAAAAAATTATAATGCAAACAAAAACAAAGGTAAATAAAATCCTATTTGGTGAAGACCATAAATTTCTCTTCTTTTCTACTGCCTTTCACTTATTTTATTTTAATTAACATACTTTTATTTATTCATATATTTATTTTTATTTTTTATTTCTTTTATTCTATTTCACACGATTTTTATATTCCCTTTTGTTTCATATACCCTTTTACACATGTTTTAAAAAAAAAAAAAAAAAAAAAGCGTCCAATTATTCTCTCCTTAATAGATGTATATAAACGAATTTAAAGGAGTGTGCAAAATGTGCCAATTTTGTCAAATATATCGCACACGTTCCCAAAATATATGTTTAACGGGTTACTTAAAATAACGGTTCTCTCCCAGCCAAAAGAAAAGAAGAAAAAAGGAGGGTAAGTGTATAATGAATAACACAAAAATGCACAGATTTCTATAATATGCACTAAAACATTTCATATTCTCAAAAAAACACATTTTTTGTAAACAGCTACTTACACTCTTGACTTTGTAAGAAGCGTCCTCATTTTCTCTTTAGATGCATTTTAGCACACATATATATATAAAATATGTGCATTTTTTTTTTTTTTTTTTTTTTTTTTTTGTGATAGGGAATATAAGTGTAAATAAATATCCTTCATAAGAATATGCTTAACATTTAAAAAATAAGTGCATACATATATTCATATATATCACCAAAGAAAGTGAATAAAAATAGTTACACCTTAGGAAATTAACAAATTTCTGTTTTGATTTAAAAAAAAATAAAAAATAAAAAAAGTATAAGCGATTACTCTAAGAAGGGAAATTAAGTGTTGAAAAACGAAAAAGAGAAAAAAAAAAAAAAAAAAAAAAAAAAAGCACATATAATAGGTATTGCATAGTAGATATTGCATAACAAGAAACCCACAGTATCGTACACAAAAATACAAGCCCACTTGAGAACCTATACCAATAGTGCTTCCCTGCATTTGTGTGCATGCCTATTAACGAGAAATACAAAGTAAGCGAAAGAAGCTGACTACTCAAGCTTACCACTAACACACGGAAAATACAGGTTGAGAAAATGTTAGAAGCCAAGCTAAATAATGCGTCTATATTAAAAAAATTATTCGAATGTATCAAAGATTTAGTGAATGATGCTAATGTGGATGCTGACGAGAGTGGGTTAAAATTGCAAGCACTAGATGGGAACCATGTATCGTTAGTTAGCTTGCACCTCGTGGATTCAGGATTTTCCCACTACAGGTGTGATCGTGAAAGAGTGTTAGGAGTAAATATCGCATCACTAAATAAAGTTTTTAAACTATGTGGTGCAAATGAATCTGTAGTTATATCAAGTAAAGATGATGCAGACAATCTGAACTTTGTTTTTGAAAATAATAAAGAAGATAAAGTAACAAATTTTTCCTTAAAATTAATGTCTATTGAATTGGACTCTCTTAATATTCCTGATTGTGAGGAAGGTTTTGATGCAGAAGTTGAGTTGAGTAGCAAAGAATTAACTAATATTTTTAGAAATTTATCTGAATTTTCAGACACTGTATTTATTGAAATAGATTCCAATATTATCAAATTTACAACAAAGGGATTAGTTGGAGATGCAGAAGTTGCATTAAAACCAAGGGAGTCAACAAGTGAAGATGATGTTGGTGTTACTATAAAATCAAGAAAAAAAATTAAGCAGTCCTTTGCTATAAAATATTTAAATTTATTTTCAAAATCTACAATCCTCTCCGACGTAGTTACCCTAGGATTAAGTGATAGTAGACCCATTGAATTTAAGTATGAAATAAAAGACACTTCTCCAGATGCAGATACTTTAAAAGTTGGATTTGTTAAATTTTTCCTCGCACCTAAAATGGATGACGAAATGGATAACAAGGAGTAACTTGTATTCTTTTCTTTTTTTTTTAACATGGCATGCGTTCTATAGATACGCTTTTATTCATACGTTGTGCATATACATAAATATGCCCATATGGCACACAAATACATTTGTGTAAATATGATACATAACATAAATATACATTACCAATACATGACAATTAAAAACACTTTTTAGCAAACGTTAATAAATGATAACAGTTGAACAAATGACATGAACTTTATTCATATTTATTAAATCATAAACCTGAAAAAATTTGACAATTTTTTTTTTTTTTTAACCGCATTATGTGCAAATAAAGTGCGCCTTTAATAAACCTATCTCATATAAATTACAAGGATAGTTTTGAGAATAGAAAAAAATAGTTAGGAAAAAACTCGGGAAACACTAAACATGTATACATACCTGTACAGTCGTATAAGCACATACATGCATATACAGTACCAGAATAAGTGTGCAAAATCCAATGGTACACACTTATGTGTTGAAGCAATATGCAGTTAAGTACTTTCGAAATGCTGAACAGATATCGTAATCAACAAACACACTTTTAATATTTTACTTTTTTATTTGGATTGGAAAATTTTTTAATTTAAACTGCTAAAGCATTTTTATGCATAACTGGTAAGACATATCGCTTTTGATGTTATGGGTAATCATGAGTGAATTAAATTCACTTTATTAACGGAGAGAAATAAAGCTATGTTTTAATTTTTTGAAATATTCACCGCTTTTTCCACATCTCAAAAAATTGTATTAACGCTTTCATGAAAATCTGGTTTTTCAAAAAAGGTTCATCCTGTAGGAAGTTATAGGTTAACGTTTATTTTTTTTTATGTTTTTTTATTTTTTTTTCTTTTTTCTTTTTTTTTGTCTTACAGAGTGTATGGTTTAAGGTTACGTTTATTTTTTTTTTGTTTTTTTATTTTTTTTTCTTTTTTCTTTTTTTTGTCTTACAGAGTGTATGGTTTAAGGTTACGTTTATTTTTTTTTTGTTTTTTTATTTTTTTTTCTTTTTTCTTTTTTTTGTCTTACAGAGTGTATGGTTTAAGGTTACGTGCATTTTTTTTATTTCTTTGTTTTAAAAAAAAGCTTCTCTTTTATTTGAGGAAAAAAGAAAATGAGATAAAAAAGTGGTACAGCGCAGTTCTGTTGCCTTATTGTTTTTTTTTACTTTTTTTTTTAATTGTTAGCTCTATTCCTATTAATATTTCCGCTGTTGTTCATGTTTCCCTGCCTTTGTTAAATTCTCATAAAATAGAGAAAGAATGTGCAACAATTAGAATAATCTATACGTGCAACTTTAGACCGAATTACGGCGGACAAAATGAAAGTTTCCTTCAACTGCAAAAAGTGCGTGGTTGCATAAAAAATTACAGCAATAGCATTGTGGTGGCCATAGGAGCGTCCTGGTAATCACAGGGGCGGTCTGATACCAAGTGCAATAAACGAGATGTACTTGTCCTTAGAACTGATTCCATCTTCTCCCACAAATATGCAGCTAAATGCAAGTTTCTGCTGGTCCTTCTCTTTTAGGAGGAGCCTAATAATTGTAGCTAGCTGCATCACGCCATAAAACAAGTAAGTCGACGAAGGCATCTCTTTCTTTCTGTGACTTCATTTTAATTGGCAACTCCAAGCCTTCAGGGAAATCCTCAGTGGGTGGTCCGTATATGCATAAAGTTACCTTTGCATTTACTTTTCTGGGTTCTCTTTTGTTTCCTGCTTTTAGGGAGGGATGTGCTAATCCTTTCGATATATTTTTTATTCTTACTACGGATATTTTAAATAAGTGGTCAGAATCATCCCCAATTGTCCATTCTAAAGTAGCCAAATCTTGACTTGCCTTCCATTTAAATGGTTTCCTTTTGTCACTATTATGATATATTTTGCAGATGCCTCCTTTTCTTAATGCATCTTTTATATTTGAAGATAAATCATGGACACCATTAACATATGGATCTTTATCAAATTCGGATAAGCTAAAATCGAAAATTAACAATGATTTTTGAAATGCTTCTAACGGATCACCTGTAAAATTCATTGCAGTTAAGGTAAGTTCAACTTTCTGCACAATTTGTTTATCTTCTTTTTTATTACTCATTTTTGATACAGAATTTTTGAAATTTTTTATAATGTCTCTTGTAATAATAGAATCATACACTTCTATAGAATATACAGCAATGTTGTCTATACATATAGCCAATAATTGCATAATTATAATATCACCACCAAAATTATTTAAATTTTCCATTGCTATATTATCAAAACCAGATGCTGTCATGGAAATAATTCCTAATCTATGGTAAGCAAAATACGCCAACAAACCAAGCGACACCTTTTGTAATCTCAGCTGTTTCTGATGATTCTTATCATTTGCACAGGTTAAAACGGATTGGATAATTGTATCTATCATTTCTTTGTCCATGCTTATATTATACCAACCACCTAATTTTGCATTGTATAGTTCCTCCTCCTCTTCTGGATATTCATTTGTTACACCTTCTATATTTTGTGTATAATATAGTATACATAAAAAAACACGTAAGGATTCTAACATAACTATTGATTTTTTAACTGACTTACATATCAGATTAGCTATAGAAGGTACACCACCACAATTGCAAAATTCATAAGCCAATTCTTCTGACTGTATTAAACGTCTAATGCACCTTAATGAAGAAACAACCAATTCTGTCATTTCAAATTCTTCCGTTTCTGCCTCCATACAACTAATTAAAATTCCAAATGCATCAGATTTCACTAACAAAGGTAAACTTGATTCAATTTTACACTGATTACTTAACAAATGAATAGCTAAGGTTAATAAACTAATATCATAATCATACAACTGTATAGCATTTATAGTTGCTTCTATACCACCACTATCTGCAAACAGTTTAGCATTTTCATGATATCTACATAAGGAACATAAAATATCAAGTAAAAAAAATATGACTTTGGTATTATCTCTATTCTGCTTCAACACATTTAATACGGGAATTAATGTTACACCAAAATTTTTCATATTTCTTTCTTCATTTTCCATAACTAAATTTGACAATGTTCGTAAACCTGTTTCTAATTCAGCGTCTGGAAAAGATTCATTTAATTTATTTAACCATGATTCGTAAGAAATCTCAATCTGTGCATCTAAAAAATATTTCACATTCGCAGTGTAAAGGGATAAGTTAGAAATAGCTTTAAATAAACTTTCAATACATCTTACTGCGTTTTTGTTATCACTTCCATCATAACTTCTTAAACATTGGACTAATTCAACAGGAGCACCATTTGTTCCATATGTCCTTTTCATATCTTCGTTTCTAAACAAAATATTACATAATAAAACAGAAGCACCATTTGTTACATCAAAATTAGATCTGTATTCTCTTAGAATTCTAACATTTATATCAGGGCCTTTTAGTGCACAAAATATGTTTGAATTCCCTTTGTTATCAATGCACATATTAGCTAACGCTAAACAGCAGTTTGTGATCGTTGCTTCCATTTTTTCTACATTTAATGATCTCAATAATAAATTCACACATGCATCTATTCCCTTCATTTCTCCAATTTGTGTTTTTATATCTTTAACAACAGATAAACTTCCAATTAAAAACAACACATCTGGATATATAATTTTATCCGTTTCTACATTACTGATAATACCTATCAAACGAACTAATACATCTGCTTTTAACAACGCATCAACATGTGCATCTGATACAATTTTTCTCATAGCACGGAAAACATGGCGCAATAGAGAAACGGAATAATCCCCATGATCATATTGATTCCATATTTCTATCAAATGATTAATAGCATTTGTTTCATCATACACATTTCTGTTATGAGCTGTTCTATCTATTAACAAAACACGATTAATGAGAAAGTCTTCTTTATCTTCTTTTTCTAACGTACTTTCCTTACATAGATCACCAACTGATTTACTGATTATATTTGGATAATCATTTATCGATTTAACTACACCCTCTAAACCCTTTGGATTTTTCGTAAAGGCACATAAAGCACGACATGAATAATGTTTTACATTTTCATTACTTTGTTTAATCAACGCATGAAAAGCACTTGTCGGAAATTCTATCTTTAACAGCTCTTTCACGTTATCATCATTTTCACAAAATATTTCTATTGCCATATAACCATAAGAATTATCTATTCCTGTTTCTGTTGTTGGTGAAAGATTATCCTTATTATAAATCTTTAATTTCTGCAATACATATCTCATATCCTCTTCTAACGATGCATCAAGTAGAACATTAATATCCATAGATTTTGATTTATAATCCTTTAACATATCGTATATATCTTTACAAGTCTTTTCTTTAGGGACGTCATCATTTATAGTAGTACGCACATTACTAATTTTCATTTTCATACTATTCACATAATCTTCACCTAGTTCATTTATCCTATTTTCGAGGCTAATTTCTATCTCTTCTAATAATTTATACAATTCTTCATTGTTAGCAACCTGTCTTCCAATTCCTTCTATTAATACTAATTTTTCCAATGTGTTTACGAAAGATTCTGCTGCTACATTATCGTTTATAATGTTATCATGATTACTTTGAACAATGAGCGGTAACGAAGAGGTTATTATTTTCAACGAAGTTGTTGAATCACATGTAGCTATCTCAGATAATGCTTCCAAAATAGGCACCGTTACTTCTTCACATTGGCCATATTCCATTAACCTTGCTAAATTGTTCAAGGCATCAGATTTATCGGTCTGTCTAATATGTGCAAATAAACCAGTAGATGCAGCATCTTTCAACAAATTAGCATAAGCCTTAATAAGTTCTATTCGACCTTGATCTGTATAATTGGATATATTATCTTCTGATACTAGAGAATTAATATTTTTTAATGTTTCCGAAGCTACCTTTTCATCTAGTAAATTCGATGCTACCATAGTGTCTACGAAATTTATAAATTCAATCGTTCTTTCCTTACTAGAACCCAAATTTAATAACATCCCACATGACTCTATTATACGTGAACTATCCATATTACTTGCATAACCAGACGTGTTTGATGTTTCTGCAATAGCTCCCAATAATTTGATGCCAGGTATAAAAACACAATCATTTGCTCTATTTAAATTCATAATGGATAATGTTTGATCTACTAAATTACCCATGGAACCATTCCATTTTCTAAACAACAACTTAGATCCTTCATCATCTTTCGCTATCTGTTCCAAAAATTCAAATATACCTTGTACAACATATGGATTATTTTTATATTCCTCCAATAAGGCGTATGTATTCTCTAACATTAGGGGAAGTTTATCTAGCACTAATTGTTTCGTGTATGGATTCAAAACACAGCCAGCTAAAACACTATAAACAGGGGATACAAATTTACTATTAGATAACCCAACTTTGTTTGCAATCATGTCTGTATATTGATTTAATATGCCTGCCGATGCTACAGCCCATGATCCCAATTGATCCTCATGATCATATTTCACACGATCTACCAACCTCTTCGTAACTAGTGCAATATTTGCCTGTAATGAAGCATTATCTAATTGTGAACATAAATACCCATTCAGTTGCTGTAATGTTGCTTCTGTGTACTCTAATGCATCCAAAGGGTTTTCCAAAGGTGCTCTTAAAAACATTTCTAATTTACCGGTCAAATTGTCAATTTTCTGTACCGAATCACTGTCACTGCTTTTAACATTTAATATTAATTTCATCAATTTCTTTACTTGTTCATCAGCTCCCATATATGAAAATAAGACCCCTCCCAATTTGGATATTTCATCGTTCTCACTATGTATCACTGTAACATCAGAAATAACATCTACGGCACCCAATTCTCTTAATTTCATTTTATCAGTACTATTACATAATTTAATTAACACTGTCATTATATCTTGTGCTGTTAATTCATCGTTCTTATTTTTGCCTAAACTTTCTAACAATATTTTTATTGCAGAATATTTATCTATTTTCATTTTGTCTTCTATATTAATATAATCTGCTATAATTGCTAAACATTTTGTACTATCTTGAACAATAGGTAAATCTGCTTGATATTCTCCCATAATTTTAAATAGATTGTCCACAATTTCAGTTTCATTAGCTATATTTTTTATAATTTGTTCATCCTCCGTTTTTAATAACTCGTATAAAGCCTTTATTGCATTTCCTCTAGAATTTTTGAATTTTTCTGAATTACCAATTAAATCTACAATCAACGATATAAGTTTATCATACCCTGGATTGCTAATTAGTTGTTTTACACGTTTATCACTTGTGCACATACAAGCTAAACATCCAAATGTACTTTTCAAAACAGTATCTGATTCTGAAAAATAATTTATTCCTGCACACAGTTTCTTAATCAACTCTTTGTTAAATGCTATATCTGCATTTGTTATATCATGCTTTAGCAACATACACATCGATTCTAATATATTAGAAACAGCTTCTTCTGTGTAGTCATCTCCAGGTACTTCTAAAAGGTTATATGCATCAATTAGAGCAGAGGTCATGTCACTTTTCGTTAAATGCACTAATCCAATTCTTGTCTGAGAAATATTTGTACATGCATGACTAACTTCTGAAATGGTAGCATCATATAAGCTTCGTCCTAAAATGCTGTAATCATTATTGGTAAAATTATTATAAATATTAGGATTATCCTTTAACCATTTTACTATATTGTTTAGATATTCTCCTATATTGCAGCGAGAAGATATTTTACTTGCCTCCGCGGTCAACAATAATTCATTTAAAGAAACCAAATATTCATGTAGTTTTATTAAATCATTTTCATTCATGGCTTCACTGCATAATTTCAGAAGATCCTCAATTTCTTTAGTCAAGGAGTCTAATGGCATTAACACTGCTAATAGAGGAGCACATGTCGTTTTTAGTTTAGAATTCTTTACATGTGTTCTTAAGGCATTTTGCAATGGAACTAATGTATTGACCTTTTTTATTGAATCTATAGACTCAGGAGAAAATTTCAGAATGTTTCCTAACACGCTAAATCCGATTATCTGAACATCTACATACATAGGCACTTTGTGGATATAGTTAACAACATGTTTTATGTATCCCTTACTAACCAACACTTCTGCACCAGCAGCATTACCACTTAAAAGAATATTATTTATGGCTGCAAGTAGATTTGTTTGCGTTAGGCGAGATTCTGAATATTTCTTCATTAGCTTAAATATGCTATCTAAACTTGCCTCTGCAATTTCTTTGTCGTTTATTTTGTTTATATGTGTTAAATAATTTATACACTCAGCGGATGTAATAAGGATGTTATCATCTGGTTCTTCCATTTCGGCAAGTCTTTTTACTTGAGGAAGACACATCATATCAACTATTGAAGCTATTAACTCATGGATTGTAGTTGATGCATTTTGTTTTAATATCTTCATAGTCTTCAACGCAGCTCTAATTAATTTCGGCTGCTCATTAAATCTTGGTGACTCAATCCACACCTTCATACCATTATATATCGATTTATCAGCTCCATTTGACTCTAGTATACTTTTTAAAGACTGAATTCTTGATAATCCTGAAATGGCAGCTAACGTTTTATATGCAGCTTCCGGATTCGTTTGAGCCAAATTTATAATTGATTCTAAGTTAGATATATGTCTTTGACAATCACTTTCAGTTGCTAATTTCTCCATAATTTTCGTTCCTTCTTGAATGATAACTTCTTTCGTTTCATTTTCTAACATAACAGTTAAGACAGAATCAACTACTTGCGAATTACTCAAAAAATTCAAAGCATCCGAAGCTGTAAGCATTTTATTTATTAATTTTAAACCAATTTCTGATATAGTGCTATCACTACTTACAGATGATAACGCATTAGCAATTCCTTCAACACCTCCGTATTGATTTATTGGTTCAATTGTTCTTATGTAATCTGATAACCTAAAGTATGCAGTAAAACAATTTAAAAGATACTCAGTTTCACTTAAATGATATTGGATGCATGTGGATAAAATTTCTATTGCTTGATTATTTACCATTTGTTCATGAAATTCATTAATCATTGAGGCGGAAGCTATACATGATATACTGGCTTTTGCTAATTCAATTGACTCCAAAGATGCGTATAATATAGGGAATAAGGATGCGAATAATGAATAACTATTTATTTCGTTAACATAGTTAGTTCGAGATACGAATGGAATTAGTGCATTACATATAGCACCTGCACAATCAACATCATTGGGAAAATAGGATAAGGCGGTACAAAGTGTTGCAATACCTCCATATTCATAAACTATTACGGCGTGAGGAGGGTTATTGGATATTCTTCCCAACATTCTGGATGCCCCAGCTACTAATCTAGAAATTTTTTCAGGATTACTTTCATATTGCTGTAAACCACTATTGATTAATTCTATAAGCACTGGTATTCCTCCAGATTGAACGACCTTATCTGTTATTGATGAAATATAGGAAAGAGAACTCAACAATTCCAATGCAGAATCCTGCTCTTTTGATCCCTGTTCTGATGTTTTTAATATATTTAAGCAATCAGTTAATTGTTCTGGGCCTACAGCACATTTCATAGCATCACTACCTTTGGAAACAATTCTTGGGTATGACTTAAATTTGTCCAAAATGACTACGGATTTTTCAATTATGGTTGGAACAACATATCCGTTTGAAGACAAATTCTTAATTACATCAAACACTCCCTCAATGATTTCTGCAGTATCGTCATTTATAGTCTGAAAGGATAGACAATGGTCTATTAATTTGTGATGTGCTCCTTCATCATTTAAGGCCTTTGAAGCTGTAGCGGATTTAGCGGCAATAGACAAAGCGGATGCTATTCCATTCCCCAACTTCACATTATAGGTGCTTGATGTAAACACATTTAATAGGGAAACACCGAGTTCTCCTCCCCCTATTTCAACATTTGAGTCGTTCATATTCTGTATAAATAGAATACAATTTTTTAATGTGTCTTGATCTGCGGGAACCGTTTTAATAATTTCTACTATGGCGTTTACACCACCATCTGAAATTAACTTTTGTAATGCATCTGAATCTTTCTCAGAGCAACAATAATCAGACATGGCATACAATACTCTGCTTGAACAGAAAAGAATATCATCATCATCCTTATAATTAACTACTGCATTCTTTATGGATTCTACGGCACCTCTGTCCAAGGCATCAAATGCATTTTCTTTGTATGTTTTTGATGTGGGATTACAAAAGTCAGATAATGATCTCAAACCAAACATTAACATACGCTTAAAGTTTTGGTGCTGAACTATAGAAGACACTGCGGTGCTTACGCCCGGATCACTTCCCCTTCTCACTAAAAATACAAAAGAATAAATGTGTATAATAATGTATATATGTGTTTTTAAGATCCTAGGTAGCATGAAGCATTAATATAGAGAAATTCCTTTAGGATATTTCAAGATACATGTGTCTAAACGTATGTATATCTTTTCATATACATGATTATTACGTAAACGTTGTAACAGTATTATGTGTAAATACGAACATATAAAAAAAAATTGTAAAAATAAAAATGGAGTAAATATCTGCCTCCATAATGCAGATATATAAAGAAATAAATTTCCTTGATAAAGAGTGCATATTGAATTATATATATGTTTAAAAGGCAGCAATTTTTTTTTTTTTTTTACCTTGTCTCCGCGCCATTTTCGATAATATAACGTGTTAGTAAAAAATATGCTTGTATGGATTAGGTAGGATATGCTTATATACTTGTGTTGGCGTGTGTATATGTGATTGCGTGAGTTTAAAGGTTTGTACGTTTAAGTGTGCATATATCAGTGAAGCAGTTGCAAAATTGTTATCTCAGTAATAGTCTTAGTTGGAGAAAAAAAAGGTAATATAGTGTAATCCAGTTTTTCTTTTAAATTTGAGCGTACAATAAAACAGTTTTAGTTAATAAGAATCATTCTTAAAACATGGACAAATATGTTGAATTAAAACTATTTTTGCTCAAGCAACACATTATTCATGTATAAAAATGAATTAAGGGAGATGTAGTTGTGAAAAAAGAATGAACGTGAATTTTACATAAGAGTCGTGTGTAAATATATTTATTAGCAAGTTATCTTTTTGTGAACTACCAAAGATAAGTACACATTTATGTAAGTGTAAAATAAAAAGTTTAATAAACCAATGCTAAAATAATATGATCTTTCTAGAAGCCAAAAAAGTGCCATAAGAAAAATAAAAAATAAACGTACGTATATACATAATGTAAAAAATATGAAAAAGAAGGAAAAAAAGAAGAAAATAAAGAAAATAAAGAAAATGAAGAAAAAGAAGAAAACGAAGATAATGAAGAAAACGAAGAAAACGAAGAAAATGAAGAAAATGAAGAAAATGAAGAAAATGAAGAAAATGAAGAAAAAGAAGAAAAGCAAGAAAATAAAGAAAATAAAAAAAGGTAATTTGAAAGAATAATTCAAAAAGAAATGGAAAGGAAAAAAAAAAAAAAAATTTCAGATTAAAGTTACGCAATTATAATTGCTAAACTGTTTTACACTTTTGTGTTCATTTTCATCTCAATAAAGTTGTGAACAAGTGGTCTTTTTTTTTTTTTTTTTTTAATGATACAAATAAAACGGATAAATAGCTTTAATTAAACGTATGTGTACAATGTGTGCATATATATTACCTATTTTAACATGAACGTACATGCAAATTTTGAAAAATCATTTTTTAAAAATGCTTTTTTTTTTAGAATTAGACCAAACAAAATGTATTTTTACACACATGAAATAAAAAAAAAAAAATATATATATATATATATATATATATATATATACCCACTATAATTTCTTTTTTTATTTAAACGGTTCAATTAATTTATACTTTTAATATCAAGAGTGGTGTAATTAATTTTTTTACATAAGAAATAAAATTTAGAAAACGTGAAATGTTTTCAGCGAAATTCACAAAAAGTTGCAAGTTGTTTTTATCATTTAGGTAAAATTCTTTATGCATATTATATTTCCATTTTTTTAATAATAAAAAAATTACCTTTATTTTTGGTAATTTTATTATAACACTATATATTTGAAAATAGTACTGAAATGCAAAAAAACTACTCAGGGAGAAAAAAAAAAAAAAAATTTAACGTAGCAAAATGTAACATATTTATACAACATGCGCACAACACGTACATAACATTTAAACTGGGAAAAAATAAAATACACAATATACTGTATATACACATGTTCACACGCATGGACAAATACTGCTACTATTAAAAAAATAATTCATCTAAATTGTCTCAGTAGAATAAAAAAATATAAGTCTTGCACAAATAATTTCTGTACGTGTAATTTCTACACTTTTACAATATAAAAAAAAAAAAAAAAAAAATGGTAAAACATTTCTATTGTTTTATTATTCATCATCATCGTCATCTTCCGGAGGTGATTCTACTTCATAAATCCAGTACCTTAAAAGAAAGTAAAAGAAAACAGTTGTAAGAAAAACAACATGTGGGGAATAAATGTGCATGAATAAAAATATGTACACATTTATATATATATTTTTACACACATGGATATATATCTACACAAACAAACCAAAACATACAAACTTTTTACACGCATGCACACGGATATAAACAAATGTAACATGCATCTTCCAGCATCTGCATATAATGCCGGGAAAACAATTGTTTAGAAATGTTCATTCCTTTTATGAAAAAGAAATAAACTATTCTTATTCAAACTTTTATAAGGGTAAAAAAGATACAAAAAATATGATTCATCATGACATATTTTATTTGTATGATCAATTTATAAGCGCAGAAATAATAACGTACATTCATATAATAAAATAATGCATAAAGTATTATGAAAATTAGTAAGACACTTTTTTTTTTTTAAAGTTTCATATATGTTCTTTATTCATACCACTGCCTTCCTATAACTTTAACTGTCATGGTTGTATGAACAATTTCGTCTAGCATATACAACATTGTAAAGCACGGAATAGCTATACTAAAAATAATAAGGGTGGGAATCCAAAAAAATAAAAATTCAACTTTTAAAACCATATTATAGTTTCCCCAAACATTTAACCTTGTTCTAGACCAGAAAGGTATATTTTTTTGGCTAACATTAAATAGGTATTCCAGTGGCTTAGTTTCTTCTCCCTTAATCATTTTTTGTCCATTCACAATTACAATATTTTGCTTTGGTGTATTTAACCAGTAATCATCCCAATGGAAATTATCAAAATCGTATTCTGTTTTCCTTACTCCATCTTCATCTAAATGATCACGAGGGTTTCCATGATGATGCTCTACATGATGATAGAGTCCCTTTGTGTGTCCTTCATGATCATGCCCCTGTCCTTTAACATCGTTAATTTTTTTACCAGCTGCATCTTTTTTCACCGTCGCGTATTCTTTACATTTTAATGGAATTACTCCTATGAACTGTGGTTTTATGTATCCAACTTTGTAATTCCCTATTAAATGATTTACGTTTCTTAAACCATAGCATAATTTGGTATTTAGCTTAAACATTTTAAAGGTGCAGGAACATACATTGAATATTATAGTCTGTCAATTATAATGAAAAATTACAATGGTAACAACTATATTTTCAAACAAAAAAACTACAAGTGAAATGTTTTCTTATTATTTATTTTAAAGCACGCTTGGCGGATGGACCAAGTAAAAAAAAAAAAAAAACAATAAAATATCAATAAGTAAAAAACGTTTAAGCTAAGAAAGATATAGATTTTTCACATAAGTTAAAATCTCCAATTTTTACTGCTAATAATGAAAATATATTCATATTGTCGAAATGTGCATAATTTACATAACACATATATTCGATAAAATGAGTGTTTATTAATTTAATTAACCCTTGTTAGCTTCAGTTCTCTAATTTTTTTAGTTTACGTATTTTACATTCCTGATTTTTTGTATAATGAAGCTATATTTTTTTAAACTGAATCAAATAAGGTGTTCAAATTTTTTCAAAATATACCTGAAATGTTACTTCTTTTTCATTTTATGCATTCAATTTTTTTTACACATTTTTCCAAATTTTTTCAACCGCGTTTATACTTTATTTTATTATTATTCTTTTTTATTACGTACATATAAGAAAAAAGAAAAAAAAAAAAAAGTAAAAAAAAAGCACATGAAATTCTGTTATACATTCTTGAGTCTGTTTAACATAAATATAAATTTTATTTTTAAAATAAAAATAAGAAGTATTTTTCTGAGGAAATTATACAAGTAAATGAGTTATTCCTTCGTTTTATATATCATAAGAACAAGCAACTAATGCTATAAATTCGAAACACGTCACTTTTAACATCAGGAGAATAATTTAAAAGCATAACGATATTTTACATTTCATATGCACATAAAACAAGTATACACACGTGCACAAAAATATTAAATAAACATTAATAGACTAAAGAGAAACTTTTTTTTATGCACATTTTTATGTACTTTTTTTTTTAAACATATATTTTCACCCTTAAATAATTGCAAAAAATACATTTTTCTCATCATGTAGGTGATTTTTCTTATAGATAAATTAATCTGTACTTGTTAGTTTCCTCGAAAAATTATAAAGTAAATGTTAAAAGCAGAACACGTTATGATTACCAAGTTTTTACATACATAACCGTGTGTTCAGCATTACATATTCGTAAACACTGATAAAAATATTTATCGTGTGTACTTAAAACAAAGGAAACTAGTGCGCTACTTGACGAAGCAACATGAACTTGTAGTTAATTGTATAACTTTTTTTTAAAGTAGTCCTTTATTTTATTACAACAACAATGGTGTTTTCGGAAAAAGTGTAAAAATGTAATTAATAAAACAATCCCAGAAAACGAAAAAAGGAAGTTAGAATTAAACGAATATGCAAGAAAATATTCGAAAGGGAAAAATAAGGAAAGATACATTGTACAGGCAAAAAAGAAAAAAAAAAAAAAAAAAAAACTACACACATAGGGGAATTGTATTATCGTTATTCACATGGGTTAACAATGTACATTTAACGCAATTTTCATTCCCATTTTTATCTATTCTTATTTACAATTAATACCCCACCCTTTTTCGTACACACCATTATCAGCTGAATAGTAAAGTTTATTAATTTTTTTTTTTTTTTTTAATACATACGCACTTGCATATATGTACATATACAGTTCTGGATGCTAACACATACATACGGATGACAAAAATGGTAGTATCTCATATAAAAAAGGCTTCCTGCTTTTTCATAACGAAATATAAGGGAGGTTTAAAACCACACTGGTCTACTTATAAAATTATGGCAAACTGCAATTACAATACTTGTGTATTTTCATTAAACTCATTAAATTGCATTTCCAAGAGACATATTAGTTTTAACAACAATGATTTAACATTAGATTGGGAAAACGCAGAAGATATAACTGATTTACTTTTTGAAGAATATAAAAATATAGACCCATTAACATTACGATTTGAAGAATTAGAAAAAATGGTAGTAGACACGGTTGTAAATAAAAACAAAAAAAAGTTAAGTGGTAGGTGTAATGAAAGCGTTTTGGAAAATATACAAATGAATTGGTTAGAGAAATACAATGAAGAAAATAATTAATTCCATCATGAGTAATTTTTTTTTTTTTTTTTTTTTGCGGGGGGAGGAGTGACAGATTATTCGTTTACCCTTGTACTACTTTTCATTTACAATATTTAATTCATTGTACAACCGAAACCTAATTATTTGTTCTAGCTAAATAAAATTTATATTTTTGAAAAACATGCCCCTTTCTGGGAGTGCGCATACTTATGCATGTACTTGTGCAGATATCTGCATACATATTTTCTTATGTACATAGGTGTAGTTGTAAAGTACTGCTTGTCTATTATTTTACAGAATTACTCAGTGCACACAATTTAAATCTTTTATTATAAAATTAAAAAAATTATTTTTTTTTTCGTTATTAGTTTACCATTCTATTTTCTGCTATTTTTTTTAAAATGTAGCTTTTCCAATTGATATATCCACAATTCAAGAAAAGTGTTTTCATAAAATGTGGTGGAACTGTTTATTTTTATATATAGAAGTTCTTACTACCTATGTTTATGTGTTTGAAAGTTGAACTAACAGAGTGCAATATTTCGTAAAACAACCAGATATTTATTTTTACTGAAACTGGAGATTCTTCTTCATTTAATTTTGCAAAAGGATTTTTTTTTTTTTTTTTCCATCTGTAAAATTTCCCATCTTTTTTAAATTTTTTCCCCTAAATTCTCAAACAATAAATTGATAAACTGTAACAATTCATAAACTTGTGGATATCGTCATTTTGCACCCTTCTAAAATTAACTCGCATTTTTAAAAAGATAAATTTTATTTCAACATTTATAAATAAAACAAAAGGTAGCAGTTTTAACTCATACGCAAGAAATCAAAGAAAAAATTGTATCCTTTATTTTATTATTTTTTTCTTTTTTGAAATTTTTTTTTTTTTTTTTTAATATAGAAATATCAAAAAGAAATTTCTTATTTTTATGTTATAATTACGAATCCTTCTTACTTAGTATGGAAATTACATTTCCCCACAACTTTCGCATATCATTTGCCATATTTAGCAATACATGGAAACACTAGTAGAAGATGGATGCAGCCATTTCACTCAAAAAGATAAACATAAGCAGGTTTTTTTTTTTATTACATGTCTTTATCTCAAATATTTATGGAAAAGTTATATTGTTATATTTATTTTTTTAATTTTTTGGTTTTCGTTATTATGCCATTTTTTTAGTTCTACATACAATTAAAAACTTGTTTTGGGGGTGTAGGAATATCTTGACTTTTCCGATGATTTTGTCTTTTCTTCAACATGTCATCATTTTTCACCGGTAATGGAAATATACATATGTTCCTACGTATATGCACACACACATGCTAACACACTGGCATATACACAAACTAACATACATGCATACATAAGTGAATACGTGTACGAGTTTCTTCCCCCAATTGTTGTAACCCATTTCTTCCGCCATCAGAATCACAAAGAAGGGTATCTAGAAAAACGGTTTTCGAATTCTTGGTGTGGCTATTCAAAAAGATGGTTTCTTCTAAAAAATAAAAAATTATACTATTTTAAGAGCAAGGAGAGTTTAAGGCCATCAGGCGTTCTTGATCTGGAACTAATTCATATGGACATTAATGTAAATAAGAAATAATTCTTACTTGCACAAATTAAACATATATATATGTACCATCTTTTTTATTTTTTTAATAATAGCTCAAAATTTTAACTCTAAAAAGAAAAATCGTCCATATAAGAATATTTTTAAAAACTTATAAACAATGTGTGCCAAATAGGTTGCATGATTTTACTAAAAATGCAAACAAGCACATTTATGTGTTGGCTACCTATTTTTCCATCTACCTATTTTTTTTTTTTTTTTTCAACGTTTTTCTTTTCCTCAAACTTACAGTATGAACATGGATTAAAGCGGAAAAGAAGTGGTGAAGACTGCTTTTTATGTAACATTCCAGAAAGAACATGAACAAGGAAAAATAATAGATAAAATATTTTGCTATATATACTATGTTTTAATGAATTCACACACATACACAAAAAAAAAAAAAAAAAAAATGTTTCTACATCTTCTTATGTACATATGTGTGAACTTATATAACTGCAGTGTAATTGAACTTATCTTCCCTTTCTTTCTGTGCAGGTTGTATCGAATCGAGGATGTATAAGAATGACAATAAAAATGAATCACTCCTAATTCTGACTCCCAAAAACACGGATGTTAAATTTTATTTAAGGGTATATGTACAGAAATGATCGAATAACTAAGAATTAAAAGAAGGGGACACTAACACTGTAATTTGTATATACACGTGTATGTATATATCTGCATATATGTATAGATGTAAATTTCTCAGATGTAAATTTCATCATACTATTTTCTTTTCAGGGTGAAGACTCAGAGATATACGAGTGGTATAATTTGATAGTCAGTTCTATTAATAACAATAGAATTATACGTCAACCTAAATTTATATTTTTAGAAAATAATTTCTGGAAAATTGACAGAATATCAGTTGACGTTTTTGAATCCATTGCAGATACTGGTGATATAGTCTTATTTAGGTGAAGCTACGAAAGAATAAAAATATAAATAAATTTGTTTTTCCCCACATGAAATATATAATTGTACAAGTGTGCTTTTCACTTTTCATTTTTACACATAACTTTTATATTAAAAACCTTAAATCCTTAAATTGAGGATTTTTCTCACAAAATGAAATATTTTTATGTCTTTCTTTTTTTTATTTAAAAAAAAAAAAAAGATCAAAGGTTACTACTGCTAAGCTCCAGAGAATGATAACTAGGGGTGAGTATGATCACATTGGTATGATTCTGAGAAATGAAAAAAATGGCTTATTTCTTCTAGAGGCCTTATCGAATATGGTAACTAAGAGCACAAACATATATATGTTCAAATACATATGTTCATAGTAAATATCCATTTGCAAAACTAAGTATGGCATTATCCCACTCTCATAATTTATGCACATTGTACAGGGGATCGTCCTAACACCATGGGAACTTTTTAGAAAGAACAGATGGAACGAAGAATATACCAGGTTTATTTTATTTTATTTTTTTTTTCTTCAACAAGTGTGTATGAAACGGCTAGTTGTGAAATGAGAAAAACATAAGGATTATAAATTTGTATATTTCCCTAATACACACAAGCACCCTTTAAAGGTGTACTACAATCCCCACCATCCAGCTTTTTTCATTTACAATCTCTAATTTTTTTCTAGAATTGCCCTGAGACGCTTAACATGGGATAACTCCGAAAAGAATCTTAAAAATTTATTAGACTTTTTAAAGAATACCATAGGGAAAAAATATAACCTTAAGATAATTAATTTTTTGGCCCCTAAATCTGGTACGTTAAAATTGTACATACAACATCAGCCAATTTTATGTATCCCTCGACGCTTCCATTTTCCAATAACACATTTTGCATATCACTTGTCATGTTAATGAAAAATTATGAAAGTGAAAAAATATGACTTCATGTTCCCCATACATATTTATGTACATATCTGTAAAGGCTGGCTCAAAGCATTTGTGTCCCCTTATTTTTTTTATTTTATTTTATTTATATATATTATTTTATTTTTTTTCCATTTTTTCATAATATCCTTTTGTTCTCCACTGCTAATAGATGACACTGGTTATTTTTGCTCTGAATTAATAGGAGAATGTTGGAAGGTATAAATTTAAACCAAAATTATTTATTGTTTTCACATGTTCATGTCATGTAAATTTAGTGCTATTATTTACTTACATCTATGCACATATTACGTTGTAACATTTTCCCTATTTCTCTCCCCCTTGGTTCTGTATTGTCTGGTAATATCTAAAGATAATGGGCGTAATTCCTGTAAACATTACATGTTCTCATATTTGGCCGAGTAAGTGAAATTCAAAAATATATATATATATATTCAGTCCAGAAATTCATATGGATATTCATAGGGGCACAAAATAGAACATCTAATTAATATGAAAAACACTTCAGTATTTCGTTTATAACACATCTATAACATTCCTACAGATACAAATCCCATTTTTCATTCCATGGCTTTTTACATTGCTCCTATTTTTTTTTTTTTTTCCTCTAAATGTTGTATATAAAAAAAGTGTACACTTTTTTATTCACACCCTCTTTAGGCAATTTTTCTGAAAAATTCGAAGAAAAAATAAAGTTACAGGAAGGCTGTCAGTTAAATAATGAACTGTGTATAGATTTTACCTTATGAAAATTTTGAGAAAGAAAATTTCAATATACTGTCCATTTGATAGGGATATGGTTTCCTAATTTTTTTAGAACTTTATTATTATTATTTTTTTTTTTTTTTTTACAATTCTATGTACTTTTTTATACGCTAAAATGTGCATTTATCTAAACACATGCCATTTTTATATATACACATGTCTATCCTTTTTTTTTTTTTTTTTTTTTTTTTTTCGTTTTAAAATTTTAATTAATATGTTCCCATATTTATACCCCTGAGAATATGAATCATCGTTTGTGTGTAATAACATCTTTTTTTGAAAAAGCAAACCCAAGTGCTAAATAAATCTAGCACTAGAGAAAAAAAAAAAAAAAGAAAGAAAAAGTTATAAACGAGGAAAAAAATTCCTAGAGTTATTTTATAAAAATTTAACATTCTTTACTTCAGAAGGCAGAAATAAAAATAATTAATGAATTATTTATTCATAAATTATAGCACATTATCTTTATATGGAAAAAAAAAAAAAAAAAAACTGTCTACTTTTTTATTTACCTTAAAAATTGTGTATCCCCAAACAATATTTCGTATTTTTTAAATGAAAAAAGGTAGGAATGGAAATATAATTATTTAAGCTAATTAGAAGAAGGGAAAATATTTATCTAGTAATACATTGATTTGTACTATACATTTTCATATTTTTTCTTATGAAGAAATAAAAGGGGATTACTCAATCAGTCATATGCTAAACCTGAATATACAGTAAAAAGTGGTCAAATATATAAATTGTACACACAATTGGATATACAAAATTCAATATTGAAAACTGAAAAAAAAAAAAAAAAAAAAAAAAAAAAAAACTTAAACAGGGGGTCGAAGAAAGGAACGAGCTAAAACAAAAGAGTGGAAAAATGGTTTCTGGTGTCAAAGTGTCAGATGAATGTATCTACGAGTTTAACAAATTGAAAGTAAAGCACCTGCACAAATATATAATTTTTCGAATAGAAAATTGCGAGAAAATCATTGTAGATTTATTGCAGAAGGATTCAGAATTGAAATATTTTGAAGACATTATAATCGATATAAGAAACAATTTAAAAACAACAGAATGTAGATATATCATAGCGGGTACATATGCATGAATGAACAGATGGAAGACACGTCCATATGTATAATATAACTGATTAACACATTTATAGTTTCTAACAAACCTTAGTTCATATTGAATTCATAATTATACTACTTTTTTCATGTCTTTATAGATATGCCTATCTACACCCCTGAAGGTGTTTTGAGAAACAGAATTTATTTCATCTTCTGGTCACCTGATTCTGCAAAACCGAAAGAAAAAATGCTATATGCAGCATCCAAAGAATCTCTTGTTCGAAAAATTAATGGAATATTTAAAAGTCTCGAACTAACATGTGAAATAGAAGAATTCGAAGAGGAATTAAAAGCTATCATTTTAAATACTTAAATGAACACACTAAAACATTTCTCTACTTATAGGCAAAAAGTATGTAGTCTTAGCACTGGTAATATACCATTAGCGATAATCGTGTAACAAATATTAAAGATAAATTGTCTTAAAAAAAAAAATAATGAATAAAAATATATAATACAAAGCATAATAACAAATGGTAATGACTATTATTACTTTACATTTAATTTGTTCATGCATACTTTTTTCTTTTTTTTTTTTTTTTTTCCTGTGCATTTCTAACGGTGTACATCCTTTTTAATTGTCATTATATTCACATACTTCAGTATAAGAGGAATTGGTTTATATAACCTAGAACCTGTTTTACTACAATCCTTTTTTTTGCCTCATTTTAGCTAATTAAGAATATATTTTCTATGAAAATATAAATCAATTAAAAAAAAAATTCAGAAAAAAAATATATGAATCAATAATATGTTGTATTTATTAGGTATACATTTTACATTCCTTTATGTCCATTTTTTTGAAGAATAACACAAGGTAAAATTACCATCTTGGTGAATCATATGATCCTTGAGTTTTTTTTTTTGCATTTTTCTTTTAGAATTTTTATCTAATAGATTCTGTCTTATTTTATTCTCTACATTAAGAGTAATGGATTCTAGCATCTAAAAAAATGGAGAAATATATGTTCATATGGATTATTTAGAGGTCCATTTACATGTGCACTCATAACATATATTAATTTACATACATGAACCTTTATGCTCATGAATAAGTACACATATATGTAATTATATATGCATGGAAAATTCCCTTATGAGCGCTTAATTGAGTCAGCTTGTGCGTATTTTCATTTCTGTATTACGCAAGAAAATCCGGGTAAAAAAAAAGGCAAATATCTACTGAATTTTATGTTCTTAATTTTGTGGATTTTGAGTAATATATATAAGAATTGAACAGCCAGGAACATTCTACAAAATTGTAGAGATGATAAAAAAGAAAAAAAAAAAGGATTGTACTAATGTGTCTGCTCATGTTTTTGCTCAATCATCTGTTCATTGTTCATCTTCTCCATTTATTTCTTACAAGTTTGTCGAAAAACTGAAAATAGTTGCGGCCAGCATACTTCCATTTGTTTCACTATAAGTTTTTACGACGTATGAGAATATTCCTATTCAGTTTAGCATAAGTTTTATATGTGTACATGCACATCTATGAGTAAATGTAAAAATGTGTAATACGGGTGTTTGTCATTCATTAACTTGGAAATGGTACACATTCTTTTGCGTACTCATCTTCATATTCCTTTTCATCTCAATTTAACCGCAAAAGGACAGGACAGACATGCAAATAAATGTTATGATGTTGGCTTCAGGTGAGGAAAGGGAGAGAATATCAGTTAGTATAAAGGGAAATGCACGAATGGTTTAACACATATATATATATATATATATATATATATATATATATATATAAACTTATGTGCACATATTCATGTGCGCAGGTGGCTAAAGCTTATATAGAACAAGACATATGTATATCAATATGGTATAGCACATGGGTAGAATATGGAGAGGAAACTCAATAATTATCCCACTTTATTACTTAAAAATAAGCCCGTGCTGAGGGGATTCCAATCGGAGACTAAGAAAAAGCAAGAAGCATAACAAAAAAAAAAAAAAAAAAAAAAAAAAAAAAAAAAATTCATAATTTTTTTCCTTCACAATTTTTCAATTTTCTCACTTCACAATTATTTTTTTAAATGTGCTGTATGAAGGAAATAAAAGATGAATGCACCTGGATTCTTTTTTTCTTCATTTAAAAAAAAATGAGTCGTATCTACAAAAAAATAAAAAGACACGTAATATACTTGAGCACCTACATCTTTAAAGGCATAAATAACACATTTCTATGTCAAGAAAAAGGAAATTACTTTGAAAAATCGTTGAGGAAAATAAAAAAGTTAAGACTTGGACTATTATAATGATGAACCATAGTCCTGTGATCCATTTATTAAAGCAGTATATATGGAAAAAATGAGTCCATTTATGTTTATGAAATGTAGGAAATAGTTATGAATCTGTAACAAGATATATTGCTCTTTTTCACACATGGGAAGTCATTATTTGTGTGCACTTGTTAATATAGGTATAATATATATTGAATTTTCCTTCTTTTTCCACATTTCAAATTAGAGGGAATATAAACGAACCAGATGTAAGGTAATATAATTTATAAATACTTGAGTTCTTTGCATTTTCTACAAAAAGTGTGTTCTTCCAAAAGTGTAGAAAAAAAAAGACATAAAAATGTTTCCTCCAAATGGGGTATTCAACCATGCCACAAAAACGTCCATTAGAAAAAGACTTATATTGTTGTAGCTCATTATCTCAAATCAATTGTTATGTTATCTCATTTTCTTCATTACATTTACTCTCGTATTACCATTAAAAGACTTATCATCAGAATTATAGATCCAACTAGTATAAACGTGATTGACATATTTTCAATACAATTTTGCAAAGACACTAAGTTGTCCTTTTTTTTCTTCTCAATCTTGTTTTCATACCTCACGGTAGACTTATCGAATAAATAATTCAGTATCATGTTGTTCACAAAGAAATATATACAGTAAAGAGTAAAAAAAAAAAAAAAATAAAATAAAAAAAAAAAAAAATAAAATAAAAAAAAAAAAAAATAGAAAAGCAAAATATGCGATATATAATATAACAAAAATTTTGACTCTGTAAAAAACAAAACGTTCGTTTCTAGAAACAAAGTTTTAACAAATTTGTACAAAAAAAACGAATTCAATAAGATAAATGTTTAATCGATAGAACAGTAGGAAAATTTTACAAAATTGGAAAAAATGTGCTAAAGGAAAAAGTAGAATAAATAGGATAAAAAATAAAATAAAAAGGAAATTTTATATCTACTATTCAATACACTTATTTGTAAATATCAAATGTGTATGTACATTTGAATATTTTCTTTAACTGCTCGTCTTATGCTTATAATTGCTTAAACAATGTTCCCCATTTAAATTAAAACCACAAAAAATAATTTCATTATTTTCCATAAATATTTTTATGTGCTCTAATATATCAAATGGTGAAGAGGACACAAATATTTCAATAAAAATATCACAATCCGATTACAAATTAGGAGTTAAAAGGTGTAAATAATAACATCAACAACAAAAATCATGTTTATTCACACCCCCCAATATAAAATAAAATAAAGAAGGAAAAAGAAAAAAAGACCAAAACGGCGGCGAATTGGGTAGGGGGAAAACAATGTATACATTAGTGTCTATGAGTGTAGTACCCCCTCACCTCACCTCCCTATTTGGATTATTTCATATCACTCGTGTTGTAAAATCCATTGGATGAAAAAACGACATTAATGCAGTAACATCCCCAAAACATAGAAGCCTTTCTTAAGAATCATATTCAAAAAAAATGCACTGAAATTGTGTGGACCAAATATACCATTGTCATTTTTGCAAATACATGTGTTGATCTTTCCCTCTGTGCTCTTTAACGAAATACACACAAAAAAAAAAAAAAAAATAAAATAATAAAAGGTTATAAAATGTGATAAAGGTCGGTAAACGGTGATAGAGGGGGGTAAAAGGGTGATAAAATAAAGTGACATAAATATTACTTAAAATAATGGTCTGCTTGTCATGTATGCTTAAAAATTAATCAAAAATGCACACCAGAAATAAATATCCAAGATCATACTATCACAAATAGGGTTATAGGCTTGCTAAACGAAAATGTATAATCTTATATTTATCATTCTTACAAAAAAAAAAAAAAAAAAAAAAAAAAAAAAGTTTAAAAAACGAACTATTGTAAGCAAGAAATATAAGTCCAATTTATACTCCTCAAGGGTCTACCTATTTTATGTAAACAAATTTGGATTCATAAAATCTATGGATGCCTGAAGGACCGTATTTGGATTACTTTTAAGAACTGTCAAATCATAATTTTCTAAATTTTTGTTCTTATTTTTTCGTTTTCTTTCTCCTGGTTTTCGTCCCTTTCTCTTTGAAGTGTTTTCATTAATGGATGGATCAGCCATAGCATGATGGTTTGTTACTGCACTTTTCTCTGTTTCACCTACTTCAGCGGCTGCATATGGTTCTACATCCTTCGTAATTGGTTCATTTTGATTATTCATCACATTTTGTGTTACTTCTGTATTTCCGTTCGGGTTTTTACTCTTTCTAGGTTTCACCCTTTCATATTTCCTTCTCGGTTTTATAATTTTTGGTTCCTTTTCCACAGTATCATTGTTCTTGTTCGTCTTTCGTTTTCTTGTTGTCTTTTGTTTTCCTTCATCTTTTACATCCTCTATATTATCATTTTTAAATTTTAATTTATCTGAATTTTCCTTATTTTCTAATTTTAAAGCTACTTTTTTCTTATCATACCCCATATATCTGATGTAAATATTTTCGAAATATTTCCTCCTTTCATCGTTGTCTGGTACCATATCAAAATGTAGGTGATTGACAAACATCGCTTGCTGTTCCCTTTAAAAAATAAAAAAAAAAAAAAAATTATCAAAATAACATATCATTACAGTCACATCACAAATAATTTAAAAAAATGTACATACAAATAGCGTACTTTCATATGTACACTAGACGCTACTCATTAGTGGAAGAATATATGTTAGAACTCCCATGGGATGCAATAGCTACGAGCTGCGAATAATTTATTTCTCATTATCCAAAAAATTAAAGGAGTATCCTTTTACAACACACAAACACACACATACATATATATATATGTATATATTATTTCCTCTCTTTTTTCTAACCTCCATTTTATAGTAAATAATTGGTTACAGAATTCAGAATTCAATATGTGCTTGTAATCATAGGGCGTGATCTGTGTAAGCAATCTTCTTTGATTATAACCAACCTACAAAATGGGTGTGTCGTAGAAACAGAAGGAAAAGAAAAAAAGACGTTAGTGTACCACTATCATTAGGCATGTACGTACGTCCACATATATATATATATATATATATATATATATATATAAGTATATATGTACACATATTCTCATGGTGTATTCATGCATATTCCCTTAATTGTCTTCAAAATGGAGAGTACTTGCAGATTGTACACGATTTGTTTGTACCATTTCTATTCAGATATACTACACATAGCATATGTTTGTATGAATTTGCACAATTATTTACTTCTTAACTTACAAATGTAAACTCGTTGGCCTTGGTTCGAGCCGTTTCATAATCCAGCAAGGGTCCCCTAGTGATATCACTGGACGTAGTTGCATTTACTGATTTGAGGAACTAAAAGTGGGAAGATAATCAAATGAATTTATTACACATCTGATATCGTGTATTTGTGTTTCCTTTTGGTGTTGATATAAAACTGCATCTAAAAAATACATACACATAGGTTCGCCTTCGGGCGATTGTTAGTGTCCCTCCTTATCACAGGAATTATACATTAAAAACAGATAAAAGGAGCATATAGAAGAAACTCATAAAAAGAACACATAAAAGGAACACAGAAAAGGAACACAGAAAAGGAACACATAAAAGGAACACATAAAAGGAACACATAAAAGGAACACATAAAAGGAACACAGAAAAGGAACACAGAAAAGGAACACAGAAAAGGAACACAGAAAAAAAAATTCGAAATTACATCCAGAGGTTTATCTTCTAAAAAGGGATCCTTGTTCTTATTTTTTCTCCTCCTCCTTTTTGGCTTCATCTTATTTTTCAAATGTTCTACCTATAAGGGGTGAAAATATATAACATTGTTGACGATAAGTATATATATGTACAATAGCTTAGATATTTATTTAAAAAAAAAAAAAAAAAAAAAAAAAAAAAAACCTTTATCCACTTACTATTTTATCATCAATAGTTCTCTGATTGAAATAGGCTATCAAAGGGGCCATGTTCTGTAGGGAAAAGTTGAAAAATGGAAAATAGGTTGGGACAAAGCATCTAAAAATATATATACACTGTGTTGAACTAAATATGCTTAAATGGTTAGAATAATATGTTGGAAATGAAGCAGGTGAAGTAGAAGTAGGGGAAGACAAGAAACGAAAAAAAAAAAAAATTTTACGCACCTGGTGCACGATCAGCTTAGTATCCTTAAACTTTGATTGCGCATTATTTCTATTTTTTGTCAATAAATGGAAGTACTGGTCTAGCCTATATTTGTTCGAAAATTTGATTAGAGGCCACATTAGGTGAAGTCTATCCCTGAATGCACATTTTAATATATTTACAATTTTTTCAACATTATTTATAACACAAGTAATTCCTAAAGTATTTTTAATATTTTCTAAACATATATGAATCCTTTTCATAATTATCATATCAATTTTTTGTAACTGTAATTTTCCCATAAAGAAAGATAAATTTCTTCTTTTTAAATTGGATATATCTTTTTTTTTAAATAACAATAATAATTCTTTGTTATTATTCACATTTTCATTTAATGCAATTATATCATTTATATTTTGTTTTTTAAAAACTTTATTTATACAAAAACTGAACCTTTTATATTTCTTCTTAATAGCATTAATGGCACTTAATCTCATATTTTTGCTTAATGTTTTGCCTAAATATCTAGTACCTTTCAAATGATTGGGAAAATTATTTTGCGGAAAACGCAGCTTCTTCATATTTTTACCTTTTCTCATGAGAAAATTTATATTTTCATTGTTAAAACGATTGTCTGTGATGTTGATGATTTCATTTCTACTGGCATCCAGGTTACCAATTTGATTCCAGTTTTGTTTCCTATTTTGATTATCCTGTTCTTGGACATATTTGTCATCAATTTCAATTATATTCTCAAATATTTCAATATTCTCCCCCTTTTCCATGTGCTTCTTTTTGGTATTATTTTTGCCTTTACGTTCTATCCCTTCATTCCTCAATATCTCATTATTTTGAATTTCCCCTTTCGACTCATCGGGTACCTTGTCGTTTTTCTTCTTTCTCCTCCTCTTCTTCTTATGCATCTCGTTGTTATCATCAATCGTGCAATTTAAAGAATACTTAGAAGAAAGGTTCACTTCATTCCCTTGCACACATTCAGCATCCATATTATTTGGACATTTCATTTCAGCTGAATCTACCTTAATTTTCATTTCAGCAGAAATGTCAGCTAACATGCTAATATTATCTTTTTGAACAAAATCATTTCTATTTTGTTCACACGATTTTCCCACATGTTCATTCATTGATGTTAAGTTATTTTCAGCACCCAAAACCTCATTATCTACATTGAATGTAATTTGTTTTCTTTTTTTTTTCTTCTTCTTCTTCTCTTCTATACAAATGTTACTCGATGTAGATGCTAATAAATCGTTGTTATCCTCTAACGGGACATTGTTATTGTATTTTTTTTTTCGATATTTTCTTACTTTTTTATTTTTGCCTAAATTATTTATATCATCTGGATTATTAGCAGTTTTATGCGATTCATTTTCATCTTTTGGAAAATTTGGGGGATTATTCATGGAATCACATAAGTTCGGCAATCCTTTTTCCAATAACGTTTCGTTTTCTTTGTGAACAAAATCAAATTTATTTTTACTATTTATGCTATCATTTTGTGCATTCCCTACGTTGGTGCTCATAATAAGGTTAAGAACATCTTTTGCATTTTCACTTATGGCTGTACCATTAGAATTAACGAACGTCTCATACGTTGTTATAACCTTTTGTTTATTACCTTCTGTAGATACCGTTTGTTCTTGTGAGTTCATGAAATTTTTAGTCTCCCTATCATTGGTGGTGAGAGCCTTTTTGCTCGTTCTTGGTTTTCTCGGTTTCTTCACTATCCCGTTCGTTAGCCCATTATTACTTTTATTGTTATTGTAAAGGTTTATTCCTTCGTTTCGTTTCATGTTACTTTCATAATTCACATTGCTTTCAGCACTGACTCGATTTTCCCAGTTCATGCTGAAGTCATTCTGCGTGTTCATGCCGTTCTGCATTTGTGTGTTCATGTTATTCTGCACTTGTGTGTTGATGCCATTCTGCATTTGTGTGTTGATGCCATTCTGTATTTGCATGTTCATGTCATTCTGCATTTGCGCGTCCTTCTTCGCTTTTCTGGCACTCGTGGCATTCTTCCTTCGCCTTCTAACTTTCCCAGAGTTCTCATTCTCCTCAGAACGGGTATTCGGAGCGGACACACTTTCAATGCTAATATTTTTTATGAGTTCATTGAAATTGTTATTGATATTATTCAGCAACATGTTATCAATGTTGCCATCACTGTATCCACTAATCGTGAACGATGTACTCACATCAGCTTGCCCAAATGGATTTACACAAACTCCATCATTCGTGGAAGACGTGGTGGTGTTGTTGTTGGTGGCGATGTTGTTGGTGGTACTGATTGTAGCATTCTTGACATGATCAACATTATGCACTCCGGGCGGACTTAAATTGTTGCAATATTTTCTTTGTAAATCTCGGGAGGAATTCATAATATGAGCAAAATTTAGTAGTGAATACTCTTCTAACTTACATATTAGTTCGTATAATTTGTTTGGGTAGAAATTATTAAAATAGGGTAAAAATCCGGCATATTTGCTTTTATTTTCATTAAATTCTTTATTTAAAAATAGCCAAACATATTTTGCATCAACGTTCATTATATTATTTTTTAAAAATTCTTCTTTTTTATACAATTCAATGTCCCCTATTTTCATTTCAGTGCTTGTCAAATTTCCATGCATGTTTTTATTTGTTTCTCTTCTCATGTATCCATGGGGGATTCCTTGAGCGTTATTGCTTAAGTGTGAATCTCGCATAAACTCTGCGTTATTATTTTCTCTTATCTTTTTATTTATAAAATCATTAACATTTGTGTTATGATATGATGTGTTAGGACTGTACCTCAAGCCATTTACAATATTCTTCGACGCTCCATTATCGACTGAAGGCATGTTCATCATTTTTATATGTTCCTTTTCACCACAGTTATTACTTACGTTAGATGCATCCGCCTGATCGTCTTGATTACAGTTGTTGTAATTTTCACCTCTCGCAGAATGAATGTATATGTTATTCAAATAATTTGTGTTCCCATAGGTATTCATGATACCATTGTTCATATTTTCATGTGTTACATTCAACTTGTTATAAAATTCATTTTGATTCTGTGATGAGTACTTATTTGTTTTATCCATATCACTATTTTGTTGCATAGTATCACTATTTTTTTGCACAGTATCACTGTTTTTTTGCACAGTATCACTTTTTTGTTGCACAGTATCACTGTTTTGTTGCATGGGGGGGTAACTGCTTGTCATATTTGTCATCATCATTAACATTCTTTTTTTTCTTTTTTTTTCGTCATTTTTTATCTTCTCATCATTATTGGCCTTTAACTTTCTTTTCGATATTTTATTATTCACTGAATCGTTAAGTAATTCTAGTGTATTCCCTAAATTAGTAATGGAATTATCAAAATTATTATTCACAATGTCCTGTGTGCATGTAATACCACTGTTATTTCCCATTGTTCCTTCATCATTATTTTGATCATTCTTATTTTTCCTTTTCCTATTTTTTGGTGGTTTATCCTGTTCCTTCGTCTTTTCCCTCTCCTTTCGTGTTCTCTTTTTCGTTTTCTCCAACGTAGCACAATTATTATGCATATTCATGTTTATACCACTGCTGGGGTCATCTACAATATGTGTATTTCCTTCTTTTTTTGTTTTATCATCTTGAATATTATTTGCCTCATAATAAGGAATTTTATTTATATTTTGGTTCGATAAGCTACTTCCTGTACTGTACATGAAATCCCTACCATTTAGCACATTTATATTTTGTTCATTCACACATAAATTTTGATTTACCTGTACATTTCTACTAGGATTGCACATAATTTGGCCACTTTTCATATTGCTGTTCATGTTGTACATGCTTTGAACAAGGAACCCTGAACTTACGTTATTATTGAAAATTTTATCCGAATTGTTAAGACTGTAAAGATCTTGACTTCGATTATTTTTCCCATTTTCTAACAAAAGCATCTGCTGATCATTCTTTTTTGTATTGATAAGCATATCACTTCTCATGCAGTTATTCGTAACAGATATGTTACTGATCATATTATTATTACTTTTATTTTTTATTTTATCTAATTCGTTCAAATTACCCTTATCCTTATTCTTTCTGTAGCTTCTTTTTTTGGGATGATCAGTGGTAATTGTACTATTATTCATGGTACAACTTCCTTGTAAATTTCCTAGGTTGTCGTTATTACTGTTGTTATGATTGATCTTCTGGTTGCTACTGCTACTAGTACTTTTATTATTAATACTCTCACCAGCATGCTTGGGGTCCATATTATTAGGTACACTCAGGTAATTGTTCACATTTGAACTTAAACAATCAGAATTAAATGTGCTACTTTTATTCATGACACTCATTGTCTTATTAAAATTATTCACGTTGTAATTTCCACTGTTCAAACCACCCATATTAATCATATGGCTCATATCACCCATGCTGTTCATACCGCTCATAATGGTTATGTTGTTCCTACCAACATTGCTGCTGTTAACATAGGGATATTTCTGGACACTTCTAAACTGGTCTAAGTGGGTGTTCAAGTTACTACTAGAATGACGTACTCCTTTGTTTGTGTTTAGTGCAGTGCAACCATTTGTTTTATTTGCATTAACGTTCATTACATCATTTATTGTGGTGTTTCTTCCGCTAGATATTGTGTTACTCACAGTGTATGTGTTCATACTAGCATGTACATTGTTTATATTTCCATCGGTGCCGTTTGGAAATACCATACTGCTAGTACCCGCGCTGGAATTGATCCCATTGTTTCTACCAATTGGACAATTCAAATTACTAGACGTATTCCGATGAGTAATTAAATCGACTGTTTTAATTCTATTTAAATTATTCGTACTGTTCATACTGTTTTGGTTACGACCATTTGGGTTATAGTTCAGGTCAAAAGTATGCCTGCTTTTTAAAACTGGTTCTTTATTATTTAATACAATATTGTGATAATTCGCTGGGGAAAAATTATTCATATTATCATCAGTAGGTCCTTTGATGTTTCCTGAAAATTTATTGTAATTCAGGACACGAAAGGATTTGTTAGTACTGTCATTTATATCATGAACCAAACCATCATCTATCTTCTGCATGTCATTTCCCGTTTTCACGTTATTGATCATTGAATGGTAATTCCTGTTTTTATAGCCATTATTGCTTAATCCATTGTTGTTATAAATCATACTATGATGGTTATAAAAATTATGCTTATTTACTGAATAATTAATAGGTGAAAGTTTGGATAAATTTTTCATAATATTATTTGGGTTCCCTCCATTAATGTTCTGTTCTATCGATTTGGTATTAGAGGGACTATGGTTTCCTTCTTTCATATTCCTGCTAAACATGTTCGTATTATTATTGGAATTGTTCTTAATTGTGACTGAATATTTTGAAATGTTTTCATTATTTACATTTCTGCCATTGTTAGACGAATTGTTTCTGTAGCTACCATTACTTTGGGATTGATGCTGAATATTAGGATTCATTCTTATCCCTCTTTATTATAAAAGTTCCCTTTCCGAGATCGTAAAAATTCCTCGAAAGGGTTAGTGCACATGTTCTTCTGTTTTGTTTATCTCTCTTCTTTTAGGATTATCATTTAAATTATTATAATTAATTTAAAATGTTGCCATTAAACTTTGTAAAAAAAAAAAAAAAAAAAAACTTGTCCTCATCTTTTCACTACAAATTTGAATCTTTATTTATCATTATAACATTGTGTAATTATCTAAACAGATACATAATATTTCGTTTTGTATTTTTAGCTTCGTTTGTTTCTTCTTAATTTTCTATTCTTGAGCTGCTTTTATATATGTTTTTACACGTATCATCTGGCCTGTGTTCTCACTTTTAGTCTTACAAAGTTATAAAAAAATGTACTGTTTTTTTTTTTTTTTTTTTGCTTCTAACTTTTTATTATCATATATATATTAAACCCCTTGTCACTTATTTCAATATGAAAAATGTTTTTTTCTTTTTCTGTGCCCCACTTTTTTTCTTCTTCTTATCAATCAAAAAAAAAAAAAAAAAAAAAAAAAAAAAAAAAAAAAATTATTCAAATTTTCCCTTCGCATAAAGTGGAATTCATTTTGTTAATATAATTTTTTATGATTTAACTATTCATTACTTGTAGCATCACACAAAAAGGTAAATTATGTTTTCATTTTAAATAGGAATTAAAAAAAAGAAAAATATAAAGAATCCAATTGCGCATGGAATTTTTTTTTTTTTTGTATGCATATAACAAAAAATATAAATTAAAAAAAAAAAAAAAAAATGGGGGCTAATGAATATATATAAAATAAAATCATGATAATGAAAAGCACGAAAAAATAGCAAAATTTTGGACTTCATTTTTCTGTTTCTCCGTGAATTAAAAGTGTAAATAACACGTACCATTTTTTGTTCAAAATGAGCATGAACATATTTACGTAAGACATTTGTAGATAAAATGTACATATATGTACATGTATATAAATATATATATATGTACTTATATACATATGAGCATACGCATAGGCACACATATATACACATACACACGTATAAACTTACGCACTTACACATTTCCATGTGAAATTATTCAAAACTCTGATTAACAACTGCAACTTCCCAAAACATTTAAATAAAAGGACCGTTGCATGTTCCCATACATATTTCTCTCCCCCAAAAAAAAATTGAAATTGTCAGAAGAAAAATCTTATTCACACAATGTGAGAAAAGAGCCTCCTTCTACACCTATGGTTCACTCTATTTCATTCTTTCTTTTGTCTTAAAAGTTAGTAAAATATTGATTTTTAATTTACGCAGGAATGACGCAAATATTTAATCATTCAGTTATTTATTAACTTTTCATTTAGAAGAATCTTAAAAAAAAAGCGCCTGCTATAGAATTCATAAAAATCAAAGTGAGTTCCATACATGTGTGAAAAAAAAAAAATAATAATAATAAGCCCAAGTGTAAGAATATGAATCTAAATAGTGTAAGTGTAGCAAGTTGGTCCTTTTAAATTACGCTGTTGCAAGATTAAAAAAAAAAAAAAAAAACAGAAAAGAAAAGAAAAAAACGCAACGCAAAATTCTCCAAAATTAATTAACCATAAGTAGTATCTTACAAAAACGCATATAAAAAAAAAAAAAAATGCATTTTAAAAGGAGCAATATGAAACTTATGTGAAAGGATTACTAGGACGAATTAGAATGAGAAAACAAAACTCTCATATAAGCTCATAGCAAAACAATAGAAATATAAAACTTCCTTCACGTCATTCTAGACATATATATGAACGTGTTTCCAGTAAGTGCGTTAAATGTAATCATATACATGTACATATATACATATGACGCGTGAATTATTTTCATTTGCTCATCTATAATATATAGGTTGGACGGTGTACTGTGCCCATTAATTGGAATATAGCTAAATACGTGCATATTGGATCAACGTTACATGTACATATATCATATGTAACCTTTTCAATTATGTTTAAAATGGGTTTTCCAAAAAATAAAAAAAAGGAGAAATGAGGTAAACACGGAAAAGTACATATGCATTTATATACATGGAATGAAAAAAAATTAACGACCCATCGTTGCTGCGTGGGGATTATTCAAAGACGGGACAAACTGCGGATATTTGGGGCCTATAAATAAAATAATGAAATAATTCAAAGGTGAATATTTTAAAATTGGTCTACAAAATGATGTGCACACGGGGGCATAAAAAGGTAGCACGCATTAAAGGGGTACGAGAATAAGTATTTATTATAATGTAAAAATTCTCGCTTAAAACAACATCTCTGGGTTTTGTGTCAAATAAAAAAAAAAGAAGAAGTACGTAGAATATCTTAAACTAAATACATTTATAAAGACATTAAATGATACTACTATATTTGCAAAAGCACAGTATATCAACATTCTTACATACAAAAAATGGGTACTCGTTTAATTAATACATTAAGTCTCTCAAAATTTTATATCTGAAAGAATTGTCACTTTTTTTTTAATGACTTACAAATTTTGGCTAAAAATTCTTTTAAGGACATCATCATATGTTGAGACCTATCCTCAATCAGGTACGAGAAAAACCTGCAGAAAAGCGTGTATAATTAGTGTATGTCATGTATGGAGATACATAGTTTTACAAAAGGAGAGATGTACAAATCCACATGTGTGTTAAACACACAAACGTGAATTGTGGCATCCATATAACCAAAACTAGCACGTATTCATAAATCCGCATATATATATATATATATATATATATATATATATATATATATATATATATATATATATATATATGCACAAACTGCGTCCCCTTGCAAGTATTACTTGTATTCCATGGGATCCCCTTGTTTTACGACTAATAGTCTCATATATGACGGAGTTCTAATTTTTCTCAAGGAATTAATTATGTTCAAAATTTGCACACCACTTGGATTTCCACTTGTTCCTGAAAAATTTCAAAACAAAATAGAAGTAAAATGAAGATAAAAAAAAAATGTGTATGCAATCTATTATCATACACGGACAACTATAATATATGTCTTTTCTTTCCTAAATTACCTATATGATTTTCTGCATATTCCGTGTTTAATTGTTCTAGTGAATGAACTCCGAAGATTGCGTACACCCATTGCGGATTTATGTTTCTATTTGATAGGGAAACAAAAAAAAAAAAAAAAAAAGAGAACAATTAGACATAAAAAAAAAAAAATACATTAGACAGGATGTTAATACAAAATCGGATGAAAACATGTAGAACTTATGAATTGATAAACATAAATTCCAGCATGCACAATACATCATAAACATGAAAAAAACATATACGCACAAACTCTCGCTCAGTTAAATTACCGTCCGATCCACATAATAATATTCTCTCCATCTTCAACTATGTAACAACCATCTTGAGTCATATTTTCACAGGTTAAACTCATGGTATCAGGAAATATAATTGCGTTATTTTCATCATAATTTCCGTGATGCTTTTCCAAATTATGCAAACAGAACATTCTCGGGTAAAAATATGCCTCCACCGAATTCACTGGAATGTTTTGAACTCTGTACCAGTGATAAATTCGAAGATCAGATGGTACATCTCCACTATCCCTAAAAGCAATTGATTTAAGCATTCCCAAAATGTATATGGATAATAACCTAGCTGTTTCTGATGGGAGTAATTGAGATGATAAGACTTGTGAACAAAGTGTCTGAATTAAATTTCTTCCATCTGCAATTTTTCCTTTTTTACAAGCATCTATAGCTTGATGAGAAAGTAAAGAGACAACAACCTGTGGGTTAATAGAATCGGTAATAGTTTTAATATTCTGTGTAACCGGTAGGGCATATGTATGTAATCTTATTCTCCTTTCTCCATTCGAATTTGTATATAAAAGAGCTGATTGCACATAAACAACAGAATCCTGAACAACATTTTCTTCTAAATCTACAATTATACTAAAATTTTGACTCGAGTGACAATTTGGTAAGGCTAATAAGTCTACACCTCTGAATTGGAAATTTCCATACCAATTGATAATTTTCCATCCTCTACTTATTCTTATTCTCATTACTGATTCCCATGCAGTCTCTGTTGTTAATGCAAATAATAATTCTTCTCTCAATTTATCACTAAACTGATGTACATTAAATTGCGGATAATAATATAAGGAACCTCCAGAATTTTTAATTAATGGATATATGGTTGCTAAATCTAAGCTATATAATGGACACGCAAATAAGTCTACTGCTATTTGAAATTGAGTAATATTTTGTGCTAATTCTGTATATGAATTATTAAAAGGAGTTAATATTTCTATTTCTCTTACCTTCGGATCGACCACATTATTACTTGAGCTACTGGAACTGTAAATACTTTTATAACTACTTCCTTTTTCTTTCGTTTCTCTATTAACACTAACTGTTAAATCACCTATATTTGGTGGTGATGATAAGAAGAATAAAATTTTTCCTCCAACTTTTTTTAAAACCATAACTGCTGCCTTTAATGCATTACCTGCACAGCAATCACTTATTTTGTTATTCCTCCACATGGTAGGTAAATTGTCTAGTAAAGTATCAATTACATTTTGACACTCATGCACATTCACTAAAATATCTTCTGGTAATGGAATGAAAATGTCTTGTATATCTGGCACTATCATCATCTGTGTTTGTTTTAAATTTGAATTTAAATTATAAAAATGTACAGTTGAATCAAATGTCATAATTCCAATAAGAGTTCGAGAATCGAAAGTCTTCTTATTATTACTATCGTTATTGTTGCTATCATTATTGGCACTATTATTTTTTGGTAATAATTTTTTGATGGTACTGCATACTACATCTAACAAACCTGAATTCACAGAAGTTACCGTTACGTCGATTAGGAATAAATATACTGGGGGCTGAGGGGGTCTTACCATGTAATCACTTGGTGCAATAAATTCTACACTACCTGTACATAATTCAGGCCTCTGAAATAAATCTTTTCTTTTTCCTTTCTCATCCAATGGAGTAAAATAAAATTGTGGCGTATCATTCACATGATAACACATATTACAATTCCATTTCTTTCCTCCTGCTTCAAATCTTACAAAAGGGTTGATATAGGTTCTACATTTTTTACATCTAACAACAGTTGAGTTTCCAAAATTTACTGAAGATAACTCTGGATATCCATCTGGAATTGGAGCTAATGGTTGTATTACAAAACCTAGTGGCACATATGCTTTCTGTTTTAATGTTGTATTCGCAGGCATATAGCTTACCGAACTTTTTACAAAATGAGAAAAGGCATTAAATTGAAAAAATTCTTGATACGAATCGTTGATAATTGGTTGTACACTATTTATACGTACACCACCCGTAGTATCATAACCTAAAACATTATCCCCAGGTTTTAATGTGTTATTATTATTCAGTATTGGGATAAATTGATTTGCTACACCTCTATACTGTGCCTGATTATTTAAATATGCATTTGGATTGTTTCCACCACCATAAATATTATCATTTAAATTACTAGTATTCATATAATCTTTATTTTCTCCATAAATTCTGGGTTGCATTTGCTGTGGAGGATGATAGTATGGTGGATAAGTACCTTCATTCCCCTTTATATTGTTGTTACTACTATTTGCTGTGTCCGCATTATTACCACTGTTATTATTATAAAAAAATGGGTTATTTATTGGCTTGTTTACATTGCTCTGATTATTACTATAATTCCCTGTATTATTACTATTGTTGTTGTTATTGCTATTGTACTTATTTACCCCCCTATTATATTCATATGGCTGCATTTTAGCTTTGAGCAATAATGTAAATAAAAAAAAAATATATATATATATATTACAAAAATAATATAATTCTGTGGGATACACAATTCCGTGTGATTTATAAAAAAAAAAAAAAAAAAATGCCCTTTATATTTTCGTACAGACAAAGCAATGAGGGAAAAAATCGCATAGGATTGGAGCCTTCATTCGAAATATTGGATAAGCACAAATGCGTAGGTACGTATGTGTGTGCTTATAACAAACCCAAGTGTAAAATGTTTTATGCACATCCTTTGGTGATTAGTTACATATAACCCTTACAAACTTGGTACACGCACAGTTGGTTGCATACTCTGTGCAATCTTTGTGCATTATGCAAAGGTATGCGTTGTGATATATACTTATCTAAGATATTGTTTTTCTCATTTTTCTGTAACAAATATATTTTATTTGCTGCTTTTGCTATACAACGTGATGGTTATTTGCTTGTCAGTTCATCATTTTTCATCCCGAATTCGTGTAACTATTGTAGTGTTATATATATATATATATATACATGTATTTTACATAAATACTTATATATATACTGCTTTTCCTTTTCCTTTTTTTATTTTTATTTTTTTTATTTTCTCCCGCATCCGTTTATTTCTTTCCCTATCTTCATTAATAAGTTTTTGCGCGTTTTGGTTAATCTTATACAAACATTTAATTTTTGATAGCTATGTAAAAAAAAAAAAAAAAAAAAAAAGTGTAGCAACACTGATATACATTTTCGTCATTCGACAATTGCGTTATACTTGTATGAAACATGTATTACGAACACACGCCTAGCGTTTCACGTTAATATGATAAATTGTGAAGTGTATCCCATCAATCACTCCCTTTTCTCTTACATATGTACACAAGTAAATTTAAACAAAAATCTTGCACAATATATTTCTTCAAAAGAGATAAACATAGCTGCGCGAGACGATATCACCATTGTGTTATTATGTAAATGTATTAATAGCACGGAGTCAACGTATTATGCATATATATATATATATATATACATATCATATAGGTATAAAAATGTAAATACGAAAAAAAAGAAAAAAATATCCTTAACCTATCTTCTCCGACTTTATATGCTGCACTTGAGGGTTTCACATACAGTACAGCATAAAGCATGGATATTCTCAAATGAATACATAACATAATACATATGTAAATGCAAATTCGTTACTTATGTACAATGGGTAACATGTGGTTACAATTAAAAAATTCACCAGGAAATCGGGGCAATGCTTAAAAAAAAATTATTCTGAAATTAATGTGTTTTTTTTTTAAAATTCTGAGAAAAATAATTTTTGTTTTACACAAAATTGTTATTGAGAGAAGTGGCTTTTATAAAACTTATGCCAATGTGCATATTATATTCTTTACTTACCATGCAATGTATTATACACATGATAACATGAACATTTTTCCTTACATTTCCCTTTTGGGGAATGTTTAATTTTTGATATTCTTTTCCTTGGCCTTTTTCGCGCAGGCATTTTACTTTATCCCCCTCTTCAAAAAAATTAATATTGAATTAGGAAATGTGCAATTATGCACACCACAAACTTAACAAACAAGCTATTAATGTTTTCTTATATTTCGTGTTACATCACCTTAACTTAGCATTGCAAGAGTAGTTTTATTTATTTATCTATATAATTATTTATCTATTTATCTATGTATTTTATTTTTTTGAATTTTTTCTTGCATTTTTTTTTTTACAATTTTTTCACGTTTTTCAAAACTTTCTTCAACCCCTTTTCCCTTTCATGATCGCAAAATTACAATGTTGTGAGGTAACAGGAGGTTAAATAATTAATTGATAATCACATATCCTCTTAAAAAAAACAGAATAAAAGATTAAAGCATTCATATAAAAATTTGACTGTGAAATATGGAACAAGTACATTCATTATTAACTGCTATATTAGTTCTTTTTCTTCCCCATGAAGAGAAACGGAACTGAAGTCCATCATTAATGTATATATATATATATATATATATAGCTCTTTCTAGGGGATCCCATAAAATTATCAAAGAAAATTTTTATTTTTACAAGTATACGTTTTACTCCTCGTCATTTGCCCCCATTCTATGTTCTCTTGACACGCTTAAGACATCTGAAAACCGTTCATGTACATATCAAATTGTCTTTTTTTTTTATTTTTAACTACATCTACATTCATCGTAGACATTATATCCCATTTAAAACGAACATCTTCCCTTTTCTTCACGTATTAAATAAGTATGGCAATTTGCTAAAAAGGAAAATAATTAAGTTATATATTGTTAAAAACACATTCAGTAGTACGGAAGGGAAAAAAAAAAAAAAATTAATTCTTCTTAATTTTTACATTTTCACATCATCCCCAATGGAATAAATATCCATAATTATAAATGCGGTTAAGAAAAATCCTTTCCTCCTTAATGCAAAAACATAAACCATTTTAATCACCAAAAATTTCAGCTATACATGACCAATTAGTTCCTGTATTCATTTTACCTATTGTAGCAAAACTACATAGTAGTAATAAGTGCGTTCCGCACACTTTTTTATCAAACCAGTTAAGGGAATAAAAAGCAAAAAATTAAATTTTTAACGGATGATATTTGTAAGGTCTTATGTGACAACTGCTATCCGTTGTTGTACATGTCAAAATTTTGAAAATTACTCTTTTTAAATACATTCGATCTTAAATTAACGCTGCACTTTTTATTTTGCTTCTTTATAAAAAATTATTCACTCGAATTTTTCTTTTTATGTTCTTGTTTACAATCCACACTAATCTATTCAGTTTCGTATTTAAAAGGAAAAAAAAAAAAAGTTTCTACACTTTTTAAAACTTAGCTGTGGGTGCAAAATAAAATAAAATGCTAGATAGGGTGGGGGATAAATCTACATAGCAAGTTGTTTAACGTGACTATTAGGAAAATAAATCCATAGAACATGTACTTCTAAAATATATTATGTATTATGTGAGTAGCTTATGTATATATACTGCACGCCTATGGTTGTGTTGAGAAAACAACGTGGATTAACTTTCATGATTTGAAATTAATTTTGTGAATATTTCAGCTTTATATCTTTTCCCCAAAGAGCTTACAAGGCTAATCATAAAAAAGATATATATATATATATATATATCCACATCTATATGATATTTGTAATAATACATGTTTACATAAACATTCACCTGAACTGCGCTACTTTTCGTTCACCACGTCCACTGTTTGTTGTTCAAAATTATGTTTAACGTGAGCCAAAACCTGGAATAAAGTGGATCTTAGCATTTTCAGCAGTTTTAGCAGTTCCTATTTTGTATCAAGGGCTTGTGTAATCCATTTTCAACGTATTTATCTTGTTCCCAGTTTTATAAAAGAGTAGATTTGCAAAAATGCACACATGAAACTGGAGCACCTAAAAAATTGTAACTCGAGATGTATATGCAGAAACAAGGTAATTTAGAAGCATGACTTTTCTCTTTTCCCTTCTCAGTTAATATATGTATATATACGTACAGAATTTTCGATAAAAAAGTATACCACTTAGATGAGTTAAACCTGTGATCTCTCTTTTTTTTTTTTTTTTTTTACTTCCTCTGCAACTGGTATTATTATGAGCTCAAAGTGTTACAACAAAATAAATTAATATGCTCAAAAAGGTTAACATAATTGAAAAATATACAAAAAAATTGGAGTGAAAAAACAAAATGCCTTTGAAAAATAAGTATGGAATTTTAAAAATAGGAATTGAATACGACTACAATGCTGCGGACAGTATAGATATAGACGAGGTTAGTCCAGATTTTATCGTAACTGAACTTTTTAAAAAAAACAGCGAATACAATAAACTAACTAGTGCTAGTAATTGTTGTTCTAATTTACCATGCTCAAGTTCGAATACATATAAAGTAGATCCCCTTTTTGGAAGTAAATTTGAAGACAATGATATTTGGAAACAAAATATTTACGGTTTTACATCTAAATGGATAGATCCAGATAATGATAATGCACATGTTAGTGCATACTCTCTTGATGCACTAAATAAAGAAATACAATGGTCTAGTTATATATCCTTATCATACTTAATTATTAATAGCCCTTCTTACAAAAAGTGTGATAATTTTGCTAGATGTATCAATGCCAATATTCACAATTATAATGGGGTACCAGTTATCATAAGAATACCAATTGGAATACGAACAGAAAAATCAAAATTTCCAGATGGATCCATCGACAATGTATCTTTTCCTGGTAACACAAAAAGTAGTAAAAATAAATGCATAGATTATGTAATAAATGGGTGGCATTTGTGGGCGAAATTTATTTCCTACTGCAATTTTAACTTTGCAAATTTAAATGTAGGCATAGAATTAGTCAACCTAAAAGATGTCGATATTTATAACATAAATTTAGATATATGGAAATCAGAGCCAGTGAAATTAATTTTCATACCATTGGATTCATTTGTTATTGATTCAAAGAGCGGATATCCATATTTACCCAAAAAATTAAAAGACATGTTAGTATATTTCTTTAGAAAAAATATTGAAGTTGTGATAACAGGTAAGAAAACAAACACATATGATTTTCCACATATAGTAAAAAAAGAAGAAAATTGCTCCAACCAGATTATAAACTCAGATGTAAAATATCTTAAGTGCTGTATTTATTACATAAAAAGATTATTTATGTCTATCGAAAATTTTGATAACGAAAAACTTTTTGATAATGCTTATTGGGACCATTTACAAATACCTTTACAACCATTAAAAGATAATTTACCTTCCCAAACTTATGAAATATTTGAAAAAGACAAAACAAAATATGATCAATACGAATTGGCCATTGGCAAATACCTATTCACTGAGCTTCAAAAAGGAAGTAATAATAATGCTAAGGGCAAAGACAGAGACATCATCATTTTTGTAGTAGGAGCAGGAAGAGGACCATTAATCGATTGCACCTTGTTGGCTCTAGAAAAATATAAGATTACCAAATTTCAAATATATGCAATAGAAAAAAATGACAGTGCCATTTTAGTTTTACAAAATAGAGCTTTAAACTCCAAATGGAAACATGTAACAGTTATACATAGCGATATGAGATATCTAGAAATAGATAAAAAAGCAGATTTAATTGTTAGTGAATTATTAGGATCTTTTGGTGATAATGAGTTATTTCCTGAATGTTTAGATGGAATAAAAAAATATTTGCAAGAAGATGGTGTAAGTATTCCGCAAAATTGTTTATCATATCTTGAACCCATTTCTTGTTCTCATATTTATTATAAAATAGGACAAAATAATTTTCCAGGATACAATGAAATTTTTTATGTTGTAAATATGTACTCGTATTGCAAAATTACAGATGAAGAACCAAAAGAATGTTTTTACTTTCAAGTACCAAGCAAAAGTATACAGAAAGATAATTCTCACAATAATAGATATAAACGTATAAATTTTATTATTAACATGAATTCCTATTTACATGGATTCCTATGTTATTTTAAAAGCCATTTATATGATGATGTGTATTTATCTATTGAACCAAACACGCATACTAACAATTTACACAGTTGGTATCCTTTATATATACCCGTAAACCAAATTCATTACTTAAAACAAGGACAAATATTGTCTCTAAGTATTTGGCGCTTAACAGATAATCATAAAATTTGGTATGAGTGGTGCATTAACGAACCCATTTCAACCACCATTCACAACTACAACGCGCGACATTTTTCAATTGGAAGGTGACCTGTGAGAAATATAATAAACGATGAGAACAAATCGTAAAAGATTAGCAATTGATGGGAGATATACCCCCACTGTTCAACCTAAACAGATTCAAACTTTTCAAATATGACAAATATCTGTTTTACATTTTTTCGGATCCAATTTTGAATTTCTTACAATGCACATTGAAAAAACATACTTCTCAAAAAAAAATAATGGAACCTGGAATAGACCTTACCACTTTACTGCTATATAAAAGTTTACGGTGAATTTTAATGTAATAATAGATGATCATATATTTTTTACTAGGAAGTTATTACGATAATCGTTTTGAAGGAAATTAGTATATTATTATTTTTTCTTTTTTTTTTTTTTTTTTTGTCACTTTGCACCAAGATAAAAACACATGCAAGAGACATATAACACAAATTTTAGAATTTTTTTATGTAATTAGTAACCTAAACAACATTTCCTTTATATTTTGTATCTTTGCACTTCTGACAAAGGACCTATAAGCACAAAGGGGGATTCAGTAAGAAGTAAATACGTACAGGATATGTATCTCTGTCAACCTGTATAACGGATATGTGTTACAAGTACATATATATACACACAAAAACACTTACGCGCTTTTTATCAGAGTTCTCATTATATGCAAACCCATGCTATCCAACACAAGTGAGCAATAAGGATCTTGTATTTAACTATATTTGTAAAATGGGTTCAACAACGATGCACTCATTGTTTTCTTTATGTTTCCTTTGAGATGCACTTTATTTTTCTTTTCTTCTTTTTTTTTTTTTTTTTTTTTTTTTTTTTTTTTTTCAGTTTTTTCCTTTAAATTCTAAAATTTTTTTTTTTTTTTTTTTTTTTTTTTTTTTTTTATTTTTTTTTTTTTTTTTTTTTTTTTTTTTTTTTTTTTTTTTTTTTTTTTTTTTTTTTTTTTTTTTTTTTTTTTTTTTTTTTTTTTTTTTTTTTTTTTTTTTTTTTTTTTTTTTTTTTTTTTTTTTTTTTTTTTTTTTTTTTTTTTTTTTTTTTTTTTTTTTTTTTTTTTTTTTTTTTTTTTTTTTTTTTTTTTTTTTTTTTTTTTTTTTTTTTTTTTTTTCTTCTTGTCGATATTCACTGAACGTGTGAATGAACCCATTTTAGCTCAATCATAAACATAAATTCTCATAATTACTAATCACATAGAACACACATCCGCTTTTTTAATATGCGAAATGAAAATGTCTCTTTCTTTTGGGGTACCTTTCCTACATTATCTTACTTTTCATTTCTGCTAAACATAACTGTAATCAACTTTAAATGTTTGATGTATGCATAACTTTACACTAATACATGTATATATATAGAACTCATGTTACGAAGTAGGTGGACTTACGTAAATGTATTATTAAAAGAAATAAAAAATAATTATAATAATAAAATATATAAAAGTTTCCATTTTCTTTCTTAATTAATATGATTCTTGCAAATTTTATATGAGTGAATTATAAAATGTAGAATACACAAACTGTTTGTTGTTAGTTCAAAGAAAATAAATGCGTATTATGTTTTTAAGGAATACCATAGAACCACATGCGCCATGGCTTGCATGAACAGAGAATTAATAGTTTTATTCACATTCTATATCCTAAAATGTTTCTTTTATTTTAAATAATAACACAAATAACACAATTCATCCATTTTTGCATGTATACAATGTGGCTTATTAATAATATATTTTTTTCTCTCATGAGTTTATCTTCCCTTATCCTTCTTTTTTTTTTTTTTTTTTTTATAGTTGTACTTCTTAGGGGCAATTAATAGAGCATAAAAATATTAATATTTCACAAAGTTTAGGCTCCTTTAATTTTTCTCACCTATTTTTATTACATAGATGATGGATAGGAAAAAGTATTAGGTGTGTTTTCATTTCACTTTTACTTCATTCTACCTTTTTCTAGCTTTGCAAGCTTTGAGGGGGTTTCACGTTTCTTTTAATTAAATGCTTTTTTTACAAATGAAACTAATATGTGGGAAAAGGGGAAAAAATATTTTCATAAAGTTTAAAAATGTTCATAAGTGCAAATTTTGGTGGAGAAGAGTGTCAAATTGGAGATGGCAAAAAAACGAAGAGAGGAGAAGTTAAATGAAAAATAAAAAGCTTCTCGCCATTCATTTTTACATAGCTTCCTCCTACACTTTACATATGTATATATAATATATATATAAATATGCATATCCTTTGTGGCATAATAGAAACAATTTTTTTAAAATGGCATTTACAAAAAATCCAATTTGTCAAGTGCGAAACAAAAGCTAAAGAGAGGGAACACATAGATTATATATATAAGAGCTACAGAGTATCGATGATAAGCAGTAATTTATATGTGTATACATGCACTTACATATGTATATATGTGAGTATAAGCCATATGCATTTTATTTAGTAGGGGAAAAAAAAAAAAAAAAAAAAAAAAAAAAAAAAAAAAAAAAATATTCCCTATAAAATTAAAAAAAAAAAATAAAATTTTTTTTTTTTTTTTTTTTTTTTTTTTTTTTTTTTTTTTTTTGTTAATAATAATTATTATTAAACAAAAAATGTATTTAAAATGCAAAAAAAGTGCGTTTTAAGAACGTTTTTATTTTGACTACATTGATTTCCTTCTGTTGTGTATATCCACTTTTATTCATCATTTTTTTCCAGATTTATTTTTACTCAAGCATTTCATTCGTTCATTTCCGAATATTTTCATTCACAGATTTATGCCTACAACTTTACAATTTTTATGACCTACGACACTGAGAGCGTATGACATACAGCGTACAACTTACTACATATAATTTACAACGTACAACTTACTACATATAATTTACGACGTGCAACTTGGGACGTACAACTTACGACGCAGAGTTTATGATGCGCAACTTTTCAACGTACAGTTTACTACTAATAATTCAAGCTTTTTCCGTTTTCTATTTTACCGATTTACCGTTTTAACAATTTGCTGATCTGCCTATTTGGCGTTTTAATAACTTTTCTACTTACCGATTTGTCGACCTTTCATTGTTATGACTTACCGCATTTTTATATTTTTTTCATTCACTCCCTTTTAAGAAAACTTGTTTATAAAACCATTTAAACGTACAATTAAAAAAAAAAGAAAAAAAAAGAAAAAAAAAGAAAAAAAAAAAAAAAAAAAAAATGGGAACATTCATATTTTAGTTATAAGAAGAAAACGAAAGATATATACCGTATGTATATAAATGAAATAGTATTAGTTCTTTGTATATTCATTATGTGTAGTATGCCCATATATATATGTTTATTTATGTAGTTATGAATTATATATAAGAACAGCGTCACAAGTGTGTAGTTATGAAAATACACCCATCTACATGTGCTTTTTCATATAAAATTAATTCTTCTTTAAGAGTACTCCCAAATTATCATTTAATGATAATTTAAAGCTCCTAAAGTTTTTTTTTTTTTTTTTTTGACCATTTCATAATCCCCAAATTTATCAATTTTTAAATTAAATTACAACATTATAAATTAATGGATAAGGTAATATAACAAGACACAAAAATGACTATAACAACAGAATTTATGTTCTATGTAGATATATGCATACAAGAAATTTATACAAATGATTAAGTGTTTACATTTCATACTTAAATAATCATAATTTGGATGAAATAAAAAGAAAAACATATATATTAAGAAAGCTACATGCGCTCATGCAACCCGTGCTTCACCAATGTTGTGTACCGCTAGTGTGAAATGCAACGCAGTATTTTGCTATTTTTGCATTCCCATATAATTTTTGAAACTTTACAAAACATGTTCCAAAGTAACATCTGGTGCATGCAAAAGTAGTTGTTCGAATTTGAACCGTTCATTTTGCTTTGCTTTACGTTTATCTATTTTATATATTTTTCTTTTTCTTTCCCCATTTCTATTTTACAGAAAAACAAGATGGAATGGAATAAAAATTTTCAGTCGAATAGTATATTTGTTTATAATTTTCCCAATGAATGGAATGAAAATGACATAAAAAAAGTAAGAAATATATACATGTGCTTGCAGAATAAGGGGACATTTGCTAGTCCCATTTGCTACACTCATTGCATACATGTGATCATACGTTAGGGATTCATAATTCCTAACGGAGAATGTATATATTTTCATGTGTATCAAAATATACATCCTCATAGTCATTGATGCATATATATACATTTGCTTATTTTTTTTTTTTTTTTTTTTTTTTTTTTTTCATTCTTCAAGAATTTCATGGTATTCGGGACGATAAATAATGTTCTAATAGACAAAGATATAAATACATATGCATATGTACAATTCAACGAAATTGAGGCATGTCAAAAGGCTGTGGAAGTTATGAATGGAAAAGAAATCAGTGGAAAGGCTCTGAAAGTCACGGCAAGAAAAATTGTAGATGAATGCTTGGATATGAATTCCACAAAAATCGAAACACAACAGAAAACTCAGGTAAATAAAAAAAGCTGTAACATGGAAAGAAAAAGAGAGAAAAGAAAAAAGAACGAAATATACATATTGAGAGGGAGGAATTATTTACATGCATATTTTCATGAAAATAGTTTGTGTTACACAAATATAATGTTCAATTTAATCGCCCCACGTAACCTAATGATCTTATGTGAAACAAATTATCCGTTTTTTTTCGCGTACTAATATTGTGCATAAGTATAAATAATAATAAACATTTAAAATTTTTTCCTCCTCTTTTCCTTAGCCAAATAATGAAAATAAAAAAACGACACTTTTTGTTTTTTACTTACCTCCCCACTGGAATGACCAGGATTTATTTGATGTAAGCAAGAGAAATTATGAATATTAAAAAATCAGCAAATTAATATTGGGAAAATGATTTTTACACATACATATTGTGCATCATATGCTTATATACCATTTTTCCCATACACACATACTTAATTTTTCATTCTCTCGCCCTTTAAGAAATTTAAAACCTTCGGAAATTTGGAAAGCGCTACTGTAGCAAAAAAAAATGACAAAACAAGTAAAGGATATGGGTTTGTTGTTTACACGGATCCTCACAGTGCTGCAATGGCAATATCAAATATGAATAAGGTGGAGGTGTATACAGGAAAGAGACTAAAGGTATTATTTTTTCTCCTAACAAGTGAATAATTTCCAAAAAAAATAAAATAAAATAGAGAGATAAAAAAAAAAAAAAAAAAAAATATTTTAATCTTCATATATTATAACGTCTTATTAAAAACTTTTTGTTGCTATTTTTTTTTTTTTTTTAGGTTCTACTAAAGTCCAGTTCTAATGAAAACAACAAAAAAAAAATAAAACCGGGGTGCACAATTTTTGTTTTCTATTTGCCAAATGATTGGAGTGACAAGGATTTAAAAAGAGTAAGATAACATGAAAAGATAAAAAAAAAAAGAAGCAAACATAAACATAAAGAGAAACAAAAACTTAAGCAGAAATAGAAATGAATTAAACAAGTTCTATTTTTGTAACAAAAAGAAAAAAAAAAAAAATAGATGTCGTGGGAGATAATAAAATATCCATGTGCCTTTTGCCTTATAGGGCAACACTCGCATAAACAAAATACACATATACGCTTGTAAATATACACAAATGTTGCACATTCGTTTAAATCTTTTATTTTTATTTATTTTCCCTTATCTTTCAATTTATTTCTCTTGTAGCATTTTTCGCATTATGGAAATATCCTAGGTGCAACCGTAAAAAGAGAAACGAATGGAAAAAGCAGAGGATATGGCTTTATAAATTTTGAAAATCAGCAAAGCGCCATTAATGCCGTTGCGGGTATGAATGGATTCAATGCAGGCAATAAATATTTAAAAGTGTCAATAAAAAAGGGGGAGGAACAGTAAGTACTTAATTATGGTGTCTAATATTTTTAAAGATGTAGAAAAAAAATAAAATAATCTTAAAAGGATGCATATAATTTTACCCCCTACCCCCTTCTTATATTATTATATATTTACTATATATTTTTTATTTTTTCCCCTAATATTCAAGGTATCTGGCCCCACAGTACTTAAATATAGATCCCATGGGAAACAATGTAATATAAAAAATGAATACATAAAAAGAGATTTTCCTTTTTTATGTTTAGCGTGTCTATGTGTTTACCAGTTCTGTTACGTGTTTATGTATTATTCATATAAACCATTTAAATTTATATGCATATACATAACTATTAAGTGAATATATTTTCACCCTTGCATACTTTTTTTTTTTTTTTTTTTTTTTTTTTTTTTTACATACATACATATACATTAAATACACACGATTTTATATTCCTTTTTTCCGTTTCGCAGTCGTACACATCACCTCCTCCTCCACCCCCACCCATGTCATGCCATGGAAATGATTCACCTAATTTTGGAAATGGTGATATGTATCCAATGCAGAGCACATTACCGAACAATAGATTTAACTCACGTGTTTCAACGAATGAAATGCACCAATCCTTTATTAATACCCAGTATGGTCATTTCCCATACAATTTTTTTAAAAATAATGAGCAGGCGCCATACATGCAGAGATCATACAATAAGAATTACAATAACATGGGAAAGACATAGGCTATTTATGTAGTTATGAAGAAAGTACATGAAGATAATTTTTTTTTTTTTTTTATATGTACTATACAGATTTGATGAATAGATAGACTTTAAGGGGTGTGTGTATATTTTACGAATTCGTGCACCTATGCATGACATTTGTTTGTGTATGTATAAGTGTACATATACAGAAATCACATTGAATTAAAAAGAATTAATACAAATTAATGAGTATTAATAGGGATTTCAAGAATTCGTGTACTTTTAAGATATAGGAACACATGCACCCAATACGTATATATACGCGTGCCTGTGGTGTGTAGACACAAGAAGTTTACATATTATCTTGATGTACGATCTTCAGTAATATCTAATTAAAAAAGACGACATTACCACTATATCCAGACCATGTTATTCTTATTATACTTGATTGTATTTACTCATAATTTTTTTTTTTTTTTTTTTTTTTTTTTTTTTTTTTTTTTGATGATGTTTCTTTGATAATTATAATTTTAGAAAAATAAAAAAAGTTCATTAAGGTTTTCTTGTGGTTGTTTATGAAGCTGTTTATGAAATCGTTTGTGAAGTTTTTTATGATTTTATATGCACGAAATCGCTTATGCGGACAAATTCATATACTTTTCTTTTCACCTATATTTACTATTCCACATATATGTAACATCTCAAAAAGACTCCCCACATAGTTTTTTTACATTCCCACATAAATCAACCTCACATTGTAATTCATTTCAAAACAGAATTATGAAAACTTTCTATTCTTGATGCCAAATGGAATGTCTTCTAATTTGCACATCCTCTTTTACTACCATTACACACACCTACATGAACATTTTTTTTTTTTTTTTTTTTTTACATATCCACATTGAAAAAATTTTCTTACATTAAAAGGAGAAAATGAAAAAAATATATGTCTTTTTAAAATTCATTACAATAGCAGTGATGCTAAAAAATAAATTCATACAGGAGATAAGTACCTTTATTTATTGTGCGGTTGTTTTTACTTCTGAGAATTATACGTATGCGGTGTGTTTGTAAGTATGTACATAAGGTACCACCGTACAAAGTACTTTTTTTTTTTTTTTTATTCCTTTTTAAAAAAGAATAAATTTCTTATAAAAAATTGTCCGGCTAAAATTAAATATATAAATAGAATAATTGCAGCTATAATCATTTTCTTTTTCTTTTTTGTATGCATGCTACGTTCCCATTGGATTGGCATAAGTCTAAACTCATGCACGTTATCATCTATTTGGAGATTTTTCCAAAAACGCTTAACTTGCTTTTCATGCTTACTAAACAGCTACAATACTTATTCTTCTACATGTGTGAATTTATAAATATGTAATAAATATATATAAGGATATATTGAATATATGAAATCTGCATCCAGTTTTAAGCCTTATGGAGTTACGGAGACAGGGGAATATATATGTAAGTATTTACAACTCATGACACTCTACGCAGGTTCACATTTATTTCATGCAAAATGGTTCCACAACATTAGCACATCACGCATGCATGTTTGTGTGTGTGTGTGCTTGTGAACTTTCAAAAAATATAAAATTACTCAAATAAATACAATATTGTAGCCAAAACATGACGAATAAGTTTAACGGAAAAATGCCCTTGCACTGAAACAGAATAAAGAAAATGAAAAAATGAACCTTTTTACGTGAATAACATTTCTTTTTTTACAACCCTTCTATAACTGTTACGGCAAGGGTGATGTAATTACCCTTTTGCAACTTCACTAGTTAACTTGAACAGAAAATTTACATGTGACATGTATAGCATGTGTAACAAAATATAACGTTTAGAAATATAAAATATTTAAAGGGTTTATTCTTTTCATTCCAATTATGGTTAGAAAATTTAGTTTAAGTTTTTTTTTTTTTTTTTTTTTTTTTTTAAATATATTGGTAATATTCTCAAAATGGCAAAAAAAGTATATTTAGGAGTATACCATCCGTTCGCCAGCGAAACAGGCATGAAAAAAAAAACATGAGAGTGTCATAGAATTATATAAAACAGCATAAATATATGAAATAATAACCTCCAGAAGGTATTAATTAAACAACATCCTCCATACGGTGGGGGATATTGTACGTTAATATATGATTAATTATTCCTCCAACTAATGTGTTTCTTTACACATGAATTTACATGTTTTTTTCACTTAAGAAAAAAAAAAAAAAAAAAAATTTTACTCTATATGTATTTGCTTGAATTCCTTATCGACATTCGTACAATACTCATTTGCCTTTTCCTTGTTAGTTATAATAACTATGTTTTTTTCGAATTCATTAATTTTTTTTTCTAGTAAATCAGCAAATTTGTAAAAGTCTTCTTTCTTGGTATCCATAATTCTTTTTCTAAAATTAATTCGATCTTGCTTTGATTCATTTGAAATAATTCGTAAAAGAGACAGTTTGCTAAGTTCTATACCTCTTCTAGGTTTATCAATATTACCAATAGCATTGATTATATATCTACGTAAGTCATTTTCTGTCATGGTATCAGCCATTTTTCTTAATCCTTGTGCAGATTCTTTAAATGTTTGTAAAGTTTTTTCTAAATTGGGATCTCTGGCAGATAAAAATACTACAGTTCCATCATATTCAATATCTGCAAAAACACCATATGCACCATTCAAACCTCTAACTGTTTCCCAAAGATAGGAATTTTTCAATGCTGCTACTATAACAATAAAAGCTGGATCTAGAAACTCTTTTTCATTAAACAAAATTCCGGCCATTGAAACTGCATTGACAAAAGTTGGTATGACAAATAATTCCTTTTTCTTTTGCTCTTTTTCTAAAATTTTACTTTCTTTTATTTCTTCATTCCATCCAATATTTTTCGTTTCATTATTATGTGTATCATTTTGTTCAAAATATGATAGCATATTATTAAACGATTCTTTGGATTTAACAAAAAGTTGGTCTAACGCTGCAGCATCGGATGTGGCACTAATTAATAAATTCTTTTTTGAGAATATTTTGTTTCTTAATCCATTTAGGATCTGTTCAAATGATGAAAAATCGGATTCTGCTAATTTTAATTGTTCTTGTAACTTCAAGTAATTTCCATATCCCAAAACTAAATCGTGTGCATAGTATCTTGAATTCATTTGAGATTTCACATATTTTAATAGTAATGAATACCCTTTTGAACTAAATACAGTTTTCATTCCATTGATTTTTCTTTTTAAAATTTCTATTACTTTTTTCTTATTCGAAAAGTCAGAATCTTTTAATGCTTCTAAAGCTATATCGAGCGATTCATTACATTTGTGGCTTAGCATATGCATTTCAAAATTAAATAATCCGTGTGCATTATATTTATTCGTTACTTTTAAATGGTCACTAATTGAGTATAACGCAACATTTGCCATCATATTACCTATGTTCTTTTCTCTTAAAATTACGAATTCTTCTGATGATCTTTTATATGTCTTATTTTCAAGAATCAACGTTTTGAACAAGTTTAAGTAACTTAACTCTTCTAGCGTCAAATGATCCAAACTAAAGATAAATTGAAGATATAATATACCACCTGTTGGCATCTCATAAATTAGCATTGGTACATCTCCGTTGGAATATTTCTCTAGTTCGCTACTCATATTCATATGGACATCCGATTCCAATTCAGAATTTTTCAAAATGTGCTTTTTGATCAAATAATCCATATTTTTCTTCATCAAATCTTCATTCGTTTTGATTTGATTATACTTTTGCATATTATTTTCCACATTGGTGTTGGTAAAATATGCATTCACCGGAATTTCTAGCGTTTCTTTGTTTAAATCGGATATGTTTATTATTGGGAATTTGTCTAAATGTTCAGGTGATTCCACAGTGTTTTTGTACTTGGTCAGCTTTTCAAAATCCAGGATTATATTTTCTCTTTCCTTATCTGTCAAGCTTTCAATTTTTTTTTTTAATGATTCTTTTTCTAAATCATCTTGTTCTTTTCCATAATTTTCATTACCCTCCATAAGAATAACTGCACGATGGTTATTGTTAATAAAGTGCTTTTCGATAAATTTCTCCAAATATTTTGGTTCATTCTTTATTTTATCCTTAACCACACTTAAATGTTTTTCAAATTCAAAAATAAGAAGTGGATCCCTGTTATAATTTAATCTAGATGCCATTTCAAAAACGTAATCTATACTTTTAGATGTTTTCATATTTGTTTCTTTCAATACAAATTCGATATTGTTTATTGAAGCTTCAACAGCAGATTTGTTAAATCCTTCATCTACAACTTTTTGCAAAGCTTTCAAAACTACTTTTTCTACTTCGTAATGCACTTTGTCAAGACTTATATTTTTTTCATTTTTTTCTTTTATTCCTTTTAGTCCTATGCTAAAAATGAATTGAACAAGACTATCATCAAGTCCTGTATCTATGACAGTGTTTCCCAAACCACAATCGATTAATGCTTTATACAACACACTTTCTGTTGTGTGGGTAAGGAGATTATTTATTATCAACAAGGCAAAATATTCTTGAGGAGATTCTAAACTTAGATCTATATCCAAATGTTCATTTTTCTTGGGATTTAATAACCATGAAATAGATACCAAATTTTCTTTTTCTTCAGAATGATCAGCAAATTGTTTTTTCACATAGAATGGACCTTTTTTGTATTCTTGGTAATTTACATTTTCCACAGCATCATCCCTGTATTTTGTAAAATCTAACTGATTCAAATAATCATCCACAAAATTTAACAATTCAGTTGGGTTGTTTTTGCTAAAAAAGAATACTTTTATTTTTTTGGGATTATAATTCTTGTAATAAAATTCTTTGAATTCTTCATAGGACAAATTTGGAATTTCTTTTGGATCTCCACCACTGATGTTTGAATGTACATTATCAGGAAATATATTCTTCATTATTACGTAATACAAATCTTGTAATGGGTTACTAAAAGATCCTTTCATTTCACTATAAACAATCCCATTATAAGAAACTTTGTAATCTTTAATTTTTGGAATATCAGAATTTTTCTCTTCTTCCTTTAATTTTTCAACTTCATAAGTCCATCCTTCTGTTTGAAAAATAAATTTATTTTCTAATACATTGGGCTGAAACACACTATCCATATAAACAGCCATGATGTTAAAAAAGTCACGATTGTTCATAGAACCAGCCATATATACAGTTCGATCATTAAAAGTGTATGCATTTAGGTGTGTATTTAATGTCCCTTTTTCTAATAACCCCATAGAATCTTTATAGTTGAAATTTTTCGATCCTGATAAAACTGTGTGTTCCAATATATGTGGAATTCCCTTACCTGAATGTGTCAACGTTTTCACATAGAAAGCAAATGTTTGTTCATAATCTAATGGATCATTTGATCCTAATGCTATTACTTGTGTTTTTGCTTTCTTATGTTCATACACAGTATAAGTCATTTCAAATTTGTCACTATATCTTTTCTCAACAATATTGTAGCTCTTGTGCTCTGGGCACTTTTCATGTATCCACTCTGGTGACTTATTCATCATTGCCGTAAATGAGTATAGATTCGTTGTACTTATGGAATGAATAAAACTATTCGTAAATACATTATATTTTCTTCTTTCCGATTTGCAAAATATGCCATTAACGCAATTTGTGATGATATTTAAATATCCAAAAACTCTCATTAATTTCATTTATTATGTAGTTGTAAATGTTCATAAAAAAAAAAAAAAAAAAAGAAACAATATATATATATTTTTTTTTTTTTTTTTTTTTTTTGTTGGGATTGGGGTTGGGGATATTTATGATGCTAAACAAATTATATATGTATGAATAACCTTTTTTATTTTAATCTTCAAGTTACGTTTCAATAAAAAATAGGTGTACAATTTTATATTTTTTACCTTATCCTCTTGTGAGCCTCACGCAAAAGGCCTTAACGAAGAGTTCTTGCATGCGTATATATGTGCATACATGTGTATGTGTATGTGTGAATATGCTTATATTATATATACATATATATGTGGAAACTTCAATTTTTCATACTCTTAAATAGCTAATTGGCAACGAATTCCGCACAAATGTAAATTTTTTTAGTCCTATTAATGGTGATTGTTGAATACATGGTGCTCATGCGCTCGCACTTTGCTATGATTGTGTATTTTTCATGTGCAATCAGCATATATGATACATTATTCGTATATATATATATATAATATACATTTGTAATATTTTTACTTAAGTTCTACTGTTGCTTTTAAATTATCAAGCGTTTCAAGGACTCACTTTTTTTTTTTTTTTTCTCAAATTTTAAAATAAACAAATTTTACTACGTAAATTCTTTTCATTTGGTTCAAATTTGTTCAATTTGTTCACAGTTAACGTGGCGTGTTACGTACACTTGGCATGTATGCATTTCGCGCAATTTTATAATTCCATTATATAAGCCCTCAAACCACTCACCCTTTCTGCTTATTTTAGTACATATTCACAATTTTACTCTTACTTTATTTTTATTTTTTATCTTTTTTTTTTCTTGTGCATGTCACATTTCCTCTACAAGAGGATCAATATATTTTGTTATTTATGCATGCCTGTTGTTTCAGCTTCAAGGAACAGTTATATTGATACGTACATTTATATAACGAAAATATAAACATAATTTGCGAACATTTGAGAACTCACAATGACACGATCATTTATAAGCGTACAGCCATTTATATTTATTTATAAAAGTTCAAATGAATAAATTCATTTACACGCACAAAACATATAAAAGAATTATATGCCTTTACATGAAGTAAAAATATGATCCATATATATGTGTGACATAAGGGAGGGGGGGGGAGGGAAAATAGCATTTTACACAAATACAATGCTGAAAAAAAAAAAAATAAATCGTGTAATACTTAGACAGACAACAAAAAACTTGTGGAGATGTAAAGAAATCGGGATGCGCAAACCTTTGTTCATATGAGCTCTTAATTTTGTGATATATGAAAAAAAATATGTCACATAGATCTGTAAAAGTAATTAATCATATCTAGGCACTTATATTCACACACATTGTGTATATATGAATGCATTTTTAAAATTAAAAATAAAAGTTTCATTTTTCTGTGACACTTATTTATTAACACTTGTGTGCAAACAAATGAGCATATTAAAAAAATGACACTATTAATATACCACACACCGTGAACTTCAGTGCCCTACAGAAAATATAGCAATAAAACAATAAAGAAATAAAACAATTGCAATTTAAAAAATCAAATAATTCAACGGGTGACAACACCCTAAATGTGGCAAACAATTGCACGTACCTGAAAACAACTGGAAACAGTTGCAATCCAATTATATAAACAACTCCCAGAATTATATTGTAACTGTGAACAAATGAAGCGACAATCAACTCATACACACAAAAAAGAATTGTGCATCGCATTGTTACCAAAAATGATGAGTGAAAACAGATACTACATGTATCCTTCGAAAAACCTGCACCTTCAAACACCTTTTATATGAATTGTTATCAAATAAGCATAAATTCCAGTATATATATATGTAAGAAAACAAATTTATACCACTTAAAGAATACTCTATATTTCCATTCACCCTCTCGAGCATTTTAAGCATAAGTATAATATTTATCCCATGTTCAAGATTATTTATCACTTCACATAAGCATTAAACATTTCATGATTATTTATCAATCCCAAAAGAGAATTCAGCACATCATTGTTATTTATCACTCTTAACTATATAGTAAATATGCTAAGTATTCACATATTTATCATTTATATTATTTATAAAAAAAAAAAAAAAAAAAAAAATGCATATATGAATGAACAAATTTTTGAAAGCTACGACGGGCTTCCCCTCCCCTAATACCGGTTAACATTAACAAATTCTGCAATATTCCATCCCGATATGATCATTTTTCGTTTTCATATTCATCCTTTTAATTTTCTTAAACTAGTTTGAAGTTTAAGTTTTAAAGAAAAGCTTTTTAGTAAACATTTGGTTTTATGTGACTATCTCACTTTATGTTTCAAAACACATCCCTTGCCACAAAAAATGTGTATATTATAACGGCTGAATATAATTTCTGTATTAACTTTTTGTGAGGTCATTCTGTAAAGATGTACATAATTGGGGTGCACGACTGTACAAAAAATATATACATAAGAACATTTTAATATTGTAACCTCATATAAATTTCTACACACTTGTGGAGAGACAACATGCCTCTACTAAGTGGAGTATGTATATGAAAGAAACACCTGAATTTTCAATTTCCTGCATATAGCTTATTATGTTTTTGCCCAAAGTTATCATAATTTTGTGTTTTAATTGAATTGTTCAAAAGATTTTGCATTGATAATTCGAATTCTTCGGTCATCTCAATGTTACGCATTTCGTTTATTTAAAAAAAAAAATAATAAAATATATATTTGTAAAAAAATCATACAAAAGGCATATAACAAAGCACTGTATAATTATATAAGAATAAAGGAAATTATATACCACTTTTCACATTTCGCTTCGCACATGCAGATACAAAACATAAACGTAGTTGTGCTAAAACTTGGGTGAAAATAACATATAATTAATAATGCAATTGTGCAGTAGCACAGCTTTGTCCAATGTGTATGGACAAATATGAACATATGATCAAACGCTTCTCCTAATTTGATAAATAAAAAAAAAAAAAAAAAAAATCCATAATTAGACAAAAGTACAAAGATAAAAAGAAAATAAAAGTTCTTAAAAAAAAATGTAAAAATTTTCTCCCAAAACCAATTGTGTATTTTGCTTTGACATATATTTTACACCTTTCTAATTTTTGTAGCAATTTTGGTTAACATATGAAATCTCTATCAATGGCCAACAAAATATTTATTGGAGCACATAAAACTCATTCCTGAAGTGTGCTTTTTTATGTATTATTATATTTGTATTTGTGTAAATCTCTTGATTTTATCTTTTTTTTTTTTTTTTTTTTTTTTAGGGGGTGGTGGTGGACTTTTAAAACTTGGTGCATTTGTTCGTTATAACATATTAAACTTAGGCGACCATGTATAAATATATATATACCCTATTTTAGCATAAATTAAAAAAAAAAAAAAAAAAAAATTATATATTGAATTTTTTTTTTTTTTAAATTTATCAACAAATTAAGAAAATTTATAAAAAAAAAAAAAAAAAAAAAAAAAAAAAGAAAAAGCTTATAAAGGCATAAGCATTCATATATAATACAACCACAAGTGTACAATACAGCAATTTTTTTTTTTTTTTTTTTTTTTTGGTACAAAAGCTTTAGCATTTTTATTTTAATTTTACATTTGCTTTTGCTAACTCCAGGTTTTTTTTATCTTTTTTTTTTTTTTTTTTTTACGATTCACAACCTTGAATAGTTTAGAAAATAAAAGGGAAAAAAAAAAAAAAAAACATTTTATTTAAAACATGCATATTTATACATAGCATTAATAGCTATAAAAAGAATCATTTAAACATATTCACTTATGTTTAAAGATATTATATGATTATTTTGTTGTTAATGTTTTTCTCAAGAATTATATTCAGAACTTAACATATTATTCATTGGGAAAGAGAGAACAAAATTGAGGCTATTTATTTTTGCACATGATGTAAATTGCATGGATATATATACACATACAGTATACATTTATACATATGTATATGCATAATGTGTGTATCGAACAGTTCGTATACATCAAACAGTATGTATATATCAAACAGTGTGTGTATATCAAACAGTGTGTGCATATCAAATAGTGTGTGTATATCTAGCAGTTTGTGTATATCAACAGTTTGTGTATATCAACAGTTTGTGTATATCTAGCAGTTTGTGTATATCAACAGTTTGTGTATATCTAGCAGATTGTGTATATCAACAGTTTGTGCATTTTTTTTGTTTTATAACTTTTGTTAGAATTATGAGATTCTTCTCAAAATTTTATTGTCATCAGTGTAAATTACTTTTCATTTTCATCTTTCATTTCTTTCATTTGTTATAAACGAAAGTTTTTTTCGAATTTCTATATATGCCCTTGCACGAGAATTTTATAACTCCTTATACACCAACATAAGGAAATGTCATTATACGTAATACACATATATACAGATGTGCATATAACTGAGTACGCAGAAGGTACGAAAAATGAAAATGTACATAAAAACACGTACGTATAAATATTTACTCAAAATATGCATGTATAAATATGTACATATTTGTATGTACATATGAACATGTTGGTAAGAATGTATACATATACGCAAGCACCTATGCAAACATCCATGTGTTTTACCCTTTCCATTTATTATTTGCTGCTGGCACCGGCAAATATCCTCATTTTTTTAAGGGTATTTTTCAACGAAAAAAGAAAAATTAAACTCCTTTTTAAGTTATAAAGAGTTATGTCAATTTTATCTCACGAATGAGATATATATTGTTTCACATAACTATCCCTTTTGAAATTAAGAAATAAAAATTTTGTCTTTTTTTTCTTTTTATTACATTTTTTTTTTTTTTTTTTTTTTTTTTATTTCATTTTTTTTTTTTTTTTTTTTCTACCTTAATTTTATGATTATTAATATTGCTCTTTTTATTTATTTTTAATAATTTAAATTTTTTTAAAAAGCTTTTTTACACATGGAAAGGAAAATGTTTCAATTCATGTGTGTATAAATCACGTTTATCTTTATAACATCAGTTATAACAATACATATACACATCACAACGTATATTCCCAAGATCAAATAAAATACCCATGTGTGTATACTTGTAAACATTCATCTACATGCATATTATATATCTGCTTCCGTACATGTGATTATCTGTTTATCTTTAATTAATTTTTTTGTGTAAGAGAAATAGGCATTCCTGAAATTATTCTGCATATGTGCGCGCATATATATACATATATGTATAAGTACATAACATACGGACCGAAGGGATCATACCTGGAAAAAATACATATACAGGAACAATGTCTTACAATGTATACAAAACTAACATGGCTGATTGGTAATGTCACATTGATTTTATTTGTTGCTCTGTTCAAGTTCAACTCTTCCTATTTGAATAACGTTTATTTCCATGTGTGAAATTGTTATATGGAAAAATTATTAACCCTCGCGTGCATGTATACATATGTATATATTAACCCTGATATAGTCCACATTACATCGGACTGAAATGAAATAAGAAAACATTTCCCCAACTTCATCACATAATATCATAATTTAATTTCCTCTATTTTTTCAGCTTAAATAAACTAAGAGTTTATGATCTTAATCAGCTATGTAGAAAGTTTTTGTTACCACAACATGGCAAAAAAGTTGCCATTGTGGAACGAATTTTGGAATACATTACCGATGTTGAGAGAGAAGAGCAAATTTATGAGTTTATCCTAGCCATAAAACCATCCATATTCGATATAATTAATGGGAAAAGAATAAATAGCACACTCAACAATAGTAATATTAACAATACTCAAAACAAAGTGCATAACGGTCCATATAGTAATGTACATAACAGTACGCATAGCAATAATAGCGGTAGTAACAAATACTTGAGCAGTTGTAATAACTTCTGTCTAGATAATAATAATGGAAATAACATTTTTTTTTGTAATAATAATGATAACTTAAAATATGCGAACAATGAAATTCTCGCAGCAAAAAAGAGTAACACATCCTCTATAGCCCGCAAGGGAAAGGGTAAGACCAAGTAGTAGTAGTTAACTACTTTTTGTGTATTTGTGTATATGTGTATATGTGTATTTGTGTATTTGTATGTGTTCTCCCACATCCTTTCCATAATGTTCTTATTTTATATTAATCGTTACAGAGAAGTCCATGTATTCTACCTTATGCAGTTGCCCAAATATTCAGAAGTTTACATATATATGTGTATGTATTTTTTTTATTTTTTTGTTCCTCCTTCATAGCAGTGAAAATTTACCAAGAGGATAGCGATTTTTCTTCATGCGTATGCGGAGGCATGTCAAAAAACATAAGCAGCAAAAATGGCATAGTAAAATGCATAGAGTGCAATAAATTGCAACACGTAAGTTGCTATATGCAAAATACATGCATAAATAAAGACACAAATAACTACAAAATTTTGTGTGTAATATGTCGATTAAAAGATATGGATCCATTTTATCCAATGAAAAAAGTATTATGGATGAAAAGTTTAACAGTCAATTCGGAAAAGTTAGTTATAAATGCTTCCGATATAAAAAATTGGAAGAATGAAAATAAAGAAGTTATCATATTTTGTGTAAATATTGATAAAAAAAATTTAAGCTCAAATATTTCTATAAAACAAGAATGGCCAAAAACATTTGTTTTAAAAATTAATGGGAATATTATCGAAAAAGTTTTTGAACCATCGTGGGAACATAAAAGAAGAGACAGTCCTTTAAAAATTACTCATACATTGAAAGTAGGTCAAAATAATATTGACATCAATATGACAAATTATGAAATTCCTAAATTATTTGTTGTAGCTTTTTTATTATGTAAAATAGAAACAGAACAAAGTATTATTCAAAATGTTATATCAAATAGTTCATTAAACTTTAAAGATTCAAAGGAGCGAATAATTACTATTCTTTCAACTAAACATGACGATGATGAAGTTATGTGCATGGAAGTTAATAGAAGAATTAGCCTGAATTGTCCATTTGCGTTAGATAGAATTGTAATACCTTGTAGAGGTATCAAATGTTGTCATATACAATGTTTTGATTTGAAATCCTTTATTGATGTAACTAAAAAAACGAAAGCTTTTAATAATAGGTGGAAATGCCCTATCTGTTCTTTATATCTACGACCGAAGGATTTAGTAATTGACATGTTTATTACATACATCTTGACTCAAGTACCAGATGATATTAAAGAAGTAGAATTGAGTAAAAGTGGAGAAATAATTTTTAATCAAAAATGTGTAGAAGGAAAGGTCATCAAACAGATTGATGATGCTGACACAGATCATCTGCAAAAGAGCAAGGTGGAAATTAAGACGGAATCTTGCACAGGTAAACTCCAATGTCAGGAATTATCTCCTCGTTGTTACATTAGGTTTATGCGTATATATATATATATATATATATATATATATATATGTGCATATATCTCCATTTTTTCCTGAATTATTACAAACTAGTTACACAAATGCACAACGCCACGTGGGACGCGCATTAATGTAACAATTATGAACCACAAGAAACAATCATCACCCCATCAACACTTCCCATTTCATTGCAGATAACATGAATGAATATCCACGAATCAAGGAAGACTCTTTCAATAGAAACGAAATTATTATAGTAGATTCAGACCCAGAAGATAACAACACGAGTACTGCTTATCAAAATGTCAGCGTGCAAAAGAATTATAACACTGTACAAGGTATTATGCATTAAAATACACACATATATACACATATATATATAGTGCAACTTTATAGAGTATACATAAATGACTTAACCATTTGCTACCCATAGATACAACGCATATATGCATACAAATTAATAAGGAGAAAATTCAATATTAGTGCACATTCATTTTTTTATTTTTTTTCCCCCTCTTTATATTTACCGCAAAATACATTTCATTTAATGGAATTTCTTTTTAGAGTTTTAAAATTTATAAGAGCATTTTCAATAAAAAGACAAAATGTTTTATAAAATATTTATGAAAAATGAGGAAGATTATTCCAACATGTACATGCACCTGAACGAACATATGGGCTTATATTTATATCCCTATCTAAACTTTTATAACTGCACATTTACATATACATTCATCTGCACACGTGTATATACCTGCATGAATACATAGCGTACATATACACACACTTGTTTATGTGTGCTTGCATAAAAATAAGTTGGTGGAGATGAACAAATGGACAGAAACCAGAAAGGGCTAAAAGAATAATGAATATGTGTGCACAAGCATATTATATTGAAAGCATTACTCAATTGAAGAAATATAGAAAGGAAAAAAAAAAAAAAAAAATGAAAATTATTGAATGAATGCACGAACGAATGCACAAAATAATAAAGAGAATTTACAACAATGGAAAAAAAAAAAAGAAAACCTAACTACCTACACATTTCTTTTGCTAGAAATATAATTTTTTATCTGATATTGTACAATAAAAAGAAGCCAAGAAAAGGAAATAGTCATAAAGCATTTGCCTATCAATTTTCTTTAATTTACGTGTATAGTTTTTTTTTTTTTTTTTTTTTTTTTTTTTTTCAATGAATAATAATTGTATATATTAAAAATGGTTGAATTCTTGGTTATGTATGTATACAAATGCCCACATTTGTGCATTAATACACCTTCTCCATAATCCGCTTTATGCGTATGATTTATATTCATGTGGTTGTATATGTATTCATGCATATTAGCCGAGTTACAAATATATTTAATATAAATTGCGTTTCTTCTTTTTTTTTTTTTTTTTTTTTTTTTTTTTTTTTTGTATATTTTGCAAAAAATTCTCTAGATCAACAAGAAGTTATATGCATCTCAGATAGTGAAGATGAAGATAATTTTAACTGCACAGCATATAATAGCGATAAGAAAACAAAAGAGAAAGGCGCCCTTTTAATTGAAATGAAAAAATTTGAAAGTAACAAAAGCATAAATGATTTTTTTATCCGAAATATGAAAAACTTAGAAAAGAGGAGGAATCTAGTGCCCAATTCACGCATGTTATTTAATGATATGGTTTTGGATGTTCTAAATGATATTAACAATATTCGTGTTAATGAGAATATATCAACTTGTAATATACAAAATTTTGATACCATACAAAAAGAAAGAATTGCAAAATTTAATAGAAATTTTAACGATATTGCAAATAATCCCCTTTTAAGTTATTATAATAAAGCGAATATATTATCAAAGGATTTATATTTCCTCAATACTAGTTTAGATTCCTTGAACATGGATCCAATTAATAACATCATTAGCTATACAGATTCTGTTGATCGTGTTGATTGTCCAGATCATGGTGATAAAAATAATTTACAAGCATCAGAATTCTCCACAAATGATATAAAGGCCGATACATGTGAGAAGAAAGTAAATAATCGTGATGGCAATGATAACAAGGGGGAGGACAATGTAGACCATGCGAATGAGAAGGATGATCAAACGTGTGCAAAGGAAGACCATATAGATGGAAAGGAAGAGAATCAGATCAATGGTGAAAATCATCAAAGGATTGGCAAAGGTGACCAAATAAATGTCATAGATGACCAGCTAATTTGCAGAAATGGCAAAATGGATAACAAGAACCATGAAGCGAGTGACAATATCGGTAGTGATAACTTCATTGGCCTGGATTCACTACTACCATATGATATTCAAAAAATAAACGAAACAGACGTTTTAAATAAAACGAATCAGAATTATGTCATACAGCACAATAAAGAAGAGCAAATTCCTTCCATGAAAGAGAATGAAAGTTCTGATGAGAACAAAAGTAATTTTCATTTGAAAGTTGAAGAAAATATATCCCTTATTGATAAGGATGTGTTGGTAAATAACGAATTACCTAGGTGTAACGATTTTGATGCTTCAAGGGAACTGTATAGCGAATTAAAGAATCCGCTTCAAGAACAAAATATCCCTCCATGTAGTCTGAACAACTCATTCATCCATGATACGCAAAATAGAAGCAAAAAAAAAAAAAAAAGGAAAAAAAGTAATTCACCAGAACATTTAAGAAAATATGATAGCATAAATAGCAATTTTAACCTTTCTGTAACCAATTACAAAAACAAACGTGACAGAGCCAAACAGTTAAAATATTATAATAATAAGCAACAAAATTTTAATAGTATCCATATTATGAACAAAGCAGATGATTTTATAAACAGAGGGAGACACGTAAAAAAAATTAATAAAAAAAATGATAATTTCAAGAACAAAAAAAAAAAAAAAAAAAAGAAAAAAAAAAAGAAACCAGCATTAGGAATTTATAACGAATACAGGGATGATTAACGTCTGTTTTAAGGTGAACAACCGAAACATAATTAAGAACTAGTATTAAAATATTCAATGGCAATAAATGGAGTATAAAATATTCATCGATTAAGTGTATATATATATCAGTGTACATGGTTACTTAAATAATTAATGATTATAATGCAGAGGAGTACTCAATTTAAGACCTCATTTAAATATACCAAATTGTACATGTCACCAAAAGTATACACGTAGCCATACCGTTAAGTGTATATTTCAAGAGGGTTTTTCCCGTGCAAAAGAAAAAAAAAAAAAGAAAAAAAAGTACCAATTAGAAAGTCTAACTTCCAATTGTGTACGAATAAAGTATATGTACTTGCGTATTTGTGGACATGTGCGTATTACATATATATATATATATATATATATATATATATATATATATGTAATATACATGCACGTTTTTTTTTTTTGGTTACTAAAAACTGGAAAATGAAAAAACTGTCCCAATGTTTAATTCAGCAGCGTGAATAAAAAACATTCATTTTTTTCCCGCGCTCTGGAAAGTTGTGTTTTGTCAAGTTTTATCTTTTATTTGATTTATTTTTTTAATAGAAAAATCCTCGCTTCACTAAATGTGTACATGCATATATTTGCCTGTATATATGCAAACAAATATACATACAGTACACCCGTTACACATGCATACATAGGCGGGATACATCAAAAATTTGTAAGCAGATAAATGAAAACACCACGAAATCATGTTTCTCCATTATCTGCATATCTGCAAATGTTTTTACTTACACCAGAATGTTTTAAGAATCCGTCTCTGTGCTTTTTTAAAAACATAATTAAATTTTTTCATTTTTATTTTAACGCATTTTTTTCTTTTTCTCTTTTTTTTTTTTTTTGTTATTTTTACATATATGATTATACTTTTTAAAAAAAAATTTGAATATTGTTAATACATACTCTATTTTAGATGATGTTTATATATATATGTACATGTGTTTATCAACACACATGCACATCAAACATTCAGCTGACCAATAGAAAATAAAACAGCATAGTTGAATATCTTTCTACACCCCAATTTATAAAAATAAATATTTTTCTTCCGCAAGCATATTTTACCTTCTTACATTTTTACTATTGATAAAGTTTTTTTTTTTTTTTTTTTTTTTTTTTTTTTAAACTGGCACCCCAGTTACATATATAACTTTAAGTGTTTTCGTGCTTTAAATGCTTTTATATGAAAAGTAAGTTACTATTAAAATTAGTATTTTTCTTTTCATCCATTATATATGATATGGAATTACCATACTTGTAATGTCTTTTGCACCCTTAATATATACAGGGTTTTCTCTTCGTAAGCCTTTTAAAATGGAACTGCGAATAAGCAAAGGGATTTGTGTTTCAAAGATTCTAATAAAAAAATTAGTTCTAGAATTTTTTTTTTTAAAAAAGAAATACATGTTTTTCAGTTATCATTGAAACCATTTGTTACATAGGATGCGTTCAGAGGAGTATTCTATACAATTTTATATTTCTTACACATGCTCATAATACATATGTGATTGTATACTGCCTATTTCATGAAAGCATAAACAGGAGCATAACTTCTCCATTTAACGTTTTTTTTAAGATTCTATTTATATTTTAAGGAAGAATTCTCTACGATTTGTAAAACTCTCTTTCAAAAAAAAGAGAGTACTATTTTTTTTTTTTTTTTTTTTTTTTTTAACGTTTTATAACACCGTTCGTCTATTTCAGATTATTTATTTTTTCTAATGGGACATGGTATTTTTTATTCTTATTACAGACACAAAGCAGCACAAAAAAGAAAGGAAGATATTTTATAACTGCATAATAGATAAGCATGCTCATTAAAAGAAACTAAAATGAAAAAAAAAAAAAAAACAGAACAAAAGTATTTTCACCAATACTGCATATATGTACTAGTGAAGAAATGTAACCCTTTTTTTATACCATCTGTGAAAAATATAAAATATATTTTCAGCTCCTTTATTTTTTTTTTTCTTAATGGAAATATACTGTACTGTGCATGTTCATTTGTCCAAGCAATTCAATAAAATTTTTTTTTTTTTTTCCCTTCGCAGTTTTAATAACATTTCATAGTCTATCACCTTAGGGTCATAATCTTCCTCATAATTTTTGTCTTCTATAACATACAACTTAACATCTTTGTCACTTATGTATATGGTTTTATAATACCAAAAGTTGAGTTTCCTGATGAAAAAATAATATGGAAAAGTTCAGTACGAAATTTTTCTTAACTGTGTTTCGTTAGGAAATTTGTCAAAAAATACACCTTACATGAATTGGTACGAACAAAAGATTACGGTATTTATCGAAGTGATTTTCAAAAATTTTTCGAGTACATATATTTATACGTAATTAGTGTGACGCACACATGAATGTAAATCACAAAAGGGAAGACAAAACCATATCTGATGAACACTCATCATTGATAAGGTTTATACATATCAGTTGTCAAAACGAAGTTATACTTCAAATACAATACAGAAAACTGAACTTACGCCTGTGGCTCGTGATTAAGGAAGAAATTTTTGAACTGTTCAGAGCAGATAATTTCTCCAGGAATTCCATTAGACTCTACCTTGTTAGCTATTAGTACATCTAATCCCCACATATCATATCTGATTCTAACCGAGCCAATGATCCCACCGACACAGGAACCGTAGTGCAGCCCAATCCGCATACTGAAATCATGTTTATTAAACTGAATTTTGATTGTATTAATATTATGAAGAATAAGCTTAGCTAATTTAAAAATGTTAAGTATGCCGTCCACAACTTCACTTTGATCAGTTACAGAAGAGTTGGGTTGGCTAGTAGCGACATAGGCATCCCCAATGGTAAAAAGTTTGTATAGTCCCAATTTGATTGTATCCTTGTCTATTTTTGATATCAATTTTTGTAATAATTTTAGAACATCTTTAGGAGCAACTGTTTTACTCCATCTTGTAAAACCTACGATGTCAGCAAATAAAAATGCAATTTTTTCATGATTATATGTTAACTGCAAATTATCATTTTGATATTCTTCCAAAACCTGTCTTGGTAATATTCTTGTTAGAAAATCATGTGATGTTTTCTCCATTCGATTTCTTTTTCTCTTAACTACAAATTGGGTTCTATCTAGATATTCTGAATACCAAAAATATAAGATGTTAATAAAAAGAATTAAAAGAATACTACAACATATTCTAATTTCACATATATGTATTTTGAACAGTTTAAAAAAGGAATAAATAAGGAAAACAAAAAAAAAGATAAAAAAGAAAAATTTATGCTTAAATAACATATTTTTAATAAATATCAACTGCATGCAAATAATCAATTCAGTTGCGTCTTTCATAAAAAATAATGATCTATCACTAGAATTCCCAACAAGATTGCTATAATGTATGCATGATAAATCAATAATTATAATACACCAAGATGATAAGAATATATTTAAAATAAAAATTGTCCACATCATTTTACTTGAATTATTTTTATATTCCTTCAATTTCACTTTTAATAAGAGCCATATAAATGTTATTATGAATAAATATATACATCTTATAAGCCAAATAATTACAATGAAATCATTAGTCTTTAACTTATGATCATAGTAGGATAATTCTATCACGTTACATAAACTTAAAATCATTTCTGAAATGATAAATATAATAATTAACTTTTTTGTTAAGTCAATGTTTATTATTTCTCTGTAGTATCCTCTCGTATATTCTTCTTCTAGTTCTTCATCATTAAATTTATAGTAGAATCTATTAAAATTGCTTACACTTTTTTTATTTAATTGTAATGTAGATGTCAACTTTTTTAAAAGCTTATTTTTATTATAGTTATCGAATTTATTTGCAAAATCTAAATTTTTATTACTAACAGTTGTACATGTTTTAATAAGTTCTTCACTTTTTTGTTGAGTACTAATTAGTGGTGATTTTGTGTTCTCAAGTTTATGCTTCATTGATTGTGATTTGTCATTTATTTCCATACTTTTAAAATAACTTTTAAATATATGATTAATTTTTGTAAAAAAACTTTTCTTTTTTTTAAGTGATGGGATATATGTGAAGAAATGACCCTTCTTTCCATCAACAATCTGTCCACTATTTGTTTCGTTCGACTTTAAAGCACAGGAACTGTTTCTTCGAAAATCTTGGGAGCTCATGCTTTTTTCATCTTTCAAACTATAAAAACTTATTTTTTTTTGAATTCTATTTTTTTCATTCATTTTGACCTTTTCATTTTTTAGACTTCCCTCAGTTTGGTCATGCCTACTTGGAACTCCATCTTGCCTATCACCAATAGACATTCTGCGATATTTATCCTCCTCTTCGCCGAAATTTACTCCTTTCTTTTTAAGAAAATCGTTTTCACTAAATTTCGTTGAGTACATCTCCCTTTCTGCACATTCATTCGTGGTTGTTTTGATTTCGCCTGGACTTTTTTTGTTTTTTCGGTTTTCTTCTCTGTTTTTTTGGCTTTCTTCTCTGTTTTTTTGGCTTTCTTCTCTATCTTTTTGGCTTTCTTCTCTGTCTTTTTGGCTTTCTTTTTTGTTTTTTTTTTTCTTTTCATGTGCTGATATATCACTGCCCACATAGAATCCGTGCAGCACACCTTCTCCAAAAAATCTTTTCCTTTTTGTTTCCTCCTCTTCATTTTCATTAATGTCACCACTGTGAGATGTTGTAAATGACCTGTAACTCCGGATGTAACTCGTTTTACCGGTCCTACATTCGACATATTCGTTATAACTGCTTTGTGAATTTTCCTCCACATGTACATTTTCCATTTTGTTTACATCCTCTTCATTTCCTTCTATAAACAAATGATTACAAAAATTTGTACGTAAAGAAGGGTTATATCGTTTCAAATAGAGATTATTGTATTCACGTTCCTCTGTCAGGTTTTCCCTCATGTAGCTCTCCTTGGAATAAGAGTAACATGGTCTTCCACCTTCACAAAAACTGCTGTTACTATTTTGTGCTGATGCGTGTTCCTCCTTTCTTTCTGCTTGATGCTTTGAATGATGAAAAAAATGTATATGCCCCCCAACATTTGAACTCCTATTTTGTTCATCATTATTTGAGAAATTTCCATTTTCGTAAAAATTTTTTTTTTTTTTTTCCTGCCTTTTTATTTTTGTTTTTATATTTCTAGGTGGGTAGAACATGTTCCTTGGTATGTGTTGAATATCCATTTTGAGTAAATTTCTCTTTTTTTTATATATTTTGGTGAATAGATCATCAAATTTTATGAATTTTTTGTTTTTCATTAATTTTTCTTCATAAAAATCCGATTCCATGGAGCATTCATAGTTAGAGGTAAAACTTCCATTTACAAAATTGTAAGACACTCCTTCTTCCTCATGTATGTGTCTACGCTTATTTTCCTTCTCTTTTTCTTTTTTGGATCTTTTATACTCATTAGAGTTTTTCAGAATGTTAGAAATGTGAAAATTAGGCGAATAAAATTTCCCTTGATAATTCTTTCTCTCTTTAATGTAACTTTTTATGAGATTATCTGGCGTATCAAATGGATGCATGAAATCTGAGGAGCACTCCGTTACATAGGCTTTACTTTTTCTTTTCTCTTTTTTTTCCCTTTTTTTTACCCCTTTTCTCTCCCTTCTCTTTCTCATTTTACCTATCAGATTCATATCTTGCACATAGGGCGATGTAAAAAAATCACTCGACTCATTTTTTCCCTCAACCATTTCGTTTCTTAAACTTACTGGTGATTCCAAGTCATATGATTCCTTTCTTCTCACATTATGTGCTAATTTGGACTTTCCAAAACTGAGATATTTCGATGTCCTATGATTAAAAATTCTCGAATATGTAAGGAAACTACTACTTCTCATGATATCACTGAGATCATCTCTTTTGTTAAAATAGTGCAAGTGGTCCTTACTATGATGCTCACCTTCCCTTTGATACATATCCAAAACGTCTTCAATTAATTTGCTATCTGCATTTATTTTTTCCGATCTCTTTCTTTGCTTCTGTTCAGCCTGCCTCTTCCTTTGCTCGTCCTGCCTCTTCCTTTGCTCGTCCTGCCTCTTCCTTTGCTTGTCCTGCCTCTTCCTTTGCTTGTCCTGCCTCTTCCTTTGCTCGTACTGCCTCCTCTTCCTTTTTGTGCATGTCTTAGGGGTTATATCATCCTTCGTAACTTCAGCTACCATTTCATTCTCTGACACGAGGCTATCTTTTACACCCCCTTTGATGTGTTCCACATTGTCATTTTTTACATTCTCTTCTATCTCTCCCATGTGATCAAATTTTATCTCCTCTTCTATCCCTCCCATGGGAGCACATTTTACCACATCTAGATCTTCACTCCCTTTGCTTTCGTCGACTCTTCCAAACAGTGTGGAACTGGATGGGTCCCCATTCGAACGTTCCTCGATTTTCTTAGAATTGTCTAAAATGTCTACAAGCAAATAAGTCTTCATTTCCCCCTTTCCCTTGATAAAAATTTTTCTCTCTTTCCATACTAATGTTGTATCATCCTCTAAATATTTATAGGTGTCATAAGAGACATGAATATGATCTTTTACTGCAGTAGATTTCATTCTAGATGCTGTATTAACTGTATCTCCAAAAAGTGAATATTGTGGCTTAACTGATCCAATAACACCACTGATGGCCTTTCCTGTGTGTATTCCTATTCTTAGGCTGATATTTTTATGCATGTGTTTGTCATACACAAGTTCATCTCCGCCGTTGCTACAAAATGAGGAATTATTCTTACGATCACTATCCCCTTGGGCTATGTCCTGTCCATTTCTACTGCCACTTAGGGCATCTTTCTTCCAAGCTAAAACTTTATAAGAAATATAATACTTAGCACTTAACTGTGCTATTGCCAACTTGATTGCACACCTGGTGTCATATTTAATTTTGTGTATGCAATCATTTTGCTTTTCACTAAGACCTGAAGCAGCCAAGTAGGATTCAAAAACAGTTTCTATCTTGATACAATTGAAATATTTTATACATTTATCAAAATATAAATATAAATTGTCCAATGTTTCTACAAGTGCATGTGGTTGTAATGTTGAAACCATACTTTGAAAATCATCAATATCACAAAAAATTACTGATATTATACCCCTATCTTCACCTGATACATTTTTTCCCACCATTATTCCATCTGCTTTTGGATCACTTATGAGTAAATATTCTACTAAAAAACTGGGTAACATTGTATGCAATATTTCAATCTGTTTTCCTAAATTCACTTTCTGTTTATACCTAAATAAAAATTTCTTCTTTAAATAATAAATTTCATAATATTTCATAGATAAGCAAATAAACGTAAAACTTAATATGCATATAAGAAAAGTTATTGTTTGTTGTTTACATAGACATGATATATTGACTTGATCCAAATAGTGCAAACTCAGATAAGGGTTTTCACAAAATTTTGTGCACATGGACCCCCAGCTTTTGTTCTTATTATAGTACACCCAGAAAGTTAAGACTAATACAATGGTGCAAATTATTAACCCTTCTAATATTTTAAATGATAGAAAAAATATATAAGAAACTGTAAAAGAATAAGCTATCAACATGTTGATAACATCATTACTTATATTGTCATACAGTTCAAGCATAAATCCACATATTAGTACCAATTTTCCAATACAAAAAAAGAGAGTCGAATTTGATTTATTTCTTACCCTTATGTAAAATAAACAGACTGTTGTTATTAAGTAATATGCGACTAAAAAGTATGTTAAGACATTTAGAGAAAAATTTTCTTCATGTTTTACTTGTCTAGAAACAATTGCTTGTGCTAACAATATAACAAAAAAAATAAAAAACAAAATAACTCCTATAATCCTCAATTTTAGTTTGTTCCTCTTTTCATATGTTTTATATTCCAAGTTTAATTGTTGATTTCGGTACTTTATATTGATATCTAGAACTTTTCTAAATGTCTCATAAATAAACTTTGTCTTTTTAGATCTATTATAGTATGTGTTGTCGTCTTTTATCCTATACCTCATTGGCATAGGAATTAATTTTCGCAACTTTTTACTTTCATCAAAATGGAGGGATCCTTTTGTCTGCTCCTTCACCTCCCAATTTTCCACATCGTTTGTTTTACCCTTTTTTCTTTCTTCTGTCTGTACTTTATTGTCCTTTTTATGCTCCCTTTTCAGTAGCTTTTCCCGGAAGTGATCAGATATATCGGGGTAAATTCTGAAAATGTGTAAGTTTAAGTTTAAGTGTACGCGTAGGTGTATCTGTGTGTATGCGTGTTGATTGGATACTATTCAAAGAAATTAAGAAAGGGAACAATAAGGATTAGCTAATTCATGGAGTGATCCCAAATGTTTCATTTTTTCACACTTTTAAAAACATGATTTCGCACAATTGAGATAATACATTCCAAAAAAAAACAAAAAAAGAGAAAAGGTAAAATAAAGAGGAATATATTTCCTATGGGTAGTATACACCAATTTAAAAAAAAAAAAAAAGACTTACTTGTTATTCACAAATTTTACTGCCTTGTCAATAAAATAGTTAATGTACAATATTGGGAAAAGTGACAACCAAAAATACACATCTTCATTATGAAAAAGGCTTAATTCGCATTTCCCTATTTTCAAACAATCAATTAGGGTATACACGTTTACATATACAAATAAAAGGAAAATTATCATGATTGCTGATACAAAAAAATATAAGTGCCATGTTTTTGAAAGCATAAGAATTTTCTCCGATGTTATAAAAAAATTCAGAATGAATATGTGGAAGGTAAATGTTCTATGGGTTATCAAATGGAAAACGTGAATCCGTAGGATATAGTACGAGATAAATGAAATCAAAATAGCCTCCAGAATTGTTAAAAGAATAATAGTGTTGTTTAAATAATATTTCCTTCTTGCCTGATAAAAAAAGGGAATTGGGGTTAGGAGTTCAGGACAAAAGACAAAAGAATGAGTATTTCCTTATCCTAGCTCAGAAAGAAAACAAAAAATTATTTGCATAAAGAGGCATAAATGCATAAAAATTGTGTAAACAATATTACATCTATGTATTGTTCTAATCCTACCAGCTGATAAATGTACGGAACTTTCCTTATAAAATTATATGGTAAATCTATTTCATATGTTGAAAAAGCTATAATCAATAAATAATGAAAAATGGCAAAAGTTGTTTGAGAATACAAAATGGAAGAAATGGATGATCCAGAAAAAAAATTGTCGAAATTGTGAAAAAAGTAAAGGGAGACTATTGTGATCTTTAGGTATATTATCCAAAGGAATGATCGACTATAAGGGGGGAAGGAGAAAAAGGGATGAGGTAATTTGTAAGTTGTTGGAAAGGACAAAATGGGTTAAAAAAAAAGAAAAAAAAAAGAATAAAGAATAAAGCAAAATAGGAGAAGCAGAAAGGGGGAAAACTCAAAAGGTACAGTTAAAAATAAATTTAGTCCCTCTTAAGATTACACTAAAAGACATGACCCTACACTGTATGAACAGTTCCAAGGTCATATTATCTTCTGCTTATCATGCTCACACTTGAAGAGGAAAATGAATTGTTTTAGACATTGTTTTGTTGATACCTCATAACTATACATGAAGTTTCATATATTCCCACAACCCGTTTATTTATTATCATTTTAATTTTTTTTTTTTTTTTTTTTCTTCCCCTTTTAGACTTATGAAGCACTTTCCATATTATATTACCTGAGGGAAATTTTGTTTATCCGTCCCAATATGAGCAAATCGCTGATGTACCTAAACTCTTGCAATATGTAATCCGATATGCTATAAAGGACATTAACTTGTTCATTCAAATTTAAACACACACTTATTGTGGTGTTGTTCAGTAAATATGCATCGTTTAACGTAGAGCCAACACCTAATATTGTCAATCTGGGGGTAGTTAGGGAAAGAACTTTTTTTATAATTTTCCCCTTCGTTTCATTGTCCATCTTGCAAAATAGTACAACTGTAGCTCTCATGGCCATACATAAAAACATTTTCTGCAGTTAGGAGGTGTGGTAAACATGGATTATTTTTATCATATTTGACACGTGCAAATGGAGGTAACTAAAATAAAATTTAGTGTATGTCAGACAAGAAGCCCAAAGTTAGGCAATCAATCAAAATAAAAGGAACAAAAAAAACGAACAAACCAAAAAAACAAAAAAAACAAACAAAACAAACAAAATAAAAGGAACAAAAAATATATTACAAACAGGTTGCACGGAAAAGGAGTAGAATAAACCAATGTACAGAATATGTAACGACAAACTTACCATGGCCTGTGCATTTTTCATTATATTTTTTACACTATTGTCGTTTATTCCAAGGGCATAGGATGTAGAGTTGAGCTTGTCCAAGGAAAGAGTAAAATTATTGAAAAGTGCATCGGCCATATTTTCCATACTTTCTGAATCATCGGTATTAAAAAAATTGATTAGAAAAAAGTTAGAATTGGATGTAATTAAATTACATTCTAATGCTGTTAAGTAGGTATCCTTAGAGTATTCATTTGTAAATATCCATGATCTAATATCAAATTTGTCTAGGTCGCGAAAAGTTTCTTTTACTCCATCTTTTAAATCATTTTTCAATCCTATTATTCCTACTACTTCCAAATCGTTTAATAAAAATATTTTCAATAAATCATACAACATGAAAGATAACTTGTTGTTATTGCTATTCTTGATATCTTTTAGAAAAAGATATTTTCCAATATCTTCATTTTTTATTACTTTTTTACAAATTAATATAACTTTTAAGTAATTCATTGTATATAGCTTTATAATTTTTTTAATTTTTTTTATATTATTTTTTTCTATAGACAAATAGGGAAGAATGTTAAAATCGTACCCACGAACATATAATATTCCGTGATTTAATTCTTTTACATGTTTTAAAATGCACATGGAAAATTTATTACTTTTTAAAAAGTCATGAAAACAAATCAAATAATATTCTTTACATTCATTTTTTAAATTATAAAAAAATAATCTATTCTTATAACAGTACACATGATATCCTACATTCTTTACAATGTTATATAAACATGTATCTTCGTGTTCAATTGTATGAAAATGTTCTTCATCAGATTTTTCCCCGTATTTATTATATTCATCATTTCCAATTTCATGATTATTCTCTTTTTCATATCTCGCATATGCATCATTATAACATTCACTTTTATATTCCTTTATTTCCCTATCCAAACATTTTTCATTGTATATAATTATCCTGTTACACCCACATATTCCCAAAATGAATTGTTCTATTCTGTTAGACTGCTCCGTGATTTCTTGAGCATCTTCGATTATTTCTTTACAGTTATAGCTGTTTTCGAAATTTTCATAAAATTCTAAACTCAGCGGGGAGAGATAGAAAAAAAAAAAAAAAAAAAAAAAAAAACGCAGAAAAGTATTTCCAAAGGAGCCTTTTTTCTTACCCCGCTTTCCACGTCACGCCAACAGAACTAAGACAACACATGGTAGCATAATGGAGGGGGGGATACCATGCACATAAGAGTAAACATAAAAAAATATATACATATATGTGCCTGAATACATGTACACATGAACTGCAAAACATGCTGCTCTTTTTTCAGATTCATACGTTTGTATCCTCCACTTAACTTGGATTTTACAAAAGGCGTAAGCTTGACATTCTTATTCAAAATTTCTTTTTTCAAATAATTTCTATATCTCTCCTTCAGCATCTTCGACAAATCATCCACAAAGGGGTCGTAAATAGATGTGATACGACTCTCAAATATTCTTAAGAACTGTTCTAAGTCTCTTGACTTGAAGAGTAAGTTCTCTGGGTCCTTAAAAATTCTTTCGTCTAGGTTTAAAAGTTCTGCTACATTTTTTCTAAAATACAGGTGCGAAAAGGAAGGTATAACGCATAGAAAAGTGAAAAAACTCAAAGTAGAAAATTAGAAAAATAATGTTTTAGATCAGTACATATTTAGAATAGTTCATGTGGTGGGTGAAACTGCAATTTATTCTTCACATTTTTGCCCTAATCATTGAAGCAAACTGCTCTACCTCCTTTTTTTTTCTCCCCTTTTTTTTCACTCCTTTTTGCATATCTCATGTTATGCACCTGCCCCTCCCCCCTCTTCCTATACTCCATATTTACACATCTTCACTCAGAAGCTCTCTTCTCTTCACCTTTCACCGTCCAATATGTTCAGAGTGGGTAAATGAAAATCTTTATGAGAATAGACAAAATCACCCTTCGCGTATATAATATTGTTCACAGTGCATGACACAAATATTTCTTTTTTTTTTACAAGAATGCCACTTCTAGCTGTTGCCAGCAGATCGACAGTCCCTAGTGCATCGTTTTTATTTTTATTAAAAACTTTAGGTTTTTCACTGTGTGGTCCTTCTTTCATTCGGAGGTCATTTTCTGTGAATGAAGGACATCAATGGAAGTGTGAATTAAAATTTTGTGTTTTCCATGTAATCGCTTAGAGCATATTTTTAGTGAAGCACATCGAAACAATTCTGTGCCTAAACTCACATCATTTTTATTGTCATTTTGTCAGTCTTTGTTCCTATCATTTTGCATATTATTTTGTTTGTCATTTTGTTTATCATTTTTGATCTACCTATTTTCAAACTTTGGATGATGTATATTAAGCTCTTCTCCGAGTAAATCATAATAGGCAAAACTAAAATATATAGTCCAATAAAATCTTCTAGAACTGTTAAAAAGTTATCTTTTGTCTTCTGATGAGACCCTTGCGTTCGATAATATATCAGCTTGATAATAGTGCTTAACAGTACAAAAAAGAAATACATAAAAATTAAATAGTATACTACATTGTTCATTTTTATGCAGAATGTTCTATTCTCTTCAATTTTTTGTGGAATATTTAAATTTTTTTTTGTGTCAGCTCCCGTGTATACAACTACTGCATCTATGTACTCTGCCCCCTTAAGGATAGAAGCTTATAGAGATGAAAAAACAAAAGTGATATTGATAGAAATGGGGGGGGGGGGGAGGAAATAATAATGATTTATGTCTACATTTTAGTTATCAAAGTGTATTTAACATTTGATGGGGAAGAACCAGCGTGAAGTGTCTCTCAATTTTTTTTTTTTTCTGGTTCATGTTTTTTCTATTTTTGTCCATCTTCATTGGCGTTTCCCTTTGATTATTTCTCATGTTTTGATTTTTCCTTTTTTTTTTTTTTTTTTTTTTTTTTCTTTTTACATTGTAAAGCAAAGTTCTCATAACTTAGCATTAGAGATCTTGGATGTTTATCCAACTTAAAATTCCCCTGAAAACAGAACATATTCTTATTAGGCAGTTCACATCTAATGAATCCGTTAATTTCTGACAGCATTTTTAAGTAGTCCCTGTCAACTAAAAGGAGAAAAAAGGGGATTAGGAAAAATCCCTTATTAAGACTATACTTAGGGGGAGTTCACACGTAAGTGGCCACTCGTGTGCGTAATCGTAAGCGTGCACACAATTGTTGCACGTGCTTATAATCGCAAGTGTGCACATATGAAATTGTGAACATTTCACAAACGCGTGATACACATAAGGTGTTGAAAAAAAGTATGCATTCATACTTTTGTACTTATCTAATGGATACTTTATACTCCTTCTAAATAACCCATCAATTTTAAAAGAGTCGACCATGGCATTTGAATTATTTTTAACATAAAGGATAACGACATCCGCTGGGAATTCGTCACCTTGAAATATGCGAATTATGTTTCCTACTTTTATATCTTTCGTCGTAACCTGAAAGGGGAATATTTTACGTTATATATAATTTTACATATACATGAAAGGGAGTTATGTATATGGAAAAGATCTCTGCATTTCGTGATACTCTCACCCCCTCTACCTCCTTATACTTTACATCCTATTTTTTCCCCTCATCATATAACTTGTTTAATTACACTTTTTGCCAATAGTCACATGTCTCTATTTTGTGTAACTACCTTTTCAAAGTGAGACATTTTAGGAACAATCCTCAGATAACATTGCGAATTCGCATCTTTTATATCCTTCAGCTGTTTTAGCTCATAAAGAGTTTCTATGACTACTAAAATGGCAATGTTCAAAAATAATGAAATAGCCGTATCTATAAAAATATACTTTTTTGTTATCCCTTGTCCAAGTTCTGAAAATATATAGATGATCAGAAACAACGTATACACAATAACAGCATCGATTGAGACAAGCCTTCTAATAAAGTTATATAACTGAAAATGGGAATAGAATGAAAAGAAAAAAAAAAAAAAAAAATCACTATTACTAGGCAATATTTTTAAATTTACAATGTTTCATGTAGAAACAAAAAATAGCACATATGCACATGTGCATATATTTAATACGAGTAATATAGGCTTAAAAAAAAAAAAAAAAAAAAAGTAAAAATCTCACAGAGAAATTATATATTCTAAAATAGTTTCTACAGAATTTTTGCAAGTCATCTTCTGATGTTGGGTTGATAACAACTTTTCTGTAAATTTTATTTCCTGTACCTAGATATTTTCTATTTCCGTCTAAATGCTAAGCACTCGACGGTGAAAGAAAGGACATGTACATATTGAGTGAGGTTAAAAATGAGAATATCATGTATATGGAATATTTCTTTATTACTGCATTTTTTAATTAAATGTGTCTTTTCTTTACCCATTTTTTTATTCTTTTTTACTCTAATTTTTCCTTCTCACCATTAGCGTTAAAGCTTCAGTTTTCATCCTATTTGTGCTCTTCATTTTTAAACTTTTAAACACAAGAAAAAAAAAAAACAATTAGAATATAACATTAGCAGTTTTTTTTTTTTTTTTTTTTATCACACGGACATATCGAAAAATATCAAGTAAAAAAAAAAATATCCCATGTATTTTCTATTTCGTCTGTGTGTATTTTTCTTAAATGCATAAAACTGGGGTTGACAATTTAAATGAGTAAAATGACCACTTTCTTATCACTTGCGTTAAGTTCCTATACTTTTTGTTTTTACATTTACTACGAATTATTTGCAAATTTTATTATTTATTTAATTTTTTTTTTTTTTTTTTTTTGTATACATTTGATGAAAGAAATGCAAAAAACAGGTTATCAAAATGTGTAACTTGGTTCATTCTTTTTTACTCGTCTACATGAGCATATGTGAGTATACATACATGTAGGAACAATATTCTCCCTCACAACACCCCTTGGTTAGTCCTCATTATCATCATTTAATATTTTTGATTAGTTTATTATTTTTTTTTTATTTTAATCACCCCGTACGCATGTGTATACATACCAAATTGGTAAAAGTAAATCCGTCAGGAGGGGATACAAAAAACTGTTTTTTTTTTTTTTTTTTTTTTTTTATAGACCATATATGTATTGTTGAAAAGAATTAAATGTTCTTGTAAAAAAAAAAAAAAAAAAAAAAACGCTGTCCTAAAATAAAATTAATGCAGTTCATACAAATTTAAAAATATTAAGAATTGTAAAGTAATAAATTTTGTTCCTAAATTGCGTAGAGCTTTATATCGTTCCCTATTTTTGTTATGTATGGTGAAAAAGTTTTATTTTAATCAGCATTGAAATTTACAATTAAGTGATGGAAGAGTGAAATACATTTGATCAAATAACACGTTGAAGTAAACAAATGTTTGTGTGGCGCCTTTTTTGTGGTAAGTCAGAAAAAACATTGCGAGTGTGTAGAAAAAAAAAAAAAAAAAAAAAAAAAAAAAAGAGCCAAAGCTCCCCTACCACCAACATTTATATGGGTAGTAATAATCAATTTACATTTCCAGAAAATTGACAAAAACGAACAAATCACATAAGTGCATCACTTTTTTTAAAATATCACTGCATGCACTTGTCCCTTTATCCACAACTTGAGCTCAGCAAATTAAAAAATTATTTTAAAGAATTAATACCTTCTCACCTACTTGCTTTTAATTAAAAATATGTTTTATTTAAAAAAAAAATATATATATATATCTTCTCCTTTATATATATTCTTAAAGGGTAATAAAATTTATATACAAAAAGAGGTTAAGTGTAACAAATTTGGCTTGAATACATTTTAACACATTTTGAATAACAAAAAAAAAAATTACGTTTTTACATATATGTAAACGTATTCATGTGATAAAACCTATGCACTTATTAAACAATACTTCTACCCCGCGAAATTAGACATGGTGTATGTTAAGCTGTCACACTAGAAATTTGAACAAAAAAAAAAAAAAAAAAAAAAAAAAAAAGCTATTCTCCATGTAACTCTTTTAATTTACACATTTTCCCTGAATAAAATCCAGAAAAATACCATGACATAAGATACTTCAGCAGTTCTTGTAAATCTTTGTTTTTATATATTTTGTCCTCATTAGTAGAATTTACAACATTTAATTTTTTCGTAATAAAGTTATCAAAATTGTTATTTATGAAACTATTTTCTTTTTTAAATGTATCTTCTTCTATGCACAGAAGTTGAGATTCTAAAAAAATATTTAACGTATCTTCACTGTTTTTTTTTTTTTTATGTTTTATATATACATCGCTTATTTCTTTATTGTATTTCTGAAAGAAATGATTAAACGGTATTGGGGGTGGCTCAAGGAGGCTTCTAATTGCTTCACTCTTCAGGTTAATGTTGTTTATGATTAGGTGTTTATTCTCGCATTCATTCGTGTATTCATTTGCATATTCGCCCACATCGGCATATTTGCGTCTTACGAACTCATCGTTGGAACTGCATGCAAAATCCTCCTTCTCAAAATCAAAGTTCATCTGATCAACATCAATATAACGCCTTTTTGTTTTATTCCTCTTCTTTTCATTTACTCCACATGTACCAAATGTATTGGGAACCTTGATGTGTTCATTTGCACTTGTCTCCAAATTATGAATTTCTCTATTGTTATTCAAAATGTTTTCACAATAATTATTCACGTCCTTGTTATTACCTCCAGTGCTATTCCTCGATAATATTGTGAATTCCATGTCATCTTCAGATCTGTATTTGTCACCATACTTTTCCTCGGGGGAAATAACCTCTCGAATATTTTTTTCTATGAAATTATTTAATTCCTCATTTTTATGCTTTAAGAATTGTACACTCTCAGCATTATTCCCCTCAAGTGTACATTCTAATATGTTTTTTATGCAAATGGGTATAATGGTTTCATCATTTAATGAGTACTCTGAGATAATTTCATTTTGAAGTCCTTTTGTGTCGATCTTATTAACATTATTCTCATTCATTTTGCCTATCTTCAATTGAATGTCGTGTTACGCATCCATTAATTATTTCAGTGTTGTGATTTTCCTGAGATTTTTCATCTTTATGAAAAGATCATGTTTGTGTAATTTATGAGGTAGAATAAATGGTTTCAGGTTGTTCTCCCAGCTATTTTTTAACTATTTTTATGAACTTTTTCAATCTTTTTTTCACCCAATTTTTTTTTTTTTTTTTTTTTCTTTTCATCATTTTGAACTATGTTTTTCTCACTCGTTAAAGGCTTGTTAAAAAGAGTGTAGATTTTTTTTTTTTTTTATCACTCCTATAAAATGCGTTACACGATTTTTTTTTATGAAAAAAAAAAAAAAAGGAAAAATAATACAAAGAGAAAGTGATAATAACATAAAGTATACCCTCGAATGGACAAATAAAGCTACTGAATTAAAAATAAATTAATATCACAGAACACTAAACAAATATACTACATTTCCCATGACACCATTGTAAAATTTATACACTGTACGTTATATTTACTTTCTCACTTTGAACACAATGGAATTCAAGGGATGGGGGAGAAGTGAAAAAAAGAAAAAAAAGGAAAAAAAATGTTTACACTTATTATCGTGAAAAAAGAATTGTTTTACCATTGTATCATTTTTAAAAATTAAAGACACTCAAAGAGGTATTTTATTTATGTTATAGATTAAGAGGGCTAATTATACGTTATTTAGGGGAAAATATATACGTTTTTTAGTATAAGAAAAATTCTGTTTTAATTTTTCATATTATAACAAATCGCACCATAATAAAATCTGTGTGCACAGACAAGAGTACTCTTCTATGTGATGACCAAATTAACTCATCTTACTACGAAGCACGTTGTAAATGACATGTTCTTTATTTCATTTTATTAAGATTTCGCCCTGCCAACCCCGCCGAGGTTATTACAGTTAATGAGAAGAACATGCTAAATTTAAATATTATAGTTTTTCCTATTTTTTACATCTCCTTCATCATAAGCATAACTAATCAGCTAAGTAACAATGGAAAAACACTTAAAAACTTGTTTACCCGAATTAGTCATGAAGTATTTTCACATGAACAAGTTATAAAAAACAAAAAAATATATATTACACTCACTTCTGGTTGTCCGTTTGATAATGAAGAAAAAAAGAGTACATTTGATTGTGTCAGAAGAAAACTATTTAAATGCAGTGAAAAATTATTTAACACATGGAGTAAGTACTTGTCTAGAATATATCCCAATGAAAAAATAAAAAGAGAAAAAATTTATAATGAAGGAGATTATTACATAGTAGCAAAAAAAGGAATTAATGAAAAATTGAACTATATCGATCTGTCATCTTTTAATACATATTGTTCATTTTACAAATTATATGTAAGTGATTTAGTACATTTTAGTGAAAAAACTATTGTACACAATGAAACCCCCTATCGAAAAACAAAAATAATGAAAAGGTATTTTGTAAAAACAGATCACTTAAATAGCGACCCATTGGATGAAAACAGTTATATTTTTATTTTAGGATCGAAAAAAGAAAGCTTACAACTTGAAAATGAAAAATCACCACATAGCAAAATTTATATCACTGTAAATAACAGAATCCATTATTACTACGTTTCTTTTATGAGCAAACAATTAGATCATACCTTTTATTTCGTATTCAATAGGGATCATAATAAGGACGACAATAAAAATGGTACTAGTGACAGTTATATATTTTATAAAAATGAAGTTATACAACCATTCCGAATAGATGGAAATGATTCTAAGACTTTTCCTTTCAAAAAGGAAAGTATAAATAATGATGAAACAAGAGACTTTTATATAATTGAAATTTGTCACACCTTTAGCGGAATAACATACAAACAAAATATATATGGTTTGTTGAGGAGGTTATCTATACTATATTTTAATATTGAATTAGTTCCTTACACTTTTCATTTACCACCAATATTTTATCATGTACTAATAATCCTTATTTTTTCATTAACCTTATCCTACATTTTTTATAAGATTTTTTTGAAGTATAAAAATTGTTTTTGAGTAGACATAAAGAGACAACATATATGGAGCGACAAAGAACATTTGAAGAATCTTAAATAATAAAAAAAAAAAAAAAAAAAAAAAAAAAAAACTTTTAGACCTCATTATGCTATAAATAATATAACATGTTTAATTGTTAACGTAGCTATAAGTGCAAAGTTCATACAAGAATAACAAAATTTTTTATTTCTAGATTTTTATTTTCATGCCCACTTTGAGGGTACACATACAAGTATATTATATAAAAAATATTAACAAGCCAATGTATGTATCACCGTGTGAATTTTTCGAACTCATAAACTTCGATTTGAAAATATCTACACGAAAATAAAATCATTTTTCTTTTTTCCCAAAACACAGCTACATATAGATGAACTTTCATATAACTATGAAACTGTGTTCGTAATGAGCTAAAAAAAAAATAATTGCTTAGGTTAATTTTGCATTTTAGCGTTATATTATTAGAAAGAACATGCCACCTTTTTTATTTTATTTTTTTGTGTGTGCTATTTTTTTAACTTTATTTGATAGGATTTAACTCTTCATTTATTTATTTTATTTTTTTTTTTTTTTTTAATATGTTTCAGCAGATATTCTAATTTCTATTTTAACCTTTTTTTCATTTCATTGTATATTTATTTTTAAATCTTCAATCCACATACCTCTTTTATATTCATCAAATATAATTTAATTTTTTTCACTTCGATTGTGTAAATTCTTGTTACATTATACATTTCTCTCGCGCCCCCCATTGATTATCTTGTTTTTATCGCAATTTCGATGCATGTTGTGTATATCACCCTATTGATCCGCTTTTTTTTTTTTTTTTTTTTTCCTTTTGTTTATTATATAATATGCCGTAAAGGGAACATTACAATTGAGATACAGTTAATAATTTTTTATTTTAGCATAATCTGCAGTTATAGCATAATAGAGAATTCTAGGTAACATCGCTTCATTTATTTATGTATTTATGTTAGCCAAGCATGTAGCCTACTTAACAATTTTAAATCACATAAAGATAGAAAAAAAAAATATATATATTACAGAAAGCAAAAATATTACCACATAATCAACAGAATGTTTCAGGAAGTTTAATTAATGTGTAACTGAGATTTTTTAACAAAGTTATTTATATTCCTAATTTGTATTACATATATGCCAAAATCATCACAAGAGGAAAAAAGAAAAAAAAATAGTAAAGATGGATGCTCTAATACTAGACGAAAAAATAAGGATGTACGCGCTCATCCCAATTTTTATAATTGTTGTTTTGGTTTGCATAATTAAAAGTAACTTAGGTCAAATGGTTCGACCTACCATCAAGGTGGATACTGAAAAATTAAGGCAAAAGTAAAAAAAATAAAAGAAAGAAAGAAGGAAAAAAGAGGGGAAAAAGAAAAAAGAACCAATCATTTATCACAACATAGTTTGTGTCTTTTATTTATTTATTTTTCATTTTTTTTTTTCTTTTTGCACACATGTTGTTCAGCATAATTTTGTGCAAACTTACCTGTTTATTAATACATACACCCCTAAATTACTACATTGTTGTAGTGCTGAATCCGAAATTGAATAAATAAAATAATAAATCATAGAAACCCATCCCTTCACCAACTTTTCTTTTATATAAAGTAATTTCCTAGCAAGGTACACATACCTGAAAGTGAATCATGGATTTATTTCCCCAGTTGCATTTTTAAGTCGAAAATATTTTTTTAACAAACCACAAGGTGGCTTCTTTAATGATTTGCCAGAACAACTTAATCCATTCGATGCATTGTTAAAACAAGACCCCTCAGACTTGTTTGGAATGATGAAAAATCAAATTCCCTTTCTGGTGCTACAGTTAGGGCTAGGGTTTTTAATAAACCTCTTTTTTTCTGGATATCTAGTGGGTATTATTAGCTTGCACAATAATGTGCATAATTGTGGATTACACATATGTGCATATATACATATATATGCAAGATTATACATCCATATGCAAGGGTACACGTACATATGCTTTTATTCCCCCTTCTATCTCACCAATTATAGCTAAAATACCTTTTCCCCTAACTTACAAATTCAAATCTACTTTGCAAATGGGTATGGATATAGAATTACTGGACATGAAATTTGTATCTTCCTTGTCATGGTTTGATTTTTTTTTTTTTTTTTATAGACAATATAATTTTTTTCAATTTCCTATTTTGCTATCAAATTGGAAATTATATTAGCCTTTTTTTTTTTTTTTTGTTTTGTTTTTTCTGTTTTACTTGTTCGTAAGTTCCATTTTTTTTATTCGCATTTTCTTTACCGTTTAATCACAGGTACTTCCTTGTCATGTTTGGGTCAAGTGGTTTAATAAGCATCATTGACTATTTTGTTCTTCATGGTATAAAAAAAAAAATGAAGAAAAATATAATAAAAAAAAAATAAAATAAAGTAAAAAAAACAAATGCATAAAAAACTAAATATAACAAAGCAAAATTGTAATTTGGCGAAAACGATCCTTTCTTTTTTTTTGTACACAAAACATTGTAGACAAGGATAGATCGCAAAATAATCCAATGGACAATTTGATGGCAACCCAAAATCCTTTAGCGAAACGTAACATCAGGAAATAGAAGCGGATAATTTTATTTTATTTATTTTTTCTTTTTTTCGAATGAAAAATGAGCCTGTTGTGTAGTAAAAATATGCACTAATGTAGAACAATTAAATGATCACGAGGGTATTTGCTTTCATAAATATATATATATATTTAAAACATCATTTAAATTTGTATTTACATATACATCTATGCATGTATGTGCATTTTCATTTTTCCCCCGTAGAACCAGCAAATATGAATAATATACCGGACATGAAAAAGTTTTACGACAAAAAGAAAGCAGAGCTGGAGAATGTGGTATTTAAAAAAGAGAAATTCGTTTTTTTCCTTCACCCCCGTCCCACCATATTTGTCGTTATTCTGGGGTTGCACATCTTTTTTGTTCTTTCTACCCCCGAACCCACCTCATGTTCATCATTTTTTGAGGTATTATAATAAAAACACTATATTTTTCTCCTCTTTCTGCAGAGGTATAAATTTTGGCTGGAGAATATCGAATACAATCTTATAGAAAACTGGAAATAAAATACAGTGATATGTGAAAGGTCCCTTCCTAATATATAAATATGTATGTGTACATACGTACGTATGAGTATATGCGAATGTGTATATATATATATATATATATATGTTCATGTATACATACTTATTTATTAGTGTTACACAATTATTTTTTTCGTTATATTTTTAAGGTATATTAAAAAAATCCGTTATATCTTCAAAATTGTGTTATTTTGTTTATATATGAAAAAAAACGTCTATATTATTGTATCTTATTTTATCTTTCCCTTCGTCGTCTTGAACTTTTTATTTCATTTTTATTTTTTTTTTTTTTTTTGTAAAAACTTTTAAAAACATAAATCGTTTTTTAAAGGAAAAAATTGCCATAATGGCAAAAATTAATTAGACCGACGTAGTGATTAAAAACCCCCTTTTTCTCCAATATGTTTACCTATGGATGTAACTAAGCTATTTTTACAGGTCTTTTTTTTGAAATCAAAATGAAAATAAAATTCATATATTCCCCCTCAATATTCTGGCAATGTGTAAGTGCTCGTAAATCTGTTTGTGTTAAAATTTTCGAAATTCGGCAAAGAGGAAATGGGGGGGGGGATTATATATGTAAAAATTATACTTATATTGCAAATACATTATAAAATAAATTATATAAAGCGATATTCCCCAAAAATAATGACTAAAGAATTTTGTAATATCATTATTATAAAAGCATAAATTTTGCCTATTTTATTTTTTGAAACAATTATGTACCGTTTTAATACTTTTAATAAATTTTTTTCTTTTTTTTTAAAGAGAAGTATTTGTTTTCCCCATTTACGAAATTGTAGCGCAAAAAAAAAAAAAAAAAAAAAAAAAAAGTAAATACACATATATATATGTATATATATATTATATAGTACTGATAAACAGATTCTAACTGAAGAACGTTTTGTTTTATGCCTATTTTGATGACTCCTCGAATGAATAAGTAGAAAAAAGTGCAACTTCCAAAGTAATATCAAATGAACGCCAAGGAAGAAGAGGATATACAACTGGATAAAACATCATCCAGCAAAAATGATAATATATACAAAACAAAAGTAAACACAAAACTTATTTATTGTACATACTGAAAAACACAACTATATATTTGACGTGTTAACATTTTGGAAAATTTTCTTTGATATATTTATGCATTCAACGTGCAAAAATGTATTATAATTTAATTGTATTATTTTATTAAGTTGTCCGTGATTCACTATTCATCATCCCTGTATTGTGATCAGGGAATTACACAACTCATGAAACTGGTTGCGTTCGGATGCAGTTGCAGCTCATTGTAACGTAATTGTGTTTGCGCATGTGTTTACCTTAATGCTCAGTTGTTTATTTGATATATTTCATCACTTTCAGACTTTCTCATTTTTTCATTTTATCACAATCTCTTTTATTTTATTTTATTTTATTTTATTTTTCCTTCTTTCCCCTCAGCCGCATTTACGTAAAGCAGCTGGTGTTGTGTGGAAGGACCCTTCATTAGATGATTGGCCAGAAAATGATTTTAGAATTTTTTGCGGAAATTTAGGAAATGAAGTAACTACGGACATTTTGGCCAATGCATTTAGAAAGTACAAATCGTTTAATATGGCAAAGGTGAGGAAAATATAAATTCGAAAAATGCAAATTCGTGTACTCATGAGTACAAGTACTTTACACACACATAAGGTTGTGTTCATTCATGTGTGCATTTTTATATGCGTATAAATTCGTTTTTATAAAATTATTCCGTGCCATTGAAGCAACCAATGTCGCTAGCACTGGAATAAATGCACAAGTGAACATGTCAAAATGCATGTTTACATTAAATCCATGTGTGAACATCCACAGCAGCCACAGATGCAAAGGATTAAATAACACATGTTTTAATTGCGTATAGGTAATTCGAGAAAAAAGGAACAATAAAACAAAAGGGTACGGTTTTGTTTCCTTATCGGATCCCCAAGACATGCTAGATGCATTAAAAAACATGAACAATAAATTTATTGGGAATAGACCAATCATAGTTAAAAGAAGTAAATGGAAAGATAGAGAAGTTGACTCCAAAAAAAATAAAGACTTTGATAATTTTATTCAAAATACATATGCTCCATCCAAAAAATTTAGGAAATTTAAAAAATTTGTAAAGCGTGATAATAAAGGTTAGAACAAAAAATAAAACCTGAAAAAAAGAATACACCTTCTTTTTTTTTTTTTTTCCCTTTTTTTCTTGTTAGCTTTTATTATCATTTTTATTTATTCATCTTTTGGAGTATTTATATTTAGGCATATTAGAATTGCATTTAAATAAGTAAAAAGTATATGATGTACATATATACATGTTGATACATATGTTTTTCCTTTTTATAGAAGTTCATGATAAATTAATAAGCAAAAATACAAAGAACTTCTGAAATGGAAATTACTCCTTTGCGGATGAAGAAAATAATTCCATGTTTTACTTAACCAATGTGGCTCTTTTCAACATATTCTTTTCGTTGTGAAGGATATGGGTTGTTGTAGGTGTTCTCTATTGCCTGATATGTAAACCCTTGTTTTTATCCTTTTTTGCAATTTACTTTTGAATATATTCTCGTCATTTTTTCCACCTCTTTAAAAATTTACGCTCACCCAAATATAATCCCTGTTCATATTTTTGTTTTACACTTTTTTTTTTTCCTCTCCATTAAACTTTTTTTTTTTGTGTGTTTGTGTGTATACTATATTTTAATTAATTTTAATAACCAGTTTCATACCTCTTTGCCAATTTTTTTTGTGTCGAAATTTTCAGAAAGTCGGGAAAATAAATATATTAAGATTTTTACCCATTAACATTCTTTTAAGTTTATGCTCTATATATTTTTATTTTTTAAGTTGGTTTATCTGGAGCGGTCGCACGAATCGGGTACCTACGGGAGAAGGGTAAAAAGTATGATTATTCTTTATGTATATCACGATTTTTAATACGTTTGCAATTGTTTCATACATGTAGCATAAAAATCAGTTCACATATTAGATACGTATATATTTGTGGATCTTACACATATATGCATTTATTTTGGCGATACTATGTTATAGCGCAAAACTAAATTCCCTCTTTTCACTCACCTTTCAATGGTAAAATTTTTCCCATTTCCCAAGATATCGCTTAAAAATGCTTTTATTCATTCGTATGGTAAGTTCAATAAAAACAAAATCGATATAACATGTTTTTACTATGTGTTTATGCATTGATATGTTAGTATATTTACCTACATAAAAACATTGTTTAGGTATTATTTCCCCTTATGCACTAAAACCCCGCATATATGAACAGCATCACTTTTAAATCCTACAAAACAAAAAAAAAAAAAAAAAAAAAAAAACGAATAGCACAAAAGGGAACGACTTAGAAAAAAATATAAAAAAATAAAATAAAACATATAAATAATGAACACACAATATGTGCAAGCATTTCGTTGTGCATTCGATCTACTATCCCAACGAGAGTACAAAAGTATGTACACGGTGTGCATTCAAGCCTAATGTTAGGTGGCAACAATCCGTGATTTATTTTTTTTTTTTTTGCATAAAAAGTTCACGAAGTGCAAAGATTCCCATGTGATAATATACTACTGCTAAAATGTGAGTTCCATTTCTTTGAAAAGAGCACTTACTGCCCACACGAACGTATCCCTTTCACAATTTTTGAAAAGAAAAGAACAAAAAAAAAAGAAAAAGAAAAAGAAAAAGAAAAAGAAAAAATATATATATATGATAATCCCGTGTTGAGCTTATTACAAATTTATAAGCAAACTTATTTTTTTTTATATTTTTTTTTACACAAAGCATTGAAGCAGATATATATATATATATATATATATAAATATATCATATGTATTATTCCCAAAAGGGGTTGATACTTAAAATAATAACAGAAAAAAAGTAGTAAAAAATTTTACCAAATGAAGAAAGAAATGTTCTTGTTTACACGAGACGTAATAATATAGTTTTACATACGTGAATATGAACAATTGAGAACTTGATATAAACAGATCAGACGGGAGGGCGACGAGCTTAACGTTGTACACATAAGTACTACACATTTTGGAGTATATATACACAATAACATATAAAGCACAATAGAACTTCGTGTGTATAATAATACGTGTTCCAAATTGTGCTGCGACCAAGTACCTGTTATGGTCACTCGCCCTTCCCCCCCACACACACCCTATCCTTGCATATGATCTAGTGAAATACACACGATGAATGTAACAAGAATTCTTTTAAATAGTCAAAAGGTATTAAAAAGAAATGTAGAATTTAGGGAAATATTTACCCCCCGATGGTTTCTGGAATCACCCAATTATAGCCGTATGCCACTATGGAGAAGATTTTTTGAAGGTCAATATACAAACGGTTCCTTTTTATTTTTTGGTAATGCTTGGACATCTATGTTTGCTTTTGCATTTATGTTATGGTTTTCAAGAATATTCGATCCACCACCCTTAGAAAGAGTTGACAAATATTGGCTGAATTCACCCAAATTTAGAATATTATCTGCTTTTTATAATGAAGGGAAAAGACCAGGTGTGAAAATTTCTTTGATGACTTATGAAGCAAGATATTTTTACAGAGGTATTGATCATCCATTTACTATTAATGAAATAAAAGATTTATGGTTTAAATTGAGAGAAAACTATGTAATTGAAAGCATACCGGCAATTCAGTATCCGCATGTTTTTAGGCAGTATAACAATGTTTCTACCCCAGCAGATTTGCATGTTCATCTTCATTGAATAATTATATTATGCAAATAAATTCTTAACCCAGCACATGGTTGTATTACAAATTTCATTCTCTACACATTGCCAATTGGGAATTAAGAGACATGGGGTGTGTGTGTGGGGGGGGTATCACTTTTTGCGACTCCACACGTTTTACAGTTTTAATTGTGTGATTATCTTATTACGCAATTATGAAGATTACTCCATATGTCACAAGTGAACGAATATTTTACGTTTTAAAAGGAACACTCCCCACACACACATATATATGCACGCATTAATACAACTGTTTGGTGGATGGGAATAACAGATCAATGATATTTTTATCCCAGTCCTTTTGTGCCTTTCGTGCGCGAACTTCTTTCGAACAGTGAAACTTTTTTTATTCGTTCATTTATGGGTTCATTTATTCGTTCATTTATTCGTTCATTTATTCGTTCATTTATTCGTTCATTTATGCGTTCATTTATGCGTTCATTTATGCGTTCATTTATGCGTTCATTTATGCGTTCATTTATGCGTTCATTTATTCTTTTACTTTTCTTTTTTGTGACGAAAATTAATCACGGAGAATTTACAAAAAATTATAGCTTCAGCTTTTGCTAGGAACATATCTCCAGTTGTAATTTTTTTGAAATAGTCCTTTTGAGATCGTTTTCTTGCATAAACGAAGCTGCCTTTTTACCACATTTTCGGGCTGTTAGACAACTCTTTATGACTTCAATTTTCAGTCTCCCTCTCCATAGTTGCATTGAACTTTTGTCGCACCATTTATACCTACGCTTTGTATACAACATGAAAATGGAAAGCGTCATTTTACAAGCACAGATAAAGCCCTTATGTATACGTAAAAAAGGAAAAGGAAAGAAAAAAGCTACAACTATGCCCTTTCAATAAAGAGATCAAAATAGAGTTTACAAACATTTGGAGGGATAACACAACAACTGCTTACACCCTTTTCTAATGTTTATGTGTGTGTGTTGCAAAAAAATGCGGAAATTTGACCGTGTTATAGAACATATATTTCCATAAAAAGATACACTTCATCACAAATGTGTAAGCCGTAGTATTCATGTAAAATAGGGGAGAAAATCAGGTGAAAATGAGAGTAAAAAAGAATGTTAAAAATGAAGGCAAAAATGAAAGTTAAAAATGAACAAAAAAGTAAGAGAAAAATGAACGAAAAAGTAAGAGAAAAATTTAATTTTAATTTAAAAACGCCAAATCTATAATCTTCCGATCTTTGGGGGGGAAGATTGAGGCAAAATGAAAAAATATGTGCACAGAATTGACATATAAGTAAATCCACATAATTTTAACATACCTCAAAATAAAAAAAATTTCTAAATAAAGCAAAAGGACTAATAAGTAATGTTTAAATTTTCTTCATAATTCATAGACAGAAAAATTAAAATAAGGATTAATTAAAATGATAGGGGAAATATTTTTAAACGTATGTGCGATAAAATTTAAAAATTGCTCTCATGCGTATCCATGCATGGGTTGCTGGTGCATTAATACAGTATCCAACAAGGATATTTACAGAAAAAACAAAAAAAAAAAAAAATATTATAAAAAAATAAATAAATAAAAAATAATAAAAATAATAAAAAAAAAAAATAAGAGCAAACTGGTATATGTTTCCTGTACACACATATGCTAGGGCATAAGCATGAATATATGTCGGTAAGCATTAAAACAAACTCATAAAAACAAACGCATGCGCACTCTCTGCATCCTATCTATGCAAGCTTCCAACCACGGCTGGAGCTACTCGCAATACAAAAACGTTTCCTCTTCGTCTGTCTAACCTGCTGACACGCTCGTGTGCACGGATATTTGATATCAATACCTCCCTTATGTCATCAATAATTTCTCTTTTTACTTGATAAAATGAATGCTTCAAAAAATCTACATTCGTTTCAACAAAGGTTGTGTCTATCACATCCATGTCAAGCCATGCATATTTATCAAAGGATATATAAACTGTATCTGTTTTTTTACATGTTTGAGATAAAGTTTTGGAGATCTTTTCTTTGATTTTCATGTTATAAGGATGCCTATTCATTGTGTTTTGGTTAAAATAAATATTTTCTTTTTTATTCTTGAATAACCATTTTCTCTTCATTTCCTTAAAAACCTTGGATATTCTAAACCTTCTTCTGGATGTAAAGGCTTTTAAACTGGAATCACTAAATTCCACTGTCTTTAGAAAATTTTCATTCAAGTAATTATGCGAGAGATCTTCTGAAATACACGAGACACCTTCTTCTTGGTCATACGTGGATATTTTACGAATCGTTTTATTTATATTTTGATCATTCCATGTGCTATTTGTGTTACTCTGAATGAATTTATTCAACGGATTATTTTCTTCTTTTTCCTTTTCATCTGCTCCTTGGGTTTGGTTCTTCTCCAAGTACATGTTTTCAACCTTGTACTGACTTTGTTTCTCCTTTATTTTTTCTTCTACATATGAAGAATTTGGAAATAAAATGTTGTCACACATTTTGTACTTTTCCTCATAATTACCAGTGAAAAAATTGCTCCTGTCCAAATTTAAGTTCATATAATCTTCAGAATTGTAAATTTTATACAAGGGTAATTTTAGTTTGAAAATTCTCTTCCCAAGACACTTTTCTCTATTCCATGTCTCTGAATAAGTTAGTGCCTGATCCCTCGTATCACCATACATAACAATATGATTACAATGGCTTCTTAAGACGAAAAAATCTTTTTCTAAAAATTTGTCTAATGGATAGTCTGGATTTAGCAAAATAACAGTCTTGACTATGATTTGCTTCTTTTTTTTTTTTTTTTTCCTTTTCTTATTATGTGGACATTTGGGAGCAGTTGTAGGATCATTCCAGACACTACCGCTGTAATTGTCACTGCAATTTTCAGCATAATTCCTTGAACCATCTTCGTTAAGATCCTTGACACTATCGTTAGCACAATTGCGTTCCGCACCTTCCTTATTCATGCAATTTTGGGATTTATCTTTATAGCGGTTACTCTTTTTCAATTTTGATTTTTCATTTTTTAGAACATTGTAAAAAAGATTGTCTTCTACACAGCTTGCAAATCCGTTAAAAAAAAGCCTAGAGCCACAAGAATGACTTATTATGTGCACATTTTTAATACCTGAATTTATAAGTTCTTGTATAAAAGTTTTAAAAGAATTTCCTAATACTGCCATTTCGGACCTTTTTCGTGCAACGGGATAAGACAAAGCTGAGAAGGCACCCCACATAGCACCTTCCCAATGAAAAACAAATGGTTGTATATATGAAGGAAGTTTAGAAAATGAAACTAAATGGGCTAATTGAGAACATCCATGATGTAACTTAACATTATATCCATGTATATATATAACAATTTCGTCTGGCATAAAATTTAAATTTTGTTTTAATGATAATGATTGCCATCCTTCAACAATAATTTTTTCCTTATGTTTATGTCGATAATTTTCCCATTCATCTTCTTCAGCAAAAACCTGAGCAATAGTTTTATTTCTTTGTATATTATAAGTTGATAAATTATGTCCACTCAAACTACCAAATGATTCATTTATACTTTTAACCTTATCAGCTAACGTGCTTATTATTGGCGTATTTTTACTTTTATAATTATATTTTAAACGTATAGTTTTATCCACTTTTTTATTATTTGAAGTTATATAAATAGAACCCTTCCTGTACTGTTTTGTATATTTTTTTACAAGTCCTTTTATCTTCGAATTCTTCATCCTATGGAGACTTACTTTTTTCATTGATTTGTTGTAAGTATCTTTCCTATCCTTATTCGTCTTCAAGTAGCTGCTTCTTTTCGATTTTTTACTTTTCCTTCTTTTTTCTATATATTTTTCATGTTTATTATTTTCTATATTATCATTAGAACTTTTCATATTTTTATTTCTTGAATTCATTGATATTCCTGACTTTATGAATGATTTAAAAATATCTGAAATGAATAATGTTTTATTTTCTCCATACATTTCATTATTTTCATTAGATCTTCCTTTTAAATTATCTTCTCCTCTCTGTTGCCTTTTTAATTCTTTACTTTTTATGCTCAGCGTATCGTTCACTTCATTTACTTCCGATTCGAATGTTTGTTTTCTCTCATTCGATACGGGTATTTTTTTTTTGTCGTTTTGCTTGCTTTCTCCTTCTTCTTCATACTGTTGAGTATTCTTTGCTGTCACACCTTTTTCCACCTGATTTCTCTCATTTATAATTGAAGACAATGCTTGTTCTTTTTCACCTTTCGATTTAGATTCTTCTTCTGGCTTGCTTTCCTTTCCTTTGCATTTCTTCCATTCATTTGTGTCCATCTCTGCATATGCTTCCCTCTCCCTATTTGCTTCCCCCTCCCTATTTGCATTTTTTTTTTTATTTTCAATACTTGCATCCCTTTGCAGTCCAAAAATATGGTCCTCTCTAAATTTCACAGGCAAAACGCTGTCACAAAGAATTTCCTTCCTTTTGGCATTGAACGTTTCGCATTCATTTTGGCTAAAAAAGGAAGGCTTAGATTCATGCAATTTCTCTTTCCCGTATTCATCGTGCCAAATTTGGGATTCTTTTTTCAACAGATTTTTTTTTCTTTCCTTTTCGGAAACTCCTATCCTTTCCCCTTCCTCACCAAAAATTTCATGTGAACTACCTCTCTCATATAGGTTTGTTCCTCTATCGAAACTATTTATATTAACAACATATGTATCTTTGTCTTGACACAAAGCTGAGTTACTTTTTGTGTAACAATTCTCCGTGAAGTACTTGTAATTGGAGGGAATGTAACACTTTTTGTTGTTTGATTGTCCCTTTCGATATATTCCCTCCCCATGTAAGTTTCTACTCTCATAGGTTTTTTCATTTTTTATGAACATTGACACATCAGATTTGCATCCAGTGATGTCATCTTTGCCATGTCTGTATTCCTTCTTGTGATCACTTTTGCATATTCCCTTTGATTCATTATAATTAATCATCCGATGATTGGAAAGACTAGATGAGTCATTATTCGTGTCATGCATGGCTCGATATGTTCCAATTTGTGTCTTGTACGTATCAGAGGTGTCGTTATCCACACTAGGGTCGTAAAAATGAGGCGCGTTGTGCATTTCTGTGGATTTTATAGATTTGTTCATTTTGTACAAATAAATATCATCATTTACAGTGTTCAGTAACTTATCTGATAATTTGTGTGTGTAAAAAGAATGATACTTATCTTCCTTTATCTCACTGGTGTAGTTACGATACCCTTGTTCATTTATCTTTTTAATACTGTTGTGGATTCTATGTTGATTGGTGTAAAAAAATTCTTCATTTTCTTGACATTTTAATTGTTCATCGTATTTTACAAATCTGTTATTCGAAACAGTATTATTATCATCACAATCGTTATTATCTTTAAGAAGATAAGGATAATAACCACTATTTTTGTAATTTTTTTTGTTTTTCTTTTCTTTCGGAATGTGTACCAATTTTACTGTAATTTCGTCTAGAATGTTATTTTTCCTCGCTCTGATGGAACCCAGACGTTTGTAATTATGAACCTTTAAACTCATAGTTACATGGTCTACAGATATCATACAATTATTAGAAAAATATTCTGTAGTCGTGCTACTATTAACTTTTAGCATATTAAAACACCACTTTAAATCGTAACCTAAAATATCTTCATAATTATCTTTTAAAATATCCTTTACTATGATATCATATCTATTCATTGGTAGTCTTCCATTTTCATTTTTTTCTATTTTTGGATTGAAAAAATGAGTTAATGGAAAATCATTAAAAAAATGACCACTAATAGAACACTCCGTACAAGAAACACCATATCGCACATCTGACCAATCCTTTCCTACACATGCAGCAAATCCAACTCTTGTATTAACAAATAAAGATCCACTACCAACTTCTTGTGATATAAAGGGACCCACTGGATATCCATGAAACCAAAAACCTCTTAATTTTTCTCCATAAGAATGATCTTCTATCCATTCACCATACCCATGAGGTCTACCATAAATATCAGTTTTCCCTTTATATCTTAACTGGTGACTAAAGGGTGCTTCATTAATATTATCATTTGCCATTTTAAAGCGTAAATTTGAGAACCTTTTATAAAAACAGTTTATAATGCGATAGAACGTTCGATATGCACATAGGCATAAACAACAAAAGTTATTTCCACACATTCCTGCAAAATCGTTGTAACGGCTTATAGTTATATTCAGCTTATTCGTTGATATTTTTTTTTTTAATATTCTACAATGTTCTGTGCATGGACAGAAAAATCCGTATATAGCTAGAATTGGTCCAATGCATATAATAATTTTAACTATTATTATTAGGGACAATTGTACTATTCCATAAATCATTAAAATGTGTTCACCTCTCGATGGCTTATCATTTTGATCCTTCTCATAAAATATTAATAAAATACATGCACATATTATAAATATGTAAGAAGCATATATAGGCCAGTGTAAGCTTAGCCGTGTCTGAAATTTTGCAAATATTATTACTCCAATAACTGCTAATGCAGCTTCTACAAAAAATAAAAAGGATGTTTTAATTTTGAAACTAATGGTAAGCACGCTATTCTGATAGGATGTTTTAAAATATTTCCATGATATTAATATTAAACAAAATATAGTTATGATGAATACAATTTTTTTGGAAATAGGCTTTCTTATTCCGTTAAATCTTCTTCTAAGTCTCCTATAATCCATGTATCTAATAGTGTATATTAGCCAATCCATATTTTTTAATTCATTACTTGTGTCTTTCTTTCCTATTTTCTTTTGGTTCGTATCTTCAAAGTTTATGTCATGGGACATTTTTATCTTGCTGTTATTGTTGCTATATTTTTTACCCTTCCACATGAAACAGCAACAAGAATCATTTTGGGGGTTCAATTTGCTCTTGTTCATATCGCTCAAGTAGGAAGCATCCGTATCTGAATATATCGAATTGTCTCTTATATTATTTTTTGCACTCCCTTTGTCTTTGACGTTATTTTCTTCTAGATCGTTTTCATAATTATCTAAATCACACAATTCGCATTGTCCCTTGCTCATTTGGTTATCCATTTCATCGTCCACATCGTCGTCCACCTTGTCGTGTAATTCATCATTGACTCCATTTTCCACGTCATTGTCAATTCCAATGTTATACTCATGGCCATCATGACTTCTATTTCTAACATCACTACTTGCATCACTTTTCTCCTTTTTGGAAAACTGAACTCCTCTGAATCCCCTACTACTACTACCAAAGATGCTCTCGCTTTCTTTTCTTCTCTTCTTGCTATTCCCTGATGTGACATCACCAATTTTGTTACTACTTTGTGGATAATTTTTATAGAATGTGTCCTTTTCTTCCGTCTTTTGCTCATCCTTTTTTTCATCCTCTTCTCTCCTTTTATTTTCTTTGAGTCTGTTTAACCATTCTTCGCTTTTTGCGTTTTGCTTGTCCATATGTTCCATTTTGTTTGCTAAAATGATTTCATTCGATGGTATAGACATTTCCCTCTGGACATTGTTTTTTCTGCTACCATTTATTTCATTTTGTTCTGAAAATAACGCGTCTACTGAATTATTTTTCTGATTGGGGGTTATTACACCTTTTTCCATTGGCCTTTTTAATGCCTCCTTTTTGATGTCGATTTTATTCCCTGATTTCATTTCACTACCATTGAGATTTGATGAAATGTGTTTATTAAATCTATATCTTTGTTTTTATATTATAATATTTTTTTTTTTTTTTTTTTTTTTTTACTTTCATTATTGTGTGAATACTTTTTTTTTTTTTTTTTTTTTTTTTTTTTTAAAACCATTTTTTTTTTTTTTTTTTTTTTTTTTTTTTTTTTTTTTTTTTTTTTTTTTTTTTTTTTTTTTTTATTTTTTTTTTTTTTTTTTTTTTTTTTTTTTTTTTTTTTTTTTTTTTTTTTTTTTTTTTTTTTTTTTTTTTTTTTTTTTTTTTTTTTATTTTTTTTTTTTTTTTTTTTTTTTTTTTGTTTTAAAACCAATTTAGATTATGTTCACTTTGGTTCTCATTTTTTATACACTTTTTCATTGTTAAAAAATTTTCTTTTTCTTTTTTTAAATTTTTAACAATTTTCATCTATATGGGAGTATTCCTTTTCCAGTTAAAAATAATCCCTAAAAATATATTTATAGTGTGTTGCTTGTTTTTTTATGTTTTATTTTATACTTGCTATACTAAATGTGTTAATGAATACGCTATTGATTTTTTCTTTTTTAACTTACGATGAAATTTCCTTTTCGGTTTTTCTCTTTTTTATATTTCCTTTTTAAAATTCCCTTCAGTCATTTTGCTATATGTCAGCTTAAACTAACAAAAAGATTAACCAGCACATGTAGGTTACTAATTCTTATTGCACAGGTTTTTAAACATTCAAATCTGCAAAAGGGAAAAAAATGTTAGCAATTTCAAGGAATGTAGTTTAAAAATCCTTTACGCGCTCATTTTGTGCAATTTTTTCTGGCACAAGTGCAAAAATTTTGCGTGCATGAATGAATAATATATCTGCATGTATATACAACATATGTGGGTTGTGCACAATATGCATTCTTTTCATTATATATTCCTTCTTGTTTATGCACACAATCTTCTTTGTCAACTATTTTTCCCTTTATAAAAATGCTACATTTTAGTGTGGAGGCTTGTAAAAAAAAATAAAAAAAAAAAAAAATAAAAATGAAACGAAGAAAGGTCAAAAACAGGGAATAATGTAGTTATCCTTATTGACTAATATAATGCTTTTATTTTTATTTTCTTTCTTTCTTTTTTTTTTTTTTTTTTTTGATTAAAAAATAGACCTAAATTTTCTCCATTTTTTTTAATGCATTTGCTTATTTACGCGTACATAAACACTAGGAAGTTTTTTAATTTGAGATGATTGTTCCTTTTAATTCTACAAATTAAGTTTATATTTGTTCCTGCAACAAATATGTATGTTATATATGTGGTATGTTAAAAGATAAAAATTTTTCTTTCCATTCTTATAATTCTTGATAATTTAAAATTGAGAGAAAATTCCAATATTAAAAGGATTTATTTTTTGTTATTTAGCATGAACGCAAAGTTTAGGACATTATCTTATTAAGTACATTTCTTTTTTCTTTTTTTTTTTTATGCATTTAGGTATGACACATTTATTTTCCTGTTTTTTTTTTTTTTTTTTTTTTTTTTTTTTTTTTTTTTTTTTTTTTTTTTTTTTTTTTTTTTTTTTTTTTTTTTTTTTTTTTTTCTATTACCATTGATTACGGTGTTTCGCTACTAACTGCATATTTTTAATGAAATTTTTATTAAATAACTGTCAGCTTCAAGTTCGCAAAAATAAAGCTTCATGAATAAAATCAATAAAACCAAATGAATGTTAACTAAACATCTTAATCAGCATTGATGTATAAATGTGTCTTATGTGGATAAGTCTTTTCAAGAGATAGGTGCACGTATGTATATAGACACATACATGTATATATATGGACTGAAACCAATTTCATTAATTTGTCTTCAATCATCTGAAGAGGCACATTTTCCCTTTAACTATTCCCCCATGTGTTCACATATTTTATCAGACAAAGCACTATTTCAAAATGTTAAGCATCTTGAATTAGAACATAATTCGGTGGATACATTTTTTTTTTTTTTTTTTTTTTTTTTCAAAAGTAGTAAGAAATTTGTTGCATTAATCCTACCCAGTTTTTATCTAACTTACAATTTTTGCAATCAACAAAAATGTGGTTAATTCTATTTCCATAATGGTTAATCAAATCTTTAATTTTATATTTAATGAATAGCTCATTTTTTGTAGCTTCATCTAGATTGTCTACGTCATTAAATGTGTTAAAAACTAGGACGACACAGGATGCTTGTAGACATTCATCGTTCAGCAAAAGACTTATGAGTGTGTTATTCTCAGATAAAACTTCATCTGATATATCCATTATGTTTATAACATACAAAATTGCGTTCACCTTTACGTTTCTGTAAATCAGTTTCCAAATGTTTCTCATCTATAAGAATTTAAAAGGTGGTAGTTAAAAAGTTGTAAGGAAATGATTGTGGGGGAATATAAAATATACCTCTTTTGTTACATAACGGTTTAATGCAAACAAAAATTAAATAGTTTACACTAATTAAATCTAACTATTGGATTCCCTGACATGTCCCAAAAACCAATTCTTCCATTGATCCATTTAATTTCTTCGTAGTGATAAGATATAGTTGGTTCCATGTGAGATGTAATATTTGTCCATTCTTTTGCAAGTATCGTGAAGACAATGAAAAAAAAAAAAAAAAAAAAAGTAAAAAATGTTAAAAAAGAGAGAAAGAAAGAGAAAGAAAAAAAAAAAAAAAGATACTTTAGTTATTCTATTTTTTTCCGTTCATATGTGGTTCAAAGGGTTTAATTTAGACATGCTTGATGAACGTAATTCACTTTATTAATTTTATTTATATGGTGATACTACATGTATGTGCATTAACAAGCAACACTGTCGCATACCCATGTTACAACACTCACGTAGCTATCTTATTAAGTTGCAAGTTTTTCTGTTTTTTTGTTTTTTTAACCTGGAATAAAATTATGATACAATAGCGTTGTTTTCCCTGAACCGCTAAGGCCTAAAATTAAAATGTTGTACTTTTTTTCTGGCGTTTTATTATTTTCCCTTTCAGAGCCTTCAGCCAGATATGTCATTTTATTCGCAGCGTTCCCCATTTTTAGAACAAATGAGGAAAAAAAAAAATATATATGTATAAATATTTATATGTGTATGTATATATATGCGCTTTAACTAATGAATACACATTACAAGTTTTCCACTTTTTCATTTTTATTTTTGTATGCCCCTCCTAAGTTGCTATTCCTCCCTTCTTTGTTACAAAAGAAGAGTTTAAAAAAAGTTTAAGCTGTTTATATGAAAGTTTCATATTTCGGCCTGTACATTTTTGTACACCTATTTTCAAATTTGAGAAGCAGCTCACTCATAAAAAAAAATATAATAAAATGAATAAATAAATGAGTGAACAAACAAACGTTCAAATGTGTAAAATAAAAAAAAAAAAAAAAAAAAAAAATTTATGTCTTAATTTGCAAAATAAGAAATGTAAAATTTAAAGATAGTTACATTTTACATTTTGAAAAATTAACTGAAAAATTGTAAGAGCAAATAATTGAACATACTTATCTATTAATGCAAATAACTGAGATTTGTTCTATGTTCACTAATTTTTTTTTTTTTTTTTTTTTTAATGCAAACGGTTTAAATATGTGTACACATATATATATATATATATATAAACGAATGTCCTGCTACAATTTGTACGAGAAAACAAATATTTCAAGCAAAAAACATTAAGATGGAAAAACAAAATAACTAAAAAATACCTGTACTTAATACACAAAATATATTATTTAATATATTCAATATTCCCCATTTCTTTTTGAAAAAATTTATCATTTAAGTGTATATTTCGAAGGTGAGCATCCTGATGTATACACGTCCCCTTCCTTCGAGTTCTTACTTTCCACCTTTGCAACGCTAGTTACTTTTTACTAACAAATTTAGTCCGCGTCTGTGTGATAGAGATGACATTTGCTATGCATAGATTGCTAGCTGAATCACACACCCGTACATATATATATAGGTGTGTCTCCTTTAAATGCTCGGTGTTAGCACTTCTCTATTGTTTTATGTTTTCCCCTCACAAGATTATTCTCCCCAGTAAGCTGTATATATATTATATGGGATCGAATTAGTTTAGTTATCCAGTCATCCCCGCACCCTAGATAAATGCAAAATTTATAAAACTTATTTAAATTGTAGCATTTATATTTATTTCCATATACACCATTGACTAATTCATCTCTTAACCGTTCATTAGAGAATGCATTAAGAAAATGAATAAACAAGATAGGTCCGTATTTATGTTATATGTACAAATGAAAGAAAAACTTTGTTGCCTCAGTCTAATTCGTTGTTCTTACCCTTAGCACAACGTAAAAATAATCGTTTATGTGAAAAATTTCAATCATATCGTTCTGCTCTTATTCAATTTACAACCTTCTTTACATGAGCTCATCGGAGCGTTTTGTGCCTCTTCCTGCTTCTCATCTTTATTACCATTATAATAATTAGTACAGCATTTGAGAAGTTTGTGCTTATATTCATTCATTTCGACGTTAGAATGGTTAGTAATTGAGCTATTTACCTGTTCCTTTTCTCTTTTTATTTCATTTTTTCTTTCTTCTTCTTCGTCTTCTATTTTTATTTCATTTTTTTCTTCTTCTTCTTCGTCTTTTATTTTTATTTTATTTTTTTCTTCTTCTTCGTCTTCTATTTTTATTTCATTTTTTTCTTCTTTTTCTTCCTTTTTGTGAATCTCTTCATTATTGCTACCTGGGATGATGACATTTTCTTTGTTTTCTGTTCTGTCTACCCAATATCCAATTTTTTTTTTGCGTTTTTGCATGTAGTAGCTTTCAATGTTTTTATATTTACGTTCCCATTTTGAAAATATGTTGGTATTTATTAAAAGTTCCATCATGAATCCCATTAAATAAGTGTAATTTTCACCCCCTTCCTTAAGCAGCAACTCGAAATTATCATTTACATATTCTAGTATGGAATCTATTTTTTTATATAAATGTTCCTCACCAAAATTTGTGTTGTATTTGCTATTATCTACGCATATTTCATGAAAAATTGCTTCAATTGGAACCATGTCTGAAGTCTTATCACTCGGTGTTTTTTGTATAACATTAATTAGAATCTGAAGAAAATTGTTTATCTCGGTTACGCTTGGTCTTACATGAAAATTTAGATTTTCTAAAAATTCCTTTTCATATCTTAAATTAGTTACATGCACAAACATGAACAATCTTTTCTCATTTATAAATTCCCTAAATAATTTATTATTTGAGTTGTAAAGTTGAGAAATTTGTAAATTCCCCCTAAATTTTAAGCGTAATTCTTTTAACTCACCAAAAATGATCAACAAGAACTCACCATAAGAATTTCCTGAACTGTTCATATTATTCACATAATATGCATTCTGTATGTTGTTAATTTTTTTTTCATTTTTAACTTTTACTTGAGAATTTTTATATTCAAAAATGTCTTCATACTCTTTGTATATAAAAAGTATAATATTGTGAAACAAATTCTCGTCCCTACAATTTCGTAACACTTGTATAAGAAAATTAGCAATCACATCATAACTACTCCAGCATTCTATATTTATATGTTTCCAATAGTTTATATTAATATCAGAATGATGAAGGAAAATATATTTCATTTGTTCCTTTATTATGTGGCTACCCCTAACTGGTACTATATGACCCACATTTGAACTTCTCTTCAAAGGGAAATGGTTTGACGTGTTGTTTATCAATGCAGTACCATTATTCCAAATATTCTCTTCCTTATTAATTTTTTCGAGAAAACATAACCCCATAAGAGGCTTTTCCTCATGGTTGTTTCTACATAAGGGAACATTTTTTCGTTCATCATGGTTTTCATCATTTATATTTTCCACTTCTTGGTTCCTCTCAGTGTCACTGTTACTATTTATCATGTTCTTATCCTGCGGGGCATTTTTTACATATGCATTTACATTTCTTATGTTAATTTTTGTATTCTCATGGAATCCATCGAATTCTTCTACCGTCTCTTTAACTCCATCGATAGTGATACTATATACATTCAATTGTGACATTATAGAACTAAATAAATCAACATATTTTGTATTCAAGACAACATAATTCTTACATTTGTTTATCATATCTATATATGTAGCACAATTTAAAGAATAAAAAATTGGTAAGGCTTTAAAATAAAAAATGTTATTACTATTAAATTTTATATTTGATAAAAAGGTACGTAAAACAAAATTTGTATCATCAATAGTTAGAATATCCCAATTAATATATTTCCTATTTCGATGTAATGATAACATAATATTTTCATAATCATTTATTAAATATTGTCCAAATATCGAATCATTTGATATGGTATGATATATTTTTTTGTATCCTAATAAAAATAAAATAGATTCCATTTTAGGGTCCTTAAAGTGGTAACTTATTATATTCCTTATATCATTTATGCTATGGGCATACATGTATTCTTTATCCGCATCTTCTTTTAATTTATCAAAAGTGATTAAAAGACGGAAATTATTTAAAGACTCAATGATATTTTTGTATGTATTATTATTGCATAGTTCGTTTATCATATCTAGTAGAAGTCTATTGTAAATTATGACATTCATGTCATATGCAATTTTTACACAATTGTACAGGAATTTATTGTTCGAAATTTTATTTTCTTCATCTTTGATATTGTGATGAATAAGTTGATGAGGATAATTATGAGCCTCATTATCTATCTCTTCAGCCTCTTTGTGAGATATATTATTCAAATTACTCTTCAACATACTTTTCCCACTATTCCATATACCATACAAAATTGCTTCCCCATGATCTTGCAACAAAATATCATCATTACTCTCATCAGTAGGATCAACTATAGGGCAATAATGAAAAATATGGGGGTACAAATTATACTCTAACACAGCAGACAAATTGGTAAAACAAAGTTTTGTTATAATTTTCGTTTCTAATAAATGAGACAAAATTGATAACGAATAAAAATGAACATTTATAAACATTACACTACTTAAGTCAAATAAATAAAAATATTTGGAAGAATAAATTCTGCAATTTTCATCATATTTAATCATATTAAGAAAATCATAGTTAAAAATTTCTTCATTATCAAAGTTGTTATTCTTAATTTTCAGAAAGTTATCTGTGCATATTGGATCAACCATATTTTTTTCTCCCTCCCTTTTCCCCTCTCCATTTTGCTTGGGAAGCGAATGTTCAAAACATTCTCCATAGTCTATTGTTTCAGTATCATCATTACGACTATTGAAATAGCTCCAATAGTTTCCATCATTCCAATTAATTTTATCACTTACATTATTCAAATATTCTTCTTCCACCTCTCCATCATCATATTTCGTTTTTAATGTTTCATTATCACAGCTTGCACATGATTTTCTTCGATCTTTTTCCTTTAAATCTTCCTTTTCTATAATAATGGAAGACTTATCCCCAATAGTTAACCCATCCAAGCATACAAAGCTTTTAATTTTCATCTTCAAATATGATCTGTCATAATTCAGTATAACCAAAAGAGGTATGCATTTCATATCATTCACCAAAGCATCAAACGTGTCATGTTTTTTAAAATCAGAAAAAATATAATCCAAAAAATATATCACTGTCGAATGATTCTTCTCACTCAAACGTTCTTTAACAAAATTTTGGTAAATTGAAATATGTTTTTTTATTCTACTTCTGAGATAACACGGTGTTAGGTTAAAAACTTGTTCTTCTATTTTCTCATCATTTTTCTCAATTTTTAATGTTTCTTGTTCTTTCTTTTTCCCCTTGATAACTTCAAAAGAACTATTATCATCATGTCTCTTAGCTGAAGGATTATTTTCTGAATGTGTACAAGTTTCCACATCGGGTGCAATATTTATCTGCATATACATTTCCTCTTCTGCTAACGAATTTATCGTTTTATGCATATGGGCAATATTATCAATTTCATAGTAGGGAAGTAGAACAGTCAAACCTAAATCTAGCATGAAAAAAGTTATATGATTCAAATATTTGCAAAAGGGGTACACATTAATACACTCATATATATTAGACCAATATAAAGAGTAAAAATTTTCGTTTTTCTTTAAGCATGGCAAAATTTGAAGTTCATAACAATTCAAAAAAACATTTTTAACAACTGAACAAAACAAATCATTTTTGTCATATTTTTTTGGAATAAAATTAAGATATTTGTTCTTAAAAATTTGATATATTTCGTTAAAAGTTTTAATATCATTCTTATCTATTTTGTATATATAATCCAAAATGGCCTTACTGTTATCTTCTTTAAAAGTCTGCCTCGAATTTTCATCATTAGTCTTGTCCATGCTCTTTCCTATATTAGTTCTATGCACACCCAACCTGCTGGTCATGTTTGTCATACTTGTCGCACTTGTCATACTTGTCGCACTTGTCATACTTGTCATATTTGTCATACTTGCCATACTATTCATGTTAGCAATACTCTGGTCGCGTATACTTGTTGAACTCCTTATATTTACCTTACTATCGACATTCACACTGATTAAACTGTTCAGGCCTACACAACTGTCACCACGCATACTGATTAAATTACTCATATTCTTACTTACATCTGCATCTACCACAGAATTGTATCTCTCCATAAGCTTCTTTTTAATCCATTTTCCCTTATATTTACACAGTATTTTATTCGAATCATATTTAAACAATTTCTTTACTGCATTTCTATGAGCTAGTTTCAAAAAGTGTTCATACAGAATGGATATGTTATTTAACACTCTCTTAAAATTTTTATCATTTTTCAATTTTTTCAAATTATAAACATGATTTTGAAATATATTACAACTTATATGCATTGGTAAATTGTCAATATTTGAGATTATATTCAAATTTTGAAACAAATAATGTTTCCTGAAAATCTGATAATGCTCAAAACAGATAGATATACTGGTGTCATCCAATAACCCGATTATCCACCTGCTTGATTTATTTCCATTGTATATTTGACACTGTAGAAATATTTCTATATGTTTACGATCCGTCTCCTCTGGGGTTATAATATCATCCTTCTTTTGTTCTAAATCTTGTAATTCCATTCTTTTAGTTGAGTTATAAAATTTTTCTCTCAAATGAAAATGATACTCAGACATACTCATTCCTAAATTGGCTATATTTTCAATCCGTCCACCCTTTTCGTTTATTTTTATAATATCTAATTTTATGAGACTTTTCGAAAAAAAAAAAAATTTTTCGTTAAATTTTTTGCATTCCAAAATGACCTTTTCGATGACTTTAAAAATTGATAATTTCTGTTTACTGTACAAGCGAATACATACAATTTGTTCTTCCTCTATGTTTATATTGTTTTTGTTCATTTGTGTTCGTTCTATTTGATTGTATTCCATGTCGCTTATTGATATAGAACCTAGAGGGTATTCTACACTTCCAATTTCTATTTGTCTCTCCTCATTTTTTTTTTCTCCCAGTTGCTGAATTCCCCTTCTTCTGTTTGTGTTTCCAATTTTAGACTGTTTTCGCAAATATCCATTTTCTTCCCATGTATTCTTTTCTGGAAATCGAAAATAATTATAAAAAAATATATCCTTCACTAATTCTTCATCCTCCTTACTAACACAGTAGTTTTTTTTATATAACACTACCTTTTTGCTTGGACTTTCCACATCTACAATTGTTTGCATGCTCGTTGAGTTACTGTTCATCTTATATTCATCATTGTAAAGGGGGGTTGCACGCTCTCCATTGTAAACTGATTTTTTTCTATTTAATGATTGCCCATTAGTCGTATCCTCAATAGGTACTTCCTTCACTCCTTCACATAAGGTATCTGAGTTAATGCATTTCTTGTCACAGTTCTGTATATCATTGTTTCGATTTTCACTATATTTTGGGTACCACTCAGAAACATTATTTCCATTTCGAATTAACAAGTAATCTAAAATGTAAGATAAGTTCTCAAATAGATAAAGGCAAATTAAATCGTTGCACGATTTCAACGATTCTTTGTTATTCGTTTCTGCATTTAAGTATTCCTTATTATGTACAATATTGTGAATATATGCATAGGAACTTAATTCGTTATTTTTTAATAGGAGATTCTCATAATTTTCTTTTTTAATTCTTATGTACACACACATGCATGCTCTTTTTAAGAATTGTTTCGGAAGAAAATCAGAACTAAAAGTTCTTCTATCTGTTATCAACTTTATATCAAAACATCCTATATCATCTAAAAAGAAAATTAAATTTTTTAAATCTTTAAAAAGTGTGTTTTCATTTAATTCATTTTCCTTTTTTAATTCTCTTCTTTTAGTCCAATTTGTGCTTGTAATATTTCCATTCTTTTGTGTTAATAATTTTTGTTCCATATTAACAATGGGCTCCTTTTCTTTTTTTATTACTGCTCTTCTCATTTGTTCTTTTTTTTTCATTTCTATTAAATTATATTTCATGTCTTTTTTAGTTGACTCCTGCTTTTTCATATCAATTGGAAAATTTTTTTCAATTAATATTTTTTTTAAATTATTTTTGGTGGCCATCTTTTGTTTACTCTTCAGTATTTTATTCTCATCTCTTAATTGAACATTTTTTGGGTAACCCTTTTTCAAACTTTTTTCATTCCCTTGGTTTGATAACCTTTTTTGAGTTTTCTCTTTTCCTTTGTTCGATTCTTCATTTTCCCTTTCCTTTTTTGGTACATTCAACAAATCAATAATATTCTCCTTAATATCCTTATGAACGAAGTTATTTTTTTGTGAATTACTGTTATACAGTATAGGGTTATTAATGTATATTAAATTTTCCTTTTTCACAAGAATATATTTTCTATTTGGCAAGTATATTCCTTCAAAGCATTGGCATTTTAATTTTTTCCCCACTTCTATCATTTTGTTTGTTTTATTAACTTCTTCTATTTTGTCTGTTTTATTCACTTCTTCCATTTTGTCTGTTTTATTCACTTCTTCCATTTTGTTTGTTTTATTCACTTCCTCCATTTTGTCTGTTTTATTCACTTTGCCCAATTTTTGATCATTTTCTAACACATATGAGTTTCCCTTTTTTTCATCTATGCATAGAGAAATTCTATCACAAAATGAGATATCAATTATATTTATGGTATTTATATACGACAATTTTAGCAATCCTGTTAAATATAACTTTTCTTCATTTTCTTCAATGGGCTCATTTTTTTTCACCTTTCCATTTATATCTCTCTCATCTGTATGCTCTATTTTGCTCCTCAATTTAGACACAATTTTGTTTAATATGCTGACCAATTTAGAATGTTTTAACATTACCTGTACGCAACTGAGCTCAACCAAATTTGGATACTTCATTTTGTATAATTTTGGCAGTTCGCACAAAAAAAGGTTGAATGGTATGTTGTTATTTCTGGTCACAAATACATCTTTAGCATTCCATATTTTGTTTTTTATGTAAATAAATTTATTTTTTTGAATAAAATCGAGGAACATCTCATGTTCACTAGGAGTGGCCACATTCCTTGGTGAAATGTGGTTTGTCGTCACGTCTGCTGCCACCCCCTCAACGGCCATCACCTCAGCCTCATCATTCCTGATGAAGGTGAGCTTTTCCTTTAATTTGTGCTGAATAATATATTTCTCGAAATGTTCATATATGTCATCGTACAATTTTGATAAATTTTGAAAACATACATTTTTAGAATTCCTAGATAGCAATTCTAGGTGTCCCAGTACATCAACCATTTGTGGAGCTTTCTGCAACATCAGTAAGCTTCCTAATTTATCAGAAATATTCAATTTGTCCAAATAGTAACATTTTCTTTTCAAAAAAATTATATTAAAATATTTTTTATCATATGCTTCACATATTTTCACAAAACCTTTGTCATGATGATCGGTTTCATCTCTTTTCCTTTCTGAATACACTTCTGTACCTGGGTTCATCTTATTATATGCATTATCAGAGTTACTTTGGAAAGCATCATTTTTATTCCCCTTTAGTGTTGTAACAAAAGTACCCTGGTTTATCTCCCTCTTTTTTTTTTCATTTGGAATGGTCTCTGCGTTATAGAACCAGAATCCATTTTTTTCAAGATCCTTATTAGTAGCACTTCTGTTAATTGTTTTTTTGATTGGTGTGTTACCACCTAATGAATTATCATATATAGGTTGGAAATAGTTAAAATTCTTGCTTTTGTATAAAGGCAAGAAAAAAGATTCTCTGCATTTTTGCAGCACTATAGGATTTTCCAAATAGTGTATATTTTTTTCTAAGAGATAAATTATTTTATTTAGAATTTTTAATTTATAATCATAAACATGTTTGCTATAAAATAATGTCTTTAAATCAAGCAAAATATCATTTATATTGTCATTTAATTTATACTGTTCCTCAATGCAGTTCAGTCCTAATAATCTCAATTTTTCAAAACCATCCTTCTTAATTTTGTTCACCAAATCGATACATAACAAATTTTCTTTTTCAATACAATTTTTTGAACTCAAACATTGATTATTATACCTCATGTTGATGTTCTCCTTATATCCCTGAATCTCTTCATTTGGAATAGAATTGTCGTTATTTCCATCATCATTTAAATTAAATAATACGACATTTTCTTTTTCAATTTGCTTCTCTGCTTGGTAAAAGTATTTGCTATCCAAGGGGTACATCAAATCGCATATCCTTTTGAACTTTTTCTCTTCATTTGGGAAACAGGGAGAGTTTTTAAGACATGTAATCACAGAAGTATTGTGAGTCTCTAAAAGATACAATAAAATAGGAATCCAATTTTCGAACTCTATATGGGAAAAATTATTTATAACTACTTCACATATAAATTTATTTGTCCTATTCTGAAATTTTTTTTTTACAATTTCATCATCTGTATATTGCTTATCCAGGAGTCTAAATTTATCAGGGACGTTTTCTATATATAATAAATTCTGCCTACAAATTTTTGAAACTAATGAACTTTTTTTTCCCTCACATAGTATACTCAAATAACTGTATAAACAATTGCTCACTCTTTCATCGTAAAAAATTAAATTCTTCATACTTGAATATTTTACAATATCAGAGATACAATGTTTAAAAGTATTTTTCAGGTCCTGTGGAATGAATATACATTCGGTAAAACTCATCCAGTGGTTACCATTAAAAAACAATTTTAATTTTTTTTCATCATCAAATAGTTGTCTGTATAAAGGGTAAAAAATGTCCCCATCAAATTGTACACCATTTATTGGACTATTTATTGTTACTGGAAAATATAACGAAAAATCATATGAGCTGCGTGAAATGTTCAACTGACGAAGGAGTAAGAGAAATTTAACATAAAGATCACAAACAGCTTCTGAAAGTTTCCCATTTGTAATATAACTGATTTGAATTTTTTCTTCATTCATAGATTTTATAAATATTGGAATGTTTTGCACAATATTTATACAATACGGCCAATTGGAGTTTTCCTTATTCTCGTATACGCTAATTTTGCCACATTTTTGCATATCGCTTGATTTTTCACCATTTACATGTATAAAATATATTTCCTCCTTGTTGTTATCTTCTACTTGGATATCATTTTTGAGCTCATTAGTATACAATACATATTCGATAGATAGGTCTTTATATTCGTGACGAACAGAACTGTAGGAGACCTTTTCCTCTAAATTGATCTCATTTTCTAAATGAGAAATGGTTGCAAATTTGTCACATTTACTCCAGCTACAAAATGAATAGCCATTCATTTGGAAATGTAAACTTTTTATATTTCTCGAAAAAAGTATAAATTCGGTGGTTACATTTCTTATCTTTTCACAAATTTCGTTAATGTCAGATTTGGATGTAAAAGGAAATTTTATGAGCGTTCCTGAGAAGGAGATAATACATTCAATATTCAAGTGTTGCAAAATTTGTTTTAATTTGGAATTTTTATTGTTAGTATTATCAAATAATGCATTATTATTTTCTAATTCTATATTTTGATTTCCCCCCTTTTCATTGCCTGAACATTTGAACAATATTAACTTCTCCTTGGAATTTTCTAAAGTGTCTACACACATTGGTCTTTCACATATGTCTATCCCTAACATATTACTTATCAATTGAGTATCAAATGTGACATTGAAAAAAATAAACATTTCGTAATACTTGGTTTTTTCTTTGATGCTTTTATAATTATGCCCACATTTTTGTTCTTTTAATTTTTCGTCCTCCATTCTATATATTCCTTCATATTCCCTTTTAATATTTACAGATGAATTATTTACTTCACTGCAAGCTGAATTATTTACTTCACAACAACTTGCATTCTTTTCATCATACCCCCCTCCTTCATGTTTAACATTGTGAAATTCATCAAAAATAAATATGTTAAAATTGCTAGCGTCCTCATTTGATAAGTCCACGTACTGCAAAACATTTATATATTCATTAATTTCCTTATCTTTTGCATATATATTCGTTAAACTGTTGCACCCGTATAACTTCAAATTATTCATATTTCCCAAAAATTCTTGTTCTAATTTGTCTATTGAAAAATAAAAAAAGAAAAATAGATGATCTTATAATATTATGCACTAATGCAGTTGCATATGTTAAGCTGAGCAAATATCTAACTATACTTCCTCAGATATGGGGTGAACAAATAGAATAAATAAAAAAGAAATAACCTGAATTATAATACAACTTCGAAATTCACAAAAAAAATTTCAAAGAGAGAAAAATAATAACATAATAATGTAGCGCAAATGAAAAAAAAAAAAATTGATCGGGATAAAACGGTTCCGCATGCTTTTGCTCCTGAAGAAGAAAGAATTTACACTAGGCTATTAAATTGTTTGTATAGTTTTGTTTTCTTGGAAAGTCCTATAAAATGTGTGTAATTTTACATGTTTTTACATGCGACGTGTATTATTACGTAAAAGAAATGTCAAGAAAATAAAAAACTACTCACTTTAATATGAAGGAAGCTTCCTTTTTTTTTTCACCCAAAAAATGTACATCATTCTTGTCGCTTTTTTCTATTTTTCACATTTTTGGATGTATCGCGCAAGGGGTTAGTAGTGTACTGACGGAACAAAGCACAATTACTGGCAAACACTTGTTTAAATAATATATGTGTGTGTAAAATATATTTTGAATAACAAAAAAAAAAAAAAAAAAAAAAAAAAAAACAATGCCAATTATGAAATAGTATTTGTAACAGTTGAACAGGAAAAAATCAGTATTGTCTTAAAATAGAAATTTGTGGAAACATGAAGAAGTCTATCATAAGAAGTGAGAAGGATGAAACAAAAATTCAGCATATTAGTTATGTTTATTTTCACATTTTGCATTTCTTGTTCTAAAATGCTTTAGGATTGATCCATATTTTTGCATTTAATTTTTTGCAAGTACCCGCGCTTGTAAAATGATGAACAATTTTTTTTTTTTTTTTTTTTAAAGATTTAAAAATTCCTATATCTTTTTTTGAGGTATTTATGCACATGCTTTATATCCCTAAAAAAGTAAGATTATTGTCAAATAACGAGGATAGCAAAATCGAACACTAAAAAATTTTATTATCATTGTTGACTAATTTGTTCTAAATCATCACATTTAAGCAAGCATATAAAAAGTTGCATGTATATGTTATAACTTTTTTTTTTTTTTTTTTTTTTTTCTTCAAGTTCCAATTTTGCTTATGTCCCCATACATTTACATTGAAAAAAGAAAATTTAATAAAATATTATTGTAATTTTAATTAAAACATATTTCATTATTTAAAACTTAACAATGTTTCAATTGTATAGAAAGATGCGCATATATAGAAATATATACAAGCGCAACAATGTGTCACCACAAATAAAATACACATAGAACGTAAAGAAAAATCACTACAGTAACAATGATAAACATTTGCATAACCTCATTCCTTCACCCCTTGTGGATATAGGGAAATAAATGAACTCCATATTGACAGTTCATGTGGAGTCAAATTTAAAATCTTAAACAGGAATTCAAAATGAAAATAAAAAAAGGGGGTTGATATGTATATACTAGTTCTCTGCACCTCACTTTTTATGTGTACTATTCACCGGCAGCTTTTTCTGGGTATTAAAAATCGAAAAAAGACAAGTGGAATTGTAAAAAGCAATGATCAAAATAATTTTATAATTGAATAGGTTTGAAGGGTTTATAAAAATAAAAAATCAGTTAATCTAACAAAAACACATATTCATATTTTGTAACATTTAAAAAAAAATTCTCTAATGTAAATTAATATTATGATTATAACTAAAAAAAAAAAAATTAAAAAAAAAAAAGTGTATAATTATAAATATTAACTGTTGAAACATTAAAGCATATCATTAAATGTACTGAAATTGTGTTTGTCAAGAATGTAGCAAAAAGGGATAATGAAAAATCGAAAGATTTATGAAATAAAAATAGGAAAACTTAAAATAAAAAACTTAAAATAAAAAACTTAAAATGAAAAACTTAAAATGAAAAACTTAAAATGAAAAATATAAAATGAAAAACATAAAATGAAAAACTTAAAATGAAAAGCTTAAAATGAAAAGCCTAATATGGAAAACTCAATATGAAAAATATAAAATGAAAAACATAAAATAGAAAACTTAAAATGGAAAGTTAAAATTTAAATTCGTGAAAAATATATAAAAATTACAAAACAATAAAAATAAGAATACACAAAAAAGCCCTATACACAAAACAAATCACATAGACAACAAAAAAACAAAAAGTAAGCAATGGTAGAAGACAAAGGATAAAATAAATAATAAGAAACGGGAAAATTTTTCCCTAATCATTATTAACATTAAACGTATTATCATTTTATACAATTATTTTTTTTTTTTTTTTTTCCCTATGCTCGTATAATATACATAAAACATTTGATTAATTCTGCTTCTTTATATATGAAGCGTTATGAATAAAATATAGATTTAGTGTATCTAAATAATGCATTAAAACGAAGCATATATATATATATATATATAGGGCGCTTTTCTCTTCTGCGCCTACTTAAACTTTCATATAATGATAAATATGTTAGAAAAAAAAAGATAAAACTTGATAATAAAAATGTACAAAATGGATTATTATAATCTCTCTATTTTTTTATAAACAGTGCCAACGGTGGTGACAGGGGGAGGTGGTTTTGAACGTCCAAAAATTTCCCCGTTCTGCTATGTTTTCCAGAATTTTCATCATTTTTATCATTTTGATTATTTTCAAAAAAGCTCCTCTTGTTTGTCAATTATTTCCATTTTGTGCTTTTTCGAAAAACTTCCTACTTCAGTACTAACCCTAGTCATTGCAAATTCAACACTGAGCGGCAGGGATATTTGAGAAGCTCGTAATCATAAGATTGCACAGAAAAGCAGGACTGCATAAAAATTACCAATTTTTCCAAAGCACAGTCCACACTAACCTCATTTCCTCGTATTTCCATTAATCTTTCGGTAAAACCTTCATGAACCTGTACATACAAATTTCCCAATCGAACATCTGCTCCGCATTCCTCCTTTATAATTGCCATTCTTTTACATCCATCAGCCAGTAGTTTTTGCACACATTCGAATGGAGCAACTAAATATATACAACATTTTGATGAAGACATTTTCGATTTTACATAATGATACAACAATTGGCATGCTCTTAAAATACCAAATATATTTCCTTTTAATAAAAATACATGACTATCAGCAAACCCAGGAAACCAAACATCCTTTGCACTTTTGTATACTGAAATATGTAGAGAAGATTTTATCGTTTTAACATGTATACCCTTTGGACCCATAAAAGAACCACTAATATCTCTCTGTGCAGCTATTTTTAATTTACCAATTGAGTTATTTGTATATGCTAAATGAAATTTCTGAATTGATATTTTGGTGTCATAATTGTACTTCTCCTTGTCATTTAAAATGTTTTTTATGTGTTTATTCGAGTTATCAGCACTCTCACAATCTGAATTATTTGTATCCTCATTATATGTTGAATAGCTACTAATATCGTAAATTTTATTACTTAGGCTATTTAATATATGGTTTTGTTTTTTCTTCAAATGCATATTTTTCACCTCAGTTAATTCCTTTTCCAGTTGTTTATTTTTAAACTTGAGACTATTTATAATATTCTGTAGCTCCATAATTTTGTCACCTTTCATAGCAGATTTTGAATGGTTCTCGAATTCTTCATTTTCATCATGAATATAATCAACGTCATTTTCTAAAAGATTCATGCTACCACCTAAATTATCATTAAAATGTTCATTGTCCACTAAGTTATCGCATATATTTACGTTCATATTGGGACAGTTATTCGAAAACATATTCAGGGGTATATCAGATCCGACATTTTCGCCCAAATTTATACCGTTGTTTTTTATACCACCACACATGTCGCTATTTATATTGTTAATCAACAAGCTACTCAAGGCACCATACTTCATTTCGTCATTCTGTGCACTGCTAACTTCTTTAAATATGTCCTCTTCTATATTTCTAAACATGCACTCATTTTTGTCAACAATGTTCAAATTTCTGCTATTGTCATCTTCTTCATGAAAATCATTTATTAAGTCACAAAGGTATTTATTATTAGCATCTTTCCTTATGTTATCATTTTTATTTTCTCTGTTCGCTATATTTTTATGTATATTATTTTGTTCATGATTTGGGGGATGATATTCATTTTTGCTAGGGCAAACAACCTGTTGATATATGTCATTTTCCTTTTTCATACCAAAGTTGTCTATCTTGTTTCCCATATGAAACGTTATTTTGTCATTTTCTTCGTTATTTACATTACTAGGAATCGCGTCCATGTGCTTTGTTTTTATTTGATAATCATTTTTTATATTCTGTTGACTGAAGTACAAACTTGGGTTAGTCATTTCTGTATGTTCCTGGTCATTTGTCATCGAATTTATCCTGTTATTATTATCTAAAGGGTTGTTGCTCATGAGAAAATAAGAGAATTCATTTTTTTTTTTTAAACTTGAATGGTATACTGAATCATTATGAGAAGTGGCTGTGTTTAACAAATTTCGATTCATATTTATAACGTTATTCATATTATTTGAACTGGCATTAAAGTTGTTACAATTCATAGTTGTATTATTATTGTTATATTTCATGTTGATATTTAAAGGGGCTTGGTTAAGTATCTCTTGTGAATAATTCCTTTCACTATTGCTGTCTTTACGCTTCATGTTAAATATGCTATTTATAAAGGTATTATTTGCGCAGGCATTAAATTTACTATTCTGCAAATTACTGGAGGTCTGTTGCAAGAAAGTGTTATTTTTTAATTTTTCATTTGACGGAATTTCACTTTTAAACGAATAGTTGTCAAACTTAATGTCCTCATAATTCAATATTTCCGAATTGTAATCTGGTATGTTAAAACTTTTCCTATTTTCAGCACATTCTATATTTTCCGTGCCTTCCCCACCCATATTGTTTCCATAATCCTTATAAGCATTACAGCAATTCTGGTTAATGTTTTTAATATTCTCATCAGCAATTGCATTATTACAACTTTTATGGCTTTCGTTGCTTCTGTTGCTGTTTGTGCTATTCGTGCTGTCATCGCTCATATTACAGGAATTTTTTGGAGCCATATTGTCATTGTTCTTTATTTTCATATCTTGCTCGTTCTTGCAAAAAATACTGTTACTACTAGAATCTGTTTCATTCTCATTTCTCTGATTGGATTGAGTAGTATTATCTCCCTCTTTAATGATATTACTGGTGCTTCTATTCCCTTTAATGCAATTTTTCAAGGACATTCCAGTTATCGATTCAACAGTCATATCACCACTAATCTGATCATCAGCGTTAGTCTCTTTAATCACCTTTGCGATGTTTTCCACTTTTTTGCCACTATGTGTAAAGCTACTTTCAATCAACATTTGCATGTTCATGTTTGTCTTAGTGCCTAGGGACATATGCTGTGTGCCGTTATTTGGGATTGATAATTCCGCACCTTTTTTTTTTGTCATATTCATAGAATAACTACCATTGGAGAGATTCTTATCTGAGTGTTCAAGTCCTACATGAGTAACAGAATCAATTTCATCATCCACGTAATTTCCTGTATATGTACACTTCTTTTTGCTATGCGAAAAATTGCTTTCACTAATGCTTTGAAAATTCTCATTCATGCATGCATTGAGTATTCTGTTTTTACTAGTCATGGAAATTCCATTATTTTCAACTGAATTTTCTATATTGGACAATCCTAAATTATTGTCATCAATTAAAGTGTAGTCATTATTACAAATGTTATTTTCTTCGCTAATTAAATTGCTATTAACAGTATCATTATTTCTTCCACATGTGCTTTCTCCATTTGCACTTTTTATGCATTTGATAAAATCAGAACTTCCAATATTTAGGTTCATATTTGGATTATTCGTGAATAACATTTTATTATCATTTATGTTCTTTTTCATGATATTATTATATTCTTCATTATTCTGAAATGATATATTATAATTTCCTTTATTGTATAAATTTCTTACTGTGTTATAGAAATGGCTGGGTAATGCATTATTATAACCACTACGAACAATATTCGAATTTACACCAATATTGCAACTACTGCTACTAATACTGTGATCGAAATTAAAAGCTCTTCCTAAAGGATTATTTTCATAGAACGAGTAATCTGAGTCCTTACTCTGGTAAGGGATCCCATATTTCCCTCTGACAGAAAATATCTCATTCATTTGTTGGTACTTCAAGTCATTTTCATCAGAATCATCAGTGTTTAGGATGGCCATCTTACTATTCATGTTGTTTAAGCTGCTTGGTATATCTAAATCTTTTTGTAATTGTGTAACATTCTCCTCGAATTCGGAACTTTTCTCAAAATAGCTCATATTACCAAGATCATCATCTTTCACATTCAGATTCAAAATATTTTTACTGAATATGTCATCATCATGATTCAGAAGTGTATCTTCCTCATAATTCAAGTGGATATCTTCATCACAATTACACAATTCAATAACCCTTTCACAATTCCTATGTGTCTCCGTATCATAATTAAAAGACTCAACGATACCATCATCACCATTTCTGTTACTCTCATCCACATTTTCATTATCATAATAACTAACATTTAATCCTAAATCATCATTTTCTTCATCTACATTTTTGTTCATGTTCATTATGTTATTTATTGTATATATGCTACTGTCAGTTGTCGCATAACTAGGTTTCATACATTTTACATTAAGTTCTACACCGCTATTTGCACTTTTAAAATTTGTTTCCATCAATTCAGCATAATCATTATTCAATTCATCCTTTACTATATTATAATTATTCGGATGAAAGAAACAATCATTAGAATTAAATTTTAAATTATCACTCTGATTATTTGTTAATTCTTCTTGTCTTTTTATAGGCGTACTCATTTTGGATGTAGTCGTGTCTAATTTGTTATCCTTGTAGTTCATGCTATCTAAAGAATTTAAAAAATTTCCCTTCATTAAAGCATTACCTTTAAAGTGTGTTTCATTATTTACACTAATATTTTGCATCACTCCATTTGCACTCTCCATCATACCATACTCTTGATTGATATCATTATCATTCCCTATACTATTTTGGTGAATGAAAAGAGAAGAATACTTCATGTCCTTACTATTAAGGTCTTTTTCATGGGGTTTCTTATTGGTTAAAAAATCCTTCTCATAGCTCATTTTGTCGTTTGCATGATCGTTACCACTTGTGCTACTCCTGTTGTTGCTATCACACTTACTGCTGTTATTTCTGCTGCTGTTATTTCTGCTGCTGCTATTTCTGCTGCTGTTATTTCTGCTGCTGCTATTTCTGCTGCTGTTATTTCTGCTGCTGCTATTTCTGCTGCTGTTATTTCTGTTGCTATTATTATTAATACTTCCATTTCCGCTGCTCTTGCAATTGATGTTTCCCTTGGGGCTACTGTTTATGGGCCACGGAAAATGCTTTTTCATATTTGAGACAAGACTACTCTTGGTGTTGCTTGACAATTTTGTATGGTCATCACGGTTTGTGTTGTACCTCCACATTTCCTCATAATTCATGTCATTTCCTTTGCAGATATTGTTATTCTCAGTTGTTGTAACTCTTATATTATTTTTCATCCCTTTCCAATTCATATTGCTACTGGAAAGATGCGTGATATCTGCCGCTGTACTAGTCGAAGTAGTCACTACAGTTGGGATAGCACTATTATCAGAAAAAGGCATGTCGTGTTCTTTTTTCTTAACTCGAAGATTTGAAGTTTCCCTTTCAAAGTTATCATCCTTCTCATAATTAAACAATTCCAAATTGTTTTTTTCCCTCATTACATCATCATCTTTTCTTGAGTTATCAATATCCATTATTTTCAAATTGGCAAATAAATTTTCAGAATTTCCATTAATTCCTTTACCTGCTAAAAGATCCATATTTTTTGCCTTCTTCTTCAAATTATCGTTTTTAATAAGTACACTATTCATGTTGCTAACTTCAATCCCTTTCTTCAAGTTGGTAATATTTGTACAGTTTAATTTTGTCTTAAATTTTTCCTCTTGAGTTTTCATATTATTTCTGTATTTACTCACACCTTCCTGCGTGCATCCTGCATAACCATTCAAATAAATGTGCTCCTTCTCAAACGTTGCGCTTTGATTATTCAAACTTTGCATTCTATTCATTACACTTAAATGTTTACAGCTATTATTTCCACTCATAATTGTGCTTCCGCTATAATTACTCCTGTATCCACGGTTAAAATTATTACCTGTACTTATGGCCTTTTCCCTCCAGCTTAAATCACCAAGGTAGTCCACACCTTTAATGGTATTCATAAACACATGTTCATTCTTGTTTTCACATAAATTATTTTTGTTTCCTAATGTATTACTCATTTTAACATAACTTGAACCTTCCGTTGTGTTACTAGAAGTCGGTATTACACAAACTTCATTCGAAACTGATCCCCCTTTTGTTTCCTCGAAATTACATATACTTCGATTGACAGACTTATTTTTATTAATTTTAACATCACTGAGATGAGAATGTGTTCTGTTATTTTCATTACTTTTATTGCTAATGGTTTTATTCAAGTTATACTTATAATTACAACTGATGTCTGAGTTTACACTTTTACTCATTTCTTTGTTTATTTTAGTTGAATCACTACTCATCATACTAGAATTTGATGTGGACATAATTCCATAATGTGAATTATGTATTTTAATATTTTCGCTATTCAATTGTTGACTACATGTCTGAAATTTCATTTCACTGTTTTCTTTTTTCTCTTTTTTGTCTTTTTTCTCCTTTTTCTCTTTCTTTTCTTTCTTGTCATTATCATTATTCTTTAGTCCTACGTTATTTGTTTCCATCTCTCGTGGCACTCTGCTAACATCCTGTTGTTCATTCTTGTGTGCACCATCCATCTTCCTCCCCCTTAAGTTGTAATAATTTAATTTTTGTTTAACAAAATGAAAAAATTATTCTATTTGTGGATTCACGGATCATAATATTAACTCTATTAGAAATCAATTTTTGTATATATGTTTGTTTGTTCGTTATTTCTCTTTTTCAAATGCTTCGATTAGTTTAATACATAATTTGTTTTCCCGATATTTTTTACTTGTGCGTGTGTGTATTTTGTTGTCTGTTCTTGAGTATTTATATGTATTCACGCAGCATGCATATAGACAGGTATACACAAATGCACAAAAGTTGAAATCTAAACACTTATTATATATATTTAAATATGTTATCTTATGACAATCGAAGGGTACTTAAGATAATTCAATCGGCTTCAATGTATACCTCTTATTTTAAAATACTATGTAATGACATATAAAAAGATGGTGAAGAAATCAAGGATATACCGGGCACAGTGATTGTGTAGGATTTATGAAATATGTTATCTATATATTTTTACTAGTGAAAAAAAAAAAAAAATTTATCATGAAAATATTATCTATGCGAACTGTTTTAAATGATTCGATGCAATAATAATCTAACGCTATAAATTTTTTTATATCATTGGCATAGGGAAATGTTATAAACCAGACTTGAAATAATATATATGGATAAAAGCATAATTTTATTTACATACATAAAAATAAAAAAAAAATGAAAAACTTCTACAACACGTACATGTAAAGCCACATTTAAAAATAAAAAAATTTTTAAATAAAGAATTATGTACTACCCTTAATAATAACCGTACGTATAGACAAGGAATGATCAAATTGTGTGTATAGAAAAAAGATAATTAAAAATTCTCATATAAGGAAAATTAATTTATGTACAATGAGAATGAGATAAAATAGCATATCAATAAACATCATAACAATAAACAGCTCAAAAACATAACGTTTAAAAGAAAAATAACTTAACAATAAAATAAAAAAAAAAAGTGAAGTTTTAATTACACAGATTATAAGATTCTGTATTTATATTTTCCTAATTCATATGTTTCATGTAGTACGGGATGAATAATCAAATGGATAAAAGTTGATTAATTTATAAAGCCATAAAAATTATTATCATATGAATGCACACTGCTTTTTTATTTATCTATCTATTTTTAAATGGACAAATTGGAAAATAACAAATAGTAAGAATGTAAATTTATAAATGTTACAGGATACGTAGATATCAACCCCTTCTTCGCCTTTTCATCATAAACATATGCATACATAAAAGCAATAATGCTAATCACATATAAGAGTTTATGTATAATGAGAGGGTAACATTACATATGGTCATTTCAGCAAGTATCCTTAGTAGTCTATCGATTAAAAGTACGTTAATAGGTGAAATATAAAACGGATTGAGGTATTATATATATATATATATATATATATATATATATATATATATATATATGTATACATACATACAGATATTCAAATGTATTTAAAAATAAATAAAATAAAAATATATATACAGGTGTGCTTGTTTTCCTCTTTATTTATTTTATTTTTTTTATATATTCTTCTCTTTTGTGTGTTTTTTTTTTTTTTTTTTTTTTTTTTTTGTTTACGATATGAATACACACATTTATATATATCGGGAGTTATTTCACATCGAATAAATACTTCATAATAATAAACAGAAATTCACAACATGTATTTTATTTTTAGATTCAAATTCCTAATTTCCAATATTTACACTTGTACAATTAAAAAGGTGTGTATAAGGCTACACATGAAATATCATGACGTGCACATACGCAAGAATGTGTACACAAGCATAAGTATAAATGTGTAGTTGAAATGAAAATATAGTATGTATATTAATAATGATAACAAAAATTTCCCTTTTTATGTTTACATAATTTAACATAAAAAAAAAAAAAAAAAAAAAAAAAAAATCATAAGATATTAGGTAGGAATATACATCAGATAGAATTTTAACGTAATGCATATTAACATCATCATAAAATGAATAAGTTAAAAGCTCTAAAAACATTTAAAAATATCAACATGTTGCTACAAGTATATAGCACAAATATATAATTATGTAAGAACAAAGAAATAAAAATATCTATGAAAAATAGAATTATTCAAAAAAAAAAAAAAAAATGAAAATGAAAAGAAATGACAATATATCAACATACAAATCTAAGAAATATAAACCTTAAAAGTATAATTAAAACATACTTTTTTTACTTCTATAAAACAATTATTGGATTTGTTAGCAATTTTCATATTCATCAATTTTCGGATAGTCATTACACATAAAAATATATTCTTCCTTATACATATTTATATAATAGGTTTTTTTTTTTTTTTTTTTGTCACCCATGCGTTTGCTCTTACATGCGAGATGTTAACATGTATGCGCGTGTGCGTAGTGGGATGTGCATATGTTCGAGTGCTTATATACGAGCATGGAAATATGTGTATATATATATGTATAAATATATATGTATTTACTCACAAACGATCACATTCACATACATAGGTAAACACACAAATGTAAGGACTCACTATTGCACACATTCACATATAAATATATAAATATACCAATATTTGCTACTCCAACATACATTCTAATGTATGTGCAAGCAATAAGGTTACCAAAAGTACTCATAGTCTACTTCACTTGGAAGCGTATATGTATATATTCATAAAATGGAAGGAAATGAAAAAAAATTTGTACTTAATTTATTTAGCATTTTTCCTATAAATTATATAAATATAAGTAAAATAAAAAAAAGTTAAAAATTAAAAGCTTAACAATGATAAACGTGTAAGTATACTTAAAAGATAAATTAAAACATTGCTTAAAAATAAAATTTCTTTTATGATAAAAAAAAGGTCAGTAAAAAAAAAAAAAAAAAAAAATTCATAAAACAAAAAAAAAGAAAAACAAAGTTAATAAGATAATGGAGGGAAATGATGTACATTTTATATTTATTTATTCATGTTTTAATTCAATACATAAAATACTATTTACTGTTAAAATCATATGTCAACAAACATTAAAAGATTCAATAAAAAAAAATACGACAAAAAAGATATATATATATATAGATATATGTATTATTATTAAGATACTGTTTTCAATATATCATTATTCTTACTAATATATTTTTTAACTGTTCTTACTCATATATTGTCTTATTTTGCTATATTTTATTTTTTTGTATTTTTCTTTTTTTTTTTTTTTTTTTTTTTTGTCACATACGCGTAATGTATATGGGTTGTAAAAATGTTGTGCCTTTATATATATGTATATGTATATTTTTAATTTATACTTGTGTATTTTTGCATGAGATTGTTTTCGAGCATGTTCAGTAGCAATTTTTCACTCACATTTATATGCGTTCTGGACATAACGAGCAACTATTCAAATGTACACTCTCAAACATTGGTAAATATGTATATGGTCTACCTCGTACATGTAAATATATACAGTCCTTTTAATGCATCTATATCATTATAAAATCACACATGCATATCCTCTCATGTATACACACACATTTCTGCACATATAAATATTTATAGATGCATGGGCATCTAAGAAAAAATGCGTGCAATGTATTATAAAACTCCTTATGTTATCATGTTCAAAATGTTGATAACTTGTAAAATGTTAAGTAAAGGTGAAAGCATGGTTGTGTCTATATAAGTGTACATATATGTATGGTATATATACACACTACACGTGTAATACTGTGATAAAAATGTGTTCACTTGCACATTTTCATATAAAACATGGTGTATTTTCTTACATTGAAATGTATGTACGGGTATTCATAAATAAGTGTACTCAGGTTTGGTGCAACGCGAAATAGTCATTTTCCATTATTGATTGCTTATTTATACTGTTAATTTAAAAGGTGTAACATAGAGCTGTACTAAGAAAAACAAAACAATGTTCTTACATATATCTACGTGTGTCTCGATATAATTACGCCCTTTACATACAGATAATAATTATCATTCATAAATGTTAAAAATGTGTAATGATAAAAAGTGTGCATTCTTATGTATTTAACGTGGGCTATATTTTGTTTTATTTTATTTTTATGTTTTTAAATTTTTACATTTGAGAATGAATAAAAGATACGGTATGTAAGTGTGTATACATATGTCACCAAAATAGAAGATGCAACTATTACTCGGTTGAAAATAACATTTCTATGTAGATGTATGCTTGCACGTGTACATATATATGTTCGTATGCAATGCTTACTTACATTAGGATGTAAAACTGTGTATATATGATTACATTTACATAGATATACAAGTACATACTTCAACATGGTGAATGCATAAATAAACGGTTAGAAAAGTTAAAGATATAAATTATATTTTATGCGTTTGTTAGAAATAGGATATATATAACAAATATGTATATACATAGGTTATTACACAAGTTTGAATTTTGTAATGATGTTTTTTTTTTTTTTTTTTTTTTTTTACATAAGCATAATTGTACGTATAAATAAAATGTTAACATACATAAAGAATCTTACATTTAAACTACTTAAAGATTGATAGATTGAAAAAAAAGATACATTTTTTTAAAATTTTATTTTAAAATTGATATTTAATCTTGTATATATTTTTTTACTTATGAACACACATAAAATTAAAAATGTTATAAAGGGGTGTAAAAGAACATGTCATATTTAACTTTATAAAAAAAAAAATAGTAAAAAGGTGTTCATATCCATTTATATTTCAATTCCTATCTTATAAACACATATATATGTAATGTCATAAGCATACACATATGTGCATGCGCACATATATTACTTAGTTACTTAAAGGTATACGGGGTGTTCCTTTGAAGTAAAAGTTCACACTAGATAATATACATGTTAGAAAATATTAAATTTTTTGTACTCTTTTCTTTATTTTGTTTATTTTTTCAAATTCTTAACCTTCTAGCCTGTGCTTTTATTTAAATATATTTTGCTCTT